GAACAAGATAGAAAGTATTCTAATTAGATTATTTCAATTTAGAATGCTTAAATTATAAGTATATATTATAATATTATATTAAGATTAAATGAATCCAATGAGTGAGATGCAAAATCAATGATAAATATATGTAGATAATTTTTCTATCTCCAACTTTAAGAGAATTAAATTAATTAAGTATAATCTTATAATTAGGTAATATTGCTATGGCAAACTACTTTAGATAAACATAAAAAAATGATATATTATTTCAATTTTAATTTTCATGCATAATTCTTAAAAGACTTTTAAAGATATTAAATCGGTATTTAAGGTATTTTAGATTATACCATTTAATAGCCTTGTTAATAGTCTTAACTTTGAAATAAATACACAGAGATTCATAAGATAATTCTTATGATGAGACTAATCTACAAATATTAAAAAGAATTTATAATAAGTTTTAACATATTAGTAATTTTTAATTAATGGATTCGGTATAATAATAACATTAAATCTATTCATGATAATGATGCATTTTTTTAAAGAAGAGATGAAATAGAAAACAAATTTCTTAACTCAAAAGCACATGTCAATATTTTGTATATGATGATATTTTTAATATATCATCATATATTAAAGAGTATATATATTTTTTAATCAACGAAACTCATATTAACAATAAGAAAACATTTAAATTTAAAAACATCCTTTAATTATCAAATTCTCAAAATTAATAAATATAAGTAGTCATCCATAAAATTATTTTATTGTTATTAAATTTTCTTTTAGATTTTTGCATATCTTTAAAGTATTAGAAGAGTAATGGAAAATGATAGAACCTTCTAAAAATAATTAATGAATCAATCAAAATTAAATATATATTAAAAAGTATGCTAAAGTTAGATTTATTTATTTAGAACTACTGTTCTATTTAATAAGATAATTAGAATAATAGGACTTTGAATGGAATTAATAATGTAGATTTGAGTGATTATGGATGATATTCAACAACATTTGTCTTATTGTTAAGCTTATGGCATTTATTAAACCAATGGTTTATTAGTAGTCTGTGCAGGCTAATTAGTCATTGGACTCTAATTGTCTTATTCATTTTTTAATAGCTCTCTACCAACTGATTCAAATAATTCAAAAATGCCATTCTTTTCCTTAGCAGAAACTAGTCGCAAAAAACATCCGTAATTCTAAAGTAGATGTGATGAAATATGATTACTTCAGCTAATTATTTTGCTACATCATAACTCACTTCTTCTTTGTCTACTTGATCTATTTTATTGCCAACTATAAATTTTACTTAAATTAATAGATAATAATACATGCAGTTTCGCTATTTTCATTTAATTCATTAATCCAATCTGTTACTCTTTAGAAAGATTTATAGTTAGTGACATCATAAACCAAAAGGGCTGCATTAGAATCTCTGTAATATAATCTTGCCAGAGATTTAAATTTCTCCTATCCAGCCGTATCCCAAATCTATCATTAATATTGTAGAGTTACAGCAAAGTTGATTTGATGATTATCAATTTTACAAGTTTGGGAGTGATAATTGGCACCTGATGTAGCATTTTCATAAGAATTAAATTCTTTCTTCACATAAACATTAGAAATAGATGTTTTTCCTACTCCTTTTTAGAGTTATTTATGTAATTACCTTGATCTCCAAGAAGTACAATCTTGAATTAATTCTCTCTGTTCATTAATTAATATTTGTATATAATACTCTATATAGCAGAAAGAATGCGAATTAATAAAATCATATTATTTAGAATATAGAAATTATATCATCATAAATATAATTTATGATTATATAATAGGAATGATGTTTAAAATCTCTAAAAGAATGGATTCATTTTTAATAGAAATCATATTTAATACTATTTGTAATTAAAGAATTAAATGTTAAAATTCTTTTTTAAAAAGTAATTAAATAATCTGATTTACATGTAACAATCTTAAGTAGTAAAAAGAATCAAAATAACAGATAAAGAGAATTAAATTTTCAACACCATTATGTAATTTAGAGATGAAACAAATACATAATCAATTTTGAGAGTAGCAGGTGGATGGGTAAGAGATAAATTAATGGGAAATGAATCTCATGACATTGATATCACTATTGATAATATGAGTGGTGAATAGTTTGTAATAAAAATGAAAGAATACTTTGAATCTAAAAATATTAAGGTTAGTGGTTTTGGAGTAACTAAATTAAACCCTGAATAATCAAAGCATTTAGAAACAGCTTGTATTAAAATATTTGATCAATCTATTGATTTTGTTAATTTAAGAGGTGAGACTTATACAGAATAATCAAGAACACCTTAAATTATAGTAGGTACTCCAGAATAAGATGCTTTTAGAAGAGATTTAACTATTAATTCTATGTTTTATAATTTAAATACACAAGAAATAGAGGATTTTACAAATATGGGATTGCAAGATCTTTAAAATGGAATTATTAGAACTCCATTAGATCCTTACATAACATTTAAGGATGATCCTTTAAGAATACTTCGTACATTTAGATTTGCTACTAGATTTAATTTTTAAATTGTTGAAGAAATTCTTAATGCAATTTAATAATAAGATATCAAAACTGCATTATAAACTAAAGTGAGTAGAGAAAGAATAGGTATTGAAATTGATTGGATGTTAAAATCTTCAAAATGTTATTAAGGTTTAAAAAATTATCATTAACTTGGATTTTGGCATATAATTTTTGAATTGCCAAAAGAAAATTAACATTAATGTAATGTTAAAGTTGAGAATTAAGGAAAATATCATTTAGATTCATTTAAATATCTATAAACTTTATAAAATTTACAATATTTACCTAATTTCTAAAAAATTCATGGTTTTGAAAGTTAGGAATAATTAAACTTATATCTTCATTTAAGTAGCATTTGTTTGCCTTATTAGACTATAAATTATAAAAAAGGAAAGAATTTAGAAAGTGCTATAATCTATATAATAGCAGAATCTTTAAAAGTATGATATATTATATAATTATTAAGATGCCAAGAAAATAAACAGATGAAATTTATAATATTTGTAGATTAGTAGAGTAATTCAATTAGTTAAAAAAAGAGGATTTAAAAAACAATTACAGAAGATTGGGTATATTAATTATTTATATAATAGTTAACTTTTTATAAGATGCTAAATAATTATGGGAAATAATAGTTTATTTGGATTATCTATAAGAATGTATAAATGATTCAGAGGCAACATTTTAATTGAATGAGAATTTTATAAAATTCATCTATTCATAAAATTTATAAGAATTTTATAATGCAAAAGCATTTATAGATGTAAATAATTGATTAATATAATTAGGGTAATGAAATAAAATAAATTTGGAAAGTAGAAGCAAAATAAATAAAAGATGTGAAATAAAATATATTAATTTGGTAAGCTATGAATCCTAATGGAACAAGAGAAGATATTTTAAAAATTATAGAATAAAATAAAGAATAATTTATGAATAATTTATGAATAATATGGTTATAAAAAACAATATTTTAATTTAATATTATAATTATCAACATTGATAATCAATCCATTATCATATGTATGATTTTGTATAAATTTATAAAATATTAATTCAATTTTTGAAATTAGAAATTGAGGTTAATTGAAAATTAGTAAAAGAAAAAAGAATGAGCTTTTTTTGTTTCAATAAAATTTTAAAGCGATGTTAATGGTAGTAAACAAGTTTGAGGCAATTTATTACGTAAATGATAATTAGAATTTTCAATTAAAATAAAAAAAAATGAGTGTGATGCACTGGACAAATGTTAATAATGAATCTCCATCAAAATTCAATAGGCAATCTTCAGAAACACTACCACCTATACGTAAAAGAATCTAAAAGAGAACTGAAAAGAGTCTTAAAGAAACCACATTTAAATCTTTATATAAATAGAACAAACTAGCTGAAATAGTAAATAAAGCCTAAGAAAGCAATGAAGAGATTTATGAAGAGTATGATGAAATAAAGATTCAAGGAAGTATACTAAAAATAAATGATAATGTTATAATAAAAAATGGTGATCATAATGTTGAAGATTATGTTGGAACAATATAGAAAATATGTTCTGTTTTAGAACCATAGACAAACAAGTTGATTTGTATGTGTTAAGTTTAATGGTTCATGAAAAAGAGTGAAATACTCATACATAAGCCAAGAGCTAGATGCTGGATTGGAACTCAAGAGATATTTTCAACGAAAAAAAACGATTTTATTCTTGCTTAAACCATAATTCAGAAGTGTAAAATAGTAGATTGTGATGAATTTGTCAATCTCGAAAACAGTGATGTGACCACATATTATAACAGACTTGAATGGGATGTAGAAAATAAAAAATTTACTAATATGAATGAAATCTAATTATATTGTCTATGTCAATAACCATGGAATCCTGAGCTTAACTACATTCAAGTAAATTTTAAATTTTATTTTTTAGTGTGATAAATGTTAGAAATGGTACCACTTCGAATGTGTGGACTTAATAGAAGGATGTTATGAAGATAAATAGTATATTTGTGGATATTGTAATTGATTTCTATTTTTGTATTAAAGTCTTTCTTATTAAACATTTATTTAACTTATTTTTAAAATAAGGCAAACTCTTTTAGCTAATGAAAATTAACTAACCTAAATTTAAAACAAAAAAGCCATTAGGATTAACACTGGACTATCTGGAAAGTCAGTAACATTAAAAAGAGATACTTCCAGAGGTAAAACAATATGATTAATAAGGCTTAAGAAATTAATTAATTTGATGATATTTTCAATCAATATCAACAAATATAACAAACAAAAGAACTTGATCAATTGAATCAATCAAAATCATCAAATATTGAACAACATTAAAATGATTAATTAAACAGTTCCAAACCTATAAATTTGTCAATCAGTATATATATTATAGTTATTTTTTATTCAGATGTAGACAATCAAAATTAAAAGGTTTAAAAAATTATTTTTGATGAGTATTATACATAAAATAATGGAAATACAGATAAATCTGACAATATTCAAATTTAATAGGATAAATTATCAAATATTAATACTAAATTGATTTAAGAACCTCCTGCACCTAAAAACAAGGATTGTGTTAAGTAAAGTTTTTCATAGAAAGGATCTTCTTTATCAGGATGTAAATATAATAATTTATGAAAAGTAAAAAAATAAATATAAATTGCAATTCCTGATGTTGAACATAATATTACTAGTTCATATGAATAAACAATGATAAAATAATAATTAAAATAAAATTAAATGAATGATTTAGAATTAAAATCATAAATATTTTAATTACAAAATGATAAAGATAGGATTAAAAATTAGTATTAACTTGAAATAATTGAATTAAATGCTCTTATCTAAGAATTATAAAATAAATTAGAAATAGAGTAGGCAGAATAAATACAATTAAAACAATAAAATCAAAAATTAACAAATCTTATTTCATAAATTGATAATTAAAATATAGAAAAATAGGATAAAGAATAATTAAGATGTAGTCATCATAATAATTTAAATGATAAAGAAAAAATATAATATTTAATAGAAAAGCTAAATGTTAAATCAACTTAAAATGCTAAATTGCATTATGAAATAATTAAATTATAAAACAATGTAAAAATAACTTTACATTAATAGGTTGAAATGCTTGAAACTTAATCAATTCTTCATTTAAATAATGGTAATTAAATCAATAATCAGGATAAACCATCCATCAATTAAGTTCCATAATATTTAGGAATAGAGGTTCAATAACCTACTTAAGTTTAAAATAAAAAAGAAACCATTAAAGCAAGTGTGATAATGTAATAGAAACAATCATTCTTAAATCTAAGTGCAAATCACTCATAATTAGATTAGAATAAAAATATGAACTTGTATTTCTTCTACTAAACAAAATCTTAGTTCAAATATGATAACACCTTAAGCCAACAAAAATGAAGTATCTAATTCAATTCACAAAAATTTGACTTTACATTAAACAAAAAACGGGTATTTTAAAGAAGATAATTTATAATAGATTAGAAAAATACAGTATGAAATTATTATTTTATTTAGAAGTACAAAAAATTCAACATCTGTAGGTGAATTAAATATTATAAGATAAGATCCTACCAATTATTCAAATATATTATAAAATATGATGAAAAAAGGTGCTCCTAATTCACCAAATAAATATATTCATGCCACCTAAAAATTTAAAGAGACCTTAGATTCAAAATTAAATAATATTTCTGATAAATAAAAATCATATGCTAGTTTACTTTTTTCAGGAGGTGATATGAAAAAGTCTAGACATAAGGATGCTTATTGTAGACAATATTCTCCTCATATCAATGAAGATATTTAATTTAAAACTAGATAGTAATATATTATTTATATATTTAGATTATTTTCATTAAAACCTTATTCAAATTCAAGGAAAGAATCAGAAACAATAAAATCTGAAGAGTCTCATAAATTAAGCACAGATAAAGCAAAATATTAGAATAAATATGAATATTCAAATTATCAAAAAAAGAAAGGTACATTTTAATCCACTTTAGATATTTTGCAAATGGTGAAAGACATTAATAATTAAAAAATTGGAAGTAGTTATGCAGATAATAATTATTAGTTTCAGCAAAAATAAATTACAAAAAAAAATGTGATGCGACATATGAACAATAATCTAATCTTCGATAGTACAACAAGAACAATCTATATTGAGAATGAATCTAACAAATATAAAATTTATATATTTTATTTAAATAACATTATTTCTAAGAAATCTTTATATGATGTAAGATAAATGTTATTATTAATTAAATAAAATTATTATTTGCATAATTTTGCATTTTTAAAATGACCTTATAGATTTGAGAGGAAGTGTATTTACATATATTATTTTATGTTATTGTTGTTTATTTGTAATAATTGATCATGCTCAAATTTATCCAAGGTATAACAATCTTCTACATTGTGGATTAGCCTCAATAAATTTATCTAAGTTTTCTTAAGCGCTAATGGTTATAATTTTGCTTTACTTAGGTTCTTCTAGATGGACTTTAGCAATTAGTTTTAAGCATTGAGCTTCATCTTTTGGAAATGATCCTGCATTCTATTCCAAGACTCTAGAAGTTAATAAAAATATCTACTTTAATTTTCTTAAGACTTCAATTCTATCCAACTAGTATATGATTTAATGTGGGTCCACATGTTGATCATCTATTATAACATATGTAATTATACTTAGTCCTTTTCTCTAAAATTAAGTAATGACATTAAATTCCATTTTTTAGAATTCATCTAATGTGGATCTAGTGATATTTTAGAGATTCTAATCTTTTTTAGAAAAGCTAATCCTGACAAAAAATATTACTGTAAATAGGTTTGATGTTTGGTATGATTATTTACTAAGGCTTCATTTCTAGTTGTGCAGGTGTATGGTAAGAATTTGGCCTCGACGTTAAAAATTCTAATATTTTCTAAGTAATATACCTATGGACGGTATTAAATGCCTAGAACAATCTGTTTCTGATAGCCATTTTTTATTTTAAATAATATGATATATATATAATTTATTTTTGATTCGTATAAGTATTACTTCAATGATGTTATAAAAAATATAAAAATTCATTAAATACAATAAATGGAATATATATATATAATATAGTAAAAACCATATTAAATCTTTATATGAGATATGATAAAAACAATATAGTTGATAGAATAATAGATAAAATTAATGGAAGCATCTTTATTATATTTAATTTATATAATCTAAATATTAGTTTGTAATATTTAATTGTTTACTTATTAATGATATCTAATGTAATAAAGTTATAGGTTTGAATTAGTTATTTTATATTTCTATAGGTTATCTTAAATTTCAATATGTTCATCTTCACTGATCAATTTACATCTTATTAAATGTGATAATGTGATTTGAAAAATGTTGATACAATTTTAGATTGATCAATCACAATACAAATTTCTTTATTTCATTATAATTTAATAACAAAAAATCACAACGGATACTCATTCAAGTAATTAATTATATAATTTTAAATAATTAATCGACATCTATGTTTGAATTATGTGCAATTGTAGGATATGATATTGATAAAAGTAATGAATGTATATATATTAATAGAACCAAATCTTGATATGTTGTTAAGAAATGAATATGAACCAGAAATATTAGAAATTTATCCTTCTCATCTTAAAAAATCACCATTGATTTCACATTCTATTTCATAATGTTTTTCATAAGGACAACCTTCATTATATTCACATGATAATAAATTAATACATCCAACAAAATTGAATTCAAAGGATATAGGAATATAATCTAAAATACATTAATTTTCAGTTCAGTTAGATGATTCTACATATAAATATTGCCATGTGTTATCATTTTATGTAATGATGATCTGATTTATTAGGAATAAGCATACATATAAAATATTGAAACTTTGGCTGGTAAGAGAACTAAGATTATTACCTGGTCTCCTTAAATTGATATATAAGCATTAATTAATAGCAAATAAGTGACAGCTATTAAATCAACATTACTTTCTAATAATGCTAATATATGCATATATGTATAAAAGTCTATAGTAGTTGTTTCCAATTAAAATGAGACAGGATGTGAAGCCACATTGGTAAATTTTATAAATTAACAACTTTCAAGTATATTATTAATCTATAAATATAGAAGACTCAAATAGATCACATTATTTGAATAAACAATACATATAAACTATATCAAATTCATAACAAAATATTAAAGTGTTGAATGAATTGTTAACTATAAATTAAGAAATGTTTTAAAATCTATAAAGATTACCATCTATTGAACTCTCAAATCTTATTGAATTTTTCAATATTTAACATTAAGCATAAAAATAGTATGCATATTACTAATATAGATTAGTTATTTCAAATTTAGATTTTGATGAAAATGTTAAAATTCAACATATTCCTTAAATGAATTTCATTTCACATGAATCAACATAAGAGGGACATTGCAATAAAATAAGTCAAGAATTATTCCATCTATAAGATATGCCTAAAGATATATTTTATAATCCTCCTGATAAAATTAAATTATTTAGAGAAAGAGTGAGAAAAAGTAATAAAAAAGCAAAAAAACCATTAATACCTATTTAACCTTAATCTCATATGCCAAAATAAAATTAATTATTAAAAGCAAAACCAATTATGAGACCATAAGAATTTAGTTTTCATGAAACTTCAAATAAAAAATCTCATAGGAACTAAATATTTAATAGTTTGAACTTTCCTTAAACAAAAACATTACTGAAATTATGAAAATTTAATTATATATAAATTATTTAATAAAAATCACATGGTAGTTTATTGTACTTTTTTAGGGTTTTATATTAAACTATGAATAAATTTATCTTAAAAGATTATTTCAATAATTTAATTGATAGCTTTAACATTTAAATTGAACTATTCATAATGACTTGATTAATAATTTCCTATAAATGGTAATTCTCCTAATAAATTTTTAAATAATGGGTTATTATTAGTAATAATGTATGGTTATTACATTATCACAACTTAACTATTTCTTAAATACAGATAAATTGTTTTGCCATTATGTTTTTTAGAGCAATGCCTAGATAAATTTCCAATATTTTTCTACAAAAATCAAATATATGTATATACTTTTGATGGTTTTCCACAATAATGAGCACACATCTTTTTGAAACATATCAAACATATGAATTAACTTGGTTCCTAATTATTAATTTTTGATAATGGCAAAAATTAGCAAGACTTTTTTTAACAAGGTTTAAGATAATGCTTTATTAAGAAATCTTTGAAATTTAATTAAAATTTCTCTATATAATTCTATTCTAATTCAAATCTTATTTTTTAAATATCATATGATAATTATTATTATTCAAATTATGCTATTATAAAGTGTTGAGTTAGAGCTTCTTGTATGGCAGTTTTATTTACATCTCCATAAAGTATGTTATCTAATCCAGATTTTAATTAATTAATATTATTTTATTTTATTTTTGTTTACAATAGTAATTTTATGATTTTAAATAGGATCTAATTATCATTATCTTGTATTTATTCTAAAATAGTATTTTATGTTTTTTGATAAATTATTCTTAATAAAATTAAGACATCTTATAATAATAGATGTGTATTTTTTTCTTTAAATTGTGTTAAATCACTTAATAATTAAAATAGTAAATTACAGAGAACTTATGAAAATATTTCATCTAAAACACTTGGAATATTTAATTCATTATTAATTGTATGTTTTTAATAATATTCCATTATTTTATTATCATTAAGAGTTCTTAAAAAAAATTCAAAATTTTATAGTAATATTTTATCTTAAGTACTTTGGATTTAAATTGAATTAATGAAAGGAAAATTGTATGGCTCCTTACAAATTGGACATCTCAAATATTGAAAATCTCCTACAACATATTGTTATTTGTATTGTGCTAAACACTTTTTATGAAATGTATGTTAACAACTTGATGCTATAATTGAAAAAAAATCTACTTTCTAATTTTATAATTTTGGTAATTTATCAATAAATTAATGAATATTGGAATATGTAATCAGTAAACCTCTATATTAAAGTTAATCATTTTCAAATTGTAATAAACATAAAGAACAATTAACTGTTGTATTTTATGTCGGAGTATCTACTTAAATTTAAGAGTTAAAACTTTATGACATATTATTAAATTTTTCTAAGTAAAGTTTTTTTTTAATTTATGTTTTACATGCTTTTTAAGCATCACTTTCAATTTAAGAGTAATTGCCAATTAATTTATCATCAATTTATTTAACAAAAATTGAAAAAATATTATTTATTGTTTAAGTTAAATTAACATTTTCTAATATGTGTAGACATATTTATGAAATTGCTTACAAATATTGTGAGAGATTTGAATATGGATTTTGAAAATTTTTATTACATAATAATACTAAGTTAATATAAACAGAATGTTTCACTAAAATTTTAGAAACTTATTATATTTCTCCTTATTGTTATTAAATTAAAAGATTTTCTAAAATATTTTGAAGTACTATTTATTCTTTATCAGCAGCTATAGCCTTTAAAATAGCTTATCTTTTATATGTTAAAGTTGATTTATGTTAATTTAATAAATTTAATTCATTTTCAAGAGATGTTCCAAATAATTCTGATTATAGATCATTTTATGATCTTAATTTATCTGTAATTTAATCTTTTAGTTTTAAAACTAATTAAGCATAGATTGGTTCATATTAAACTGGTAAGAGGGATCTTTTTAATTATAATTATTCATTATCTTAATTCAACACACAAGAACTTAAAATTAGATTTTATAAATTAATACTACTATCATAACTAAATTACTTAAGTAATTCTCTTAGTTCATTTTCTTTATAAAAAGACTGAACAAAAAAAATTGTTTGGAATAATTTATTTAGCCCTTTTTAAAATTATTCTGAACTATCTTATCCAAATATATCACCTACACATTAAATTAGATCATAATCTGTTTAAGCAATTCTACATATAAGAAATTATGGATTTGGTTTGTAATTAAAAAATGTAGCAATATCTATATAGTTGGAGATAATATCATTAATTCCTTCAGAACCAAATAAAAATGCATATAATTAAATATAAGCCACATCCACTTATTCAAGTGAAACTTCCTATAATTTCAATTATTTATTATATAATTTAATTTATCCCTTATATAATGATGGATTACCTTTTTTATTCAATACAATAATATTAAGTAAAGTTCTTTTCAACAATTTTATCATAACTTATTTAAATATATTTTATTTAAGTCCACTAGTCTCCAATAAACTCTCTTAAGCCTCTTAGGAATCATTATAATCTATTAAAAAAAGTGATAATAAGGTTATGAAATTTCTATCACAAATCACTATATTAGATAAATAATTTTATAATTTTGATCCAGATTTCAATGTAAAAGATGTAATATAGTTATTAATAAAGTAATTAATGACTAATCGGAATATATTTTAAGATCCAATTTTATTTTATTTATAAACATCTTTCCAGGTCTCAACTAACACAGATAACATTTTTCGATAATTTTAAAGTGTACTAATTTGTATTTCTAATGAAATTTGGAATTTTATTTGTTCATCTGGATTTAGGAAATGGAAAGTTGTAGTCTCAGTTTATTAACAAGGGTATATTTTAGTTAAGACATAAATTAATAGAGAATTCTATTACAATTTACTGAATATAGGATTATTGGGTAGAATTGAACTAAATTTAAATTTATCATCTTCTAAATATAAAATTTCAGAAATTTATTCAAATAGTTTTTTTACAATATTATTATTAAATTATTATACAATTATATCTTCAAAAGACTAACAGAATAGCTGAGATTAATAATTGCATATTGGTCTAAATATATTAGTATATATATTACAATTAGAGTAATTGATTTGAGAATAATTCGAACATAGAATAAACATTAGGATTCTTAGATTCTTTTTTTAGGTTTATTAGTACTATCATTAAATGTCCAATTAACTAATAGAAATATCCAAAGATAGAAGCTCTTTCAACCTTATTTTTACAATAAATTTTTGTAATATTTTTATCTTAAGCCAATTTTGGAAAGATTTCATTTATCTTTTTATATTCTGTATAATTTATTGTATTGAGTGTAATTTTGATTTCTTAATTATTGATAGTAATTAATTTAAATTTTTAAATTGGATTATATAAGTGATTAAAATTTATAATTATTTATTTGCAAATATATGGTTTAAAATTGTCATCAACATGAAATTCATAAAATAAATCTGAAATATTATTTGAATCTTATTATAAAAATCGTGAAAAAAAAACATAATGTTTTATTATTAAATTAAGTATTGAACATTAGCAGATTTATTATTATTTATCCAATTTAAAATTAAATAAAGGATCATTTGAATGAACATGATATAATTTTATGAATTTTTGAATATTCACATCTATTGGAATTTAAAGAAATTTGCTAATAGCATAACTCCAAGGAATATTATCTTTCGATAAATATTTAAGGATTTTGAATAAAAGTGTATACAACTTTTAACCTTATTCCTTAGCTATTTATTTATCTAAAAGTTCTTGTTTATTATCCTCGATAAAATTTAGCGAATTTTCTAAATTCAAAATTTATATTGCATTTTATATTTAAAAAATCGTTTAATTTGTATAGTCAACAATTTTCTAAGTGCATTCAAACAAAAGTCCAAAGGAAATCATAATAAACTATCTTAATCTCTCTGTCAAATTTACTAGATTGATTATATAAATTATTACTCCCAAATAATTTCTCAGGAATTGGCATTTCAATTTGACTTTATGAATGTTTATTGCAGAATGATTTTTTCTTCATAATCAAAGTATCTCCACAATCACAACATCCAGAACTCAAATAATTATATGTGACTACATGATCTAATGAATAAAAAATATTATACTCTAATGTTTTTCTGGCATATAGCATTCTTAACAATAAACATGATTAGGTTCTTTACAACAATCAAAACATTAAAAATATAAAGTATTTTTACTAAAAGAGGCTGAACATTATTTTTTATTTCCTGTTCCTTTTAATTTTATAATATTATTTTCTAATTCATTATCTGAAAGTTCTAAAACATATTAGACTAATTCGAAATCCTTCATAGTCTCTTATATTTTAGCTGCATTCAAAATGATGCCAATATATTTTTAGATATCCATTTATTTTTTTTATTAAATATTATAAATAATATTATATTTCTATATAATAGAATTATATGAACATATTGTAAGGAAAAATTATTGTAAAAATTCATTAATTTCTTTAGACAAATGAATAATATTGTAAAAAAATGGATTGAAGCAGTTGCTTATGACTATGATAATACATAAAATATGGAAAATGAATTTTTCGCTTTTATTTTTTAAGATGATAAAAGTTTTTAAAATTGGGTAAATAAAAAACCTCAATTATAATCTACTTGTGGAGTATTCATTTCTGATAAAGAATTAAGTTTTTAATGTTTTACTTGTGGAAAGGAACCTACACATATGTTTTGCAAAAATTGTTTTGTACCTTAATTACATAAAGGTAAAATATATATTAATTTAAAAGATCATTAGTGTATTATTGATGTAAAAAATAAGGGATTATGCGATTGTGGTATCAAATCTATAATTTCAAATAAGGGGTTTTGTTTAAAACATAATGATAAAATTATTATAAGGAAGAAATAAGAAATTAATACAATTCCTATTTAGTTATAAAATAATATCACACTTCTTTTTCAATAACTCATTGATTCTTATAGGAGTTTAATGAAAAAAATAAAAAAGAAGAATGTTTCAAATTTATAAATATCAGTTTTAGCTCTTTATCATTATGCTAAACATTTTAAGGATCAAAATTCGATTTAAATATTGGAGAGTTATTAGGAAAATGAATCAATATATGTACTCTTTAGAAGTGCATCTAATCTAAATACTCTAATATTTAAGACAATTGAAAAATTAATTGATTAAAGATTTCAATATTAACTTTTAATCTAACAAATCCTCACAAATACGAATTTAATTAATTCTAAATATACAATTATAGAAAAACTATTAAAATATTATATATATATTGAAGTTTATTAAAGTTTAAATGATTATAGGATAGATAAAGTCCTTTATTAACTATTTATTGATGAAGAGTTCAAAGTTCGTATTTTCTCTATAATTTTGAAAAATTTTTCTAAATTTTGGTTAATCAAACAATTTAAAACAACCAATTGGGATTAAGATATAGATAAAGAACTCTAATATGTAGATTAATCTATAAAAAAGAATTAGTAAAAACATCTTAGTTAATAATAAACTAGTATATATTAAGAATAAGGCATATCTCTGAATTCAGATTACTTTAGAATTAAAAAATATATTCAACCATTAATAAATGATTTATAAAATAATCCATTATAAATCCACTTTGTTTACTCTAGCAAAATACTTACAACTGAATCTTAATTTGTATCTTTTGAAATGCAAGAATAATTCTTTTCTTAAAACTAAAATATTTAGGATTTAGTAGTTACTATTTAAAAATTAAATTATACTTCTGGTGCATTATGTTCTAATACTTAATTAAAACTTCCATAATTATTTAAATAGAGATTTGAATATAAGAAATTTGGAGAAATAGCATTAGGTTAATTATAAAATATATTAAGTAAAAATTTTCATTAATTTAAATAAATAGATATTAAAATTGATTTAATAAAAGAATTTAACTTTAATAAGTTTGCAATAACAAATTTAATTAATAGTTTAGGTTAAGGAATTGAAATGAAGAATTAATCTAATATATTGAATAATTAAATTATTATCGCTGATACTATTCACTATATTTAAGATTAAGCAACATATTATACTGCAATTTGTACTGGTTTAAATACTTTATTCAGTAACAAATTTAGTAATGAAATATTTGAAAAGAACATTATTAAATTACTTTTTTATTAAACTTACTTCATCTTAAAGAAAACTATAAGAATTAATTATTAAAGTAATAGATCTTCTTAATTTTAATCAAATGATTTATTAAAAATTAAAAATGGTATGATAATATAGAAATTGTTTATTTCTTATTTATCATATTTGTATTGTGTTACCTAGTTTGAAAATGGAAAATAATTCCTACTTTACTTAATTGATATTTTAGATGAAGATTAATAAGAATTTGAAAATCTACTCAATTAATTATTAGAAGAAATTATGCAAGTTCATTTGATTATTAATGACAATGAAAATTAAAAGATTAAATCTGGTTATTAAGGTACTGAAAATCATCTAGAATATTCATAATTTCATAGAATTGACACATGTTTTCTTAAATTATATATATTTTTATTCGATGTTAATGGATTCTCAAGATTTTAAAATATGATGGAAGAATTTTATTAAAGTTATAATTGTACTCTTGGAGAAAAATAATTAGGAACAATAATTTAACAATAAACATAGGATAAATATCATAAATTTTAATAAATGTTTATTAACTTAATTGTATTAGATTATGATCTTTACAATGTATGTTGTCCATTATTAACTTAATTAACAAATGATTTAAAATTGTCTTTAGTTAGAATAGTTGGTAATTATTTTAATATTTCAACTTAAATGGAATATCAAGATATTTAGTAGAAACTTAAAAATTTTGGTGTTTTAATTACTTCAAATTTTTCTAAACATATATTATAAATATGTGAAGTTGATTAGACAACAAAAAAATTAAAACTAAAAGTAGAATATAAAATATTCTATGAGCCTAGTTTATTATAAAATTAATCATAATTATATGCTTAAATACAAGAAAGATTGTTTGAGAAAAAAAAATCAGACAGTGAAATATTACTAGGAAATGGGATCACATGGGATATTGAATAATTTTCAAACAAAAATTATAGAGTCTTAATGCATTAATTATTAAAGATGTATTGCCATTTTGAGTTATTTTTGAAAAATCTGGTTTATTTAATGGAAAATAGAAATTTAATATAATAGTTATGCTATCTTATTTATGCTTAAATTGCTTATTTGAATTAATTTGATTAATAATTATTTAAATAATATTTTGAAATAGTAATAATTTAATTAGAAGAAATATAATAATAAAATATTTTGGGTGAATAGTAGAATCAATAAAAAATCAAAGTTCTTATATAATCAATTAATGAATTAAATCAAAAATAAATAATGAACAATGAGTAAAAAACTATAAAATAGAAATTGTAAATTCAAAAAGAATAATATAAGGCTAAATTTAATAAAATATAGTCATCAAATTTAATATAAGAGATGCTTGATATAAAAGAACAAAATGAAATTTTAATAAAAGAAGAAGATCAATGTTTTACATGTAAACTAGATTTTACAAATTCAAATAGTGTGGGAATGATGAATATTTATTTGAAATCTTCAAAATAATTATTTGATTAACCAGATGATATGCTTAAAGAAGAAATAAAATTTGATTTAGATTTGGGAATATAAACTTGTAAACACTACTTTCATGATTAATGCTTATCTTAAACCTTTAACAGCTATTAAATGATAGATGATATTTATGGGTATGGGTTTAATTAACGTTCATTTGATTGCCCAATATGTAAATTTTCTACAAATTGTAGATTTCCGATTTAACAAATAGACAATCAAAAAGTTAAAAGTTTAAATATTTATTTAAGTATAATTTACTATAAATTAAAAAATAATCCTTTTTTAAATTAGGAAATTACTATAGTTAAAATTTACATAAATCTATTTTATGATTTACTGATCTCATTATTTATTAATCCTTAAAATTATAAAAAGACTCAAAAAAATATATTATTTAACCAATTACTATAGTGCTTTTATTAAACGATTTTAGATATGGATTAAAATAATAAAGAAGAATTACCATAAATAAAGAATATGAAAAATAAAAATAATTTCTTAATGAATATGTTGAGCTCTATTTGTGAAATTTACATGAAATAATGTAGTTTGAATTAATTAAGATTATCTATAACTTAATTAATTGGTTAATATGGATAATTAAGTCAGGATGAAATCTCACTTTTAATTAGTTCTTTTGGCATAGAAGAAAAAATGATGATATTAATAATTAATAAAACGGAAAAATAATGTATACATGACAAATTATTAGAATATTATTAAACTTTTTAGACTAAAACCATATAATTTGTTTAAAATAATTTGGGATAAACATTTCTATAATTTCATAGTAAATATTTTTCTAACAAATGCAGGATTTGCAAATTTTATAATCTAAAAAAAAGTAAAAACTCAGGTATTTCTGTCTGTTTACTATGCTAAGATTTATTTTGCAATGAGTCTTGCTCCTAATATTATTAATAAAACTTACATTATCATGTAAAAATGAAGCATCATGAAAATTCTATATTTGTGAGCCTTTAAGATGGTTCAGTAACATTAATTAATTCATATACTTCAATTAAAAAATTTAAATATTTGTATTATAATAATTTAGGTGAAAAAATAAATATAGAGGATCCTAATTCAGACTGGAATGAATATATACTTGATATCACTAAAGCTAAAGAATTAGCTGACATCATAGTAAATAATACATATAGTAAATTAATTAAGAGTTAAAACAAGAAAAGTATTTTTGATTTGAATATTTTTTGAGACTTGTATATTTTCTTATATAGTAATTTAATCAGTTAAACAATTATTATTATAAATTTAATTTCAGTCATTAACTATTTTCTGTTTAGAAGCTTTAGTTTCTACAAATGTTATATATTAAGTGACTAGTTCATGTACTTATTCTGATGTTTATTCTTATTAAGCACGCTTCACTATCTTTTTATAAACTAATGTTGCTACTAATAAAAATATAAGTAGAACACCCAATAGGATGATTAGTAATTATAAGAAGGAATTAGATTATTAAGAGAGATCCTAAATGTTTGAATAAGTTGATTAATTGTTACATATTTCAGGGGGATTTAAGAAACCTTATAAGATCAAATATTACCTTAACAAATATTGATAAATATATTTTTAGCTGTAACATTTTTAACAACAAAATGATTGTTCAACATTACAGGTGGAAAATTGGTATGAGGGAATTCAGAAAGTATTTCTAATTATTCTTCCAATAAACTATTGTAAGCATTTAAATTAGATTTTGATTTAGATTTTAATTTTTTGAAAGAATTATCATAACAATTTTCTACTTTAGATATTGGATAATTTAATCGAATAAGTAATTCTGAGAAACAATATTCATACATATAAGCAATTTTACATTAATCTTTAAATAAATCCTAAAATATATACAATTTATTACTAAATAATTAAAAAATACCTCAATATTTAATTTCTATAAACAAAGTTATCTTATTATTTCTTCAATAACATCTTATCCTGTTCCATAATCATCTCCATCAGGATCATAAGTACAATATCTCCCTTAAGAAATACAATTTAAGGATTCAATAATAGTATTTTCATCATCTTACATTTTTAAACTGTATATAGGATATAAAAATTGATAGTTCACTTCTTGTATATCGAATAATTATTGATAAGGTTTATATTCACTTATAATTTTAAGTGTGTTATTGTTTAATAAATCAATAGAGAATAAAACATTAACATTCTTTTATTTTATTACATCAAATTTCATAAGTAATTTAATAGTGTTTTCTGAATTACCAGCATAATTAGTAAATATGTCTTTAAATTCATTAGTCCATTTGCTACCTATAATGATGGAAGGTATATTAATAGAAGATCCTGATCCATCATTAAGCATAGAAAAAGTATTATCAATGTCTTCATTAATATTATCTCCGATTATAACTAATTTATATCCAGCATTTTGAGCATTCCTCACTTTAGTAACAAAAGTACATTCTCCTCTTTCAATAAAGATGAATTCATGTTCTTTGGAAGGTAAAATGGAATCACATCCAAGAATGGGATATGTTGGTATAAGTGTACCAATCATCCTATAACCCCATGGCATATCACTATTTATTAATTAAATAATACCCAAAATGAGCTAGGCCATATTTAATTTCTGATCCCAATTTATCAATAAGGCTTTCAGGTTGAATCAATGTTAGCTTTTCAAGACTTTATGCAAATAAAATAAAAAGTATAAGCATTTAAATTAATGACTATCAGAATTTACAAAAATAACTATAATAATATATTAGTAATGACTCTTAATGCATTTTTTAGATGCTTTCCTCTTAATATTTAAGATCATAAAAGTATACAATTTAAAAATATAATTCACATAACATCAAATAATATTAAGAATAAAAGCAATTTCATGATTTAAAAATTTCAACCCTAACCTCATTGAGTAAGTTAGATTTTTCTTATACAAGATATTCATCATAAATTGATTAATAGTTTAACTGATAAATAAAGAAAATATTGATTAAAATAAATGAAACTATATTCAATTTCATTTACATATTAAATAAATTGATTTAACACAACCACAATAACATGAGAATGAATAAGGACTTTAATAAATTTAAGAAGATAGTATAAGAAGAATTTTAACTTTAGAAAATTGATCATAAATGCTAAAAAATGATATTATAATAGTATTCAATCAATATAGTGAGGTAGGAATAAGTAATAATTAAATTTTAACAATATGGTATTAGATTAACACTTGCTTATAGAAATAATATTAAATTACCAGTTATGGTATTAATGTACAAGATTGAAAAAGGAATATAATCTATAATTTAGTATATATTACTTAAAGATGCAAAATCAGCAGCATAACAAGATAGTTAATTATTTATGAATCTAAATTTATGATATAACATAGAATGATAAAAGTAAATTATTATCAATTCAATTTTTAGAAAGATCATGTAAAAAAGCCTCTGTTTGTAACTTGCCATTTGATATTGAAGAAGAAGGAGCCAGAAAAACATTCGAGTACTTTTAGATTTTAGAGTAATTAATGATCCATAAACAAATTTTGGAAAAGGATATGAGTATTTCAAGGAATTTTAATATTTAAAGTAAACTCTTTAGACATAAATGATAGATATAAAAGGTAGGGAAGTAAGAACTAAATAAGCTGCTAAAATAACTAAAACAGAAGTAAAGTTATTGAATAATTCTAAAAATGCTATTAAGAGTATTAAAAAAAAATAATAAATTCCAATAAAAGGTAAAAGAATAAGAAATAACCATAAAAACAAGTAATAAACATAAAAAAAATAAGAAAATATATTAATAAATAATAAAAGGAAAAAAAAAATAGTATATTATGAATTTATTGAATTAGTACAATCAAAAGGAAATTATAGAGTAAATTAACATTATGAGAACATAAAGTAAAATATGAGTTAATGATAATACCATTTTCAACCAGTATTGAGTTTTAATAGTATAAAAAATTATAATAAATTCAAATGCTTACATGTTTAATTCTTTACTAATAATTTGAGTATGATATAAATGAAGCTCATATTTTGAATATAAATATTCTAAATTTAATCTTTTTAGAAAAGAATGAATAAAATAACACATATATAAATGTTATTTAATAATAAGAAGGTAATATTGATTAACAATTTTATTTCGGAAGGTATATTTTAATCTTACAATAATTAATTCAATGATCGATATTATTTTATTCATTTTTGAACCATATCGTTTGTTAGAATTAAAGTATGAATTTATGAATAAATTTGATTTATAAATCCTAATATTTGTCTAAAATAAATTATTTAAACAAGATAATGGGATGCTCTATCCAAAAAAAGGAATCAAATTAATCTTAGTTAAAGATGTCCAAAGAAAAGTCTTTATCAAAATTGTTATCAAATGATGATCAATCTAAACAATAGATTACAAACTCACCTCCAACTTGTTCAAAACCTCCTTCTCCTCAATCAGATTCTAAATCTTTAACCTAATAATAGTAAATAAAGATCTAAGAAGTTATTTTTAACAAAAAAAGAAACTAAAAATTAACAACCCTGTTGAAATGTGAAGAACAATACAAATTTTAAAAAACTTTGATTGGATTAATCAAAAGTTGATATAATTTGATTTGTGACCTTGATCTTTTATATTCTAGATATATGATAAAACTTATTTATTTAATTCCTTGTATATAAATTTCAGTCATAATTAACTTATTTATATACGATAAATTCAATAAAATTCATTAATTTTATATCAAATGTAAAAATTTTTAAGTTTCAAATTTGCATTTAAATTCTGCTTTATATACAGAAATATTTGCTAAAAATTTATTATTTAAATAATGGGAAACTCTTCAGTTAGAACATCAAATGCTTATCCTTAAATAATTTACATGAATCCATTGAATAACTAATTAAGTTTTGAAAACCAAAACTACTTAGATAACACAAATAATTAAAGTATGGTGACTGCAGATTTTGATTCACCAAAACCAAATAATTCACATTAAAACATTACTAAAGTATATGTTAGAAGAAACTTCAGAAGAAAAGCTATTATTGTCTCTCATTCATCAAAAAGTATTGATGAAACGGAAATTTAAAATGAAAATTGAATAATCAAGGATGATATGATATTAAATTATACTATGTTTGCTGTTATATATAATAATTTCTTAAAATAAATGATTTTTAGATCAATTTTTTATAGATTAAAAGAATCTTTTAATAATTATATTCATTAGATTTCTTAAAAGTCATTAAATAACTTTATTAATATAATTTGGTTATTTATAATATGTTTAAGTATATATAGTTATTATGTAAGTAAATATTACTGAATCTAGAGTTATCTATAAATTTCCATTAATTTTCTATAAAATTTTGAATACATAATTTAAAAGAATATTTTTCTTAATTTTCTGATATTTGTAAATCATACCTTTAAATTTATAATAAGAATTATTATAAATGGTTACTAAAGAGATATACTTAAAATTATGTAGATTTTATGATGTGTCAATGATTTATTGATAAAATATAAGTTAAGTTTTATTTATAAATTTAAATTTCATTAGTTAAACTAAATTTTTTATCCTTAATAATTATTTGGAGACTACATTGTATTATGAGGAGACTAGTTATGTTAAAAAACAGGTTTAATTGATTCTCTTTAATTTTAAAATTCATCTTATTCATTTATATCAGCTAACACATTGTTATTTTTATTTCTTCTTGATGATGAATTATCAGATATTATTGATTATCTTATTGCTTATTTATCATTAGGAGTAAAGGATTATCTAGGTAATACTCTATTTTATGTTTATTTCTAATCAGTCTTAAATAAATATTGTTATTCATCATGCTTAATTTCTAATTCATGTTCATACTCTAATAGATTAATAAATATATATACATTTTTACAATAAATTCTTTTTCTTAACATTAGCTCCTCTATAAACAATAATAAAACAAGCAAAAACTTCTAAAATCAAACTAACTACAAAAATCCAAAAGATTGCAATTTAATTTGATCTAAATTTATCAATCTCATCTAATGTATCACTCATTATATATAAAAAATCATTTTCTAAACAACGACTTCTTACAATTCTATTAATGGTATCATGAAATTGAGCTTCATAAAAATACAACAAACATATGATAGTACCATAAGACAAAAAGGAAGCAATTCTAATAGCATAAATTATTCTTCTTATTATTTTAACTTGTTTCTGATTCATTATTGGCAGAACTAGTATAAAAGTAAAATCAGACAGCATAAAAAAGTGTAGTAAATTAAGGATTATACCAATAAATATACAATATACTAAAGTAAAAAGTGTTTGAATATACAATATATAACCCAATTCCTTATAGTAATCAGGACTTTCTAAAACTCTTTCTATTAGAGTGTATCTGCAATCCATATTGAATTCAATATATCTTTCAGCATATAATCCAATAGTATCATTGATAGTAATATTATTAATATTAGTAATTGTATTTAAATCAAGTACTTCTGATGCATTCATTTTTGTAATTTCCTTGTAGTTTAATAAGGATTCTGAACATTCTTGAAATTCATTTAAATCTTTACAAACCTAACCATTAAATCCAAATCTTAAATTAGTTATAGGTTATCTAGATTAAACAGAAGATAAAACCATTATAGTTTTATTTACAGAACCTTTTCTTAATTGTAATTTTGTTTCATAAAAATAATTGGTAAAGTTTTATAGATTAACACTTTGATTTTTAAGATAACCATTAGTAAAGTTCTATTAAATTAAGATATCATTAAAAGGACATTAGAAAGTAGAGGTAATTTAATTTAAGTTTATACAATATTTGGAATTCAGTTCAACACCTCCACATAATTGATATTACTAATCACAATCAGATTCGAGTGTATAATTGTTAACAAAAGTGAAGGAATCTAGTTTTTCAATAGTCAAAGCTAAATTTTCATTGTCAATTCTATAAGTTTGAATTTTTTGATTTTAAAATGATGCAGAAACTTTATTTATATCATTTTCTTCTGCAATTCTAAGAGATTTGATAGGACTTTGTTCCCAATTGTAAATTAATAATTAAAAGTCTGTTGGAAGTGTGGAATTAAAATTGATATATTATGAATAGGATAGCAATACAATTGCTAATGAATAAGTAAAGACTGATATCAAATATAGGATAACAATATTTTGTTGTATTTTTTAATCGCTATGATATCTCTCTTTTATTATTTAATAAGATAATTACCTTCATATGTTAAATTATTTTTATTTCCTAGCATGAATAGAAGAATAATAATTTAATATAAATGAAATATAGGAATTATAAAATCTTATAGAGAAATCTAATGTTTAATGAATTGTATAAAATTTGAATAGTTTGATAATGAATGAGTATTAAAATAAAATATATTGTTATTTTTTAAGTAAATTTAAATAATGAGAAGATATTAATTAAGAGTTGTACAAAAATAATGAAAAATAATAATGTAATATGTTTTATTTTATTGATATTCATTGATGAACTGCTTTTAACAACCTATTTAAGAATGTATTATTTTCAGGTCTGTCTCTGAATAATGATTAAATCTTAGGTTTAGGTTATAAATCTTAAGCCAATTATTTCTCTAAAGGAGTTTAGACTCCTCTAATTGCTGGAGATGTCCAATTATTTGATTATCTTGCTAACATCCAAAGAACAGTGTTGTAATCATTAATGAAATAGTAAGTAGGCATTTATGTATAATCTTATGGACCAAGTACAGTTTATGTCACATGTAATCTATATCTTTATTCTTTTGTCCATGTCCATTTTGATTCTTTGACAACAATAGCTAAAATAATATAAATTTAATTGATATTACATTCAGAGAGTCTTAATAAAAGATTTGGAACCAAAACTTTGAAATTATTGACACCAAGCTCATCCCAAGTTGCTGCCCACACATCACCATTATCGTATTCACCAGCAGTAAATGTTGCATTTTGCTGTTATAGTTAATAAGTCTTACGAATTTCTATTTAACATGAGATTCCACCAATTAAGCAATTTATGGTACATACTATTGGGAATCGATCATTACAGGATAATCATTCACATATGGATAATCTCCTAATCTAAATAGATCATCATATTCTAGAAAACTTAATTGAAAATAATACAATTTTAGAGTCCTTTATTCATGTAGATGTGTTTTGCTGGATCTAATCCTTCAAAAGGTGCCCCAAATAAATTGTATTAATAGACTGATCTGAAGCACATTGAGTTGATTTTACCCAAACTAACCAACTTTGTGAGCATTTTTGTTATTTTTATTATAATATTTACAAATCAATGATTTTATATATATATATATATATATATATTAAAACGATCCTATTTTAATCTTATGCAAAATTGTCATATTCTTAATATATTTAATCTTTATCAGAATTCTGAAATTCTGTAAACTCATTTGAATAACTTTATGTTGTGAAATCTGAAACATGTTCAGTTATTAAATATGAATGAATAGAGTTATTTATAATATTTATTCCATTATTTAAAACATATGCAAATTACTCAAACTTAATTATTAGAATGGGTAAAAGATGGAAATAAAGCTACTTTGAAAAAACATTTCGAAGACCAGTTATTGTTTTCATAATAAAAATTGCAGGCATTTTTTTCTATGGTTGATGATTAAAACAGAAATGTCGTACATTGGGCTGCTTATTTAGGATAATATAAATTGTTAAAGTGGTGGTGTAAGAAATACAAATTGATGATTGACTTAAATAAAGGGGATATGCATTCTTACACTCCCTTAGAATTAGCAAGCATCAAAGGGTATCCTATATTACAAATTATTCTAAAGGTATTCTGGTGAATATAATCCAGAGAAATAAGAAAAGACAATATAGTTGTTACTTGATCATGGTGCTCAAATTCCATAATCAAATACATCTAAGCCAAATCCTTTACATTGGGCTTTTTATTATGGAAACAAAGAATTAGTAGATTTTCTAATCTCAAAAAATTTTTAACTTTAATTAGAAACAGATCAATAAGGCAATTATCCTATAGATTATTTGTTTTTAGAGAATAGACCTGATTAATATAAGTATAAATAACTATATTAATTAATAGAAAAGAAGTTCGTGAAATATTTGAGAATACAATTATTAATTATGCTTAAGTAACAACAAAATAAACATTGAATAGAAAACCAAAGAGAAAGAAACATAGATAAGCTACAATAATAACTAGTTAATAACCATTTATTTAAACCTAAATAAAAGAGGATGAATCAACTCCAGAATCTGAACCTTCTAAAAATGGAATACCATATTCTAATATATCTAATTATCATAGAAGTTAAACTTCAAACTCATTCATCTCCAAAAATACTATGCCTAAAAGTAATCAAAAACAGACTCCTAGTTAATAAATATTAATTAAATTTCAATAAAGAAGTTGTTGTCAAAAAATATAATCTAAAAATATTGATGAAATTGCTGATATTCCTTTATATGATGATTCTCGAATTGAAATGAAAGAACCAGAAGAAGAAAAAATACCAGAAATTAAAATATTCAATTAAAACTAAAAAAATACAGAGACCAATTAAGAAAATTAATTTTAAGCTGATTAATGTAATATCATTATATCTTAACCTCCTCCTTTGTTATTAAATTAGGAATCTACTTCACCTTAAAAAAATTTACATCCAAAAAAACATTAGAAAAGTAATAAATTTAATGTTAATGATTTGGAGAAATAAGCTTTGAAAGAAAAGGAAAAGTTTACAATATATCATAGTAAAGCAAATCTAACTAAAAATGAAATTTATGAATGTAGATTATAGTATTGGTCTGCCAGTCAGGGAAATACTGAATTTTTTATTTATTTCTTAAAAAGGAGATGCAATCCTTTTCTCAATGTCTATTAAGGTTTCAATTGTCTTCATGTTGCAGCCTTTAAAGGAAAACTTAAAATATTAAAAATTATTTTAGAAAATGATTATGAATATTATGATTATTCTGGAGATGGTAATCATAAAAATAAAAAATAATTAAAAGATTAAATTTTTGATAAGGTATATATTATTAATAATACAATTTAGAAATAATGTATAAACATATTAACAGATTAAAATCCATCAAATGCTTTACATTTGGCTATTGAATAAGAAAAGTATGGTTGTATGAAAACCTTAATCTTACATGGAGTATCAGTTGACACTGTGAACAGTAGATGTCTTAAACCATTTGAATTAACTTTCAATCAAAATTTTATGAAGTTTTATAAAGACAATATTCAAGTCAAATAATAAATAAGTAGTTTAACTGAATTGGGATATTAGTATGTAATTCAAACAAAGGGTACTTTGAGTGTAGATAAAGATATTGTTTATTTACAATTATAAAATATAAGACAGACTTTTACAGAGAGAGGATGGAGTTTCGAATTTCTTATATTTCATGCTCCTGATCTTGATAAATTAGAATTGTATGATGATAATACAAAGACAAATAAAGTAAAATCAGTATTTCATTATTATGTCTTAAAATTGCCACCTGATTCTATTTATTAATTGGCACATCTATATTAGATATCATGTTATAATTTTAAAACAAAAGTAAGTTACATCTTTTATTGTAGCATATATGTTAATTTCATTATGATAAGAGAGGCTTTTTTGAATTTCCAAAAGATCTTCAGGTATAAATGTTAATATTAAATACTCTTAATGATGAATTTGATGTTGATAAATTTGTCTTAGAGAAATTAATAATCTCACATTATCCTTTAGAAGATATTCAAAAGTGTGAAAAGATTACCTAATTTTGGGATGAATAATAAAATAATTGTATTAGGGATTCGATTCGATATGAAACATAATAAATTGCTTTAAGACCATTACATGCTATTGCCTCATATTTTGGTCCAGTTGTTGCATGGTACATAGCCTTAAATGTACAAATTATAGGTTGGCTCATGATACCATCAGTCTTTGGAGCGGCTTTGGGAATCTACATTATAATAACAAAGGAAGTAAAGTATGAATAATAAAGAAATATATTAGTTCTTCAATTGTTCCTTTTTATGCATTACTAATGACATTATGGTCTACATTATTTATGGAGAAATGGAAAAACCGAGAATCTGAATTGAAATTTTGTTGGGATATGCATAAATTTAGATAAACTCAACCTTAAAGAGTTATGTATACAGGTTAGTATATTATAAATGAGGCTACTAATAAGATATAGATATATGATTATTTTACTACTTTTAAGAGAAGATTAATAGCTGAAGGACCTGTAATTTTGATTGGAATAGCAATTATTGTTTTAAGTTTTTATGCATTTAATCTTTGGTTATAAGTATGGAAAGGCAATACAATAATGCCAATAGTAATAAATTCTTTAAATGGAGTATCAATGACAGTGTTTTGTGATTTATACAAAAGATTGTGTACATCTTTAGTAACATGGGAAAATCATATGTATGAGTCTGAACAAGAGTACTCATATATATTAAAAGTATTCTTATTTGAATTTTTAATATCTTATGTATCAGTTGTTTATGTAGCTATATTTGAGAATGATGCATCATAATTGAGTGTATCAGTAGCAAGTATAATTATAACAAGAGGAGTGATTTCTAATGTAAAGAGTAATTTTTTGCCATATTTTTTATTTAAATAAGAAAAGAGAATTTTATCAGAGAAGTTTTCATAATTTAAGAGAATATTTACAACGAAATTGGCAGAAAAGAAGTAAGTACCTAATATATGTAATTAAAAATTCAGTACTGATCAAGTGAATTCAGAAATATAATTGTCATTTCTTTAAGAATTAGAAATTGGTCGAATTAAATAACCATAAAAAGTTTTATATGATGAATACACAAGTATTGCAATATAATTTGGATATACAACTATGTTTGCACCTACTTTTCCAGCTGCTCCATTATTTTTTATGATCAATTGTTACATAAATTTAAGATGGTCAATCTATAATTATCAACATATATTAAAGAGAGAAAGAGCCTAAGCTGCAGATTCAATTGGAATTTGGTTGTAAATTTTTGAAATAATGAATTATTGTGCTACATTTATGAATTGTATAGTTATTGGAACTGTGAATAAGGAATAATTCAAAGGAATCATAGGAAATCAAGATGCTCTTGTTAGTGCATTCTTCCTTGCTGCAATAGAACATGTCTTATTACTTATTAAATATATACTTGATGTTTCAATTCCTGACTGTCCTTATTGGGTAGAGAAGGAACTTAGAAGATATGCATACTTAGAAGAAAAATACTTGAAAAATAACAATTGATGCTTAATTTATTTATTTTATATTAATAACAATATAATAATATTCTTCTTATGAGTGAATAAGAATAGATTTATGAGGAACTTTGTATATCTATAGTGGAATCATAATAGATAACTAAAAGTATCATAAAATAAATAGTGCAATAAAGTTCATCAATAATCATCAACAAACACATAAACTCTATCATGCCTTAATTAGGATATAATTGGTTCAGAGAATAAGTTATTGTATTGATGGATGAGTATAATATGAGAAATGATGATTTTGAAGAAAATGTTATTGAAGACTCTGAACCACTTGCTGTCAATATAGAACATTGGAGAAGATGTCAAGGTCAAGTTAAATAAGGTATATCTAAAGAAATATCTAATTCTCCTGTGATGAAGAGAAGAGATACAAAAAGAATGTCTAAATTAATGACAATAAAGACATAGGGACAAAGTGAATGTTATGATTCCTAACTTATTAAAATGGGTGAAGAGGAAGAAGAATAAGAATTAGATCCAAATATTGAAAATATTAGATAGGCAAAACTAAGACAAATCTCAAATCAATAATAAAAAGAATAGAATGATAAAATTAAAATACTTGAAGTATAAGAATAAGTGAAATAATTGAAAAGATTAAATGTGGATTCCAAATCTAAATATACTTTTGATTTTGAAGGCAAAGTTGTTGTCTAAAAACCACCAGATATTGATAAATATCCAAAATCATTCTAAAATATCAGTGAAAAACGAATTTTAGTGGAAGTTAGAGATCTTATTCCAAATCATAAAATGCAATCAGAACTTATACAATTAACTAGTAAGAATAATTAAAATATTGGATAAAATAATTAATTTGCAATTAAAACATCAGTTTCATAAATTGAATTAATGATCATGAAAGAAGGTGTTACATTTTATGATGGTAAACAAGAAAAGAAGAAAGACAGACAATTTCCATTAATGGATATAAAAGATCCATTTTAATTATAATAAACATTGTAAAAATAAAATGTATAAATGTCTAAAATAGAATATCAATAAATTACAAACACTCCATAAAATAATAATACATTTTAAAATAAAACAATGAGTATTTCAAATTCTTAATAATAATAATAATTAAACTAATTTACTAATAGATCTTAATAATAAAATGATAATCTATTAAATATAAATGATAGTCTCTTAAGTTAAAGAGTACCTAAAATTATAACTACAATGAATCATTCTATTTCATCTTCAATTTTATAGAAATTGAATGGTTCTATCTCTATTTTAAGTGAATAATAACTTGACGAATTACTTATTCCTTAAACTGAAGTAAATAGAGATTAAAAAGATCATCCTTTATTTCTTAAGAGAAAAAAAACTGAAGTAGAAGTTAAAACTTCAAAATCTGTTCCTACTTTTGAACTTCCATAGATACCTCCAACCATTTTATCAAATACATTAAGTAAATTGCCTAAATCATTTCAAAGTTAAGGAACATTTCCTAAATTAATTCCTAAATTTCCTAGATAGAGAATTTCTAAATAAGCTATACAATTAAAAATTGAAATATGATATAATATTTATATAATTAATATGATTATATAATAAAATGAAGAACAGGATATTTTTTAAAGATAGGAATCAAATGATACTGATTAAAAACTTAAAAGTTCTTATGTGTCAAATGAATTTAATGAAGTTGGAAATAATAGTCCATAAAATTCAGTTGATATAAAATAAATACAAGCACCATAAATTAATTAAATGCCTAAAGTAATGGTTAATGCAAGCAGTTATTAATCAATACCTATGAGTTCATAATTTAGATATTAAGATGATTAACAATCTTAAAAAATGAAAACAGGACCTAGTGATTAATCTAAAATAACACCAGGTTATACTAAATACATGATTGAAGAATCAAATTAATAATATGATTATGTAAGAGGTATGTTCACAGAAGATGAAATTAAAGAAGCATTTAATTTCTTAGATATGAATAAAGATGGAGGAATAACATCTGAAGATTTATCATTTTTCTTGGATTTTATTGGAGAAAAAGCTACTTCTGAAGAAATAGAAGAAATGATAAGAATGTGTGATAAAGATGGAAGTGGAGAAGTAAAATTTGAAGATTTTAAAAATCTAGCTGGTGGTTGGTCATTACCAACTTTAGGTTAGGCTCATCCACCTACAAAAGAATTAGTTGAAAAGCGTACTTAAATCAATTAGACTATGATGGAAAAAGAGGTTTAAGAAGTAGCTAGAAAAGGTAAAATAACTCCTTAAATGGTTGAATAAATAAGAAAGAATGAATTGACAAGTCCAAGATTTGGTTAGGATGAATAATCAAAACTTATGTTCTAATCAATAAATAATATAGCATCTTAAAAGAAATAGAGATAAGTTATAGGATAGAATTTAAAAGTAATTCGATCTGATGAGGGTTAAATAACTTAATAGACTAAATAAAAGTCATCTTTAAGTTAGAGGGAAATTATGCTTTAAAGAAAAAATAATGCAATAAGATTTGTAAGAGAGAAGAAGATTGATTAAGCTTATATTTTAGATATATTTGAAAAAATAAATAAGTTAGATATAATGGAATCATGTACATATGAAGATTTCATTCATTATTTAGACATTTTAGATAGTAAAAATAAAACAATATTAAAGATCATCAATCAAAATTATTATTTAATTCAATGAATGATAATCCAGTGAGAGAAGAATATGTGAAGAGTTCCGATAATGTAATTGTTGATTAGATTGTAAATTTAAAAAATACTCTTCTTACTTTATTAGGATAAACAAATTGTAGAAAACATGATAAACTTGAAATAGCATATTTATTATAAGATTCTAATCAATAAGGATATATTTTCTTAGATGATTTAATATCTTTATTAGTCAATTTGTATTGTATTTCAGAAGTAGCAATAATTGAATAAAAAATATTAAAAATGACAGCTAAGAAGGGATTAAAGAATAGAAAGGATACAATTAAAAAAGATATATATATTAGTATGTTAAATGAATATGGATAAGTATTTGAACCTATTTGAAAGATTAATTATAATATATATTAATATGTTTGCTATTAAAATATTAATTTAAATCAAGCAATATTGATGTCATCAATTAAAGAGAAAAATATTTGTATTCATTATCATAAAGTCCTGCTTTAAAGATCATTGCCTAAATTTTTTTAAGAAATTCAAAAGCTATAAGTAGTATATAATAAATTATTCAGGTACTTTACTAAAAAAACAATTTAAAATGTGAATAGTGTTAATATAAAATGGATGTAGGAAATATCTGTTTAAGATGTTAAGCAGTAATTTGTGATATAGAAAAATAGTGTCTCCATCATCATAATTAATGTATATGAAATTAATATAATAAAACATAGAAAAGAGTGATCATTGTATTTTTATTAATCTACTTTCTACATAAATGACATGTATAATTTGTAAATTAGAGATCTTGGATTTTGAATAATATGGATTAACTGGAAATGAAGATGTTTTTAGTTAATGGATTAATCCATAAAGAATTAGAATTGAATATCTAAGATACTTTTAAAAGCAAGAATTAAGTATATAGAGATTTAATTCTCCTAATGTTGGCATCTTAAATATAGCTAATTTTAGTTTTATGAATTGTGTTTTATAAATTCTACTCAATTTTCCTACTATTTAATAAATTCTCTCAAAAGTACATGTTGAAATGGAGAAAGGAGACTTCAATATTAAATCTATTAAAAAAATAATACTAAGAAACATTTGTTGTATGAGTGATGCTCTAAAATCAAAATAAGTTAAATTACTTAATCCTACAGAACTTATAAAAAGTATTGCATAATCTGAAAGTAAGTTATTGGGATATGGTTAAAAAGATGCTTATGTAATAATTTATAATTAATACTTTAGGAAGCATTTAAATATATAATTAATTTTTTACATGAAGAATTTAGATTTACTAATAGTGTTTCTTATTGGAAAAATATTATACCATTTTAAAATCAAGAAGCTATTACACATGATTGGTTATTATTGTAATATTATTAATTATATAGAGAATAGAAGTTAACCATCAAAATTTAGGGATTATTCATTCATCTAAAATGTATTTTCAGGAGAACTTTAATCAACAATATAATGTCTTAATTGTAATAGACTTACTTTAGTAAATGAAAATTATTCAGCTATATCACTTGAAATACCATAAAATAATGAATAAAATGTAATCTCTAAATTCTTTAATAAATTAACAAAAGATAAACAAAATTCTGTTACATTATAAAATTGTTTAGATTTGTTTTATGAGCCCATTTAAGAAACTAATTTTCTTTGTTTATGTGGATCTCGAAATGGTAGAAGAACATATAAATTTAGTAAATTTTCAAATATACTTGCTATTCACATATAAAGATTCAAAAATAAACATTAAAAAGATTAAACTTATGTCTCATTTCCAGTTGAATAAACTAACTTTTCCAATTTATTAAATGTATTAATATTATAATATTTAAGATGTAAGGAGATTTGAATTATTAACTTTTTGGATTAATTGTACACTATAGTAATGTAGGTGGTGATCATTATGAATCAATAATTAGACAACCTAATAATACATTTATTTCAATTAGAGATGATTAAATCAATCCAGTAACTTTAAAATATGTAAAAGAAAGTGAAGCTATTATGTTATTTTATCAAAAAGTAGATTCACCTACTAATTACAAAACTATACATAATGTATTAACTTAATATGAATTAATTTAAACTGGAGAAATAGTATTAAAAGATGATGAACTTAGTTTTTTACCTAATTTTTGGTTTGAATAATTTTTAACATTAAGTAATCCATAAATGATTATAACATCACATTTATTGTGTTTTCATAATTAATTGAAACCTGATTATTGGGATTTTAGATAATCCTATGAAAATGTAAATTCATAAGAATAAATGAATGCAAGTTTCTTATGTGATCAAAGTATTAATTTGTAGTAAAATAATAATAATAATAATAATTCCTCTTCTTATTTTTAATTATAACTTTAATCTGTATAATTACCAACTGCTATATGTTAATTTTTAGTTGAAAAATATGGTGGTGGTCCATTAATTTAAAAGAATATTTAAACTTGTACCATTTGTATTGAATAAGCTCAAAATATGAGTAAGAGAAGAAAATTGGAGAGAACTTTAATTTAAAAATATGAAGATTGTTAATCAGATAGATAATTTATCATTAATCTAGATTGGATTATAATGTGGTAAAGATATCTCTACAATTCAAAATAATAATTACAAAAGAATTTCATATTTGGTAATCCTCCTCCAGGAGAAATTAATAATCTGCCTCTATTGGATAGTAATCATCAACTTCTTTAAGATAAATAGGTTGATAAGGATTATAGTCTTATAAGTCATTAATTATGGACTGTTTTAGTTTCAATTTATGGTGGAGGTAAGTTATATTTATAATATATTTTAGGGCCCATTATTCAAGTGAGTTCATCATCTAATGAATAAGACAATCCTAAATTAAAGTAAAAATAGATTTAATATATAATAGAACATTCAATTTAGATCCTGAAGACAATATTAAAATTAAAGAAATTAGGACTATTTTGAATTAATGCTTCAAAATGTATAATATATGTGAAAATATAGATTGTATATGAATCTAATAATAATAATAATTATTAATAATATATTGTAGATCATCATATAAATTAAGAATGTAAAAACTCAAATATCTTTAATTAAGTAATTATTTTTCATTTAATTTATTTATTTTTTATTACTTCTTCAATAAATAGTAGATATATAAGTATTACAAAATATAAGTACAAAAAGCTAAGAATAAATTACAGCTTATGGTAATATTTAATTGCATATCGACTTATTGAATTCTATACTGAAATAATAAGGTTTTGAAAATTTATCTCATTTTTTTTTTAATTTAATTTAATAAATATTTATTAATTAAGAAAAAATTGAAATTCTATTAATAAAAATTTATATTTTTTGCATCCCTTATGAAGTAATAGTCTTAAGATGTATGACGATTAGAATAAGGAAATCAATTATAGTAGATAATAATTACTATAGTTGGTAGAAAATAAAGATTTAAGTAAAATTTCACAAAAGAAAGTTTATTTAAATATGGAATTAATTGAGGGGTAAGGGTTTAATTCTATTACAAAAAGTGTAAAATTCTGTATACTTAATTTAACAATATATATTAGGATTGATTTATTTAGAAGAATCAAAAAGATAATATTAAATTCCTCATAATCTAAATATATTTATTTTTTCTCATATAATTAGTTTAAGGGAATATTTAAATATCTTACAAATTATTATTATCATTATTATTTTATATATTTGATTTCTAAAATCATTTTTCATTTAAGATGAATACTTTTTAATTTGAGGTGTAAACAACAAAAAATCAGTTTGTAACTGTCTCTTGTGATGAAAGGATGATGACATTTAAAAAAAATATAGCAGCATTAGAATCAAAAATTCCTTTTGACAATCTAATAATTGTACATAATGATGAAGAAGTTTATAGTTAAGCTAACGTTAAAAAAAATTATGAAAATTATAATTAATTTAGGGTTTATGATGCAAATCACCTATTTAAAGAATTTAAAGCTTAAGAGCAGGAAATTAATAAATTGAATAATTAAATAAATAAGAAAAATAATGATATAAATGATCTTTAAAAACAAATAAAATTATTGGAAGAGGATAAATAAAATTTGTAATCTTAACAAAGTAAAGATTAGAATGAAGTTTAATAACAACAGGAACTAAAAATCTAAGAATAGAAAACATAATTAACTAATTTATAAAACTAATTAAAATAGGTATAATCTAATGCAGATGAAGAAATAAGCTAATTAAAATTATAGAATCAATAATAGGTGACTGAAATAACAAAATTGAAGTAAAATATTGAAAGCCTAAAAGATAATATTAGACAAATTTAAGATGAAAATAAAAAAAAAGAAGAATAACTCAATGAAGCTCAAAAGACTTAAGAAGAAGCTCAAAAGACCTAAAAAGAAGCACAATCAAAAATTGAATAATATGAAACTCAAATTGCACTCTAATAATAATACTTAACAGAATGGAATAAATAATATCAAATACTTTATTCATAGTGTGGCTCATTGTAATAAGCTTACAATGAATAAGTCGATACAAATTAATTTTTAGATGAATAATTAGAATAAGGTAGATAAGAAATAAGGAAGTTAAGAAATGACTTAAGAGTAGAGAAATAAAATTTGATAACTAAACATGATTTGGAAATTGGACAAAAAGAGTCTTAGATTTCACAATTATAGAATGAATTGAAACAGAAAAATAAAGAATATGTATAATTAGAAAAGGAATATAATGAATTTAAATAACAGCTATAGAATAATTAGTTTAACGGTTGAAAAGAATAAATCATATACAAAAATTATTAAAATAATTATGTATCATTATTTATATATTTTATAATTATTCATTTGATTATGAATAGGATATCAATTGATGATTAACATATATTATAAAATATTTAATTTAAATATTAATATTAATAATCAAAATCAATTTTATAACGAATATGTTAATTCCCCATGTAGAAGTAAATAATCTTTGAATTATTAAATAGAGAAATCCAAATTATTTTGAAGACACTGAAAAGACAATAAAGAAAGAAAAGAATTATAGAAACTTTTAAATTTACTAGAAACCTAAACAAAAAAAAGAATAACCTAAACCTCCTAAAAAATTGAAAACAAGAGAATTATTTGATTTCTTAAATATTTGGGATTGTGAAATAGGAAAAAGACACAATTATCTTACTTAGTTCAATCATTTTTTGATTTAAAAGAGAGAGACAATTGAATTGGAAGAAATTGAAAAAAAAATGAAGAAACCAGATTTTATTAAATTTTTTAAATATCTCAAAGAAAAAGAAGATAAAAGTGATGATGAATTATTTGAACATGATGTAAATTTATAAATTGCATTCACTGCAAAATAACGACGAGATTTAAATGCTTAAGAGAGATTGAAAAAAAAGCATAAATTTCCTTAGGCTAGACCAAAAGATATTTTATTACCTGCTTCATTTAATCCAAATTTTTAAATCCCTACACCTTCACCTGATGACTTTGTAATTGTCACACATTTTTATAATTAATATTTAGAATAACCAAATAAATCTATTCCAAAATCAATTTTATGTTCTTATATGTTGGAAAATCGTAAATTTTGTGATGCTTATAATATCAATAAAAATCTCTTAGAAGATTAATTGAATGAATTTCCCACTTAATTTGAGGAAGAAATAACATTAGAGGAATTTATTAATTTCATACTATATCCAAAAATTCTAATTATAAAAGATAATTATGAATAAAATCTATTAAAATCTGTAAAAGGTAATTAAGAATTTGAAGAATCATAGAAATCATTATTATTAAAAATTTATGATGAATTCAATTTAGATTGTGAAGAAAAAGTAAATCCTATAAAATTAATATCTTCAATTAGAACCAGATATGAAACAAGAATATATTTATTTGATACTTTTATTTCTTTTAGAGATATTAATAAAAATATTCCATTTGAAAAGTGGTTATATGAATTTGAAGTTTATTGTTAAAGATTAGAATTAGAATATATATCTAAATCTTATTTTAAAGAATGGTAAAATTAATTATTTGAGATACCAAATAAATTTATTATTTTATAATCATCTTAAATATCAAAAAAGAGGAAATATGATAAATTATTTGAAAATGAAGAAATATGTTTATAGTCTAATTTTTTTAGTGAATTGGAGAAGATCTTCAATCAAATAAGAAAGAGTAATGAAAGATTTTCTTAAAAGAAATTGGTTGTTGATAATTTAATTGCAAATGAAGAGTTTTCAAGAAAATTCTTTAAAATGAAAGTCAGAAAAGAAAAAACTAATCAATTACCAATAGAAACTGTAGAAGAGACAGTTAATAGATTATAATAAGAGGCTGATGAATATATAGATTTAGATGAACTTATTGATTTTTTTACAGTAAGAGGTCGTCCTTTAATATTAAGTTAAAAATTAAAACAATAATACACAATAAATAAAAAGTAAAAAGAGAATCCTATAGAAAATAATAAATTTGGAGCAATAAATAAAATTGATAATGGATTTTTTTTAATTACTGTACCTGATAGTAGAAAAGAGAATGAAAATTAAGTAAAATCAATTAGGTAAAAGGAAGTTGAAAAGATGTTAATTGATAAAGAAAAAGATTTATTAAAAGAAATAAATACTAAATTTTAAGCTAATCCAGTACCATGGTTTGTTAAAGAACCTCTTTATGATTAATTAAATAGAGAGAGAGAGGAGAGAAGGGAAAGAATAAAAGAGGAAAGTAAAGCTAGATTAATGTAAAGTATGATGGAACCTAAAAGTTTTGAAAAATAAAAAAAAGAGATATAGGTTCCAGAATAAGAAATTGAATTCAAATTTATGTCTCGACCTGTGCCAGATAGTATAAGAGATCCAAGATTTTAAATGATTATGGAAGAGTAGAGATCAAGATCAAAGAGTAATGTAGAAAAGAAAAAAGCATAATGGGCTGATTATTTTGCAAATTCAACTTAATTATAGAAATCTTTAGAGAGAGAAGAAATTAGAAAATCACTTAAAAGAGTACAAAATAAAAAAAAATATAAACCAGAGAGTTTTGAAAAATTTAGAGCAAAAAGTTTACCTAATTTTGAAAGATTACACACAATTTTTGAAAATATTATAGCTTCAAAAAAGAAATCATTTGTTCCAACAATTCCATGTTAAACTAATCTATCAATAACTAATAGAACAGTTGATTGTTCTATGTTAGATTTAGGAAATTAGTCCAATATGAAAGGAAAATAAAAAATTGCTGATATAGATAATAGATTAAATAAGATACTTAAGAGTTCTCGTCCAAATATTATTAAAACAAAATCTACAGCTTCAATAAGCAAATATAGACGTAAGTAAAGATATGAAAAGGAATACAAATAACAATTAATAAATGATGAATTAGAATAATGGAAGGAGGAAAGAAAGTAATTATTGCCAAAAGGAATGAAAATAAATAATCCAGCTGTATATTTATATATATAAATTATTTATAGGCTGAATAATAGAAATTATTAGATAATGAACTTGAAGATTTAGTAAAATGGAAAAAGAAGTACCATAAAAATTTAGATAAAGATTATTAAAATGATTTAAAGAAAATGTAGAAAAGAGTTTAAAAGAGGAGACTCTTAAGATTTTAATCAAATAATTTAGATGATTAAGAGGATTCTAGTTCTTAATCATCAAAATCATCTGATAGAAGTTAACAAGTTCATCATATTGACAAATTTTTATGATTTTTAAACTATGTTAAATTATATTATTAAATATACTATGTTTTTATAAATAAAGTATCATTTAAATAATTATCATTATTATTATTATTTTGTAGATTCTCTTGGAGAAATAGTTAATTATTCATCAGAAAATATACTTCCAACAAAGTTTTTTGCTCTAGTACTCATAGGTTATTAAGTTTCTAATTATTATGGTTATTGTTATAATTTTTTATTAGCTATGAAATAAGGTTATTAAGGTATTGTTGTTTTTGTAGAGTTTTAAGAAATTCCTATTCTTGAAGTGAATGGTTAAGCAATATTAGTTGGTGATTTTTATGTTTAATATGCTTAAGGTGTTGATACTTTATTTACATTTCTAGTTGAATCTGGTATTTATTGCATTTTATTATCAATAATGCTATTTTAAATTTCTTAAGAAAGTTTTTTATTTTCTTCAAACCAAAATGGTAATTTTACAATATTTTATTAATCAAAATATTTTCTATTGTTATATAAATATTTAATTTAAGTTGAAGAGTTTATAGTTACCCAATATATTTGTTAAATTGAAAGCAATTGTTATAAGGGCATGAATCTAAAAGAATCAAGTAACTTGCATAACTAAAATTATCATATGATGATAATACTTCTTATGTAGCAAATTTATACATAACCATACAATCATTCCATAAAACACAACTAATTTCTATGAATATGTTTTTGGAATCTTAATTTTCTAATTGTTTTAGAGTATTTATGCATAAATTTAAAATCTAAATGCATTAATTTAATAAATTATGTAATTTAAATAGATATAAAATTTTCTATTCTATTGATATACATCCTGTTTATTATTACATATGTAATTCTAACTTCTTTTGTTAATAATTTCGATACTATAAATTTGTATCTCTGAAATTATTGTTTTTTTTCAATATTTAAAATTATTGATATTATTGATCTCTTGTATTCTCTGAACATTATGTATATGTTTAATCTTAATCAAAAATTGGATATTAACCTATTTTACAAGCATAAAACAATTTTAAATTTTATGCTAGTTTCAATAAATACATCAAATAGTTTTAAACAAACATACTAAATTATTGATTTTCTTAAATTCGTATTGATGACCCTTCTTTTACCATTTCATCTGCAATACAATCTCCAATTTAAAATTCATACAGAATTAAATGGATAGTTAAAGTAATTTTAATTGCAATAAAACCATTCAATGATTTATTTGTTATTGCTTTAAAAAACTATTACAAATATTCTTATCCTGTCAAATAAATTCCATTACATTCTGGACCAAATCCTTCAAAGCATTCTATTAAATATAATATATCTGTCATTAAAATGATTGGATTATTCTACATTAAGGAACAATTATTCAATTTTTATACAAATGGTGTATGTTACTTTGAAACTAAAGAGGATAATAGATTAGTGATTGATTTCATCAATAATTATTTTATTTTATTATTTAAAACAATTTCATATAAAACCAGTTTATTACTAATAATCCAATAGATTATCTATTGAATTACTCTCATTATTATTATTATAGAAATAAATGAAAAAATATCAAGTTAAACTTTCTAATGACAATAATCTTATTTTTCCTTAATTAACAAAAGAAAGGATTAAATATATTCCATCTACATAGGCTTCTTTTGGCAATACAAATGCAACTCCTAATTCTATTCCTGAATACTCATAAGATAGTTCCCCTTATTGATTAAAAGTCATTTTCCCCTAAAAGCTCTCATGTTATACCTCACTACCATATATTTCTGCTTAATTACTGCATTTAAAACCTCCAAATATCCACACAAAAGACTTAATATTATTTATATATTTGATTACATTTTTTTGTCTATACCATAAATGATTATTTTATAATTTATCTTTAGATACTCCAATTACTGCTCTCCATTAATTCGGTCGTTTATTAACATTCTATGCTTCAAAACGTAAGCAAAATGGGCCTTATATTTTTTGCATGGAATTTATTGATAACCATTCTCTACTGTCTGTTTTCTTAGAAAAGGATGTTCTCCAACCATCTAAATATGGTATTTTATGTTTATCCTATTTTTAATTAGATAATATTAATTCTTCTTTTAATTATTTAATTTATTATTAAAGTATTAAAATATGCTTAAAATTAGATACATGTTCTTCTAAATTAATTTCTTTTATTTTCTCATTACATCCTTCAATTGGACATTGAATTTTTCTAAATAATTATATAATTAATACCTTTAAGGACATATAATTTAATGTTAATTGTAATCTATAAATTTTATATCTTATTAACAATCTTCACATTATATCAATCTTCCTTCACATATTTATTCATGTTGATTTTAATTAGATTTAATAAAATTTTATTAACATTTTTCACATACTATTTATTAATATAGACATTCATTCTCTAAATGCTATTTAAGTGATGCTCTTTTGATTAACATATTGCAATCTTTATTTACACAATGCAATTATTTTTCAGGACATTCTTTTTCATCATGTGTATAATATTTATCTAAACTTCCTTTCCAATTACATTTCAATAAACATTATTTTAATTCTAGTTCATCAATCATATTTTTAATTGGAATTGCTTTAATTAATTAATTTTCATTTAATGGTTGCTTGTTGATTGGACATAGTTTTTATTTTTTAAGCCAATCAGAGATACATCCATGACAAAATACATGTCCACATTAATCAAATACTGGATTTCTAAGTACACCTAAACCTATTGGACAAGTTAAACCTGTCAATTGTTCATTTACAAATAAATCAGAATCATAGCAGGTTTCTGATTAATTCATATTTAAATATGTTTAAAATATATTATTTCAGTAATTTTTATACGATAGAAAACATGAATAGAGAAGAATAGACAGATTAATATTGAAATCAAATATAAATTGATATTATATATTTAACTATTCATTGAATTTCTTATACTTTTACAAAATGTATTAACTATATATTTATAAATAAAATTTAAATGACTCGATGTATAATCATAATCTGTATTTGAGGATTTCAATACTCTATTTAAGAGTATTTTTAAAATTCTTCAAATATATCGGCTCTCATTGCAACAGGTACAGAGGAACCTTCAACTTATAAAAATTGATTGAGAAAGTTATCATTCTCCTCTTCTTTTTGAGGTGTATATGTAAATTAGTTATGACTGTTAGCATAACTATGAATATTGCTTTCATTTGATAAATAATTAACTGGATGATGGTCAAATTTCATAAACTCATTTTCTGATGATTCTATAAACATTTTATGAAACAGTTATAATTATTGAAGATCTTATTGATTGCTTATCATGCTAAGGTTGTGTTTTTCAGATTATAGTGATTACAATATAGAATGGATGCCTGATTAAGATTATTCATCTTATTATTATATTGATTTATTTTATTAAATTTGTTCGATGATTTATGGTTCAATATCTTAAATTCCTGTTTCAAGAGTATTTTGATTATTTAAAATTTCAACTTGATCATCCTCCCTATTAAGTTATCTCTTTTGATTAGGTACTATATAGTAAGGATTTTCTTGTTTAGCATAATTTTTTCTAATATATCCATAAAATCTATTCTTAATCATGTTCTCCTAAAAAGATAATAAACTAAAAATTTTACTGGTCTTCCTTTTAGTTTCTTTGCCATCTCAGACCATCTTGATCCTATCTTTTTGTATAAGGTCCATATTTTTAAATCTTCTTATTAACTCCATGCCTTAGTGGTTATATTTGGGTCTAGATGATTTATATATCGTTCTCTAATTTGCCTTCCAGTTCTATTTGAGAGAAAACGAGCAATCACCTTCCAATCAAACTTATATTCTTTAGTTAACCTCTTAACTTTTTCATCTTCTTCAGGTGTCCATTTTTAATTTTTTTCTTCCTAATAAATACATTAATATAAAATTACATTATCAGGTTTGACTCTCTTCCATCTTTAAGCACATTAACTAGCATTTCGTCCATTCAAATACTCAGCAATGAGCTTCCAATCTGAACCATGCAACTAAACTGTTGATTTTAAGATATTATCTTCCTCTTCAGTCCAATATTTTCTAGATTTATTAGAATTTTTGTATTTTTAACAATTATTTTAATCCTTACTAATCCTCTTCTTGATCATCTAAAAAAATAATTAATTATTTATTTATGTTGTTAAGTTATATTTAAACCCCAAAGGAAGTATAAGTATAAAACAGAATAAAACGGTAATGTAGATGTCATCCTACCTAAAATTCAAAGTTATTAGGTTATTCTAAATAAAAAAAAGTGAAATTTATTAGTCATTCCAAATATTTTACTTACTCTATACTTAATCTTACCAATATCTGTTAATTCTTAATTCCATTAACGTATTTTCGTCTTACTTATCTTCCTTTCCCCATAACAATATATATGAATATATTTTCAAAGAACATTACATATCACAAAATAACAACATAATAGATTTCAAAAAAAAAAACTGCCAACCAAAGCTCTCCTATAATTTGATAATCTTAATTTTAATATTATTCTAATATATAATTCCTTATGTTACTCTTATATTATCTTAAAAATAGTTTCTTAATTAATTTTTATATAGTCAGAATTTAGACTGAGAATGTAAAATTTACTAGTATATTTTAAATTATATATTTTATCAATTGATGTTTATAAGTTTAAATTATTTAAGGAATTCTTTCTAATTATTTCAACAATTCAGTATTGATAGTTTTCATTGCAATCAATATATTATAAATTATACCTTTTTTTATGAAGATTTCAATATTATGAAAGATATTCAAAGCTAAAATATTTTGAATCCAATTTTCATCATAATTAAAGTATAAACTAAATATTGTTTTCTTAAATCATTGAGATTCACTAAATCTAAAGGGTAGAATGGATAATAAAAATCATCTTCTAAATACATAATTTTATGTTATTAATAAATATATATATTAAGAATTACAATTAGAATACATAATTATTTTATGCCATTCAATTTTCAATTTGATAATCAACTTAAATGTTTCTAAATCATCTTTTTTTTTATTAGAAATTTTAAACGTGTCAAATATAAATCAATTAAATATTGAAATTTATGTTTTAGTACTCAATATGGATTAAAATTTTTAAGTAGTCATATTTCAACTTACTTACTTCAATACATTGACTTATTAATTGAAATTATATTAAATGAACTTCTTCTTTAACAGATAATAAAGAAAATAAAGTTATCTTTCTTTCCAATCAATTATCAAATATTATTGTAAAAACATTAGTTTCGTATTATTTTACATTCAATTAATTATAAATATATTAGATTTATGATAAAAGTATATTAAATTTAATATTCTTCAAACCTTAATTTCTAAATCTCCTCTATACCAAACAAAATTGTTATAATATTGCATAAAAAGATTATTGATAATTTACTAAATACTTTTCAAAAGTATTATGCTTATTTAAAGTTAAATCCATTTTGAATTCATGTAAAATAATCACTTTCCCTCAAAAAGGATAATTTGTTTAAAATTACAAACAACTCAATAAACATGAAGATTTTATCATCAATTTTGATGTTTATATTGAAAGAGGAGGAATAAAATAATCTTTTTTTCATTTAAAAATAAGATAGGTTAACATAAAAAATGAACTCTTCTTAAAGTGTATTGTTACTATCTATATTTTAATAAAGAACAATCTTCAAATGTAGAATTTAAGGTATAGAAAGTAGTATTTCAAAGCTTTTACAGGCTAGTCTATGTTTTAATTGACATCTTAAATAATTTTTTATAAAATTCTTTAGTTCTTAGTCTAATAATTCTAAAAAATATTTATAGAATATGAGATTGGAATATAGATATTGAACTTATTATTTTAATTGTTATTCATTTTGCTAATCTACTAATTTATTAAACAATAAATCAAGTTAATCTATTCTTGTAAATTGATGGATACAATAATAATAACTAAATAGGATGTTTAAAAAATAAGAATTATTTGTAGATTGTATTAATACATAAAAGATTGAGATCCTAATGTATAATAATTATATTTTTTTAATTTGTGAAACATTTAATGGGAGTCGATTTGTGCTCATAAATACCAACTGAGTGTTTTGCTATTATCATTATATAATCAGGGGCTATAATAGTTTTAATGATTTTGATATTATTGATGTATAGATATCAAATAGTTCATAAATTGCATCCAACTATGATAGTTGATGTTGAACCAATAAAATTAGATAAATTATAGAATATAGCAAATTGTGACATGTCATACGACTCAACTATGCATTAACAATGACATTATTGATCTACTTTTATTTATACAATTTAATATTAGAATGTTATATAAAAAATGTTATAGACATTTGTTTTTATCAACACCAAATATTAATATAACAATAATATATATATAATATTCGAATAATTATAAATTCAGACGAGATTTTCTTTAGCAATGAGCTATCTTAATTGCCTTTCAAATAAATCATCGATAAATAATGCAGCTTATGGTAATAAGATTGTTAATTTCTTAACATTTTGAAATTCATTCAAATAATGACTTCTAACAAATAATAGAATGAATCCTATTTTTAGGAATGTAAACACTAAATAAATTATAGAAACAATCTAAATATATGATTCTAGAATTACCTAAATAGTCATATTTAATTAATCTGCTTCCTCTGAGAGTCCTGCTTTTATGGTTTGTAAAACATTCATAATAATAACACTTAAATATATTCCAATTTCTATTTCATTAAATGGAGGATTAATTCTACTAGTAAATGATTAAGAATTATTCATTTCAGTCAAAAGAATATCCCTAATTTTTGTTATTGTTATAGATAGACCTCTATCCATAACATTATCATAGATTTATTTACATAAATATTATTACTGTAAATCAAAAGTTTTAACAATACTTTCATCTTCACATAATGTTTTATTATTTAATTCCAATAATTTTTCATCATTATAATTACTTTCAAGTAAGGTGTATGTTTATAAATAAGTACTCAAACTATCTAAACTACTCTATATGATTTGTAAATATTGTTCAGTTAAATTTTATGATATATATTCATAACCAACAAAGTTATTACTTTTAAAATACAATACTTCTCTTAAACTATAAGCTTTAGGAATAGATAAACCAAGTTCACCAATTGAATTATATTATAAACTTTTTATTTGATAATAATCCATAAATTTAATCCCTTATAAATTCATAACAAATGAAAAAATAAAGAAAATACCAAAAAGAGATGAATAAAATAAAAAACTGCCTAACCTACTTAATAATAGTTTTTATTTAGTATCTAATTTTATGAATCCTGTTCTCTTAATCTTATCTTATATAATATGTTTTTTAGATAATTCACTTTTAAAGAATCTTTCCTTTAAAAAGATATTAAATTTATATCTAAACATTAAATTAGAATCCTTATTAAGTAAACTAAGTAATTCCTTACATCTTTCTAAGTCTCTTAATACCCAAACAACATCAACCTTCTAAAATAATTTTAAAAGTTTGGAGTATTTTCTAATATGTTTAATGTATAATAGCCAAGCAGATAATTAAAATAGTAAAATTAAATAAATACATCTAATACAAAGTACTATCCACTTATGTTATAATAACAAATTGCTATCACTAATATAAGTAATAATTTCTGTATTTAAATTCAAAATTTCATTGTTGATATCATTCAAATTTATAATATATTGGATTAATTATTACATCATTTTTTCTATTCCATTATCTTAAATAAAAATAGTTTAAAAATTATATTGATATTGAATAATTGAAAATATAGATTCACGTAATGAAATTTATTCAGATGTAAAAGAATTATCTTTAATGTGTTTAAATTCTATTAAAGTAGTTGATAAATCTTATTAAAGTAAACTACCTTTAGATTAATTAGCATAACTTTATTTGATATTTACAAATGATTGATTTATAACATATTGATTGTATTGAATTAAGGATTATATGTTTTATTGTTAATTATGATCAAATGTTCCATTTCTATAATTATAAGTGGAAGCAAATGATGATAAAAATAAATAACAGGGATTCATAAATGAAGTATAAAATTCTAACATTTGCAACTAACTTAAAGCACTATAAATATCAGTACTTGAATTATTTATTAAAACTATAGCAAAGATAATTGATATCAAAGAAACAATCAAAAGAGAAAATATCATTAAATCAAACATAATTGAAAATTTAACAGATGATACAATTTATTATAATAATTCGTACTTTTTAAATAGTTAAAAATTTTAGGAAAATGTTCCTAAAGTACTAGATGCTGCATTATCTAAATTAAGTTTTTTGGCATGTATAGAAGTTTAATTTTCTTCATTTAATTATTATCTTAAATTTTCTCTAATTTCAGCATTTTATTAATTTTATTCATAATTTAATTTTGCAAATCCTTTTTCAGCTCCTGATTAATTAGATTAAGATTATTCTTTTTCTTTCTCTTCTATTTAATTTTAAAAGAATCTTTATTAGCTACTGAAATTTATTTAATGTGTTACAAAACTATTTGTTTTATCAATTAATTATCTATTACTTTTTCCAGGACTAATTAAATCATATTATTATATTGATTCAGATAGTAATTATCTTTATTATATAGATACTACTCTATTAGTATCAATTTAATCAATATGTTCAGGTATTTCTTCTTAAATAAAACATTCAATCTAAATTTCAGGTTCTTTTTTTAATTTAGGGAATAAATCATTATTAAATAAATTAGGCTATTATATATGCAATTCTTCAATAAACTCATAACATTCTTATTCAAAATTATCTTAATCAATAGATTCTTATTGAATTGATTTTTTTGATTCTACAACATTTTTTATTTCTATTATTGAATGAGTTAATCTTATTGTTACCACAATATTAGCATAATAAAATCTAATACATTCAGGATTTTTCTTCATTTAATCAATATAAGTTTATAAAGATTTTTAACCATTTTGATTTTTATCATTAAAAATGATTTAAACATTTGAAAAAGGTTAACTTTTATCAATTTTATTTTGATCTATTAATTAATAGAATTCTGGTATTATCTATTAAATTTCAGTTAAATAAAATAATTCTGGTAATTTTTAGAATTCAAACTCTTATAATTTTAATTATTTACATAATTCTCTTGTTACACCTAAAATTAAATTCTTATTATTTAGAATTAAATAAGAATTAGTACCATTTGTTTCTGAGAAAAATACTTAAAAAGTCAATTCTTATAATTTTGTTAGGTCAAAATCAAAGAAAAAATCAACTGGACTTAAAAATGAATCTTTTTATAAAATTAAATTGACATTTTATTCCCTAAAGAACTTAGATCTACCTGAAATTAAGAAATCTTCAATAAGATGTTTATGAATAGTAGAAAATCCTCTTGGTAATAAGGAAAGTATAGATTTAATTTCTTTAAATTCTTATTATTCATATTCAACTATTTTATGCATTTAATGTGATCTTTCAACTATTTATAAGCCTGTTCCTTAATGATCCATTACTAAAATCATATAATGTAATTATGTAGTTAATAAATCCACTTAATAGTTTTTTTATATTTTAATTAAAGCATTATCAGATATTGCATTATAATTGATAATTCTATAAGCTTACAAAAAATTACTTAAGATTTCAGCACAATAAAATGAATATATAGATTACATTTTTTTACTTGGAAATTCTTAAAACAAATGAGATAATTCATTTTCCATAAAGTTTATTTTTCTTATCAAATCTAAACATTGATGTAAGAATCTTTCAGGATTTAATCTTGTAGTTGAAGACATTATCATAAATATATCTTTCTTTCTATTGATAATATTTATAATATTCTATTTTAATTATTGATGTTACTCTTCAACTTTCATAAATAATTGAACACTTTAGCTTAATTATGTTTTTTAAACTACATTTCCAAAACTAAAACTTGAAATTAAATTTTATTTTGCTATTTCTAATATAATACTTAATTTTATGAGATTAATATAACTAATTTAATTTAAAGAGATCTTTTCAAGTCTATGAATCATATCTGAATTACTCTTCTTTTTATAAACATTCTAATTTTCTTCAACTGTTATTGAATAGCTAGTTTATTCACTAAAGATATTTTATTAATCATTAATTTAATGAACATTTTATTTAAGTAGTAATATATTTGTTTATTGATATGCTTTAACTGATTAATTTATTGCAATTAAACTTTATATATAAAATAATGAAAAGAATCCTCTTAAACTTTAATCAGCTAATCTATTTATTGATTTCCCAAAATCTAATATTAATTATTTAAGATATAATTATCTTAATTTAATATCATTTTCCATCAAACCTGTTTTTTTACATTAACATGATTTGTCTTGACAATTATTCTTATGATTAAATACAAATAATGAAAGACTGAATTATTAAATACAATTCAATTAATTTTTTTATGAAAATACTGTTATTAAATATTGTTATGTATATGTAGATTAATTTTCAGGTAGTATTACAAGCATATTAAAATCTATTTTTTTTTTTATTTATTATACTATTGTTATAATTAAACTTGGAATTATTACTACAATTATAATTAAATTCTATTTATCTTAAATAAATTAATTTCCTATTAATATTATTGATATTATAATAAATGCTACATTCAAATTAATTAAGAAATCTTGTATATCACTTACATATTAATATTTTGTTAATAACTAATTTAATTTTAATATAGATGAAATTATAAATAAAACAAAGATTAAGTAATTCCTAACCTTATTTTCTAAATTTATACAATCTAATATTACAAAAATGTAAATTAAAAATGTATAAAAATAGTCTAAACCTTAAAATAATAGCACTTTAAAATTAAATAATTATAATGTAATAGCTTCTTTCACTAACATCAAATATAATAATTGAATCCAAAATATTAGAATTAATGCAATCATAGAAAATAATGTATTAATAAATTCCAAAGCTCCAAAAGATTCATTACTTATGTTTTTTTGAACTGAATAACATGCTAATTGGATACATGGTATACAAAATAGTTTGTCAAATATTGCTATAAATATTAAATTTAAACCATGAAAAATAAGTTTAATATTATTGCTTTTCATTACATATTCCATTATACTTTTTTAAGATTAGTTTGAAAATTAATAGTAAGTAAAGAACTAATGGATTATATAAAATGATAGAACTGCTAATGGAATAGTGTAAGAATATAAAAAAAAGTTATCTTTAACAATTAATTTATATGGTCTTGAAACAATAGAAATAATGTTCAATCCATAATCAATGTTCATTAAGGGTAATTAAAGTAATTCTTCATTCAAATTTAATACGATGATTCCAAATATCTAAAATTCTGATATCAAATGAATCAAATATAACCATAATTTGTTTAAGTTAATAAAATTCATTTCAAGCAAAATGTGATAACTTGCAACATAATAGTTAAAGTTTTTCAATTAATTAAATTGCTTCATTTTGTACAAATTTGTCTAGCTAATTTCTTTATAAACTAATTTAATTTAATATTAATTCAAAATGTTAAATAAAAATTCAAAAACAAATATTTACAATTTATGTTTCAAAGGTTCCTTCTTTTTGTTGTTTTCTTTAAATAATTCCTATTCTTAATATTAAAAAATAAATATATTTGAAAAATAAAATAAAAATATAACAATAAAAGCAATCTAGCTTTATTTTTATGTTTAGAATAGTAAAAAATATTGTATATATAAAATTAAAGATAACTCATTAATGATTCTTCGATATCAAAATGATGACATTAATATTGTCAAAATACTTATTAATTAATCTCGAAATCTGATTGCATCCAAAAAAATGATAAAAAAATGATGAGATTAGATTGTACTGAGTATTCTATGCAGATTAGAATCAAAATATTGTAATTATCATCTTGATAAATGAGACATTTTTTAGTTTTATTTTGTTTGATTCTTAATATTTATTATATACGGTTAATTAATTCACATTAATTTTTTATTAGATAATCATTTCTAAATCTTTTATACGTATTTAATATTATTTTAAAAATGAAATCTGCTTCAAAATCAGCTTCTATGATCATAACAATGTTCACATAGCAGAAGTAAAGTTAAGAATTAATTATGTAGCCAAGAAATGCAACTTGCTTAAGCTAAGAAGGAATTTGATGAGATGGCTAAGGAGATAGCAGATAGAAGAAAGAAGTTACTGTTTTAACTAGAGAAAGGCAAAAAGAAGGAAGTAGAAAAAGTTGATGCATCCAAAGCAGAAAAATTCAAAACTATGGTACTGTTTTTTACTAAAAATAGGATGAGCATAGGATTCCGTTAGAAGAACTTGAATAGAGGTTCCAAACAAATGCAAAGACTGGTCTAACTAAAGAAGTGGCAGATCAAAAACTGTTAGAGCATGGAAAAAATTAGTTGAGCTAAAAAGAAAAGGAGCCTTGGTATATGAAATTAATTCATGAATTGACATCGATGTTTGCTTGGCTTTTATGGGCTGGAGCAGCGTTATGCTTTCTAGCTTATGGTCTAGCACCTGAAGATCCTTCAAATGTAATCATTTTATATTACATCATTAGCTGTACTTAGGTATTGTAATTATGGTTGTTAATACATTAACGGGAATTATAACATTTTTTTAAAATGCAAAATCTGAGGCCATCATGGATGCCTTTAAAAACTTCATTCCTCCTGAAACATTAGTTATTCGTGATGGATAATAATAAAAGTTCCCAGCTTCAAATTTAGTTCCTGGTGACGTAGTTGTAATTGAAAATGGTAAGAGAATTCCTGCAGATATCAGAATTTTGGAAAGCAATGAAATGAAGGTTGATAACTCAAGTCTTACAGGGGAATCATTATTATTATTAAGATCTCCTGAGTGTACAAATTAAACTAACCCATTGGAAACTAAAAATTTGGCATTTTTTGGTACTCTTTGTAAAGAAGTAAATGAATAAATTAAAAATAGGGAAATGGTAAAGGGATAGTAGTATTTACAGGAGATAATACAGTAATTGGATAAATAGCAGGATTGGTTGAAAGTTCTGGAGGAGATGATACAACTCTTAGACGAGAACTTAATGTGTTTATTAAATATATAGCAGTAATTGCTATATCTATAGGTGTGATATTTTTTGTTCTAGGTTTCATTATTGGATATCGTAAAATAAAATTTTTAAATTTTAGCCGCCATTACTAATCTTGTTTTTGCCATTGGTATTATTGTTGCAAATGTACCTGAAGGGCTTCTAGCAACGGTTACAGTAGCTTTAACTCTTACAGCCAAAAAATTAGCATATAAAAAAGTGTTAGTAAAGAATTTAGAAGGTGTTGAAACTCTAGGATCTACGTAAGACTTATTTAATATATTTATAGATCTTGTATTTGTTCAGATAAAACTGGTACTTTAACTTAAAATAAGATGACGGTTGAAAATTTATGGTATAATAATAAGAAATACAAAGGATTGAATAGAGAAAAGATGGGACCTAAATATCATTATGAATATGATTTAAATGAGATAGGATTTAAAACATTACATGAAACTGCAGTTCTATGTTCTGAGGCTACTTTTGATACTACTCTTCCTTAAGAACAACAAATTAAAATTTAAAATTCAATTGGTTTAAATCAATAATAAAAAGATTAGAAATTAAAAGAAGCTTAAGATAAATGGAATCAAAATTTTTAGAAAATGACTTGTCAAGAAAAACCTACAATTGGTGATGCTTCAGAAACAGCCTTAATAAAATTCTTTTAACCAATAAATGATATCATTTAAACTAGATAAAGTAGATAAGTTGCAAAAGATGCAGAAAATAAAATGGCCAAAATGCCATTTAATTCAACAAACAAATATGCATTTTTAATAGTTGAATATGAAACTGCAGATTCCCATTATTGTTTATTAACTAAAGGTGCTCCTGAAAGAATTTGGGGACTTTGTGAATCAGCATATAATAATGGTAGAATAGAAGTGAAAGATGAAAAATGGGAATAATCATTCCTATCAATAAATGAATAATTTGGAAGATAAGGAGAAAGAGTACTTGGATTTGCTAAATTGCATTTACCTAAAGATTAATTTCCTATTGGATATTAATTTAATCTTGATAAAATGAACTTTCCATTTAATAAATAAGTTTTTGTTGGTTTGATATCTTTAATTGATCCTCCTAAAGATAATGTACCTTATGCTGTTATTAAATGTAAAACAGCTGGTATTTAAGTTATTATGGTTACTGGTGATTAACCTGTTACAGCTGCGGCTATTGCAAGATAATGTAATATTATTACTGAAAAAACTGTTGATGAAATTATGAAAGAAAAAGGTATTTCATTTGAAGAAGCATTCCATCAATCAAATGCTTTAGTAATTCATGGAGATAAATTAACTAAAATGGCTATTGATGATGAAGGTTTACCAGAAGATGATAAAGGTAGATAATTATAAGAATGGTTAAGTAAACCATAATTAGTATTTGCAAGAACAAGTCCAGCATAAAAATTAATTATTGTGGCTGGTTGTTAAAGAAGAGGACATATTGTTGCTGTGACAGGTGATGGAGTTAATGATAGTCCAGCAATTAAAAAAGCTGATATTGGAATTGCTATGGGAATTACTGGTTCTGATGTTGCCAAAGATGCTGCTGATATGATTCTATTGAATGATGATTTCTCAAGTATTGTTGTTGGAATTGAAGAAGGTAGAAAAATCTTTGATAATTTAAAGAAAAGTATTGCTTATTGTTTGACTTCTAATATTTCAGAGTTACTTCCATTTTTAGGATTTGTCATATTTAGAATTCCTTTACCTTTAACAACTGTATTAATCTTATGTATTGATATTGGAACAGATATCTTCCCTTGCACTACATATGTTTTTGAAGAAGCAGATATAGATATTATGACAAGAAGACCTAGATCTCAAGATGAACATCTTGTAAGTGGGAAGTTATTAGTATATGCATATGTGTAGAATGGAGTTCTATCTACATATTGTGGATATTTCTAATGGTTTGTAACATTGTATGATTTTGGATTTTATCCATCAGATTTACTTTTTATAGGTGTAAGAGAAACAGTTTTACCAAAAGATACTGATGTATATGATCCAAATGACCCTTGGTTTGGTAATTCAAATTTGAAAAGAATTTATAAAGATGGAAAATGTGATGGTGAATTCCCTTCTGATGAAGTTGAAGAAATAGATTGGATTTATGCTAATCATGCTAAATTGGATTTGAGAATGGCTTATGTTGAATGCAAGGATGGAAAACTAGAAGAAGTATTCAAATGGGCACCTTGTAATGTTAATTTGGTATCTCCATACACTAAGAGACCTTATTGTTATTCAACTGAAGCTTCAAATTATGCTTAAACTTCATTTTTCTATGGTATTGTTATAGGTCAAATAACTAATTATTAAGGTTTGAGATCTCTTAAAAATGCAGGAACATTTTAAGGTATATAATTATTATATTCTCCTAGGATTCTCTAATTACTATATGTTTTTTGGATTTTGGGTTGAATTCATGTTGACAATTGCACTTTCATATGTTCAAGTTTTTAATACTGTATTTGGAACAAGAGATCTATTATTCATTCATTATGGAGTAAGTGCTATTCCATTTGGATTGATTATGTTATTATGGGCTGAGGGAAGAAAATATATGGTAAATCTATTAATTAAGTTAATTAGATACGAGCCTCAAAAACAAATTCTAATTATCCAAGTTGGTGGGAAAGATGTGTTGTATTTTGATGTATTATTAATCAAATATAATTATAATTTAAATAAAAATAGTTTGATTGTTCTATGTATTTTTAAATAGTAAACAATCAATTCTTAAAGTAGATAATTATCAACCAGATTTTTTATGTTAATTTTTAATAATGGATATATTAATTAATTGGAGAATAATTATTATATAAAAGGAAAAATGTTAAAATTAAAACATTATTTGAATTAATTTAATTTTATAATTCATATCTATTCTACAAATGTTTTTAAATAATCTTAAATTTAATTAATCTCAATATTATCTTAATTAGAATGTGAATAAAGGAATTTATGTGAACTTAAATGAAAAATAATATTTAAATATAAAAGTTTTAATAATATTATTATTAAATAATGTTATTCTTTATTCTATTCTTTCACTTAAAATCCTCTATTATTAATGATATTTATATTTATTATATATAATTTAGAAGGGTTTTTAAATTATTTTTAATTTTTAAGTATATTAAATTATGATTCAAAATATCAGTTTAAGAATAGAAATAATATTAAAATTAAGAATTTTATTTGTGTTTCAAATGAATAATAAATCAATAATCATATTTCACCTTTTCTTCTAATTTTGCTCTTTTTGTATTTACTAATCCAATATATTCACACATCTAAATAAATGAGCATGTTGGATTGATCATCCACCATTCATTTTTAGAGGCTCTCCAATCTCTTGGATATTCATGATGCCAGTTATGCCATCCTTCACCTAAAGTAATTAATGAAACAAAGATGTTATCTCTTGGTTCAATTCTAGGATTCCATTTTCTACTTCCATAAAAATGACAGATTGAATTAACACACCTAAATTAAAATTATGCAATACCATGTTGCATTCAATGTAAAGATGTATTTTCCAAAGCCTAAGAACAAAAGACTGAAGAACCATTTATCACTTATTATCAAACCAGTTAAAGTTGGAATGATAAAAGCCCAAAGGAAAGCCATTTTATAATAATGTCTCTTTTAAAACATTACAACAGAATCAGCTTTCAAATCAGATAAATCAAGTTTCATTCCTTCATCAACTAACTCCTTACTCTTTTTTTTCAATAACCATCCACAATGAGAGAAAAATAATCCTAATTAAGAATTGTGTGGATCTAATGGTGTATCCTATAAATATATATAAGTTAATACACTAAACTTGTGGTGAAGTCTATGATCTCTACTCCAATGCCAAATACTTCCTTAGAAACAATTTGAATTCATAAACATCAAGAAAACTCTAATAGGCCATGATGCTTTATAAGATTTATGTGCCCATAATCTATGAGCTCCACCTGTAATTCCTAATCCTGTAAGACAATGCCAAATTAAGAAGGCCTAAAATTTAATGAAATTATTTACAAGGTAATATTTGTAGAACAATTCTGACTCTAAGAAGAAGCTCCAAATAATACCAATCACACCTAATACGTGACAGTATAACAGCCATCCAGACTCTATTAATTTGATGTCATTTTTATCACAGTACTTGACAATGGACTCAAATATTTACATAAATAATATATTTTATTAGATTCTTTATTGTCCACACTGCTCATAAACCACTAAATGACGTATAATTATAAAAATATTAAGAAAATAAATTATTCCAATAATGATATGCAAATAATCATTCTATAATTCAAAAACTTATAATAATATACTAATTTACAATGCTTAATAATAGAATTCAAAAAATAAATTATATTTCTCATTCTTATTGGGAATAACAATCAAAACTTACACTAAAATACTACTCATCTTAAATATTAAGAGGATAAAAAGTAGGACTAATGTCAATTATTTCTTTTTATGTAAATTATCATTCTATATTTAAAAGTAGTTAATAAATATTCTAAAATTCCTAAAAACAAATCAAGAATATCTAAATATATTTATTCTGTAATATGAAATCAACTAATTTTTAAACTCAATATAGTTATTTGTTAGGATAATTGAAGGTTAATGCCATTATTTAAATACAATATTTACAGAATCGAATATTTTATAAAACCATTATTGAAACCATTAATCTTTTATTATCTAATGTTTAAAGATGAAATAAATACTTCCTTAATATTGCATCTCTCATAAGACCTAACTCTTAACATATTATTAATTAATTTTTAAGCTTATTAAGTTATTCCATTAAATTAGTAGATACCTGTTTTAATTTTAGAAAACAATTCTTTTTATTACTTACCTTGAAAAGGAAACTTTCCATGAAACATTACATAAAGCAATAATCCTAATGACCAAATATCAGCAGGTTTTCCATAATCCATTTTTAATATAATCTCTGGACCATATATCTAGTAATTTTACGAAAGTGATTATGAAGGAGTTCCAAAATATGATATAGTCTTATGTTCAATAAATGAGCTAAAACCAAAATCAATTAATTTTATTTTATTGTCTCTGAATAAAATATTTTCTGATTTTATGTCTCGATTTATCTATACTTTAATAGAAGTATTACTATATTTTTGGATTGGCAATAATCAATAGCTTTGACAACTTAAAGAAAGATATTCTTTTCCTAAATTTCTGGGATCAAATTGTTAGGTTATTACTTAAGATATGCTCTTAATGACAATGGACCAGCATATTCCATAACTAATTATACTTGGGTCTTAATATTTACAAATATACTTCAGTTTAAATTACATCAAGCAATTAAACAATATTGGGATGCTATAATGTAGATAAAATCTAAATTTCTTTCCTTATATATTCTTTTTTTTAAATAATATTCATCCTTTCGTAAATCTTTATTGCTACCTACTATCCATTTAATAAATTTATGCCAACTTTAACAATCCCATAGCTACCTTATCCAATCTATTTTTAAATCAGATAATTTTCTATTCTATTCAACAAAATTTTAAATAGGTATTGAGCATTCAACTACTGTTTATGGTCTTTTCTTTTTTTTGGAAGTTCTATTTAATTAACTGTAAGCTAACTCTTGGAGAAACTCAATTGATTTATTATCCATTTCTTAACTAATTATTGGTTAATGATTTCTTTTGATGGAACTTCTGATTCGTATAACTATTGATATATTCGTTGGTTGTGATACAATTGTTGTTTATTATCTATAAGAAACCTTAGTAGATGGTTTAGATTGGAAGAAACTTTTCATAGGATTTAAATTGAATTGCTTAGGTGATTAAATTTTTGATGATTATATTCTTTTTTTGGAATGAAATTTCTTCTTTTTTAATTTTAAGTTGGTTTTAACTAATTATTAATGATAGCAATATGAAGAGTTGATGCATTTTAGAATTATCCAAATTAAATTCCATTTGAAATCACTTATGTGGAATGAGCAATTTTATTATAGGAAGATAACCTATTCATAAAAATTAATATTAAAAATAAATTATCAATATAGTCTCAATCTTATTAATTTTAATTAAAATAAACTAAAAGACTATTAATGTTTTCCTTTATTTCTTAATTTATCTTTATTAGTTAGAGTGAAAATATAATACACTTAACCCTTACATATTTAATAATATATCTTAAGATTTTAATAATATTATTTTTTTGTGTTGTTTTATTCATATTTTATAATTCATTATATCAATCCTCTCCTGTCATTTCTAACAATATGTCTTAAATTGTAACACTAGGATCCTGTTCTTTACGAACTTTCATGTATGATTCTGCTTGTATTAAGAAATCTTTCAATTTCAATAATTCAGTATCATTGTCTTAACCATTATATTATTAAATTGGATAAGCATTCTCAGAATTGGCTTTTATGAATTTCTAAAATTTATACCTGAACATTAGTCCTCATCGTAATCCACAAATATTACATTATGAGGATTAGATGTTGTCATATTAATTTCCTTTGTGATTTTATTACGAGATATTACACATGACTATGTGAAAAATAAAATTTACTTTTATCTGTAAAAATTATGCTTGATTCGGATACAAAACCGATTTATTATTGGAGCAGCAAAGTCATATATTTGGGTTGTATAAATGCTGACATCATAAATTTATGACACACTCAATAAAAATTGATCTAGATAAGGTCTATGTTTAACATAAAAATCTTGGGTGAGTCCTGAAGGAAACCTGTAGAATTATATTACAACCATCTTACTTAATATTGATTTTATCCCATCCTGGAATTGGAGTGGGACTTGTACAAACAAGAGTCCCTTCTAATCCTATCAATAATCTTAATTTCCCTGTTTAAAATGAATTCGATCTTGGAATTTAGTTGTAACGTCCTAGTTCAAACTTCTTCTTCGGTCTCAACCTTTTACGTATGAGTGTAATAGTCTTATCAATGAATTAGCATAACCATGCTAAAATATATCCGAACATAATTTAATTAATAATGTCACAAAAAAGCACTCATAGAATAATAAGAATTATAACCTAATTTTATAGTATTACATTATAAATATATAAGTTCTAATATAGACAACCAATATCTGTCAATTAAATTATTAAATACAATATCAATTTCTTTATTTTTGATCTAAATGAATAATCTCAGAATTTTAGAAGTTCTAAAAAGTTAAAAATGTATAGAGAATAGTCTAAATTTGATAGAGAAATAACACAAAATAAGTTATATCTAAGCATTACTAGATTAAAAAAGGATAATATTTAAATAAACTATATATTCATAATAATATTAATCATATATTTTATGATGTTATAAATTATATTCATTTTTATCTAATTAAATACTTATTTCTCAAGGTTCAATTAAATTTTATATTATTCTGATTGACATATTATCTAAAATATAAAAAACTTATAGAATGTCTTTATATAAAACCTTTTTCTAAAATAATCTAATTATATTATATATTTTTGCTTATTATTACCTATATTATTAAATGACTAAAATATTTGTTTAATAAACTATAACATTTTAGGATAGAAATGAAACATAAACATTTTAGTTTCAATTCTAAATAATAAAACCTTGATTTGATTTAAATTATCCAATTTACTAATTTAAGAAGATTTGAATTATCAAATTTTCTTTAACCTTCTGTTGATATGAAAATTATCATTTATATGGCTTACTCTATAATATTTCTGATATTTATATTATTCTAATTTGAGACTGCAATTTTGTCCTCAATTATAACCATTTTTCATGTGTTTATTATCACAAATTCAATTATTCTATATTATTAAGATGGTTAAATAACTTTCTAAATTCTATCTTTTGCAAAAATAGCTAAAATTTTATCTTTATATAGTTATTCTTTTATATTTTTCAAATGGCAATATATTTCTAAACAATCTCTTTATTGAGCACCTAACAAAATCTAAAATATTTTAATTTATAATAAATTATGAATACAAACAAATTGAGGATGAGCAAGTCTTTGATAAGATAACGATAATCTCCAATTCCTCCACTAGAACCAAAACTTTTTGTTGGTTAGCCTTTAAGTTAATCTCCTCCTTAATAAAAAATACCTCAAATGACTTTTTAGTAAAGATTGCGGTTGTATTATAAATCTCAAAATACTTTAACTCCAAAACCATGGAACCCTCCTTCAGATGAATATGGAACAATTTTAAGATTGATTTCAGTTCATGAAGTTATTAAACCAAAGAAAAAGGAATTATAAAGTAGAATCCCAAATATTAGTTGCCGTAAAACTAATATCCAAAAGAGATTTGTCACTGATATGCCTAAGATTTAAACTGATATTGCTAATGCTAAGAAAATAAGGTTAAATTTTAAATCACCTATAAATGTTTTGAATAAAAGTAATTCTTTTGGACCATGGGATTCTCCTTTATGAATTATAAATAATTTATTTTGGAATTTTATTAAAATATGGACAACATATATTCATTTATTCAATTATTCTCAAAAAGACATAGGCAAAGTTTGCACTTTCTCTGTATTTGTTGGACTACTTGATAATTTAGATTATCGTCTTCTCTTTACAATTTGATTAGAATCTGGGCCTTATAAAACTGGAACTTTAGATAAAGAAGCTCCTTCGGTTGGGATAATGTAAAAAGCCTATCCACTTCCGTCAGTATATTTTTTCTTTAAAATAGATTCCATATTGGAATTATGAGACTTGAATTTAAGAATCTTTGGTTTAATAAGAATAACAGATTGGTCTTCATCTGCTGTTAAGCTTTAGGAACAACCCATGGAGATTAATATTTATTTTATTAAAAATATTAAAGTAATACTGCCATTTAAGTTATAAGTTAAATGAGAATTGAATTAAGGATTTAAATTAATAACTTCAATCTGAGAATTATCCATATGTATTATATTCAGTAATTTTAAATAACATAATATTAGACTTGTACTTTAGATGATTACAAAACTGTTATATTCAATTCTACAATTTTGATTATTTTATTAGACCAAGACCAGTAAGTATTAAATACAAATATATGATGAGAATTTTCATACAAATTAGAGTTTGAAGGTATAAGACAATTTTAAATTAGTTTTTTCAACCAGTTTATAACATTTTTGGATAGATATTTCAATTATATCTTCTTATTTTAGTTTTTATTTTAATATTCATACAAAAATAATTATGAAATAAATAATAATAAAATTGTGTTATATATATATTGAGGATAATTATTTGTGTGATTTTTACAATAATAAATATATATTTTTAAAAAACCTAGCTTTGAATGCTAGCATTACAAAAACCAACTCTAAAAACCAAATTAGAAAATTTACTTTATCATTCTACAATTGCAATTTCTCCTGATTCTAGATGGATTGTGATAGGTAGTGAAATGGGATGGATTAGAATTTGGGATTAATAAGAAAATTGTTATAGTCGAAAGATATTAAGCAGATCAATTAATGATATTGCTATTTCTTAAGATTTAAATTGGCTTGCCTATAGTGAAGATAGTGATCCAGTTTAAGAAACTTAAGATTATAGTAATTATGTATAAGATCCAAAAGTTTGGGTAATAAATTTAAAACATAATGCAAAATAATTTAGACTGGAAGAAAAAACTAATTTCATTAATTGTTTAAAATTTACATAATCAAATTTATTGGTAAGTTCTAGTAAAGACTTGAATATTCGAATTTGGAGTGTAAGTAATAGGAAATTATTGTAGAGAATTCCATGTTATCATGAAATTGTTCATTTATCAATTCATCATCTGGAATATTTTCTTGGAGCGATTAGTAAATTAATTTGTATCATTCATATATATTATACAAAAAATGGTAAACTTAAACAATTTTGGAAAACCAATATATTAAGTAGCATATCAATTTCATTCTCATATAGTGGCCATATGTTATTGACTGAAGGATTAAATGATAAAAATAGATAGATTTATTAATTATGGAATATATAAACAAAAAAAATGCTTAGAACTTTTAAAGGATCCTTGAATTCAATTAAAATAGCATAATTTTCTTAAAATGATTAATAATTGGTTATTAAAAATAATGATAATAAAATTGCATTTGTTGATATTTCAAAAGGTGAAGAAATTAAAATTTATGAAAAAGTTGAAGCAGACGCCTAAATTTGTTTTTCTCGTGATTGTAAAACTATGGTGTGCGATGATTTATGGTAAAGGGTTTTTGTATATACTATGTGAAATATGATACTGAATGTGAATTCTATTAAAATTGATTCTGATAATTTATTCTTTAAATTCACTGGTCTTTAATGATCTAAAATGTTGTTGAGAATCAATCCTAAACCATAATGCTAATCATTCACTATATTAAGATTGTCTCAACATCATTTGAAATATTTAAGTATATTTCTTTAATTGTTTTCAAAACTTTATAGAATATAATATCTATTTAATAATTAAAATCTAAATAATTCTTTTAACTATTTTGGATATAATACCAATAACAAAGGGACATAATCTATATTAAATAGTAGTAGTATTATGCTATTAGAACCTACTTATTATTGGAATTTAGGTGTCAATTTCTAATACAATTTAAAATAGAATCTAAATTTTCTCAACCACAAACTATTTTAATTGGATTTTAAATCAAGAATATAAATTTCTGAAGAATATCAATGATATAATGTATTAAATGAGAATTTAATTTTTAAATATCATCTCACTTTATGTTTATGCCAGATTAGATTAACTTTTCAAAGAGATAGTCAACCGAAGAAACTTTTGTTACTAATTTTGCTTTAATAATTATAAAGTTCTTGTGAACTCTCAAATTGAATTCAATTTAATATTAATTAATACAATAAGATTTCGGATACATTAATGTATTTATTTTTGTTGTATTTTTAAATATATTAACAAGACCTCCAACCATTAATCTAAATATTAGCTTTTGTAATCTAAAAATAGCAAATCCTAATCAAAATCATTTATTATTTATTTTGCCAATACTTTCAAATGGTATTAAAAATGCAAATTTAAATTATTTTTGAGAATCTTAAGAATAGATTTATATACTATTTATTTAATCTTTTATTTCAGTTTAACAACTAAAAATTAAGTAATTTATTTTAAAACATAGACAATTAATTTGAAATATCAAAATTGAAGCATCCAATTTTAATGGATAATGAAGATTAAACTAAATATAATTAAAATTTCAACAAACCAACAAATATGGATATATTTGTAATTGGAAAAAACTTCTTACAATTGGAGATTACATTAAATTAATTAGTATATTCATTAGATAATTTGATGATGTTGATGAAATTACATTAATTAGGTTCTTATCAGAAAATTTCTATTAAGCTTGAAAATCTACTGCAAAATATATGTATATCATAGATTAATAGAATAATATGAGAAGTATAATTAAGAACATAATAATGAAATCAAATGCTATGAATAAATATTGTATAAGCTTATTAAATCTGTTAAGGCTTCAAATTTAACTATTTCCCTAAATTCTTAAATGAGACATAAAAGAATGTAAATATAGATATATATATTTAAATATGTAGAAATAATTATTATCTCTTTTTAGAATTAAATTTTCAAAGGACAATATTAACATTCGTTATTTAGGATAAATATTTAAGATTAATTCAGTAATCCAAATGATTGAGAATAAAAGCTCTACGAGAATCATTATCAATTAACAGATCTAGTGATTAATATAATAAGATTATCAATAAATATTATCAACTTAAATTAGATATTTTTAATAATAAGGATTTCCTTACTAAATATGATTATAATATTTGAATTTCTCCTTAAAACAAATATAAATTTATAGATCATCAATTATTAATTAAAGAGTAATATTTAAACTTATCTATATTTTAAGAATAAATAAATTCAAATTGAAGTATGAAAGGTTTAAATTAAATGAAACAGTGGACTTGAATAAAGGATGAAAATTATAATTTTAAGAATTTCATTTTTGTTAAATTATAGAAAAGCCAAGAATATTTTTATTTTAGTGTTTGTGTATTTATTCCATCTTATATTGTAAAGGATAATAATCACCTCTTAATTTAAGGAAAAAAAAAGATTAAATTTAAATATAAATTTGTGAATTAATTTTTTACCAAATAGAATGATTAAATTTCAGTAAATACAATTATATAGCTATAATATTACATGTTCTTAAAAAATATCATGAATTATTTAATTTAACTCTGTTTTAAACTCATATATATCATCATTAATTGATTCTATTAATTTAATATTTTACAAATAAATTGTATACCCTGAAATAATCAACACTTATATTGATAAAAGAGGTGTTTATTTTTATTTCTCTTAATATTAATTCTTAACATTGATAACTATTATTAAATAAAATGAGATAAAGGGTTAAATTGGCTTTGATTCTAGTTATGAATTTGATTACTTACGATAATTTTTATAATTAAATTTAATTTTAATTAATTTAACACTTAAACAATTTGGATGATTCTATTTTTAAATAAAATTTAATTATCTCCAATAAAAAAGATTATATTTTTTTGTAATGATATATAATTAAATTTAATTTAAATATATTCAGATCGCAATTTAATCATTATTTAATTTTTAGTTTAACTATTAAAGATTAGATTTCAGTCTAAGTTTAATTTCAAAGTAGTATTGAGAATAAAATATTAATATTTTAAATTAAATTTCCTAAAAATAATAATTCTAATCATATATAATTATAAATAATCATTAAATTTATGAGATTCTTCTTAAATAATTAAAAAAATTAATTTATTTTAAATTGAGACAAAAATTATTATAATATTAACAAATTAAATTAGATTTTGTAAAATATTTTCAATACATAAACTTTTCAATAATTTCACTTTAGATTACCATCATTGCCATCAAATCAGAATGAATTTAAAATGATTTCATTTAATCTATCAATTAATTATGACAATTCATAAATTTTCTTGATTTTTTATCTTCATTATTAACATTATTAAATTTCACTAAATCTATTTAAGCAAGATGCATATTATTTAATTTAGTGTTTACTAAACATTCATTTAAGTATAATTCTCTTTAAAGCATTTACAGATTTTAAGGAATCTAATCAGTAGGAATTTATTATATTTTATAAGAGATATCTTTTAAGTATTAACCTAAAATCTTACCATCCTCAGACAATAATCTCTAGTTTATTCAATTTATATTTACTATCAGTTTATTTTTATCAAGCAATTCTTTTTATAATTTTTATTCTTCTTTTTTCATTTACTATTAAGATGATTCAACAGTATGGTTTAATGATTTTTTCTATATTTAACTTTCCTTCAAAATACTTTAATTAGTCTTTTATCTAAATTAAATTTATATATTTACAGTTCATTATATTTAGTCTATAGTAATTCATAATCATTCTTTACTGATTTATATTAGTCTTATAATCTATCTTTTTCTTAAATTGTTTAATTAGTTGTTTCTACTAATTTTTCATTTTTCTTTATTAGATCTTTAAGCTAATCTATTTAGATATTAAATTACTTCTTGATCTTTAACTGTTAAAGAGTTTTATGAGATTTATAAATTTAGATTAGTATCAGATATTTAATTATTAACAAATTTTAATTCTTCTTCTAGGTTATTAATCCTAGAAGTTAATTTTGTAATAGTTTAATTTTTCATTTTTAATTCATCAATTTAAAATTATATCATTTTTTAAGTATTAAATGAGGATTACGACTAATCACATTTTATTTTTTAAGTATTACTGGATGGTTGAAATACAAATTCACTTTTCTTGATATTTGATTAAGGTGTTGTGAACATATCATAATTAGGTAATGATAATTATTCACCAATTAATCTTTGCATCTTATTAATTTACTTGTCTAAATTTTCAATGGAATTTCTGTGTTTCTTGTTTTTTAAATCATCAACATTATATTACAGGGTTTCAATTGTGTCTTTGTTCACACATTTTTGAGAAAGTAGAAGTTATTAATCTGAATAGTTTTAATTTAATGAATTTATTTCTTGGAGAAGTAAATAAATAAGATACTTAAGAAGTAAGAGATCGGTACAACTATAAAAATCAAAGCATTAATTATCTAAACAAAAAGATTGCATTTTAGCTATTGTGGATGTACTAATGGTATTATCATTCTCTTTAGCAAACCTAAAGTTCTTTAACTTATTTTCAACCCTAAGCATAATTAATTTAGTATTCTTATTCATAATAGAGAGTTAAGAAAATTATAATTATTTGAATGTGCTATTGGATTCTTCTTAATAATCTTATAAATTGCTGCATGATCTATTCTTATCTATTTTCTATTTTCTAATTCCATCACTCTATTGTTATATGTCATTAGTTAAAATATATGATTCAATCATGCTATTTCTCCTTGTTGGAACCTTGACTTCACAGGTTTTCATATGAATATTTGAAGCCTTTGTTAAAAGTTTATTGACTTATTTATTGAGGTAATCATCTCTAGAATGTTAAAATGGTTGCATTAATTTAATTATTAAATAAAAGAGAAATATAATTATTTATTTTTATAATAATATCGTAAGAACAAAATTAGAGTTGGATAAGAATAAATAAAATTTTAAAGATGGAAACCTATATAAAGAGATTAAAGTTATTATAATAATATTAGAGTTTTGATGTTAATACAGAATTATTTACTTCAACTATTAATTTAAAGATTAATTAGAAGAATAATAAATTCTGTATTTAAGTTTAGGAGATTTAGAAATAGGAAATCTATGGAATCTAAATAATTATTAGTAGTTGTGATCAAATTTATATATCTATAATTGTGAATGGGGATCATTTTTTAATATTGATTTAGTTATGAAAATGATTGATATTCAAGTTATAATAAGGTATCTTTATAAAACCATCTCTATAATTATTTATTTTAATATATATTAATTAATTAAATGAGTATTGATATATCAAGAAATATTTATAATTAAATTTATAATGTATGAATAATAATTTAAGATAAGAAATAAAGCTTGATAATAAAATTATTTAAACAATTCATATTTATTTAAAAGTTTAAAGAAAGAATAATCTTGAGTGAATCATTATATATATAGAATTCTTTCAGATTACCAAACTTTGGATTGAATATATATAAAATACTACAATTATACATTTTTAATATTAAAAAAAAAAAGTGGAAATGAAATAGAACATGAGTATTTTGCTTAATTTAAATATATTTATTAATTATTAGTTAATTCAAATAATCCACACTTTTTAATTTTAAACAAATTTTGCTAATTACAATTAATTTTTAAAGAAAGTGATTGAGAATGCCTAAAATATTTATAATTTAATATCTGAAGAAATTTCAAATTTCAAGGTGAAAGATAAAAATTAGTATTAATAATTTATTCTTATAATAAATTAAAATGCATTATGTTTAATTTCAAAAAAAATAAAAGAAATAAGAAATAATACCAAGCCAGAAATCTATAGACACATTTTCCTTTTGCAAATATAAATATTTTTAGATTGAATTATTTAAATATATAATCTTTTTGCTATTATTAATTAACCATACTAAAAGACATAAGTATATTTAATTTTATTGATATTTATATAAAAAAAATATGAATTAAATGAAATGCTGAATTTAGAATAAAAATGATACAGATTTTAATAATAAATAATTTTTAATATGCTGATTCTATTAAAAATAAATATTATTCACCTTAACTTAATTAATCTAAGAAAAACAGTAACAATAAGTGCAGTCATTGCAATTATCATTAATACTTTAATTTCAATTATTGATTTTTGGATTGCGACCAATGTAATACTATTAATGATTTAAATTCCACCTCTAATAGATCGATGATTTTTGAGATTTTATAAACCTTTTTTATATAAGATTTCTTGTTCTTAGTTCTTTTTTTCAATTATAAATGATATTTTTTCCTTAACATTAGTTGTAATCTGAGAATTAGATCCTATTTTTTTTTTTAAATGGTCAGACAAATTAATATTTTACGTTAATTTTGGAAATTAAGAAAGTATCTGAATATATTTTCTTGTAGATATATAGATTTCACCTCGATATACCTATTCTTTTGATTTATTATTCTTATTTTTTTTATTAATTTTAGATTGCCTATTAGAATGCTCTCTTATTTATTTCAATCCAATCTTTAAAGTTTGTTATTCACAAATTTAAATTATTCGAATAGTATAAAACTTTAGAAACTTGCTCTTATAGGCATAATGTTACATTGATTAGATTAAAATTATATAATTATTAAATGGAGCATCTAGGAAAATTATTTATCTTGGTTTAATACCATTAATTAAGAATTATTACTTGTCACTTTCACCATAAATAAAATATATATTTATTATGTATTTTCCAGTATAAAATATTAAATATATGATTTTATAATAACAAGAACAAAAATACTATAATCTATATATTGTATTATATTTGGATTAGATTTTTTATAAAGAAAATACCATATTTATAAAAGGAATCTTAAAATATATTTTAATTATTAAAATATTTCTATATATTTTAAAGAATCTAGAATAATGATTTACTCAAATTTTAGTATTATATTAAGTAATATAATAAAATCTAATTTTGTAATCATTAATTAATTAAATATATTGTTGTTCAATACACATTGGTATTACTAAAGTTTGTACTTTGATTTTATTTCCAGATTCCTTGCTTTGTCTTTATTGATTATCGATATTATTCAATTTTATCAACACATTATTACAATTTATCAAAAAGTTGATTATTTTTAACTTCAAAGGCTCTATCAATAAGTAGATAATCGGAAAGAATTCTATTTATTTTATCTACTTATAAATAAAGATTATATTAGAAAGCAGTGTCTTATAAAGGATCTTAATTTACATTTCTGCCTCCTCTTTTACTTTAATTTACAATCATTTCTTCTATAGTTCCTTTAGTTTGAAATAGAGTTTTGAGCTTGGCAATGGTTTTTTCATTATCGACATTTTTATCAACAAGATTAAGACATGAATTTAGTTCATTCCAAATTGCAAGAAAATTTTACTTTTGTGATTGAATTTACACAATCGGTTTAGGTTCAGAAACCTATTTTTTAGGTAGTTATTTGCCAGAACAGGCTCCCATCTTTTAATATTAAAATATATTAATATTAATTTATGAACGAAGACACAGAATTTTAAAAGAAAGTACAAATAGCAGTAGATTCTGTATATATTTATATGAAATGTTAGTATTTAGGAAAAAGAGATAAACAATCATAAATGGTTGAATAGATTTAGAATGTTTTAGAAAGGGAATAATTGATTGAATAAGTTCAAAAATTACTTGTGGAATTGATTACTAAAATGACAGAGCGTTTTATATCTAATGTAAAGACATATAATATAATTATAATAGATGAAAAATCAAGTAGAGAATGAGATTTTGAAATTGAGATAAACAATTAGATCAACACATTAGAGAACATATTCAGCAGTAGATAAAGAAAAAGTGGAAGATTAAGTACAAAGGACTTTGAATAAGCATGATGTTTAAATAAATATGTTATTGGAGCATCAGTAAGCTTATTTTTGTTCATTATTTTAGGGCTTAATTAAAATAATTGAGATAAGAAGGACCAAGTAATGAGAGTATTATAGTTAATATAAATTAAAGTAAGAGTGGGAAATAAGTATTAAAAAGGATTAGGAATCATTGAAATTAGAAATTGATGAGTAATTAAAATAATTCTAACGAAATTACAATTGTATTTTATATATAAATATGTGAATAAGAAAAATAATAGACAATAATGTAGATATTAAATGATTTAGTTGTAAAGATTGAGAATTTAGAAATGTAATAATAACAATAGAGATAATTAATAATTGGATCAGATAAGAAATAAAAGTGAGTATTAATTGATTTAAAATAAATAATTTTAGTATTATATTAATTTAATAATTTATCATCTATTCTAACTTAATAAAAAGTATTAAATAATTATAATAAATATTAATTTTGTAAATTTAACATATAAATAGAAATCTAAATTGTCACAATCATATAATTTAATCCCAATAAATAGAATTTTTTAAAATATTATTACAATTCAAAGAAAAAAATATTTGATATCTAATAGAACAATTAAATTATTAATAAAAAAATCAGAAAAATTAACTTTAAGTAACTATTTTCTAATTTTATTTTATTATGAGGAAATTAGAATATACTATTCTATTATTGTTGTTATCAATAAGCCCAAGATTATAGGATTTTTAATTAATAAAATCTGCATATAATAAATTTAACTAAATATAATGGCTTAACTATTAATTAGATTAATCTTTTAAGTTTAAAAATAGCAAATATTATTTGATATTAAACTATTATTTATTTTGATAAATTCTAGATTATCACTAAAATTAAGTTAAAGTGAATTTTATATTGTAACAATAATTTGATAATTTGAAGGTCATTAATTTATTATAATTGATAATTTATAAAAAAGGATTGTGTTATAAATAATTTAAACAAACATAGACTTTTTGTCTAAGAATGGCATATTTACTAAGATATGATTCTTTATTAGTTATATTTAGTTAATATAGATATATTAGTGTAAATTTAATTAGATCTTTAAATTTTAGTAATTATTTTAGTTATAAAATTTATAGTTTATTTGTAATTGTATGTAATTATTATTTTTTTAGATAAAAATTTCCTTTTAATGTAAGGTTATTTTATGTAGAGAGATTAAGACTCTTTTAGTTTAATAATATAATGGATATTAAATAGAAATCAAATATTTAGGAGCATATATTTAATTTTAATTGTAAATTATAGAACCTTCTAAATTAGAATTTTTAATAATTTTCTTCTAAAATGAGTTCAAATAGACTTCGAGAGATGAGAGAGAACTTTCATTCAGAATTGAGAAAGAGAACTTTAGAATAGACATTTAAATTGAAGAGATTAGTTAATAACCCAGTAAAACATTATCCAATTGAATAATTAATTGATATAGTGGATAAGTTGATGAGATTTGAAGAATTGAACGATGAAGAATATTAAATAATGGTATCAATTTTAGATGATGTTCAATCAACTGCTATAAATGATCCATCTTAATTTTGTGAATGGGCAGAACATTTAAGAATAATCAAAACATTGGTTGATTCTATGTGTTTAGGTTCTGATCCAAAATATTCTGTGATTGCTACAAAAGCAGCAAATTGTTTTAGATAATTAGTTAAGTAGAAAAAGTCAAGGATCTATGTAAATGAACATTTTGATTAAGTTTGTGAGATTTACAAATCTTGGATAGATTCTGATTCAAGTTTATTGAAAGATAATGTATAAATTAATGTAAATATTGTTAATAGGGATTAAGAGGTTTAAATTAATTAGTAGAATTGCATTCACCAAAATTCTCGAAATATGATATAATTGAAAGTGTTTTAAAGTCTTTATAAGTGAATAGAAATAATGATAAGGCACTAAGAATATTAGCAAGTATTACAAAGAGTATTGATGATGATAATTAAGTAATTGCTATTTTGAGAATTGCCTCAAAATTGATTGAAAGTGTAGATAATAACTGTAATTGATATTTTTTAATTAATTAGTAAAAGAAAAAGGTTTAATGATACTTGAGAATGCTAGTAGAAACATCTAGAATATTTAATTTATTTTGACTATGAGAATAATGTAAACTATCATGAACCTAATTTTTAATAAAGATAAAAATATCTCAAAATTGTCTCTATCAATTTTAGTAAATTTGTCATTCACATCAGAATTTGATGAATGTGCTAAAATGTTGGATTTAGGAATAATGGATGCACTCTATAAATTACTTAAGAATACATAATATACATATTATAGAATTTATGGAAGCATGATATTTAATAATTTAATGGCTTCTTCTCATTTAAATTTAGATTAGATAATTTCAAATTAAAAATTATTAGATGTTGTATTTGATTTATTAGAAAATGATGTTGTAGATGTTAGAAGAGAAATCTATTAGGCATTTAAAAACTTTTTAGTTGTTTGTACAAAGAAATAATTAATAATTATGATTGATTCTGGTTTGTTGGATTATGAAATTTAAGGTTTAGATGACATTGATAATAATATAGTATTTTTATCTTTAGAAAGTAATATATTTATTAAATTAAATTAGCATTGGCATTAATAATGAAATAATTTTAATCAAGTGAATATGAAGTCTAAGTTTATTTATACTTTTTAAAAAAGAATGTTCCTAATAAACTTTTGAATTTGAACCATAATTCTAATGTTGAAAAGATAAGTAATTTAGTTTAACAGCTTCTAAAAGAGTTTAATGAGTTTAAAGAGCTTAAAGAATTTAAAGAGTTTAAAGAGTTATATGACTATGATTATTGATTAAATTAAATCTTTAATTAGTTTAATGAATAGAAATGTTTTATTTAAGTTTTTTGATCCTGTTACTTTAGCAGGAGATCCAATCAGAGGAGAATGTTACATTAGAATAACAGAAGAAATACCAAAGGCTTAAATAGTTTTGACTTTTTAAACCAAAATGTATTCAAAGATAATTGAAAAAAAGTAGGTAATTATATAGATTTGTATCTTAAGATACCTTATGATCAAAGTAATCCTTAAATGATTCCAGAAAAATTAGTTGAGAAAGCTCAAAGAATATAAGTGACTCTAGATTCACCATTTAGATAACCAAAGCAAACTTAAAAGAAATATGAGCTTAATGGTGATATCATGTATAGAGTAATTAGACATTATGGAACACATGAATCTTTTGTTTACACATAAGAATTATATACTGGATAAGTGAAAACAGGAGATTATAAATTTTAATTTAGTATTCCTACTTAATATAATATGTCTTCAAGTTTTTAGTATAAAAATGAAGATGGTATCTATTTAACTTTAAATTAGGATTAAAATAAGCAAAATGTGGTTATAAAGTAACATTAAGAGTTGATTTACCTGATGAAGCTAGTACATTGATGATGGAAAGTGCTGATGTTTTTATTAATGGAAGAGTGTCTTCAGAATGTGAACAATTTAGATAATGTGAAGGGAATATCGTTTAATATTTATGTTTAAATCGAGGAACTGTTGAGTTATCTTTGAAATTAAACAAAAATAATTTCATTCCTGGAGAACAAATACAAATAGAATACACATTAGATAATACTCGTTCTTAAAGATCAATTAGTAGAGTAGAAGCTAGATTGATTAATAAACTCACATTTATTGATGATGATGAAATTGAAAGAATTATAGAAAATGTTAAAGTATTCCAATAGAATTTAGGTGGTGTTAATTCTGGTTAAAAATTAGAAAGACAAAATGCTTCATTAGAAATACCTAAAAATTTAAGAGCTACTATTAAAACTAATGTTATTAGAAATTAATACTTTTTGTAAATGGAAGCTATTGCTGTATTGAAATGATCTTAATCACAAATAGGATGCCTTCTTAACTTGGTTGTCAGTTCCAGTTATTTGCCAAATCCCAATAAATATTCAGGAATCTCAATTACCTTAGAAAATTAATTTGGAAGGATGGAATTTTTTACCTATCATGAATGTATCAGTCAATGCATTTTCCAATCTAACTGTTCAATAGTCATTTGTACCAACATGATTATTTATTATTAATTCATATACTTACATGGATAAAATAAAATCTCTTAATATTGATTTTGCTTAATACCAGACTGATTACCTTAGACCAATTCCAAATATTGTGATATCTGATCCATTATGGAATGACAATATTTTTTTAATGAATGTACAATGGAATTATACTCTTGAAATTAATCAAGATAAATTGAGTCAAGTAAAAGAGATCATCTAAAAAACATGTACAACTGAAATTAATGATGAAGAATAAAGAGTATATTAAATACATATTATCATTTAGCTATTATTTGATTATCTCTCTAATGAAAAAGATTTACTTAAAAATTGTGGATTCACTTGTCAAAGATTACCTATCATTATTGAAAAAAATAAAGAGATTGCACATTTTTTATTGATTTAAATATGCAATTTAGAAGGCTTTGAAGAGTATTTTACTTATTAAATATTTTAGATTTTTAGAAGTCTTCATCTAAATTGATGTCACTTAGAATACACTCGAATTATTTGCTCAATTATTTGGTGAACTCAAATTACCATAAGAATATATTACACAATATATTAATTATTGCATAGACTTTTGTAATAACATTAAGGTAATTCAAAAATTGTGAATTATAGGAAAAATAATAACAAAATAAATTGGTTAGATTTGTTTCCGTATTTATTTAGTAGATGCTCAAATAAAAGGCATTTGTTACCAAAGACATTCTCACTGATGTAAGAATATATAACATTTAGTTATAAGCATTCTGTATTGAATTCTCCAAAGTCGGTGAAGTATCAAAGCTCTTCAAATTAGTCAAAGGTCAAGAGCCTACAACATAATGATTTAATATCATTTCATATTCGCTTTGTAATTAGTCATATTTCTTATTATTATATATTATTTTTATCATCTCAAATACCTTTTATCTTTTGATATTTTTAGAATTTTTATAAACTAAACTTAACAAAAATTTTACTACTTTTTGAATATTTATACTTATTAGAATTATACACTATCTAATATTAATTTTATATAATAAAACATGTGTAAAATTAATAAAGTACAACTAAAATTAAAAACAAAGTAAATACTTAATACTTCCAGTCATGCTTGAAATCTTATGATATATCTAAACTTAAGCGAGTTAGATTTTTAGATTTTAAATAATCGACATTTAACACAAAACAAATTAAACAAAGGGGATAGTCTAATAAATTTCTAAATTTTCAAATAACTTTCAATTAGAAATATTACATAAATATTATAGTTTGTATTTTCTTATCATCATATTACATTTTAAGATTTAATAACATGTGTATAGATAATAATGAAATCTGCATTTCGAAAATACTAAATTACATAATTCAAAATTAGAGAAATATTTAATATCTAATTCTTTATAGAAGTTTCACTTTTTCTAATTTAATATAAATATATGCATTTCTACATTGAATAAATAATAAAAAATCAATATACTTGCATCATCAAAATTTATAAGTTTATGACAATAACACAATCATGATATTAATTATTTTAATAATTTATTTTAAGCTTAACTTTTTCTGTAAATTTATACTTGACTATGAAAACAGAGCAAAATGACACCAAAATTTTAAATAAAAGCGAAGAGAATTAATAAAGTATTGAAGAACCACGAACTGTCTTAATTAATTAACCTCTGAATTTTGTTTAGACTTAAAACCTTTTTGTCTTTGAATTTAAGTCTGATACCTTAAGCTTGATCGACCTTTTAAGATTTAAACACTCCTTGGCCAAAAAGATCATCAAAAAATTTAAAAAATGAAAAGCTTCATGATTTTTTCCAATATTTATCAATTACCTACACAAATATATTTCACAATTATTTAATTAAAACCTCTTTTTCATCTTTACTCAATTTCAAAATTCTTGCGATTATCAAAAAAAGGTCTTTTACAAGCATATATAAATTTTTCAATAATTTATTTAGATCAGTAATGTTAGGTTTAAAAACATTTATGCGATATTCTTTATTGGCGACATCTATGCTCTTTATAAAACAGTTAAGGTAATATCAAAACTACAATAATTTTATTCTTTATTTCTTAAAGAAGACTACTGTTTAAATATTATTATATTTGTTTTAAATTTCAAGAAAAATAGATATTCGAATATTCCTTTGCTACTTAAGATTTAATCCTACATTATATTTTGTAATTTTTACAATTTAGGTTGGTTTTTAGTTATATTTTGTTATTTTTTTCCAAAGTTTTTAATGATATTATTTGAAAAATGGTTTATGAAGTTTCCATTTTTTAGAAATGATATAAATATGAGATGAGTAGTGAGATAATTGTTTTATAAAATTATTTAAATTTTATAGTTATCTAATTCTAGAAATTCAAAAATTTTAATCAAAAATTGATGATAGGACTATAAGATTTTGATAAAAAATTGTAAAAAATATAATTTTATTGAATAATTCAAAAAATAGGCAACTCTAAATATGAATTTTAGATGATATTTTGTTATTATGAAACTGAATGTAATGTTAATTCAATCATTAAATAATTAATATTACAAAAAAGGCGCTAAATTTTATTTCTTAAATTTCATATTTTTTTTAAATATTAATTATATTGGAATATTTGTTTTAATAATATTCTATTTTTTGATTTTCTTTTTCTTTAAATTCAAAATAAAATAATTCTTATTTGAAACTAAAATTACATTTTTTTGGATATATTAAAAAAAATTATTTCATAAATTAAATAAAATGCTCTTTTATTAAATTATTCATAAATTTTTCTATTTTTGTATTTAAAAATCAATTAATTGAAATAAGGAAAAGTTTATATTAACATTGATATTCTGTTTTATGATGGAATATTTAGAAAAATAATTTCAATATTTTAATATCAAATTTAAGCAAAATGTAGAAAATATATAAATAAAAAAACATTATTATTATTAATATAAAATTATAATGAATTCAAGTTTAATAGCACGATTTTAAAACAGCGCAGTAGTTTATTATGCATAGAGAGGATGGTATTGGACAAATAGAGTAGGAAAATTGAATATTTTGACTGCTGCAGCCATTTGGTATATATTTGCAGAAAGGTAATGATTGAAAAAATAGAATTTAGTTCAATTGCAGGCAAATAGAGACCAACTTTTTATAGACATAATTGGATATAGAATCCAAAGCCTTCACGTGTGATCTTTGAGGATAGATCATGAGATATATCTATATCTATATTAGAAATAAAATATAATTATTTTGAATATGATTTTAATTTTTCATTATTATTATGGTGTTGCTGATGTGAAAAGGTTGTCTACTGGATTTGTACATAGAAACTAAGATAATATAAATAATTAATACATCTGCTTATGGGTTGAGACATTAATAACAAACTCCATTATTTAAATAGTAACCATATTTACAAATAGCACAGCCATTGGTTCCAACAGAATAACAATTGGCTTAAGCTAAAGTGACACAACCTCCATTCTAGAACACATAGCCAGCTATACAGGATGTGCAAGTAGTGCCTGGAGCAACACAAGTTTGACATTCTGGTTGACAAGCAAAGCAACTACTAGTAGTGACTGAATTAGTTCCAGAAGAAGTGGTAGTAACAAGGAAATAACCATCAGCACATTTGGTACAAGACTAAAAATAAGAAAAATATATTACATTAGCTTATTAACAAATTTAACAATTGGAAACACAATTGTTACAAGTGACAGTATTATTAGATGTTGATGTACCTGTGGAATTATTGGTATCTGTAGTAACTGCAGTAGGATAAAAACCAGAAGAACAAGTTTAACATCCAGCAGAATTACAAACTTCACATCCTTTGACATTTGGACATGCTGTACATCCATATGATGTTGTTAAATAATATCCAGTTTAACATGCAGCACATTATAAAGAAGCAGATTAGCTTGATCCAGTGTTAGCAATTACTTAACATTTTATACATTGAGCATTGGTTGATGTGCATAATTAACATGTATTACCAACTATAATGTATCCAGTAATACAAGATGTACAACCTGAATTATTATCATAAGTTAAGCATTTATTATTAGAAATTTAAGGCATACAACTGGATCCATTCAAATAGAAATTATCTAAACATTAAGTTGGACTTGTTGATGATACACATCTTAAATAGTTCTTACCAGCTACTGCACTGCATAATGAACATGTTGTAATATTATTGGTAGTGTTACGATAATATAAATCTTAACAAGCTGAACAATTTAATTGAGTTCCATTATAAGAACATGAAGTACATCCTGTAATTGTAGAACAAGCAACACATTTCTTATTTGTTTAATCATATGCATATCCTTGAGAAACACATTATGTGCAACTATTATCAGCATCACAAGCTAAACATCCACCAGTACATACAACACATTTTCCACTATATAAGTAATATCCAGATGGGCAAGATCTACATGTTGGGATTAATGATTAAGCATGTGGGGCAGTTTAAGAAGTATCACAAGTCAAACAATTAGATATTGCAGGAACAGTTGAACAAAGTTAACAATAGTTAATTCCTGAATATGGATAGACCATATAATATCCAGAGAAACAAGTTTAGCATGATTGATTATTTGAGCAAGTCTAACATCCTTACATACATGGTTAACAACTTCCTTATGATCCATTTGATGGTTATTGAAGATATTATGATGTTTACCAGAAGTATCCACTTTGACAAGTAGTACAAACTGTTGGACCAGTGCATGTAATACAATTAGATATTGTGCAAGCTGAACATTAAGAGGGGAAATTATTGAAATATGGATTTGCATCTGTTGAAACTTATGAAACAAAGGAGTTATACTACCAATTCAAGTAGAAACCAGAAGCACATTAAACACAATTACCAGTTGTAGTACTGAATTATTAGCAATTTTGACTTGGTACACAAACATTTGATACAAGTGAATAGGATGCAATACATGCAGTACAAATTAAAGTTGTACCATCATTACTAATTATATATGTTTAACATCCTTTAGGAATTTCTTGACATGTACTTTTAAATAAATATTATATTATACTTTTGAACTAAAGCATATCCAGAATTACAAACTATAGAAGTGCAGTCTAAGTAAGTGGAACATACACAATAACCATTTGCACTAGCATTAGGTTTACCAGAAGTTGGTAATGATTTGCATGGAGAGCAGTATTAACTATTCCAATATTATCCATTGGCACAAACATAAGCTGGACTAGATGAAACTGCTACTGGAGTGGCAGGTACAACGGTCACATTAGGTGCTTAATTTGAATATGGTCTGCAAATTGACTAATAGAAAATAGATTATATGTATTACATTAGTAAGTGGAGACAAACATTATAAGCAATATCCAATACCATTTATGGTTGATAAATAAAATCCATATTAACAAGAAGTACATCCCTTAGTTGAATCAACTACGAGACACTTGATCAACACACATTATACACCATTATTACTAGTTTTGATTAATGTGTAATTTAGAGAACATGTTTTACATGTTGTACCATCAACACAAATATCACAATTATTTATACAAGTGAGACATTTTTTATCAGTAGAGTTATAATAATATCCAATATCACATGTGAAAGTATTTGCATTTGATGCTAATAATTATTCTTTTCCAGTTGCATTTTATTATTAAGCACAAGTAATAGGTGGTCCAGGTGTATAAATCAATCCAAGGCCACAACAGTTTTAATTTCCAGTAAGGTTAGTAGTTGATGCACATGGAAGACAAGATGATCCATCAAGGTAAAATCCTGGTAAACAAGTTGGTTTAGGTGTACATGTGACAGTAGTTTATCCTGGAGTACTTGAACCATCTGCTGAGCAATCACTCTATTTTGAACTACAATTGCAATAAGAGCATACTCCATTTTAAGGAGGATTATTTCCTAAAGCAGCTGGTAAACAAGTTGCACATTAACTATTAGAAGCAATTGTTTGACAAGTTTATAATGTAAGATTAGTTGCTTAAGTATTTGTATCTTTGGCTAATACACATGAACCACTTAATAAGAAATATCCATTTTAACATTGAATAACATTAATTGTATTGTTACTCTTTGAACATCTTAAGTAACTGGTATTTGTTGTAGCACAAGATATACATGAACCAGAATCCAAATAATAGGTATCTGCACATGTATTACAAGTAGCAGTATTTGTCACACTAAAATCAATACAATTGGATGGAGCTGACAGACATTGTTATGAATTATTAGTAAGTTTAGTAGTTGGTGAACATTATGTGCATGTTACAGTTGGAGTATTTTAATTATTGAAATTACACTTTTAACAACTGGTTATTTATGAAGAACATAATTAGCAAACATTGTTATCATCTTTATAGTAATTATCAAAGCATTATCCACAAGTAATTTTTGTTTATGCTTAATCACTATATGAACAAGATGAACAGCCTGTTCCACATGAATTACAACTTGTGTTTGATTTCAATACGAATGTTGCAATACAATTACTACATTATACTTGATCATTTGTATAAGAGCATGAATTAGAAGCACAATTTACATCACATTATTTGCAAACATTTTGAGAATCAAATACATAACCAGATTAACAAGCAGTACATGTCAATTGACCACTTTAAGTTGAACATGTTTTGCATCCTGTTATACTAGTACATAAAGCACATGACTAAATTATATTATAATATTAATTACATTTTAGTTATTTGCTTGTAAATATATATAATTGTTGACAGTATCACATGTATCGCAAGTGTCTGCATTCTAACATGATAAACAATTGCTCATGCATTTAGTACAAGTTCCTTTAGTGGTTGAATCTGAAGGAGCAGTGTAATAATATCCATCTAAACATTTATCACATGTTGTTGAATTTTAACATTTTACACAAGATGGTATATTAACGTTACAGGCCAAACATTATCCAGCATTACTATCGTTTTGAGTACTTGATAAAGCAGACTTAGATTATGTTGGACTCCAATAGTATTAATCCATACATTAAACACAAGTATAACTATTTTTAATATATAATTATATTGATACCCTGATGTACATATCTTACAATTATTGAGACATTTATTGCAAATCACTTAATTGATATTTTAGTAGTAATCCCAGGATTAAAGAGTTTACAATTGGAAATTTTAAGTGAAATAATATCCATCGACACAAGTATCACAAGTACCTGTAACTAAATTCATCTAAGCACAATTGTTTGATTAAACACAGATTCCAGCTTTGAATATTCAATTATTATCATACCAACCATAAAATATCCAGATGAACATTATGTACAAATTACTGATGTATTTGAATCACCCCAAGCATAATTATTACATCCGGTTGCTCTCAATAATATGTATCTATGAATAAGAACATAATGCATACGAGTTTTATCCATTAGTCAAAACTTAGCAATTTGTTAATGAAGAATCGCATACTTTAGTATCGCAGCCTCCATATTTTGTACATGTGCAATACCCATTCTTCACCTACATACATGGTATACATAGTTAGCCATTCCATCCAAATCCTAAAATGAATAATCATCATAATGCATACCATTGAGGCATAGCCCTGTTGTAGCTGGTTAACTCTAAACCACTGTATTTGCACCTTATGCAGGATTTATAGGGTTCACTGAATAGTCTATAGCTAAACCAATTGTAAACAACTAGCTGAAGAGCAAAATTGTGAGCAAAATCTTTGTTCTCATTTTTTTATTTTTAATAATATCTCTATATACTTCAAACAATCCGTATTAATAGTAATGAAATTCATAATATTATCTTTTAAACTATATAAATCTATTTTCAATCTCATTCAACATAATTCCACTACATCTATCTCACCTTCATTTTCTTTATGTCAATTTTTTTTCTGGCTCTTATTACCCCAATAATTATTCTCAATGTTCTCATTGTTTCTACAAAGTTTCTACATATATTTATACAACCTTCCTCTAGAATACAATATATTTATTAAAATATGGAACTCATTAATTTTAAAAATTTAACTTCCCAAATTTATTACATTCCAACTCTCCAGTAAATCTAACACTGATTCAACTATCCTTAATTGCATTTTATTTATATAGAGAGAGTATTTTAAATATCCATTCATCATTATAATATACACTATAACATTTTAGATCCAATTTAAAATATTTAACACAAAGAATCATCAAAATGTGGAATTACCATATTTATATATAATTTGTTTAATATCATAAATAATTGTTATACTATACACATTTTTACTAAGAATTCTATGTTTAGAAGTTTCGACTGAATAAAATTATCTTGTCTAAACATTTTATAATACAAAATTAGTTTAAAAGTCGAACTTAATATATACTTTTTAATTACAATGCATATATTAATAATAATTTGTATACATAGATTCAAGTTTATTTTGTTGACTTTTTCAGAATGATAGTCTATCAACTAAACTATCCAATAATGAAGTTAAACAAAACTAATACTAAACATAGATTCTATTTATGAATTCTGTAGTCCCTTGAAATTCATACATTCTAAGTAAAATGATTACATTCTTTCAACTGAATTATATTAATTTTATTAATATACAAATGGCTTTTTTGTATGAAGAAGATAGAGGATTGACATAAACAAAAGATCCTTACCCACATCTAGGTCCTGGAGTTTATCAGATTCCTGAGCATCAGACTAAAACTGCTTATGCTCCTTTTCTCTCGACTGGAAAGAGATAAGTAGAGATAACAAACAAATAAAAAGCATTATTCCCTGGTCCAGGTTAATATGAAGTGTAATACAACATGGGTGATTCTGGAGTGCAAGCGTACATGAATAAAAGCACCATAATAGTCAAAGTTTAAGGTAATGGAAGTAGTTCCTTCAAAAGTGGAATAGAGAGATTTTAAGAAAATAAAAAAGTCAAAGAAGTATTTTATAAAACTTAATCTAGGTCCCTGGCCCTGGTCATTATGATACTCATAAAGATAACTTATAAAACAAATAAGCACATTTGTTTCAAAATTAAAAACTAGATGATATTAGAAATTAAAATCACAGAAGACGTATTAATTCAATACCTGAACCGAAAACATAAATTGGGATGGTTTATGAAGACATTGAAACTTTGGCTTAACATCAAAAATTACTTAAACAGCAAAAGAAAGAAAAAGTTGTAGGTCCAACCACTTATGAAGCTTAATAGGATAAATAAACCAAAGGGATCTCTTGGGACAAAAGTACAAAGCCTCGATTTTAATAAGAATAATCTACAGATATAGGACCTGGTAAATATAATGTTGTTGATGAAAAAAAGAAGAAAAATAAATCTCCTGCATTTCTATCTGAAACTGTTAGATCCTATTATGATAAATTGATTTATAAAACAAATAGAGAAATAAATGCTGGCTTAAGAAAATAAATCAATTACAAAGATTAATATTCTCCAGGACCTGGTTAATACAATGATGGCAGAGTATCAATCAAAGTTCAAAAAAAAGCTAGAGAATTTTAGTTTTTTGGCTCCTCTTTAGAACGATTCAGATATATACAGGAATCTTCAGTTGGCCCTGGAGATTATAGAATAGAAGACTCTTCATTTGATTAATTGGTAAAAAAGAAAAACTATACTAATGCTACATTTTTGAGTTCTACTGGTAAAGGAGATTTATAAACTCCTGATGAATAATTGCCAGGACCAGGAGCATATTATGTTCAAAATGATATTTATACAGATCTAATTCGTAAATAAGACAGAGGGGTTGGTGGGTATTTAGGTGGTAAAGAGAAAAGATTTTATGATAAACCTCCACTTTGTAAGGCTGGACCTGGGAGTTATGATATTAATAAAGGCGAAAAAAAGAGAGCTGTTAGTTCTTGTTTTAAATCCTCTTCTAGAAGAGATGCTATAAATAAGACTACTGGTCCTGAGATTGGGTAATATAAATTAGATCAACAAACTATTGGATATAAAATGTAAAAGTAGTTAAAATTTTTAAAAAATCTATAAAAAATTGATGTGCAGAAGCCTGGATTTGATTGTGCTGAACCCAGATTTAAAGAAAATTAGGAAATACTCTAAAGTATGTCTTTTACTGAACAAACTTAATATCCATCTGGATCATTTAAATAAGTAACTGCTCCATTTAAATCATAATAACCTCGTCTTGGTTATATTAGTAGATAATTCACACCTGGAGTTGGCAAATATCAAGTTGAATCCAGCAATTGGAAAATCAATAGTTTCAATACACATTATAATAAATTATTATCAGACTCATGATTTTTTTAATGATTTATTAATTAAACAGATCTTTTTTATAATAATTTAATCTCATAAACTTATCTTCTCATATATTAATAATTCCTTGTTATTATGGGGTTATTAGAATGTCAATATTGTATTAATATCAACCTTATAGACATTTTCCTATTTAATTTATACCCAAGTTTTATTTTTACATAAAGTTATCATATAATTTAATTAATTATCCTCATTATTACAGTGTATGATACTAATTAATTAATATTAAAAATCTGTTTATTCTGGATTTAAAGATGTACTTTGAATATTTAAAGATATCTTCATATCTGCTTATTAAAATGATAGTTCAGAAGTATTGAAAATCAAAAATTAAGGAAATATAATAAAATTGAAATCTGCATCATTTTCATCAATTTTATTTTCTTGACCTTCCAATTTAATCAAATCATTTAAATATTTTGAAAATTCACCTTATGGTGTAATTAGATTCTCAAAATATCTTACATATTTGATACTATTAATGAGTGGCACTTCATTAGGTAAAACTAATTAATTTATTTAAAATTATACTTTCCATATTAATTGGAAATGATCGTTATAAAAAGAAAAACATATCAAAAATTGGTGAATCTTAAGTTTGAATAATGGTTGCAATTTATGATTTTTATTATTCATTTTTAATTATTACTTTTGTTAAATGATCAATAATCTAAAATAAAAAATCATTTGCTTTATTATCATTTTAATTCTAAATTTTGATTAATTCTTATAATTAAATTGCTGTTGAAGATTAAATTTAATCATTTTCTTTTCTAATATAATTTATAAATTGATATATAATTAGACTTACTTTTTCATTAACCACTAAAATTTTATTCAAAGGAGTCATCAATTCCAATAAATACATTATACTATAAAAATAGGTGGGTACACCATTGAATATAGGTATACATCTTATTCCTAATTATTCAAAATTACAGTTGTTTATTTTAAAATTTCTCATTTATAATTATTAAATTTCATTTGTATATTTTTTAATTTCAGCATTTGCTTAAGCTAATTAATCTCCTTAAATTTTCATTTATTATTCCAATTATATAACTTAATTTTATAAAACATGTTATTTATCAAGTTCCATTTGCTAAATTTAATCTAAATAATTTACATCATATAATTTATGAATTTAATTCTATAATGATTAATTCTCTTATTATAATTTTACTATTTCTACTTTACTCTACCTCAATTCTTGAGTTTCTTTAAAAAAGAGTTAATTATTATTGATTTGATTTTTAAGATCCTAGATTTCACTTTTGAGTTTGCTAATTTATTATTATAGATTCTAATTATCTTATACTAAAAGCTTTTCTGATTTAATTTATTACTCTAATTGTTCTTATAATTTTTTCTTCTCTAAAAAAACTTCAATATAATTCTTTTAGGTATTTTCTCTTAATATACATTATTACTAATAGGTCTACAAATGCATTAATGTAAGCTCAAATTCAGACTTGAAATCTGAAAAATTTTGAATTTGATAGAAATTTATATCTATACTCTTGAGTCTCTCTTGATTCTAATTGCTTTAAATTAGCTCTATATTTTGATGATGGTTGGACCAAAATTCTTACAAACTTTATTAATAATAGGTTAAATCTGGTGAGTTGTTGCTTGAATTATATCCAGCGTTGAACTCTATTTCTTAAAGTTTGTTTACCTCTTAATTTTACATCAATGAATTATTTCATTTCTTTTGGACTTTGTAGATACAATGTTATAAGTGACATATTTTAGAGTAGTTTTTGGTATTAGTTCATATTAAAATAAGAGATATATAAATATATTAATGTTTATGCTGATAAATTATTAGATTCAAAATGAATAAAATCAATAATATAATATTAAATGTCAGAGAAATTACCTTAGATTCATAAAGTTAATAAAAGTGATATTCAAAGTCCATTTCGTTATCCTTCTGATGAAGAAGTGTTTTTGTTTAGAGAATAAGATCGTAAAAAGTAAGAAGCTTAAAACAATGGAGATATGCATATTTGGGACAAGAAAACTGCTACAAATAGAACTTAGTTAAAGCATTTCAAAGTATAATTGTTTTATTACTTTTAGTCATATGAAACTTAAATTGATGATAAATTTAAATCGAAAACTGCTTATAATGATAAAGATAAGAAAATAATAAATGAGGCATTATAAATCATCTAAGAAAGAAAGAAATAAAGAGCTAAAGGTGTGTCAAAGGAACCTATTGTGACACTCTTAGAATAGAAGAAGGAAATGTTTTTAGTATCAAAAGCTCATGGAATAATTGAAGAAGAGATTGATAAATTAAAATTAATGTCAAAAGATAAGAAGGAAGCTTTGGAATAGAGTTTGAAAATGTTAGAAACTGATAATGAGAATTTCTAAAAGTATTTGGATACAAATAAATAATAAAAATTAGATGCAGAATAGAAAGCAGATTAAGAAGTAAAAGAAAAGAAAGCCAAAGAATCTGAGATCAAATCAATAAATATAAAAATAACAAGTTTAAGAGCAGAGAAAACAAGGAATGAAGAAGCTGTTAATAATTATATGGATCATAAGAAATTTTTAGATAAATTAGCTCCAAAAGAATGGCATGATGCAAAAGAGAAGAAGCGTTAATAATTAGTAAATAGATTAAAAGAAGAATTAATTAAAAGTAAAGGGCTAACTGAAAAATAATTTTAATAAATGGTAGATAATAAAAAGCTGTAATAAAATACAAATTGATATTTATTAGAGATGAATTAGAAGAATTTGAAGATGAATATGAAATGTATTTTAAATAACCATCATAATTGGTTGAGATATTTAATGATTTAGAAGAAAGAAATTTATTTTTAATTTAAACTACTTAAGATGCAGAATAAAATTTAGAAGAATTGAAAACTAAATTTAATAAAATAAAAAAGTCTCTTGATGATAAAGTATTTACATTACAATAAAATAAAGAATAATTAAAAAAAAACTATGAAGTAATTTATATAATCTATATTTAGAATGTATGTTAATAAATTAAAACATTATAATTGAAAGGGACAGAAAAGAATGCTAAAAAAGATCATAAAGAATTAAGAAAATAAATAATTGAAGTTTGTGAAAACTTTCCTAATGAAATTTAAGGGGTTCATGATTTATAAAATAAAGAAACATTGGATATCTTGGTTTAGATAGAATTACATTTAGAAAGACAGTTGAAATAGATTCGATCATTTAGACCAGATAGAGTTGAAAATTTTGTAAGAATTTTGAATAATAAATATAGAGATAAGAATGTGAAAGGGATTGGAAGGTTAAATAAAGGGATTCAAATAACTTAAAGTTAAAATAAGAAGAGGAGAGAAGAATCAAAGCAAATCAAGAAAAGATTATGTAACCCAGTAAAAAAAAAACTGGAAGATAACCAATGTTTAGATCAAAACCATTTGATAGAGTAATAGTCTAGTAAGAGGAGAGTGTTAATAATGAGGAATTGGAAGATTAAAAATACTTCATGGAATGATGAATCCAATATTCAAACATTTGATTATCTATAAAATTTAGTCTCTAAGACTTTCACTCCACACATCTTGCATATACCATCTTTGTATGCACATTCTTAACAAAATTTCTCATTTTTTTGAACTTATCTTTTTTTACATTTCTAACATTTATTTTTTCCCATTGGATCAAATTTATTCTTATTAAATGAAGGTAATATCATTCCAGGTTTTTTATTTTTATTATCTTTGTCCCAAACATCTGGAGTTGCCAATTTAGTTAGTTTCTCTTGACATTTATCGCATACCATTTTAATTAATTTAAATAATACTTTTAATATGATAATTATTTATATAAAACTAATAATTTTGATAATAAGGTTAATAAAAAAGAAATAATGTCTAATTCTACACTTTATTTTTATACTCATTATTAGTTTACTAATATTAATATCAGTCATTTGATACAATCTCTAATAATTTTAATAAATAATGATCTAAAAGTGTAAGCAAGGCCTCAAATTAATTGATATATTTGGATAAACTATTAATCTAAGCTTTAGATAGGAAGAATAATATAAAACAAGCATAGGAGGATTTCTATCTATTTGTATGATTGCTACCATCATCAGCTTCTTTTATTCAAATATCATTAACTTTTTCGCCAAATTAAATGTAACATCTACATCAGAATTCAAATTTGCTAACAACCCCGATAACTTGATATTGGATAAGTCCCACTTTATGTTTGCTGTTTAGATTGAACAAGATAATTTTACTACAAATCCTTTCTTCAATATTACAGTTGAATAGCGTCATTATCATAGATTTCCAAATGGAACACAATATCGATACCCAAATATATTAATTGACTTAGTACCATGTAAAGTTGAGCACTTTGCACATCTATTCGATTAGTACAGTGTCAATTTTACAGATTAGTTTGAAGAGTAAAATTTAGGAAATTTCTTATGTCCAAATCTTAACTTTATTCATAGTCAGAATATGACTGTGGGAGGAGTATGGGCAAGCACAGACTATTATTTCTTGAAATTTTCTGTAACAAATTGCATAAATTCATCAAGTAGTAATCTAACATGGAAGCCCACGTGTAAAACTACCGATGAAATTAAGAATACTTTGAATTCTTAAGGTAGTTTTCGATTTCAAGTTTTTACAACCAACTTTGTATTTATTAATACATATTATATATTAGTTAATCAATCCAAATAGACCTTAAGATTATGTTTAACCTTTTTTAGCAACCGATTAATTTTATACATTCGTACCAGATAAAATGTTCGTTTAATCCGATATTTTTTTTCGAACAAAAAAGGTAACTACAGATTAAGGAATTCTCATGTATCCAGATAAACAGAATGAAACATTTGCTTTTAGAGATTATGGTGATTAAAGAGAACAATTTGAAATATCCAGAATAACTCCAAATTATTATGGAGCATTTTATTTTTAAAGAAGTCCATATTCATATCAAATCAATAGAAAATTCTTACGTTTGGATGAATTATTAAGTTATTTAGGAGGTTTCACTTAGTTTATGATTGTGGTTGTAGGAATCCTAGTAAGATTTTACAATAGATAACATTTGATTGTTTCTATAGCTAACGACCTTTATGAATTTGATATGGGTTTGAATAGAGCTAATACTTAAATGAATTTTAATAGCCTATTAGAAAAGAAAGAGAGAGTCAGAGAAATAGGAAAATAAAAGACTTAGAGAAATCAATAAACACTACCTAAAATTTAAATTATGAATACTTTTTAAAACAAACCAGAAATGTTACAAAATACAACTTCAGCAAAAGATAATTCATAAAGGATTGAAAATAAATTATCAATAGAATTTGTAGATCCTAAAATATAGAGAGTATAAGGAAGATTAAGTGTTCTTAAAGTGAAAGCATTTGAGTATTTTGATGATTTTAGAGAATTTATAAAAAAGAAGTATATTATTGGTTTAGGATTTCGAGTGATTTTGAGTTCAATATTCCCAATAGAATCTATTAAAAATGATGATTGTAGAGTACTTAAAAGAGCAATGTAATATTTATAGGGTATGTTAGTGATTAAGTGAATAAGGAGTTAGATATTGAATATATTATCAAACAACTTCATGAACTAACAAAATTAAAGAAGATTTTATTTAGTGAAGAATAAATTACATTATTTAATTTCAGTAGAAAACCTAAAATTGCATTAATATAAGAAGGGAAAAAACGAAGATCTACAAAGTAATACTATAATTAAATATAAGGTTTATAGTTAATGGTTCTATTTCACCTGAGGAATAAGGATTACTTAGATAATTTAATGATTTAGTGACTTCATATTAAAAAATCATGGGTTTGGATTCTTAGAATTAAACTTAAGAATAAATAAGATTTAATTAAAGATTGATTATATTGTTAGGAACTGAATTAATGAATGTTTTAGAGAAGGAGATTACTTAATAATAACATTTGGATTCTGAAAATAATGAAATTATAAAAGAAGAAGAAAATCTAATAAGTGGTGGAGAAATTGAAAGTAAAGAATGATAGATATATTTGAAATTACATATATAGTAAATTAAATTTTTTTATTTTTATAAGAGATAATAATATAATTCTAACAATTACATAAACTCTAATATAAAATTTTTAATAATTAATTATGTTTGAAGAAATTTAACTAAGTGGTATTGTACCAAAAGAAATAGCATCTCATTCTAATATTACATTAATTGGAAACTAAGTTGAAGAACATTTTAAATGCACAGACTCATCAAATACTTAATTTATAGAAGACATAATTTATGTTGTGTATGTTATATATTGTATTTATTAATAGAAAAGTTACAAATGGTTAGACTGTTTCAATTCATAAATATGATATGAAGGATTTATTTCACAAATCAATATAGTTGACTAGTGAGTACTTAAACTTTTCTCATTTAATTACTCAAAATGGTTGTGTTATAATGAGAGACTATGATACTCCTTATTTATTGGTTGTAACATAAACTGGATAAATCTTTTATAAGAATTTAATTTCAAATGCTTCAAGCATAATTAAGAATTTAATGGTGGATAATCAAAGATTTATGTGTCTGGCTAAATCACTCATATACAATAATTAACTTAAATTTTATGTTATAAGTGATGCTGATTAATTACATTTTATAACTATTGATGTAAGAAGAGGTGAGATTGTGAAAAGTAAATATTAACTAAGTTTTGGTACCAAATTTTTGAGTAAATTTTTTGGAACTCAAACTAATGATTGGAAGACTGCATTTTAAATTGATGAAAAATAAATAATCCATTACTCTTTTTAAACATAATTTCATTTACTTTAAATAAAAGGAATAGATATTAGTTCTAGACATTTATAAATTGAAGATAATATCAAAGTTAAATAAATAGAAGTATTTTAACATAAACCTAATGGTTAAATTACTTTATGTTATCTTCATTAAAATTAATTGAAAATATATTCATTGATTGGAAATTAATTAAGAATAAATTGTATTATTTCTTAATTAGTTTTTTTATAAAATATAACATTTAATATAAGTAGTATACAAAATACTATAATTTTGATTTAAGGATGTGAAATCTATTCATTAAGTAATGAAAACAATACTTTTGAATTAGTTAATTAAAATAAAAATCCTATTTTAGGTTTTATTAATTTAAATGATCAATTGTTATTGTTTTATAAAAATCATATTTCAGTTATTAATTAAGTTTAAGATTAGACAAGTTAAAAATAATATCGTTTAAGATAAGAAATTTATAAATTTAAAAAGGATGTAGAAAATTAATATAAATTAAAAGATGAAGAACTAATCGTATAATCAATATCTATAGATTCATATATAAAAAATAAGTTTGATTAATTTTAAACATTATTGAAATTTATGCATCGTAATTTAGATTAAAAAAAATTAATCTAGTTGATGAAATAATAATCAAATAATTTTTCTATTGAAAACTTTATGAATTAATTAATGGATGATTTAGAAGATATATATTATTATTTGAAACCAACAATTTAAATGTTAAATTTAGATTTTAATTAGACTTAAAATTAATTGATTCAATAACTCAATTAATTAGATCAATTTTTAATGTGCGTCTATTATGATGAATTCTAACCCTAATAAGATTTCAAATAAGATTAATCTGTAAAATTATCATTACTTAAATCCTTAGTAATAAATCAACTCAAAGATTATTACTATATGTATTTGGAAATATATTTAGGTTTGGCTGTTCTATACAATATTTACAAAATATAATTTGAACTTCAAAATGATCATAAATTATTTTATGATACTATGTTACTATTAACTTTATGTTAAGAAAAGTCATACATATCATTTTATGATCTACTAAAAAAATAATTTTTAATTGTTTCTAATGATATTTCATTACAAAAATTATCTACTATTTAGAATGTCATATATAGATTTATTAGTTTAATCTATTCTGAAGTATTCAGAGATTTCCCAATTCCAGAACAATTATTATGTGAAGCTTTCATATAAAATTAAAAAAAATCATTAATAAATCAAAATAATGCAAAAGAAATTATTAGATATTGTAAAGTGAGTTAATAAATAGGATAATAATAAGATAATATCATATAATTTATAAATGAAAATGAAGACCAATATCAAGAATTAAAATTGAGAATCTCATTCTATTTATAATAATAATAATAAAATTTTTAAATAGAAGATGAATAAGAGATAATATTAAAAAAATTAATAGGTTATGCTATTAAATAAGAACAATATTAGCTTTTATTTTAAATTCTGAATTTGAATTAAACAAAATAAATAAATGATCAATTATCCTTAATGATTGATAGTGATTAATTGTTTAAATGCTAATTAAGTAATATTATTTATTTATTTTAGATGCAAGAACAACTGATTAAATTGCAGAATTGTTAATTCAATATTCACGTGAAAAATGTCATAATTTGAAAAAAGCTGAAAAAGTACTTTAATATTACAGTTTTCTTATGAAACAGGAATCCAAAGACAAAGTATAGATTCATATCTAATAATTAGGCTTTTACATTATTGTTTGAGTATATTGTAAATTTGGAAATTTTGTTATTCACTTTAAAATATAAAGATGTTGCTCGTGGAGTAAAGACTTAATTAGATTATATAAATATTTTGTTAAATCAAATGGAATTATAAAGTAAACAAGATTAATTACCTTATTCTAAATAATTAATTTGCAAACTTAGCAATTAAAATTATGAGTAGTTTAAGAATCCAAATATTATAAATGATAAATCTGAGATTGATTCAGAATCTCCCAAAAATATTAGGATTGTTAATTAAGAACAGATAATAAAATTTAAGAAATACAAAGAAATTTAAAATTTTGTTTGTACTAATTATACTCCTTATGCATAACTCAATAAAGTAATAGAATAATTGATATTAAATGGAAATCTCAATTAATTGATTAATGTATTTAAATTAAGTTTGGATCAAAACTTTGAGAAAAATATAGTGTTTTTCTATTTTAGTAATGAAGGATAGAGAGAAGAATTACTAAATGAAGTCAAACCATTTTTAACTCAAAAAGAATTTTCAATAATGTTAGCTAAAATTTGTGTAGTTTGTAATTTAAATTTTGAAAAGTGCAAAGCATTATTTAAGATGGCTTAGAGTTAAGAATACTTCTTATAATATATGATTAATGTTGATAAGGAATAAATAGCTTCTATGATAATTTGATTGTTATATTCATTTTTTATTAATTTTAGGAAAATTATACAAATTAACTATCATTCTCTCTTGATTTAAATACCTAATAAAAAATGATTTGGATTAAATTAAATTAATACTATAATAAGAGTTTAACATAAACAAGATCTACTCCAGTTATAGAAGTGTAAATTTCCATAAATGAAGTTTTGTTTCTAATAAGAACACAATTTGTATAACTTGTAGGATAATCGGAGAAGTTTTTAACTCATAATAAAAAAGGATGAATGCTTTAGTAGACTAAATTTTATTTAAAAGAAATTCTTACATGTATTAAAAATAGTTGAATAATAAATATTATAAAATAAATTCTGTAACTTAAAACATTAATATCAAAGGAAAATGGACATATAATAAATAATTTTATGGTATCAAATACTGAGATATTGATCTAAATAAGTATTATGATATATTTAGACTTTATATCCTTTAGTTTTGTTATTCTCTATTATCATATGATTTTTATTATATTAATTATGAAAATGAAAAGATATCTAAAATTAAGGTTAAATGAATTTTGATCAAAGAAACATTATTCAATATAAAGTTAAAATTTATAATCAATATAATCAACGATTAATACATCCTAAAGCAATTAAAGCTTTAGTTAAGAATCCTTTATTTTAGTAATTATTTTATGGTTGCTATTGATCTTATTGGCGTTAAAACTAAAATTATAAACTTCTAAATTTCATAGCTTCCCACTCTTAGATTGATGATTTTTGACCAAATTAAGGATTATAAATTTTGGATTAGCTTTCAAGAACTTCAGATGTGTAATGTGTTGATTTAATAGAAATCATAGAAGAACTTCTTATTGAACCTTTTCTATCTTATCCTTAGGATAAAATCCATTAATGATTTTTAATCTTATCAATAGAAGGCCTACAATGAATACTATGTTATAGTAAACTTTTGATTAAAGACTTACATTCATCAGAAACATCAATTTCAAATTCAACTTCTTTTCTAGATAATATTTTTTAACTCTTTTCTAAAAATGTCATCCCTTAAAATGGTGTTTTTCCTTAAACCATTTCATACAATAACACCCCTAAACTCCATATATCTGTTTTATAATCAGTTATCTAAGATTAAATCATCTCAGGTGACATATATTCAATTGTACCACAGAAAGCCTTATGATAATTTGGCATTTAGGTAGCCCAACCAAAATCCCCTATTTTTAACTCTCCTGATTTGGTTATTAGTAAGTTTTCAGGCTATATTTATATTCTATTTGTACTTTTATATCTCTGTGTACAATATTCATCTTATGCATATATTCCAAACCAGATAACAATTATGAAAAGTATTAATAAGCTTCTCTCTCTTATAATCTTGATTTACGCTTAATCAATGAAAAAAGTGATCCCAGTTCTGCATATTCTAAGATTAACAATACACTAATTATTTTTAGATACATAACAGTACCTAAGCTAGTCTTCATAACAATAACATAATTTTAGAATATTCGGATGACAAAGTTTCTTTTAAATTGATATTTCTCTTTTTAAGTTTTCTATAGATTCCTGGGCTTTTAATTTGGATTTACTAATCTGACATATTTCATCAAGTATTACCGCCTTTCGTGCATAATAAATACGACTATTAACATCTCTCACTAGTTAAACAGATCCATAAGCACCAGAACCTAAGCATTATTCAATAATCTGAAAGTCCCTTTGAAAAATTAAATTATATGCTACTTTTCACTTTTCTAATAATTATTGTCTCTTTAGCTACCCTGAGGGTCAATTTAACACAACCTTATAACTATTTAAAAAATATACAATTAATTCTTATACTAAGTAGGAACTTGATCATTTAATTATTAAAACACCTTTTAATTCATATCTTCTTTTTTCTTAATAACGATTTTGTTCATTATAAAATGCTTAAGAATTTTTCAAGATATTAATTTTTTTGATCAATTTGTTCTCAAAATATACTATTGTTAAATAACCTCATTAAAATAGATACAATAGCTCAAGAGCTTTTATAATCTATTCCATATATACTATTCCAACTCATTTATTAAATATTTAATAAATGAACAAATATAAATACAAATAATAAATTTAATACTTGAATCCTATTTAATTTGATCATCAAATTATATTAATCTCAAATTAGAATCTAATGTTTTTCTAAATAATTTTATTTACTTTATAAATACTTTTATATTTCTTATAATACAATATTTTATATTAAAATATAGAATATTAAATATTAAAATTAAAAAATAGTGATATTTGATTGAAGCAACTTCTAATTTAATGTATATTGCAACTCCTTAGATATTTTTAGATACCTTTTATTTTGAATAATATAATGATGGATTATGAATTAGAAAATTCATAAGAAATTAAAATTAAATTCTTTCTAAACATCTTTATAACTTTAAATGATAAAAATACTAGAAAATCATCTAAATTTAAATGGAATAAATATTTAATTTTCTGAATGGAAAAGATGCTTCACAATAATTTAGTACCTAATAGACTTAATATTTCTTATGAATAGTGAAAATGCTAATTATTGGTATTCAATTAATGAATAATTAAAATTAACTAAGAACTGTCTGAGGTTTACATATTTTATAATGGTCAGCAATTTTCAATAAGTTAAATATTAAGTATTCGATCAATACAATCCAGGACCCAAATGAATCATATTTGTTAGAATTTTTATCTAGATATTTTTCAATGAATGGTAAATATGGATAGAGAAGATTCGGATGAGATTGTCATGGTTTACTAGTGTAATATAAAATAGATAATGTTTTAGTGTGAGAAAAAGAGGGATCAAGCATAATAAAAATGCATATCAATTATAAGTTAATACAAATCCTAGCAGAATTTAGGTTTGTAGAATTCTATTCAAATAAAATTCAATACAAAATAGTAAGAAAATTATAAGGTATAATATATATACCTTTTTCTATATAAGAAGGAAGTTTCAACAATTTGTTAGAAAATGCTTAAATTATTTTTTAGTAGAAATAGATTTTTGGGTTATCTAATTGGGGAGAATTTTGAAAAACTTGTTTGTAGATGGATCAATTGAAGAACTGAAATGATTATCAGAAATAAATGTAATTTAGGAACTTCATAGAAAAGATATTGATTTAATAATTCTTTCAAATAAATAAGCAAAAGAAGTTTTAAAAATAAAATGTTTTATTTGAAAAAATTATTTCTTGTTAAAGAATTGGATCAAACCATAGGATGGTACTATTTATTAATATATATTCTTCATACTGCTTTGTATAATTATGGTTCATATTATACTCATATTTTTTATGGTTTTGTATAAATGAAGAATGTTAAAAAATTTCTAAATCAATTTTTCTTAAGATTACATTGCAAGACTTTGATAAAATTACTATTTTTATTCTCTGAAAAAGATTCTCAAATACATTAAACAGTATGATCTGGAACAAAATGAGTTTAAAATGAAATAGAAAGCCTTTATATCAAATAAAAAATATCTTTTCTAAATTTAGATATTGCTTTAGAAAAATAGATATTTATAGTTAATTACTATTTATTCACCCTTATTTAAAAAAATAAAACTATTAATAAAAATTTATATTTAATAAGGGATAATTCTATTTAAAAATAGGTAAATATAATTATGAGAACGCTTTCAGTACTAGAAATCTATAAAAAAGACTTGATGTAAAAAATTAAACTTAGTCATATAAGATAATTATTTTATAAAGAAATTTTAATTTAATTAAAAAGTTAATTAATTATTTATAATTTAAAAAAAATCATAAATCAAAACATTCAAAATCAAGCAGCATTTTCAATACCAATATTATAGTGTCCAGGTTTAATGAGTAATATTATTTTATTTTTATTTTCTTATTAATATTATCTTACAATAAAGTCTTCATTATCAAAAAATATTAGTATAACATTTCTAAAATAAAATAAATAATAATACAATTATAAATATATTGCTAATTGATTAATAACAATTTCATTGCTATTACACTCAGTTTCCCAAATCAATAAATTTTTTTAATCATCACCAATAAAGGTTTTTATTTCTTGATCATATTCAACCAAATAATCACTTAAATTTCTAAAGAATAGTGTTGATAATGTGTATAAAAAACCAGTTCCATCTTATCCAACTTAATATTCAGAAAATTAAATTAATAATTATTGTTATCTTTCTTAAACATCTTCAATCATTCTCAATTATTGTAATTAATAAATGAATTCAATTAAAATTTATTTTTCTAATTCTAAATCATCTATTTAAAAACCAGGAACTTAAATTCTAAATCTTAATTTAATCGTTTATATTTTATTAATAAATTAATTGAATTCATTATCATTATATGTAATTAGTAGATGTCTTATAAATTAATATCCAAAAGCAGTATAAAAACAGTTACCATCTCCTCTAACTTGAAGAAAACCGTTGCAAATTTTATATAATTCCTATTTTCTTGCTAATTTCTTTATGTTATATTATTTTGTTAATTCTTATCTATCATTTAGACCTTATATATATTTTTTATAAAATTCTTAAACTTACCTTAAATCTGAAGAGTTTTTATTTAATTCTTTTATTTAATCATAGATTTATTTTTGCCTTTGATTTTTATCAATTTAATCTTAATCATTAATTTGATTTTCATAATTTTCTGAGTTTTAATTTGAAAAAATTATATTCTCTGGTTTTTATTCATCATGTTATTTTGATTATGGTTATTGTTAAGTCTATTGTGATTACTAAGGAATTGTATTTAAATTAGAATTTTTTTATTGTTTAAGATTTTTTTAATAATAATTATTTTATTAATCTTTGTATTATTATAATTCTCTTTATTTTTATTATTCACTTTATTCTTCTTCTTGTTATTCTTTTTATTATTATTCTCTTTATTTTTATTCTTATAATTCTCTTTATTATTATTCTTTTAATTTTTATTCTTATAATTCTCTTTATTATTATTCTTTTTATTTTTATTCTTATTCTCTTTATTATTATTCTTTTTATTTTTATTCTTATTCTCTTTATTATTATTCTTTTTATTTTTATTCTTATTCTCTTTATTATTATTCTTTTTATTTTTATTCTTATTCTCTTTATTATTATTCTTTTTATTTTTATTCTTATTCTCTTTATTATTATTCTTTTTATTTTTATTCTTATTCTCTTTATTATTATTCTTTTTATTTTTATTCTTATTCTCTTTATTATTATTCTTTTTATTTTTATTCTTATTCTCTTTATTATTATTCTTTTTATTTTTATTCTTATTCTCTTTATTATTATTCTTTTTATTTTTATTCTTATTCTCTTTATTATTATTCTTTTTATTTTTATTCTTATTCTCTTTATTATTATTCTTTTTATTTTTATTCTTATTCTCTTTATTATTATTCTTTTTATTTTTATTCTTATTCTCTTTATTATTATTCTTTTTATTTTTATTCTTATTCTCTTTATTATTATTCTTTTTATTTTTATTCTTATTCTCTTTATTATTATTCTTTTTATTTTTATTCTTATTCTCTTTATTATTATTCTTTTTATTTTTATTCTTATTCTCTTTATTATTATTCTTTTTATTTTTATTCTTATTCTCTTTATTATTATTCTTTTTATTTTTATTCTTATTCTCTTTATTATTATTCTTTTTATTTTTATTCTTATTCTCTTTATTATTATTCTTTTTATTTTTATTCTTATTCTCTTTATTATTATTCTTTTTATTTTTATTCTTATTCTCTTTATTATTATTCTTTTTATTTTTATTCTTATTCTCTTTATTATTATTCTTTTTATTTTTATTCTTATTCTCTTTATTATTATTCTTTTTATTTTTATTCTTATTCTCTTTATTATTATTCTTTTTATTTTTATTCTTATTCTCTTTATTATTATTCTTTTTATTTTTATTCTTATTCTCTTTATTATTATTCTTTTTATTTTTATTCTTATTCTCTTTATTATTATTCTTTTTATTTTTATTCTTATTCTCTTTATTATTATTCTTTTTATTTTTATTCTTATTCTCTTTATTATTATTCTTTTTATTTTTATTCTTATTCTCTTTATTATTATTCTTTTTATTTTTATTCTTATTCTCTTTATTATTATTCTTTTTATTTTTATTCTTATTCTCTTTATTATTATTCTTTTTATTTTTATTCTTATTCTCTTTATTATTATTCTTTTTATTTTTATTCTTATTCTCTTTATTATTATTCTTTTTATTTTTATTCTTATTCTCTTTATTATTATTCTTTTTATTTTTATTCTTATTCTCTTTATTATTATTCTTTTTATTTTTATTCTTATTCTCTTTATTATTATTCTTTTTATTTTTATTCTTATTCTCTTTATTATTATTCTTTTTATTTTTATTCTTATTCTCTTTATTATTATTCTTTTTATTTTTATTCTTATTCTCTTTATTATTATTCTTTTTATTTTTATTCTTATTCTCTTTATTATTATTCTTTTTATTTTTATTCTTATTCTCTTTATTATTATTCTTTTTATTTTTATTCTTATTCTCTTTATTATTATTCTTTTTATTTTTATTCTTATTCTCTTTATTATTATTCTTTTTATTTTTATTCTTATTCTCTTTAGTATTATTCTTTTTATTTTTATTCTTATTCTCTTTAGTATTATTCTCTTTATTTTTATTCTTATTCTCTTTATTCATCATAATTTATGTTGTTTTATTCCTTTGAATTTCCTAAAGGTTAATATTACTATATTTAATAAAAATATTATTGATTAGGAATTTCAATAATTCTCCATTGATATTATTGAAGGTTCAATTAATATCTTATACCTTAAGAACTCCTGAAATAAACAGTTTCATTACATCCTTACATTTTCAATTATTCAAAAAGGAATTCAGCCTATTATATGGGTTTTTAATAATATGGTTAGATAATTTTGTTTTTCTTTTGTTTATACATCTTAAAGCTAAATAAATTTTATTTTATTTATTTAGTTATCTTTAAATATGATATAATTTCCATCTTATTTATGATAATCAAAGAGAATTTGTAAATATTAATTACTAGAATTATCAAATAGATCTAAAATATTAGGTTTAAATATAATTCTATAATTTCTCATATTATTATATAAACATGAGATAGCAGTGAAAAATGAAATATTATAAATTAACAATATAGAAACCTTTATTTGATTTCTAAAATCATTAATAAATGGTTTTATTATTATTAATAGAAAGGATTTTATTTATGATTATATATATATTTAATAAATTAACTGTTTATAATGAGTTAACTGAAGAAATTAAATCAGCAAGTTAAATAAGTGAAATGCATAACACTATCTGCTAATTAATCTCATCATTCTCATTAGTCATCTGTGAAAACATTACCTAAACCAATAGCATCTCGTCCTGTCACTTCGATTACTAAGAATAATAATAATAAAGTGGAAGCTGTGAAAATAGATTTAGTCAAATAGAAAAAACAAATAACAAATATAAGTGTGACTAGATCTACTTCTTCTGCTCGTACAAGATCTACTTCAAATGGACCTAAAGAGGATAAAATTCCTAGAATTTTAGGAGACCTATTAGGTCCTGAAATTGAATTAGCAGATTGTTAAGATTTCTTATTGTAATTAAATGAACCACAGTTTAAAATGGATGAAGATTTAATGAAAGAACGTGTAATTTTGGCTAACAGAATAGCAAATACTATTAAATTGAAAAAAAGAATACCTACAACAACAGCAGATTATTATAAGGTTTGATATATAAACTTAAAATAGGCAGCTGTGTTCCGTAATAGGGAAAGGGGCTTTTGCTAAAGTTTGTTTAGGAATCTAAATTTTGACTGGAGTAAAAGTGGCAATGAAAATTATTGATAAATCAAGTCTAAAAAATGAAAGTGCTAAAAAAAGATTGATGTAAGAAATCACTTTAATGAAACTCTTATAACCTTATAAATGCTGTATTCGATTATATGAAGTATTTGAAACCAAAAGATAAATTTATTTAATTATGGAATATGTAGAAGGAGGAGATTTAATCAAATTTACTAAAGAAAAACCATTATCGGAATAGATGGCCAAAAATATATTTGGATAATTGATACAAGCACTTTAAATATTGCAAAACCATAATATTTTACATAGAGATATTAAATTAGATAATATATTATTATAAGGAGAATAAATTAAATTATGTGATTTTGGAGTAAGTCGATAGATTGTAAAAGGATAGAAAATACTAGAATAATGTGGAACTCCAGCTTATTTGGCTCCTGAAATTATGACATAAAAAAGTGGATATGAGGGATTTGCAAGTGATATATGGAGTTCAGGAATTCTTTTGTATATTTTATTAATTGGTAAAACACCATTCAAAGGAAATAATATGAATGAATTGAATCAATAGATTTAAAGTGGATTATTAAATTTTATGGAAATTAAAAAGGCAAATCTTTCAAATGAAGCTGTAGATTTAATGAAATCTATTTTAAATATTAATCCTAAATTAAGATGTACCTTACCTGAAATTATGAAGCATATTTGGATGAAAGATATCGATTTTAAGTAAACTAAATAATAACAAAATTCTAATTTAGATTTAAGAATTATTTGTTAAGTATTTATTTTATTTTATATAGATTGAATAATATGGTTATCAAAGAGAAGTGATAATCAAAACTTTATAAAGTAAGACAATAAGCCACATATCTGCTCTTTATTGGGCTTTATATTAGTGATAACATATAATTGCACATTGAAACACTTATGAATATTTAACTAGTTATAATTAAATACAATAATAAAACTAATCTGTAGAGATTTTTAACTATTGTGTTAATTAGCAAATGTTTATTCTATATATATTAGTAATTAATTTAATTTAGTAGATTTATAATAAGTTAACTTTTTAATTTAACAAGATTATAATACTTTATCATATAATTGAAGAAAATTAAATCTATTCGTTATTTTAATATACTAAATGATATGTTTATAAATAATTTAGTAAAATCTTTTTTTATCTTAATTTTCAATCTTTTTATGATCAAAAAATTATTAAATTAAAATTAGTTTTCTCTTAATATATAAAGATATTTACATCTAAAGAACAACCTTTTATAATTGAAATAAAATACTTTTATCAAAAACCCTCGTTATCTAATTTTATACATTATGTTCAAAATCACAATGAGAGATTTTAATTAGATCTATATCAAAAAGGATTTTAAGATTATTTACTAAAAGCCAAGACATTTTGAAAAGAACTAAGGAGGAATGATTGTTTATGTTTAAAAAAAAAATCAAATATGTTAATTGGTCTAACTATACTAAAAGCTAATTCTCTGGTTATTTATTTGGTTGTTATAATTATAACATGATCATTTTAGCCCTTTTCTTTTTGTCTTCTAAGGCTCAAAGAATTTGGTTATATCATATTTTATTATATAAAATATTAAAATGTGAGATCCTTTTTTTAAGGTATTTAGAATATTTATTTAATTAAAAATTCTATTTAAATTATTAAATCGCCACACATTAAGAATAGTAAATAAAAGATTAATATTTAATGATTGATAAGAATATTTGTTTATCACATTTGGATGTATTTATTATAAAGAGGTGAAATTCTTAATTCTTTTACAGATTTATATTCCTTTCTAAGTAATGCTGATATAATTTATAACTCAGGTTGATAATCTTATTGAATGTGGGGTCTAAATTAACTATAAATATAACCATAAATTTTACTTATTTTTTGCATTCATTTGAATTAGAATTCTTTATTCTTTAGTTAAACTTGGATCACAAAGATCTAATATAATTATTCCAACTTAAAACAATTCTTCTCTAGCATCATAAACAATTCCTTTCTCTTATATTCCATTGTTGAGTTCTACTATGCCATAATCTTTACTAAGTAGTAGCCAATTATTATTTTATCCATCATCATTTAAATGAGTTTTGCTCCAATCAAAATCACAAATTCTTAAGGATACATCACCAGCATTATCCCTAGTAACAAGAACATTTTCTAATTTTAAATCTCTATGAAAGAATCCTTAACCATGAATATATTCCAAACCAGATATTAATTAATTTATTAAAGATTAGATAATTTTTCTTTTAAATTATACTGATGCATTTAATAGATACTTCACACTAAATTGCAATAAATCATTACAACCTAAATATGAATCATATTCTTATTGCAAATATAGATAAAAACATTACTAATTTCTTTAATTAATCTCTTTTTCAATCCACCAACTATATAATCTAATTACATTTGGATGTTATAGTCTTAACATAGCTTTAACTTCTCTTATTTAAGTAATTTAATTATAAAATAATCTTTACCAAGTAAATTCTCCCATTAATCTTACTTTTTTGATTGCATAAATCTATAAATCAATTTTATTTATGCACAAAATTATAGATGTAAATCTTTAAGTCTCTTTATATGGTTTGATAACAGAAAATTCCTTAACAAATTTTCCATTGCTCAGTAAATCACATTAATTAAATTCGTTAAATCCAAAAAATTTAAATTCATAAATTACAATCAAACCTTTTTTTGGATCTTTATCACTAAACTGTAAAGGCATTTGATATTCTTTTAACTATTGAATTATGTTTTCACCTACTTATAATATACAACAAGCCTTTTTAACAGAAGTTGATAAAATAGGTTCAATCTTAACATCAATTGGTCTTATTTATTTCTATTTATTAGAATATATAAATTACCATTGATCCTTTCAATATTTTAATTACAATGTGTTCTAAAGCTGTAATTACATCTCTTCTTGATATATGATGTTAAACTTTATTGCTATATTGATTAATTATGACAATTCCAAAGATATTAGGAGTTGGAATATCTTCATATTGTGTACACTATTATTTAATTTAAATATTCTTAGATTCTTCATCACTATCAAGAAATTCAATGTCAATATTATGATTCTACATATTCTTTATAAATATAATTTTTTTATGATTTAAATAATATCGTTTCGGAGTTATAATAAAATTAATTTATAACTCCCGATAAAATAATTAAAAAATAAATAGAATTTCTTAAATATTTAATGATTTTAAATTTTTACGACCAAACTAGGGTTAATCAAATTTATAATAGATATAGTCAGAATTCTTATTAAGAATATTTAATTTTAACAATTTTTATTATTAATTTATGATAAGAGAATAAGAGAAAAATTTATGTTAAAGATTTGTCAATTTAAATTAAATACTTAGAAATTTTAATCAAATTAATAACAAAAATTTATATTTATATTTTTTAGGTTAAATTTCTTCAAATCATAAATTTCAGTTATGAATAAAATCTTATTAATATACTTTATTAGCAAATGAAAATTAAATAAAATAAACTTTTTGTATTTATTTAATCAATCATTATATCCTATGTTATAATGTCCTGGCTATATAAGCAGAATAATTTAATTTTAACAATCTTTTTCATACTCTTAAATGATAAATTCTCCATTCTAAAAAAATATCAATTTTATATGACTAAAATCATAAAATGATATATTTACATTTTCAATTATTATGCAAGTATTTAAACGATAATTTCATTGTAATTGCATTCAGCTTCCCAAATTAACAAGTTTTCTCTATCTAGACACTAATCTTTCATTTCACTCAATTCTAAGATAGTATCACATAAATTTCTTAAGAAAATTGAAGAAAGATTGTAAAAACAACCTTTTCCATCTTCTGAGATAAAATATTAAATAAATTATGATAAAAGTTATTATTTTCTATCTTCTTCGTTTTCAATTAGACGAAGTTACTAAAGTTAATAAAGAAATTCTTCTAATAATTCTTAATCATCAATTTAGAAATCTTCATAATTGATTTTGAATTAAATCTTTTTATCTAAAACAAATTAAATGAATTGATCATATTAATTAAGATTGTAAGTAAATAGTAAATGAATAAAAAATTGATAAATAAATGCTGTATAAAAACAATTTCCATCTCCTCTTACAAACTATATTTTATTGCAATGTTACTTTAAATTTTATTTATTATTTATTTTTTTAATTGAATAATGTTTACATAAAGTATTGAAGTCTCCTATTTCTCTTAGATAATATTTTTAACTTTCCTCCATAATTCTTTTATTTGATGATCTGTTCTGTAACTCTTTAATTATATTAATTGTCTTTTGTAATCTTACTTAATTTGACTCAAATTTATTTATTAATTTATAAGGTTCTTCTTACTATTCATCTTAATTATTTTACTAAGGGATTTCATTATTGTTTATTTAGATTTCTTGATTATTAATTTCCATATTCTATTTCTATTCAACTGATTCATTAATAGTATGTTCTAACTTTTAATTATTTTTACTATCATCTATTTTCTGAATAAGATTATAATCAAATGGCAACTTTTTTCTTTTCTAAAAAGTTAGAAATAATTTATTAGATTTTTTTTTGATAATGTTTGGCATATTAGATTTTGATAAGTTTATTGGGTATTTTTGAGTATAATAATTACATTATTATTGCTTTTCACTTCCTATATTAGATTAATTAAAAGGTATTCTATTCTGTAATATTAATTTTGCTCGAGCTATGTCTTTTTCTAAATTAATCATAATTTATTATAATAAAGTTAGCTCATCAGATCTCTAGTTTAAATTATCGTGATATTTTTTTAGATAATTTTAACATTAATTTTTATTTTCAATTATTTAAACTCTTCTTTTAATAATATCAATAACTTTACTTGTATGGTGATTTTGCTTAAGTATCTAATAATTTCATTAAGTCAATTTATTCGTTAAAATTATAAATTATTAAAAAATAAATAGAATACTTAAGAGATTAAAATATTTATTTATTAAAAATAATATCTGATTATATACCTTTTTAACTTCATAAATGATTCTGATTTAAATCAACATTACTTTACTGTGATTAAATATCAGTTGATTAAATTAATTATTCTAATTTGAAATCTTATAATTAAAAGATATTAACAAAAAAGTAATATTCTTATAGATAGTCAGATGGTTAGAGATAATCTTTAAGAATGTTGAAATTAATTCGATATTTAGAAATATATTTATAATTATTATATAAATTCAGATAATTATAATTAATTGAATTCAATCTAATGATATTAGAAATAAATCTATCATATCTATGGCTGTATCTTCATCTGTTTATATAAATTCTTTGATATTTTTCAATTGAAAATCATGAGTTTTAGTTAAATAAACAATTTAATCTAAAGTCTTGACTTTATTTTATTTTGCAAATTCTTTTAAATCTTCAAATAGCTCTTAATTATTTAATTACTTTTCATATTGTTCTAATCTTTTTAAAGCCAATTCTTTGTAATAATCTTTTACTTGTTACTATATTATTAAATTAATAGATTACTTTTGGCTATTATGGATGCATTGTTAATTAAGCATGAACAGCTGATTTTCTCTTTATTCTTTGCATTTTCTTTTTATCTCTTATGATTAGGTCTTATACTTCATGCATAAATTATGCTGCTTTTAGTGGTTCAAATTAATTTAAATTAAGATTTCCACTTGCAAATTCCTCAATTTTCTATATATTTTAATCAATAAATTTTTTAATTTCATCGTCTTCATCTTTAAAAGTTACTCTAGATTTCAATTTTTCAATTATTTATAATGCTTATATTGACTCCTATTTAACACTCTTACCTGCTGAATTAAATTCCATTAATTTAGACATTATTTATCGAATGAATCTATCCAATGCTTCTGGTGTTATACCCTCTTTATCTAAATTTATTTATTTTCCTCCAACTCTAATTGAATTACTTGTTGTAAACAATACTTAATTTGGTGTTACTCTATGTACTGGTCCTGTAAAAGTAGTTAATTAACATTAAGGATCAACACGTATCATTTAATAAAATATTTCATCCTTAATGTCTTATAATACTTTTGTAAAATCTATTTTTGTATTTTATATTAAGTCTATTTGAGATGATAATATCCCTGAATTATGAATAATCATTTTCAATTCAGCTGCTACTGAATGAGAAAAGTCATTTCCTAAAGCTAAAGTATGAAATTTAAATTGATATCCTTAAGAATGAAGTTATTCAAATTCCTTACTCATTTCCTAAAAGTACTCATTTATACCATCATGCTCTCCAATTCCATCAGTTACAAAAACGATGAGAATATTTTGCAATAAATTACCAGATTTTATTAACTTTATTAATTCTTTAAATCCTAGTTCTATGTTTGTCCCTTCACCTTTTTAAGTAGTTAATTATGGACTTTCTTATAGTATTGCTGTGTCATCATACTATATACAATAAACACTTTTGAATCCAGTCACAAAGTAATTCCATGCTTTACATAAGTCATTCCAAGCTTCACACATTGATCCTGAACCATCAATTATACCTACAACACTATATTCCTAAACTGCTGCTGATTCTTTTAACCAATATATGTAGGGAGTTGTCATTTTTTAATTAATATTATAAAATTTAATAAAAATGATTTTCTTTAAGAAACAATATTTTAAGTTTATTATTATTATTAAATAAAATCAGTTAGGAAGTTATTAAGGGTTTTTAAGACCAATATTATAATGGCCTGGTTAAATCAATAATAAAATTGATTTATTTTAATTTGAATTATATTCTCTCAAATGGAAGTCACCATTTTCAAAAAATATTAATTTAATTGTACTATAAAATAGCAATATAATATAAAATTACATATCTAAATAATTTGCTAATATAGAGATGACAATCTCATTTGAATTACATTCAGTTTCCCACTTTAATAATGTTTATTCATCATCAATCAATTATTTTGAATCACTATTTTAAACTAAATAATAAGCTAGATTTCTAAAGAATATTGTTGATAATCCATATAGACATCCATCTATTTCTTCATTTGGAATTTCATCATAAGCTTAAAAATTTTTAATAAATGCCTTAATTCTATCTTCTTTATTTTCTATTTATCTAAATTATTATAATCTAAATAAAAATTCATTATAAATAGAATTATGGAATTCATCATTACTAAATATTTCATTCATTAATTAGATTTAACATTTAAATTTTCCATTTAATTTATTAATAAATTCATTAAATTCTTAAGAAGTATATTCTCCTATCAAAATTTAAATTAACTAAAATCCAAAAGCAGTATAAAAGCAATTTCCATCTCCTCTAACTTCTCTGAAACCAGTAACTAATTCTTTTAGTTGTTATTTTTATTGAATACCCCTGATTCCATAATGTTTACAAAATTAATGAAAATCTTCCACCTCTCTAATAAATTATAAATAATTTCCTTAAGCTGATCTCTTTCTAGTTGTTTCATTATATATTTGATTAATTATATTTGTACTTAATTGATATCTATTAGGATCCTATTAAATTAATTACATTTATTATTTATTTTATTAATCAAAATTAAAACCTTAATTTTAATTTTAAGGAATTTTAATTAAACTCTAACATTATCTATGATATATTTAACTGTTATTATTTTATTAAAATAACTATGACTATTTTTGCAAAATTTTAGTTGGAGATTATCCATTTGATTACTAATTAAATTAAGTTTATTATTATTATTGTTATTATTACTATTATTATTATTATTATTACTATTATTATTATTACTATTATTATTGTTATTATTACTATTATTATTATTACTATTATTATTATTACTATTATTATTGTTATTATTACTATTATTATTATTACTATTATTATTATTACTATTATTATTGTTATTATTATTATTGATATAATTACTATTATTAAAATTGTTATTTTTAAAAATTTTGATTAATTGGTAAATTAAAATTTTACTACTATTTTTATTAAATATCTTTTGGTTAAAATGTAATAGGGTTTTATTAAGCTTGATTGGAAAAATTTTACTAATTTATATTCTAATTTTCTGATTTATTTACTCCAAACAGAAATTACTAATTTTACTGTGATATTGGATTAGTTTGCATATTATTAATTACAGGTGGTAGATTTTTATTAATTAATGATGATTGAGAATTATTTGGATTTATGAATTTCATTTATTGATTAAATGGTTTATTCAAATCATTATTTTCTATTTACTTTTGATCAACATTCTTTAATTTATCAATTTATGCATTTATAGAATTTATCTCTTTTTATAACTCTTAAATTTTATTATTTATTTGCCATAATTGTTATTAAAAACTAGGATTATTTGAAGTTTCTTAATGTTATTATTTTCTAAGCAAATCTTACAATTAAATAAGGATTTAATTATCTAAGATAGCTTCCATTTATTCTAATTTTAAATTCTATTTAGAAAACTATTGATTTATAAACTCAACTTTTTCTTCATTTTTTCTTTCTAATTTTTAAAATCTTTCACATGTTTCCTTTTAATTTCTTTCAATCTAAATAATTTAATCTTTTAACAAACTTAAATCTATAAATTTTTATGAAAATTCCTCTTAATTCTAATTTATTTTAGTTTAAAATTTTTATTCAAAATTTTCAGTCAAACATTATATTTATGTCTCAAAATCTTTATTTCGTTAAAGATGGTTTGATATTTCAATGCTTTTTTTTTCCATTTCATCCATCCTCATTAATGTATAATTGAGTTAGCTATTAAATTATTGTATTTCTAAAGGTGATATTAGTTTTTAGTTCTAAATTACACTGTTTTGTTATTGCTTTAGCTAGTCCAGAAATCTTGTTTCTAAAATCCCACATTGAAATTCCATCTATTCTTTAAATTCTTGTTATATCATATTTTTGATCCTCATCTCTAAAGTATTAATCTTCTATTTTTAATTTTGTTAATAGTCTAGACTGGATTGTAATTCTTCTTTTATTTATTATTTATATTGTAAGAGGATCTTTGCTTAATCTTTAGTAAAAGCTTATTCTATTTATTGTTAATCATCTCCTTGAGAATTTCCCATAGTAATTCTATTAACTTTATTTTATTTATATTTTATGTATTGAATTTATCAATTATTTTATTAAAAATAAGAAAATATAGAAGTATTATGATAATGGTGGCATTAATATTTTTAAATATGTTAAGAAAAAGTTGATTATAATAATAATTCCTTAGTTATTTAATCTTTGACCGATTATCAATTATATTATTTTTTAATTTACATACATTAACATTAAATCTCTATAAAACGATATTAAAAATTATAAATCAAATAAAAATTTTTAAATCTATTCAGATTAGATATTCTTAATTAAAGATAATAATTAGTTTAAATGAGAAACTATTGTATGTGAAAATAAAGATATAAGAGAAACAAAGAATATTAATAAAATTCAATCAATCTAAAAGGTGGCTTCCATTATAGTAAGATAGATACCTTCAACACCATCTAAATTTCCCAAATATTTCTACATTATTTAAAAATGAGTGTATGGGTTTTATAGTTTTGATTTGCATAAAACATAATTAAATATTGTTATCATTTCATCGGTACTCATATTAGATGGTTGTTAAGCAAATTATTAATAATAATCCAAAATTGTAGAATATATACATTAAAAACACATTATTAACTATTTTATTTTATGATGAGGAGTTTATCTAAATTAAATAAGTTGTAAGGCCTATATGGCTTTTTCAAAAGGTGATTAATGAAAAAAAGTACCTTAAAGCAATCTTGCTTAAGGTCTAGATGGTATTTATGTAATATCAACATCTTCTATGATAAGAGTTTCATAATTATCTTATTATTATAGATTATTATTATTATTATTCTGTGGATTTGTATTAATCTTAGATGATATTTTAGTTTAAATGTAATCTCTAGTGGTGCAATCTAAACAAAATTTAATAGATGTTCCAAAATCTGCCAAAGTTTTATTTTGAGATTATAACAATTTAATATGTATCCTTTCATTTTCTTGTATTTATTCCAACTTTTTGATTTAGTAAACATAAGAAGATATTTCATCATTAAAGATCATATTAGTGACAAGACACTGAAGTGATTAAAGATTCAGAAATTGGCACTAATTCATAATAGCATAGTGTCTAAGATCATAATAATGTATTAAAATCTAAAATTAATTATTTAATTACTTAGACATATGAATCTCTAAATTTAATTAATAATGTATCTAATTCTTGACTTGTTTTAGGAAGTTATGTTTGTCGAAAAGTTTAAAAGATTTCTAATAGGCTGCCAGAGAGAGTTGATAATTAATTAATGATTTTTTTCTCATAATCTTATAAGCAAGGATCACAATCTTAGAGCAATGTTGTAACTTAAAATTCTTTAAATGGATCTATGGTTTTTTTAGATCGTTTCATATTTTCTAACTCTGTTGCGAAGAGAGATTCATTAGTACTCATTGTTATAATTTACTCAGGCTCTGGTTTAATTATTTAGTATAAGGAAATAAAGTTGCTTTTATGAAAACGATCTGATCTGACATTTATATCATATCCTAATTTTTATACTTCCCTTTCCACTCCAATATACCAGTGATTCTAATTTATCAAAAGAGATATTACTTAATAAGTTTTGTAGATATCATAAGGGTTCTCGAACTGATTCGCCTGGTTATTGCCCATTAATTAATATATAAATTTAATTCAATTAACTATTCTAAATGTTTCCAAATTTATACATTATTCAATGGCTGAACGCTTTTTCAGTTGATATATTTGCACTGTCAATAATTATAAAGAACAATTCATTTTTTTTAATTATTCTCCGATATTATTCTTTTTTTATTTTGTCTTTTACATTCCTCAATCTATTTCTCTAATGATTCATCCTACAATTTTTTCCAATCATTATTTGACCTAGATTGAACTACTTTCTAAATAAAATTCATATTATGTTAAATTCAATCAGGGATTTTTAATACTCAATCATATCATAATGAAAATAAGGAAGACCTTAAATATTTTTATGTAAATTATGAATTTATAATAGAATTAATAGTTATCTCTACAAAATAATTAAAATTAACATACTTTCCTCTAGGCATCATTATAAAATGGAAAACTTTATTTTATTTATAGTTAACATCAAAGTCTCAGCATTATCATTTACATTAATGATATAATTGAATTGACTTCATTTTAGACATTTGTTTAAAATCTTCCATAATTTAACATAAAAATATTGTCAAATTATAATACTTGATTTCCTACCAAAGTTGTTAATTAAAGTATTTGAACATTCAAAAGGAATAATACACAAACTAATCTTATACTTCAATGTTGAAATTTAGATTCATTAGACTTTACTTAATTACTTAGATTAGAAATTGCAATAGTAATTTAATACTTTTAAATATTCACATACTTTATGTCTCTAAACAATTTTAAGTCTTTTAAAATGTTTATAGACCAACTTTTTAATAGAACTTAAATATTTATCATTTAAAAGTACATTTCTTTAAAGATTAAAGAATTATATTGATTGTATTTCTTTTATAATATTTTTAATCAACTCCAAAATAATTAAAAATCATACTCCTTAAAATATTTATTTTGATAATCCTTCTTTTAGAATATTAAAGTTTATTAATTACTTGCATTTTTTATTCTATATCTTACTTAGTACATCAATCAGTCTTAATATGTTAAACTGTATTATTTTAAATAGTTTTCATCAATTCTTTTGAAAATATGCTTTATGAATTAAAGAGTTAAAATTTAAGTATGAATAACTGATTAAGCATTTATCATCAATATTATATGACTATTGATTGAGTATTAAGTTATTAATGACTTTAGAAGTATTATGAATAAGTAACCATCCACACTTATCGCATGTAAGTAGGATTCTGAAGATTACTTATCGTATATCAACAGATGGAATTTATAAAAGAAATTTAGCTAAGATTTAGTTATTTGTTCTTCAGAAATAAAAATAAGATATAATGTCTTAAAGTAAAGGGCCTAGTGAAGTTAAGATACATGCTAGTGATAAACTCTCAGAAATAAAGACAAATCAAGAGAAACCTAAAATGATAGCTTATTTTGATCTATTTAGATTTGCAAAAAAAGAAGATATAGCATTGATGGTTTTGGGTTCAATAGCAGCTTTTATTAATGGTGGAGCTATTCCAAGTTTTTCTTTGATATTTGGATCAATGATAAATTCATTCTAAGAAGCAGGAGATGAAATGGTTAGACAAGCAGGATGGAATGCATTGTATATTATCAAATAATATCTTAGATGGTTCTTGATTGTTGCTATAGGTACTGGGATTTTATCGTTTACAATGTTTTCAACTTGGATGATTTCTGGAGAAAGATAAGGGATAGAATTTAGAAAGAACTATTTTAAAGCAATATTAAGATAGGAAGTTGGATGGTTTGATACAATAAATCCAAATGAGTTGAATAGTAAGGTAGCAAATGAATCATTTGCAGTATAAGGTGCAATAGGAGAGAAGGTTCCAACATTTATAATGACTTTTTCAATGACTTTTTTTGGATTTTTATATGGATATATTTGGTAATGATTCTAGCTATGATTTAGGGGTTGGCAATTAGCAATAGTAATAACTGCAACACTTCCAGCTTTAACAATTGTAATGTCTATATTTTCGGTGGTGATTTAATAATCAGCTGCTGCGACTTAAGCTGCATATAGTGAAGCTGGAGCTTTAGCTGAATAGGCTATAAACTCAATAAAGACAGTAAAGATGTTAGATGGAGAAGATTATGAGCATCAGAAATATTATCATCTTTTAGAAGGAGCAGCACATAAAACAATGAAATATGATTTAGGAGTAGGATTGGCAATAGGATTGTTATGGGCTGCTAGTTTATGGTCATATGCTTTAGGATTTTGGTATGGTGCAAAGTTGATAGCAGATTAAGTAAAATAATAAGCAATGTATTTTAGACATATAATCATAATTAAGGAGATGTTTACACTGTTGGAGATGTCATGACAATATTCTTTGCTATAGTTACTGGAGGGTTTTCATTAGGATAAGCAGGACCATGTGTTTAGAATTTTGCTAAAGGTCAAGCTGCAGCAGCATAGATGTATGAAATATTAGATAGACAACCTAAAATTTATAATCCGAAAAACCCTATAAAATTATTAGATTTTAATGGGGAAATAGTGTTAAAAGATCTAAAATTTAATTATCCAAACAGACCTGATTAAGTGGTATTGAATGGATTATCATTGAGAATACCTCCTGGTATGAAAGTAGCTTTGGTTGGTGAAAGTGGTTGTGGAAAATCAACAGTAATGTAACTTATTGAAAGATTTTATGATTGTGATTCAGGAGAAGTTCTTTTTGGTGGACAATAGGGGATTAATGTTAAAGATTTAGATCTTATTGATTTAAGAAGTAGAATTGGTTTAGTAGGTTAAGAACCTGTTTTATTTGCAACAAGTATAAAAGAGAATTTACTTTATGGAAAGATTGATGCAACTGAAGAGGAAATGATAGATGCATTAAAGAAGGCAAATGCTTGGGATTTTGTATCAAAAATGGAATAAGGATTAAATACTTATGTTGGTATTGGAGGTAGTTAATTAAGTGGTGGATAGAAATAAAGGATTGCTATTGCTAGAGCTATTTTAAAAAAACCTTAAATTTTATTATTAGATGAAGCTACAAGTGCTTTAGATAGAACTAATGAAAGATTAATATAATAAACATTAGATGAAGTATCAAAAGGAATTACTACAATTGTGATTGCTCATAGATTGAGTACTATTCAAAATGCAGATTTAATTTATGTTATAGATAAAGGGTAAGTTGTAGAAGTAGGTACACATTAAGAGTTAATGAATAAACATGGAAAATATGAAGTATTGGCAAAGAATTAAATTAATAATACTGAAGAAGAAACTTAAAAAATGAAAACTTAAAATTCTAAATAAAAATTATAACCATTGAATTAAGTGGATGTAGAAAAAAATAATACTTAAAAAATGATATCAATGAATGTAATGGAAAATAAAAGTATAACAGAAGAAGTTGTTGATTAATATAAATAATTATAAGAATTAGATGTTTTAATTAAAAGTTAAAAAGAAACATAAAAATCTACTGATATAAAATATGATAAAGTAAATTCAAATGATAAACCTTAAGAACCTGATGCTTAGATGGGTAGACTATTTACATACAATTAATCAGAGAGATTATAATTTATTATTGGAATTTTAGCAGCATTAGCTAATGGTTGTACTTTTCCATTATTTTCTTTATTTTTATCTGATATAATAACTGTATTAGCTTAATCAAATCCAAAATAATATAATGGAAGTATTAGAGAAGAGAAGATGTCTTATGTTAAAAGTGAAGCTGATAAAAATGCTTTGTATTTTTTTATTATTGGATGTGCAGCATTTTTATTATGGGCAATATAATCATTTTGTTTAAGTTATGTTGGTGAAAGATTAACATTAAAATTGAGATCAGATACATTTAGGAAATTATTGAGAATGCCAATTCCATATTATGATGAATCAAAAAATAATGCTGGAACATTAACTAGTAGACTTGCAGTTGATTGTAAACTTATTAATGGATTAACATCTTCAATTATTGGAATTAATTTAGCTAATTTTGCTTCTTTAGTTTGTGGATTGACTATTGCATTTACATCAAGTTGGGCACTTACACTTGTAACTCTTGGAGTGACACCCTTCTCATTTATCTCAGGTGTTTTACAAGCTAAATATTTATAAGGTTTTTCTGCTTAAACTGATGAAGCTTATAAAGATTCAGGTAATTTAATTATGGAAGCTGTTACAAATATTAGAACAGTTTTCTCTTTTGGGAATGAATAAATTATTCTTGGAATATATTCTAAAAAAGTATAGATGCCTTTAGAAATGGCTAAAGAAAAAGGATATAAGGCAGGACTTGCTATGGGTCTTTCTTAAATGAATATATTTATTATGAATGCCATTGTATTTTATGTTGGAGCTATATTCTGTAGAGATATTGATTTAAGTGTAAATGATATGTTTAGGACTATATTTGCATTGACATTTGCTACTATGGGAGCTGGGAATAATGCAGCATTTGCAGGAGATATTGGAGCAGCCAAAAATGCAAGTAAGAATATTTTTGAGATATTGGATAGTGAAGATGAATTTTAAAGAGAAGAAAGATTAAAAAAATAGAAATTAACTAAATCTATTGAAGGAGATATATGTTTTAATAATCTTACATTCAAATATTAATCTAGAGATAAAAATGTATTTGAGAATCTTAGTCTTACTGTAAAACCTGGATAAAAAGTTGCATTTGTTGGACCTTCTGGTTGTGGTAAATCAACATTAATGCAAATGTTGATGAGATTCTATGAACCAGATTAAGGTATTATTACAATTAATGGAATTGATATAACTGATTATGATATCCGTTATTTAAGAAGATAATTTGGTATTGTATCTTAAGAACCAGTTTTATTTAATGGAACAATCAAAGATAATATAAAATATAATATATCATAAGCTACAATGGAATAAATTGAAAATGCAGCCAAAAAAGCTAATGCTTATGATTTTATTTTAAATAATTAATTTGAAGAAACATAAGCAGAATAAAAAGGAAATGAATAATAAAGAGGTTAATGTTTTGATAGATAAGTTGGACCTAAAGGAACTTAAATATCAGGAGGATAAAAATAAAGAATAGCTATAGCTAGAGCTGTATTGAGAGATTGTAATCTTTTACTTCTTGATGAAGCTACTAGTGCTTTGGATGCTGAAAGTGAATAATTGGTTTAAAATAGTTTAAATTAATTAATGCAAGGCAAAACAACAATTGCAATTGCTCATAGAATATCAACAATTAAGGTATATATTTTATATTATAAATTTATTAGGATTCTGATGTGATCTATGTATTTGAAGAAGGAAAGATTGTTGAATAGGGATCTTATTAATAATTAGTCAATTAAAAGGGATCATTTTATAAATTAGAGTAAGGAATTTCTTAGTGATTGTATTATTAAATATTGTTTATGAGATATAAGTATTTTAATTAAAATTATTTCATATAATTATATTATAATTCTTTTTCTACCTATAAAAATTGAAATTAATAATCTAAAAATATAACAATTATTAATATAAATATTTAATATAAAAGATATTATATCTATATAAAATGAGTCAATAATAACTTTTTGTAGTTAATCATTTTAAAATAATTGTATTGCAATGATTAATAATTGGATTTCAAATATAATCAGTGAGAAATAACAATTTTTATAATAATAAATAAATTTGATTGGTAATTCACTTTTTAATATATAAATCAAGTGTATAAGTGTGTGTTTAAGTATTTTAACATATAACTATAACTTTAAATTTTTTCCAGTTATAGTTTTCAATTGAGGAGACTCCAGCTCTTCTTTATATATTTTGATTTAATTATATATTTTTATACTGTCTATAAATATTTTTAGCTGCTGTATAATTGATACCTAATAGTTCAGAAGACTTTTGAGAAATATTATTTAAGAATACTTGTTTAATGGTCTTATTTAAAATAAGAACCATGTATATGAGGATCCATCTAAGTGTGATAGTAGCTTTATTATATCTTTTAGAAATGCTTTTGCCATATTTAACTTGCATTTAATGCTCAACTTCTTATTTGATTTAATCTAAGATTTTCATTGATGATATTTGTTTTATAATAATTAAAATTAAATACGTTGTTAGTGAATATTGCGTAATATTTTAATGAATAAAGAATGATAAGTATATTAAGAAAGAAAATTTAGTTGTTGAATTTAATTAAATTCAAAAAATGAATACAAGATAAAAGTTACTATAAAATATTAGTTATATAGCAGGTGATACAAGAATCAAATAATAGAATCAAAGTAATTTAAGAATAAGATCATAAAAGTCTAGAAAGGAGAATGCTAGTTTCATTGTTACAAAATAAACATAATAACCTAAAGCTAATATCAATCTCTATTAAACCCAAATACATTCACCAATAAAAAATAGAAGCATGAATTAGAATAAAGAAAACAATATAAATTATGCATATGTACCATTAAAGAATTCAGATGAACTAATTATAAATAGTGCAGAATCACATTCGCTTAATTTATCATATTCACCTTCATCTAAAAAGAAGCCATAACCATCATGTTTCGTATTGCCTTCGAGAAGCATTAAACCTAAAATAAAATTGACAAAAAAAGCTCTAGAAATTAGAAGTATATATTTGGATAAACCAAAACCAAAACAGAATAATTTTATTAACATAAAGGGTACATAAAAAATAATCAGGTGAGAATGAATATCTAATTATGCATTTTTATTAAACAATACATTATTTGAGTTATTTTAACTCTGTATTACTTATATAATTTACAAATCATTTTAATTAAATCTTTACCTCAAATGAGCACTGCACAAAAAATAAAAAGAAGATAGTAGCCATCAGAATAGATGGGATTTTGTGTTTAATGTTTAAATTTCATACCAATTACTTAAATTGATCTTCACTGTCGTAGCTGCATGCAAAATACAAACAAACTCAATACCTAAATTGATTAAATCTCATAATAATTACTCCATATAAAAACAATAGCTATTAAAGGAGCAGAGAAATTAGATGATAATAATGAAAAATACAAATTCCTTATAAGAATATAGGAGCTAAGTACACAAATTGATGCCATTAGATGCTATAATAGTTAGAGTGTCAAAAAATTAAGAGACATTGAAAGTGAAGTAAATGTACTGATAGCATATCCTTAAGCATCAATTACTATAATGATGTTGTTAAGTAGATTATTAGCTTTAGTGAAAGAGAAATTAATGTTACAAAATCAGAAAAAGCTTGTCTCTTAAAATTCATTTCCATAGGGAGTTGATACTAGAATAAAGACTGAATCTTAATGTTAGGAAGCCAGTGAAGCTGAATATACATATAGACAATACAAATCAGAAAGAGATATAAGAAAAGTATCTGAATTTAAAAGAACATTTTATTCTAAATGTTTAGAATTGAAACTTCAGCTTTCAAAGAATGATCCTGCTTAATCTATTCTAGTTTAAGATCTATTTTAAATAGTAGTTAAAGAGAATTACAATCAGGAGGAAGCAGTAAGATTTGTAAGAAAATGTTTTCAAGTAGGAAAAATTATTTAAGTATGAGTATTCTTTTTATATTTCTAACTTAATTAATTATTAAATCGTTAAATTAATGGATTCCTCTCGACTATCAGATTATCAGATTATTGCTTCAAATAGGAATGGAATTACAATATAGTAAATAAAACAAATGTAAGTACAGATAATGGAATGTTCAGATTCAGCATTAGAAAATAATTCTGAATATTTAGAGTAATTGATGAATTTGGCAACTATAATCAATTATAAGATGAAGACTTTATGAGTGTTATTATAATTACTAATATAAAAAGTTAATCAGAATTTAGATGGTTCTGCTATCATAGCTTCATTAGGATCATAATTATATCCATCGAATTAAGCTATATTAATATAATTATTAATTATAAATACCTTAGATAGAGTTCCTTCGAAGCAACATATTATTTTCATTTGTATCCTATTCTGTATCCTGAGTAGACCCTCCTTAATTACTGGAACTACGAGGAATATACGGAGGATGCAATTCTTTATTTAGTAATTTATTCCACTCAAATCCTTTAAACCATGGATGATTTTTTACAGCTTCTGGATTATCTGATCCTAATCTCTAAACTGGTTTTCGTTAGATCAACTTATAAGTTTAAATTAACATTACTTGATTGGCAAAATCACCAGCTTCTAAAGACCATGAAACTGGCATTTCATTTCTTTTTATTTACACTTATTTGGCTAATACATTATCTCTTATCTCCTATCTAGATTTCCCTACATATGGTCTTCTTCCCAACATGCATTCATATACTATAACACCCAAAGCAAAATAATCAACAGCAATGCCATGATTTTATCTACATAGTACTTCTGGTGCCATATAGCCAGGAGTTCCACTTGTATCAGATGAATTATCGGGTCTCCATATACGAGCAATTCCTAAATCTGTCAATCTAAGATAGCCTTCAGAGTCAAAAACTAAATTCTCAGGTTTCAAATCTCTATGGATTATACCTTATGAATGCAGATATTCTAGTGCAATGATAATACATGCACAAAAGAATTCTAAATTCTATATTGAAATATATACTAGTTTCTTCCTCTGAAAATTTCTTATTCTTTCCAATATGATAACGGAGATCTCCTCCACTTAATAAATCCATAACAAGATATAAGTTTTCTCTATCTTAAAATGCAGCTATCATATTGATCAGAGATGGATGTCTTAGTTAACTCAATAGTGTTCTTTCATTCATTACTGAAGATACACTCTTTTTTGAGATGACCCTTATATTATAACAACAAATTTATTACTTTGCCTTTGACATCACTTTTAGGGCAAAATAACTTTTGTTTTTTCTTCTCTTAACTTTCCAAACCTTCCCAAATCCTCCTTTCCCCAGGACTTCAATAAATTCAAAGTTATGCACCGACAGAACTTCTTTATTAAATTCTAAGTACTTGCTGAATCTGGAAGGTCCTTCTTATCAGTAATATTGCAATTTCCCATTATTTAATTAATATAACGATGTTATACATCAATTAATAGATATATATATGAATAAAACACAAGAATCTTTAAAGATTAAATATAAAGTATTCAATATTTAAGTTTTGGTAAGATCTCACTTTCTTCTGTTTTTTCCAATCCAACCATAGTTATCAATGGACATTTATGATTTTCAAATTCTCTTTTTAATTTACTCTCACCTTTAATTCTTAAACTATTCTCAAAATCTGTTTGTTTTAATAATAATGTTTTCGAATTTAAATTTATTCTTTAGGATCTAATAGTATGATCATCTTCTTTTTCCACTACAGAGTTTGATCCTCTCAATTATTGGTACCAATTTTTTGGAGGAGATGGCAATTCATTAAGGATTTCCTTTTTTAATCTATAAGCTGTTAATCTAATATTTTTAAATGTTACTACCTTAACTCTTCTGTAATAAAGTTAATTTTTCTCTGCTTCTTGTTTAACATTTACTTTGTATTGTCATATTAACTAATTCCCAAGATTATTCTCTTTCTTAAAATTAAGTTATAACTCTTTATTATCTAGTATTTGCATTTCTTTCAAATATATTTAATTATTTCTCTAGTTTTAGTTCTTCACTTTCATTTTTTTGAATTCTATTTTTTGTTTCTTATAAATATTATTCTATATTAACATTTGCATGATGATTTATTAATGCTGCCATAGTAGATTTATTATGTGAAACTTATCGAGATAAGATATTAGAATGAATAGGATCTTAAAAAAGAGGTATTTTATTAGATGATTATGATTTCTTCATATTAGAGAGATTAGAATAGGATTATTTCATTTTTTAAAAAACAATAGAGTTTTTCATTTTTGGAGAATTAGATAATTTTGATTCTTCAATTTTCTTTTTTATTTTATCTATAATATCTGGTTTTCCAACAACACTTCTAGCTATAATTTTATTATTGTTATCATATTTTGGTCCATATTAGGGATTATGTTCATCAAAAATGTTATTTGAAATTTAAGGCTGTAACTTAAAACTCTTAATTTTATGCATGAGGAACATAGTCTTAGATTATTGGAGATGATCTTACATTAAAAATATATTTATATTAAAATTCACTATAATTAAATAATTCTATAGGAAGATCGACGACTAATATCACGCTTATTATAATTTGAGTAATTAAAATCTTAATTCTGTTGTTATTATACAATATCTTAAGGTAAAAACATTAAATCTGTAGCTTCTTTTGATTCCATTTTCAATTTACTATTTCCGTTAACAACAAGATAATCAGCGTCATAATACTTATTATTTAATCTTTGATTAATCATATTCTTAAATTTCTCGCTATACATTTTTACATGATTAACATTTTTAATTATCTCAATAGATGGTTCAATAGATTAATTATAATTTCTCAACTTTGCATACCATTCCTTAACATTCGGTTCCTTCTATAAAACATTTAATGAATCCAATAACTATTTCTTTTCTCTATATCCTTGACTTCTTCTTATAAGAGTGTTATTATGAGAACGTTCACAACGATTTGCTAATTCCTACTCTAATTGATTCCATTTATCTTATTATTCTTCACAAGATTCTAAGATTCTTCTCTATTTAGTTAATAGATTTCTCTCAATTATAGGCAGAGTCTCTTCTTGAGATCTGAGAGAAGATTAAGAACATTTAATATTGTTTTGAACTTTATCAATATGCAAGAGAATTTCTTCCTTTGAAATCTTGCTTAATTGAATAGGTTCTATTTTTTTCTTGATGTTTTGTTTCTTATTGAATTAAGTAATAACAAAAGATTTTAACATAGAAGATTCTTCATCAGTAACTCTACTATCATATTATACTTTGCCTTCTCTTTAAAATTAATCAACAGTTCCAACAATGGATCTCTTAATGACTTCACCTCTATTATCATAACGTGGACCTTAGATGATTCCATTGATTTATTAATCTTTAAAGATACTTGTACTTTATGATCTAGATCTCTAGATTTCTTTACATGGTTATGCAACAAATAGTACTTTAATATTTTATATACTCATTATTTGATCTATCGTCATATCTCACTAATACTATTAAAGACTCTAACTAACGGGTTCTATCTTTATATTCTTTCTCTAACTGGGCTCTTCATATATAACTTAAGATTTTGTGAATTCTACTTGTTTTGGAGATGTAAAATGCTAATAAGTTGGTGTTTGTATATTAATTGGGAATTGTCTCATTGGAGATCGTACTATTAATTATTTCTTTGGATTTTCTAATGGCATTCCTATACAATATTTTAAACCCTCATTCAAACGAGCCACAAATTTTTCGATTGATAATTATATGTTACGATAATCTTATTTCCATTTTGAATCCATATAATCTAAAAATCCTTATACATCATCTACTTCTCTAGCATTCAAAGTTTCCATTTACATATCAAATAAATGGCAAAATTCAGCTGTAAATTAGTTATGAAAATATGATTTTATCATTTTTAGAAAGTTATCTTTCATTAATTCAAGTAAACGAATTTTTCTTAAAAGTATTGCACTTTCTTTATTATTAGCCATTTCCAATTCTTTCTTTTAAGCAAATGATTATATTTATTAAAATGCATATTCAATGTCTACTTCCAAATTTGAAGATGTCTTCAATTTTCGATCTAATTCATTTAATTAATCAATAAAAAGGATTCTTTCATTTATTTTATCTTCTTTCAATTTCTCATGTTATTTAATTAATTAATTCTTTGTTTCTTCTATTTTTTTTGAAACATTTCTTAAACATCTTTCAATTCCTTCTTATAAATAATCATCATATTATTCATTCTCAAAAACATTATCTTATTCACCATTAATTAATTATAATAATCCTGCTGATGAGTTCTTTTTATTACTAAAATATGTAGCTAAACATCCATTCTCATAAATATTATTTAATTCCTCTAATTTGTGATTACGATCATGTAATTTAACAGCACAAGTTGAACACATTACTCTTTATTAACAATTTCTTTCTAAACAAATCCAACTAAGAGTTTATTTAGGGTGATTTTTACACATTTATTCATTTTCCATTTTTAACGATTATCTAATTAATTATAGAAAACTTAATTAAAAATAATAAACTAATAATAATATATTAATATCATACATTAAATCAAGAATCTAAATTATGTAAATTAATACTATCATATTATTAATTCTTATATTTAAGTCATATTAAATTATAATATTATATAAATGGTTAAAAAATCATACATAAATAAATCTAAGTACCAATACACTTAAACCAATAGATAAAATTATTCCACAACCTAAACAATCAAATAAGATTTCTAATTTTCCAATTTTTTTTGTTTATAATTCTTAACTTGATTCAATCAAATTCAATTCTTAAACTTTTTTATTATTAAAATATTTCATTTTAATGTGACAAGCAATTGGTAAAATATATCCAATTATAGTTCCTATGATTGCACTTTTTATTAATATTATATAATTACCCTGTGTAACTTATTAAATTTTCTAAATTTAAATTCATCATTTCAAAAAATAAACAAATAAATGCAAATACAAATGAAAAAATAATTAGCATGTAAGGTTTAGGATTTTTAGCATTAAAGAATGCAAAAAATCTTAATCTAGCTACATATTAAATAATTGGAAGAAGCAAACTAATTTAAATAAATAATAGAATCTATTTAATTTATTTATTATTTACTTGTAGAATAATTACAAATAATTATGATTATGGAAAGTAATCTAAAATTGTAAATCCAGATAATCCTTCTTATGGTTTTCTTTCAAATAGTGCATAACTACCAAAAAGACCAACAACTTAATAAATTGTAAATGTTAAAATATAGGCAATTATAATATCTCTTGATTTGTGTTTACTTTCTGATTTAGATAGAAGTGGAACCACTAAACTATGACCCAAAAAAGCTAATTAAAACACACTAGGTAATACAGCAATCTATATAATAATAAGGAAATATTTATACATCATTTGATTTCCATAGAGAAATTGTTGGTGTTTTGGAACCTTAGAAGATAATGAAAATAACAGCTAAAAGTGTTGCTAAAGATGCATAAGTAGGTAGTTTAAGTAATGGTGTAATATCTTTGATAAAAAATGTAGGTAACAAAATAAGAATGTAAATCATTCCAAGAATTTAGTATGAGAATTAAGTGAAAGTGAATACATTCTAATATTATATCTATATTATCTTACTTATGGAGCTGAGTTAACAAATAAGGATATCACAGAATAAATGAGTGAACAAGAAATTATTACTTAAATTTATGCACAAGCAATATAAAAGATGATTGTTATGAAATTGAATGTTGTTTAAAATTTGGGTCCTAAAATTCGATTAATCAGAAATTGTAAGTCAACCTATAATAAACTAGTATTAAGACTTCTTTTTTTAGATGATATTTCTTAACAATCAGACATGTAATACAGGATGTCAAACATATGATGAATGAGAAAACTACTCCATTTAAGAACCCATATTGATTATACAAAACAGGAAGTATTATAGGAGCTGATCCAATCTAATAAACAGTAATGAATTTGAAATACCATTCCATTGGATAAAGTAAAGATAGGAATGAAGCTGCTTTTGTTCATGATTATTTATTATAGTGTTCAATATAGCCTATAAATACCTTTAAATTAAGAATAGACGCATTATTATTATATTTAACATGAATAATTAATCAAAAGCAAAGAAAAAAATAAAATCACAAAAAGAATTACACTCAAATCAAGATAGATAAGATCGATTTTAAAGTGGATTCTTGAAAAAAGAAACAGATAAATCACTCTAAAATCAATCATAGTAGTAGAGTGACATCAATAAAATTAGTAAAGAGTAATTAATAAAATAATTTCCAAATAAGATGTTAAATATGCTTTCATCATAGTTTAAAAAATTAGAATAGAGTTCAAGTAATTTAAAATTAATGCAAATTAATAAAGATGTGTAACCTCCTGATTTGAATTTAAATCAAATTATTGTTTAATATCATAGTGATATTTTCACCTAATATTCATAATATTAATAAAGTCAAGATTAACTATTAGCTGATTTTATTAAAGGAAATCCTGAAAGAAATTAATAATTTTAATAATTTAATCCACTTAAAATGCCTAATCCTTTTACTTCTAAACTTCAAAAGTTAGAAGAATTATTAACATAAATTTAATGAAATTAATATAACAACAGCATATATAAATGAGAATTTTTGTAATTATTATTAAAATTTCTATTATTATTATTATTATTAGATCTCTATTTTAAATATAAATTATTTAATGTAAAAATATACATTTATCATAAAATCACAATCTAAAAAGAATAAAGATTAGTAATACTCATCTTATTGAATCAATTTTAATTGATTTTCTTTGTTGTTACGTTAAAAATATGTTATTGTTCTATTTATACTTTCATCATAATGAGGTACAATAATATCAAGAAAAACAAATGGTTAAGTGCTACTATTCTTTAATTATTTATTTTATTACATTAATAAAACTATGCAAATTACATTTATTTGGAGTAGTATAACAAATATCACCAGTTTTTAAACTTAAACTAGGTAATTCTTCTGCTTCAACTCTAATATCTTATTAAATAGTTGTTTTCTTAAATTAATTGACTTTTTCTTAATCAACCTATTTTATATTCCATCCTTCTCTAATTCCTTCTCCATGTAAAACATAAGATAATACAAACATATCAGGATGATCATGTAAAGGCATAGTTACTTATGGTGCAAGTGTAAATATTGCAAATGCAAAACTATTATCTGGTTCAAATTATATAGGCAACATTGAAATTTCTTAGTACATAGTCAAATTCTTATTTATATAATCTTGAAGAGACTTTGTTTTTAGTGCTTCGATTGTAAATGTTGTTATAGGTTGATAATCAAATGTATCCAAATATTTTGGTCCATGTAATAAAAATTAAGAGTATATTCTTTTGGACTCTTTGATTAAATTTTACATATTTATTATTAGTAATTATAAAATACTTTATAATTTTGATATACAATATTATTCTAAAATCAATTCACATTTTAAACAACGATCTACTTTTTATGAATCTGTATCTCCAGATAAACAAAATTTACATAAACATTAATAACTCAAATCTTTTGTAATTGGGTTTTCTAAAGTATAAGATCTGTAAATCTAGATATTGTTTAAGATATTAATATATAAATCTTAAGATTTACAAACTGGTTAATAAACATGCATTGGATGATGATCAAAATATTAGCTATGATTAAATTGACATGATCTAATTATATACATTTTCATATCAGGATCAGCCTCATTTACATATATAAGCTATTAATGTTAAAATATAATACTCAAGAATTTCCATACTATTTAAATCCTCTTTATACAAAAAGATTAAAGATCATTATGAAGTGAGAAAAATTGATATAAAATTTGAAGAAGCTCTACTAAAGACAGTGCTTTAAGCATAAGAATTCTTATACTAATTTAACATATTTACTTCATAAAAATTGATCTGAGAGAAATTATATTAGCTTTCTTTCAGGGAAAATATTATTAAATTTACAATTATCTTAATTGCACTAATTCTTAATAACTATTTTTTGAATAAGTTGCGCTACCACAAGGTGCTCATATAAATGTATTTTCATGAGCAGGTTTACCATAAATACATTGGAATTTGTTTATATCTAATGATGTCAATGATCCTGTATTAAATGCTCGTAATACATTTTAATTTATTATACTCAAGTGTTGATTATTTTATAAATTCATATTTGGATAAAAATGATGGGAGACTAAACAAAAATAATTATTTCTTCTTTTTACATAATGATGATGATTTAGATGATCATTACAAAAAATTTAACACAAACTTAATTACAACTTTAGCAATATTCAATAGACAATATATTAGGGAATTTTTAGTATATATTTTATAAACATTAATTAGGAGCTCTTTTAATTAATTCCCACAAAATCTGAACATAAATAAAATTTATTTTATAATTCATCATTTAAATAATTCATTCATATTTGTTAATATATTACTAGTTTTATTCTAAAAATATAATAAATATATAAGAATAACATGGAATCACAATAATTAAAATTTTGAGAATTTTTGTTGAATTATTTAGAAATATGATTAATTTGTATTAAATGTTGTAAACTTGTTAGATGATCATATTGAAAAGTAATTGTAGTTTTCAAAGATTTAACTTTCTAGAATAGTTGAGAATAGAAAATGATGTAATATAATATTAATTTATTATCAATTAAAGGGGGTAAACTTTATTATTAGAATCAATAAATTTCAGTAATTAATTATTTGATATAAATGTGATCTTCGGCTTATTAGTAATATGTACTCCATAATATTATATTTAAGCAATACATATTTAATAGAAATCATTCTAAACTCTTATATTTTCAATATGAATGAACAAATAATAAAGAATATGTATTTTAAATTAAATTAAAATATATTGATCAGATAAATTATTAATGGATGATGAGAAACTTTCTTTGATTTAATTAAAAAGAAACAAAAAATAATATTTTGTTCATTTTTTTTTTGATCAATATTGAAACGAAATATAACAACACTAGTTCAATTCTGTTGTTATATTTATCTTTGTTTTTAAGATTCTCTTTTTTTGGTAATCTTTTTATGAATTGAGGGACTTCTTTCAATAGATTTAGTGTCTTCTTATTCAGATTTATCACATTAGATTTCTTGAGCTTTAATTATTTTTTTATGAATAATTTAAGATACGGTAAGAATTTTCTCTGAAAAAGCCAACCTTGAATCATTTTGAAAATGCATGATTGCCAAAGCCAATTCGAAATGAGAATATTGATAAATTTCGAAGTCTATTTATATATTATATGTATATTTTACCTATTAGAATGAACATCAACAAATTTTAGATGTTCTCATCGACTTAAACATTCATGGCTAATAAAAAATCTGATGAAGTTATAAGATTTAACTAATATCCCATGGCTTTAAGAATTTATTCTTCCATTTCATCATATTCTTCATCATTGTACAAGGCCTAGTTATCTTGATTATACAATTTAATTTAAGACATGATCTCTGTCTCATTAAACTAAATTTTATAAGAATTATAAGTACTTTAGAGGCAATTGAATATGCCGATATACCCAACAGTTAAAGGTATTCTACAGTAATATTAAAATAATTTAAGTATGTATCTATAATAAGGACAGCCAGTTCTAAAGTTTTTATGGAATGCTTGAATTGAGATGATTGCTAATTATAATATTAAATAATTACTGCCACAGTCCATTAGATTAGTATATCCCTTCTGCAAGTACTAGAGGAATCATATTAATAGTATGGATTAAGCTTATTGAGAGTTTTTGGCTAAGAGAATCAATAAAAATGATACTTTTTATCTAGTGAATAAATCTCTTATTTCAGCAAAAGAAATCATGGCTGTACAAATTAAAAAAATAATTATACAATTAATTCCATTTAAATTTGAAATTTATAGATTACTTAATACTACAAAATGCTTCATCTATTATTGAACATAATTCACATAAACATCAAGATACTAAAATTTTCAAATTTTTTATCATATAATAAACTAAATGAAAATATTTATGATAAATCATATTACAACAATTATAATTAAATTGCCTTAATCAATTTTATTAGATCTGTATTCCATCAACCAATAGTTACAAATATATAAATATCACCACATACCCTAATAAATGTTAAGTAAAAGTAATAAATTTAATTCCATTTTTTGTATATCTCATAATCTATATCTAAGTTTATGAATTTGAGATCCATTATGTTAATAATTAAACATAAATATATTTATTAAGATATTTATAATGTATCATTATAATTTATATATATATATATATAAGTGTTTATATAAAAAAGGATATGAATATTGATGGTAAATCAATGATAAGAGAATAGTAAATTATAGGATTTAAGTCTTGTTAATAAAGAAATCTTAGTAAATAGAAGCCTCAAATACATTTAATTTCATTTATAATATACATTTTTTAGACTTCTAAAAAAAATGCTGATATAAAAAAATTGACTTAGCCCAAAAATAAATTCAATAGATTCTATAAAATAATACATTTACAAGATATATGGTATATTAATCTTATATTAAAAATCATTTTGTTAATCCAACTCTCAATATTCATTATTTATATAATCTCATTTTAATATATGAAATGAATTATGTCTCAATAAAGGTTATTTGAATATAAATGATCAATCTTATGTATATATAATATAATCAATAATACTAAAATAAAGAAGTATATATATTATACAAAATATATATATATATTTAGACACATGATTGATATACTTTAATATATTAATGTAAATATATATGATATAAGTAAAATGATATACATAAAATGTATATAAACTAATTATATACTTTCTTTATAAAATAACTTAATATATTATTACAAATAATGAATTCTACATTAATATATAGAGAAGATTAAATATAATACTTAATGATTTCCCACTTTTATAACAAGTTTCAATTAAGGGGAATCCTTATTTATAGAAATATAGTCCAATTTTTTAAGGAAAAATGGAATCATTTTTTTTCTGGATAGTAAATTGATTATTTTATAAATAAAAGTATATTATTAATTAATTAATATAATATGCAAACAACAAATGGCATTTCTATTTTATAAATAAAAAATACCCAAGTATCAGTTTGCAATAATAAAAAAAAGGAAGAATTGATACAATTTGATTAATTTGATGAGGATTTGATACCTAAAAGTAAACTATTTTCTCCAATGAATGTAAATTTAAACCTGAAATGTGTTGAAAATTATGGGAATAATAAAATTTATGACATAAATGAAACTGGACCTAATGAATAGTAAAATAAATCAGATTAATTGCTTGATTAACTGAATTCAAAGTAAAGAATGGACACTTCACTCTTACAAGTTAACGTAATGACTGAAAGATTAAATAATCAAAACTTAATATTCTATGCTCCTTAATATATTCCAGATGTTTAACATTTCTTGACTTAACCTGTACCTGTAGGTATCTTTATAAATGTTATTTATTACTAGATAAGATAGTATAATGTACTTTAATTAAAAATAAGAAGGGATTTTGCAATTTCTACCCTAAATTTGAATTGTATTTCTCAGAAAGCTTAAAATTTCTATGTGCTGGTAAAAGACAATCAACAAAGAGGAAATCAAATTATATAATTTCAAGTAATGTAGAGAACTTTAATTCTAACAATAAATCAGTATGTATAGGAAATTTGAAATATGGAACAATTGAGAATTCATTTTATTTATATGATAATGGTAATGATCCTAATAAAAGTGGTCAATTAGAAACTACAAGAAGGGAATATGCAGTTTATTTTTATAAGAAATCTAGTTTAGGACTCAAATCAATAAATGTATTAATCCCATCAGTAATTAATGGATAGCCTTAAGATTTTAAACCTATTACATAAAATTAAGGTATCTAAAAAGCATTTAGTTAATCAAAGAATGAAAATGTAATGTAATTAGTTTCAAGACCTCCTACATTTAGTGAAGAAAAGAATGCATATTAATTAAAATTCACATAAAGAGTGAGAGCAGCTTCTAATAAAAATTTTATTATCATTTCTAATAATTAATAAAATGATGAAGAATTTATACTATAATTTGGCAAATGTGGTGATGAATATTATAATTTAGATATATGTCATCCTCTTTCTATCTTATAGGCATTTGCACTATGTATCACTTAATTTGAAATTAAATTAAAATGAATTATCAAATTTATATAAATCTCTTAATTTATTAATTATCATATTTATTTTAAAAAAAAAATGAATCAATAACCTTTTACTATTTAGAATTCTATTCAATATCTTCAATAATATTAAGGTTTATTGAATTACACTTAAATAAAACTAACAGATGAAAATAATAATAGATATAAATATCCTGTAAAATTATATATAATAATATATTATAAAGGTTTTAACATTAAATTGTGATCATACTAGATTTGCATTAAACTTAGAAACAGTTCTATAATCAATTAATTAATAAGGATACTTTACATGTTCATGTAATAACATCACAATTAAGCATCCTCGTTAATTATAAAAGGATATAAGATGGAATTCAAATGAAGAAATAAATGAAATTTTTGACTTTGGAGTTGTAATTCATAATTACTTATTCCATCAATTTTTAAGGGCAAAGAAATTTGATTAAGTACTTTAATAAAATTTTGTTCTTTAACAGATCAAAATACTAATGGACTCATAAAATTCTATTAATATTTCATAAATATTGTAAAGGATTAGTAAAAATAATCAAAATCAAATTATTTTTAAAGTGATTTGCTTATTAGATTTTGTTTAAATTAATTTTCCTATAAGATTCATATAGTGTCAACATCCAGAATGTTATGATTTAGCCAGTTTATTAATATATTAATAGGAGAATAGTAATAATAATAGTTAAAATGATTAATTAAAATAATTCAAATGTAAATAAAGATAATGTAAAGTTAAAGTAGATATTTCAACTTAAGAAAAAATATTTCAAAATATCTACTTAGATAAAGAATTATTGAAATTGATAAAAAAAGAGCTACCAACTATTTATAAATATATATATAATCCAATTACTCTAAAAATTTAATAAGATGATGTGATTGTAGATCCATAAATTGATCAAATATAAAAATAAGAATTTAAATAATAATTTTCCGCTTCTGACAAAGACTATTAAGATTATCAAAAATAAGTTAATACAATTGCTTATACTATTTTACAAAGGACTCCAGGTGTTCAGATAGAATAAAATCTAAGACTTCATAGATATAAGTTATTTTAAGTTTTAGTAATGGATTAGAATATAGAATAACCTGCTAGATGTGTTAATTGCCCTATATCTAAAGTAATGAATTTAAAATCAATAATTTCTAATTTTTAATCATAAAAAAGAAAATATAAATAGAATATTAGACCTATTAAGTGCGTTTTATGTGAGAAAGAATATAGTTTTAATGTAAATATTTCAAAAATTGTCTATTTTGATACAAACTTGTTTAACGCTTAAGAATAAGGACTTTTAGAAAATGTTGATTAAATAATAAGATATAATGGAAAAAAATTTATGAAAGAAGAGTTTATGTCAAAATAAAAACTTGATTTATCAGATTTTAAGTAATATCTTTAATAAAGCTTTTAATGTTAAAGATTCACTTTTTTTAATTTATATTGTAATTATAACAGTAGAAACATTATTAAACTGCCATTAATTCTTAAGAATTGCCCAGAATAGAGAATTATTGAATTTGAAAGCTTTTATAATAGAATTGAATAAATCTAGACAAATGATTACGAATAAAAATGTCTTTAATTTTGTGATTGTTATTATTGCTCAAATAATCGTTTTTCTTTTAAAGAATTTCCTTTTAATGTTTATTTTCATGAAGCATTTTATCTAGCTTTGATTGATTTTAATAATTAAAATAGGAATCAAAATATATTAACATATGATTTTGAATTTAATTGTATTATTGAAAAATAAAATAATTTGTAAATACCATAAGAAAGCATTCCAATTGATAAATAATATTTTAAATAAGGTTTTGTGTCTCTTTTAGATGATGAATAGTATTAAGAGCTCTTTTAGATAAAGGGAATAAAAGGAAATTTTTAGTATTAAATTGTTTAAAGTTAAATTGAGGTTGGATTAGCAACTTTAACTAATACTCAAGAAGGGTATGAATGGAGTACAAAGAAAGAAATGATAAATTAAAAAATGAAAAATAATACAATAGCAAATAAATGGGGTTTTGAGATTATTAAAACTGAAACTTAATTCGTAAACAACGAATAGAAAATACTAAAAGGAAAGGTTTCTTCAGAATAAAATTGATTTATCTATATTGTTTATAAAATATTATAATTTTATCCAATCTTATAATAGATTAAAATGAAATTAATTAATTTAGATTAAAATTAATACTTTTAAGTGAATTAAAATTTAAATTATCTGGCATATTGCAAATTAATATAATATTATATTAGTCATTTTTAATATATAAATGATAAATCACTTTATTTAAATCATGAGGATGGTGCTTCTTGATTAATAACAACAGTAGTACTCTAATCTGGATTTTTATTCTATATTTAAGGTTAATCACTATTAAGTTTTTCCTAATTTATTATTTTTCTTTACATATTAATCAGATTTCTCATCTTTTTTCTTTTGTAATTATTTATATCCAAAACATGCTCCTAAAATCATTAATAATATGCCAATTCCACTTAGATAATAGATATATAATGGTTATGTTGAATATTACAATTTGCATCCTGCTGGTGATTTCAATTAAAACCTTTTATTAAATTAAATTATACGCAGTATGACAATTATCTTCTGAAAGCAATGCAAAATTTTAATCAGGTTCTGGACTGCATAGAATGTTGAAATTTACACTCTTTTTTTAATTGTTTTCACATTATGACCCTTATGAATAAGTTATCTATAATCCGTTTTCAATCAAAGAAATTTATTAATTCTCAGGTTTACCTAATATTTCACAAGAATCAGTTAATATTCCCATTACTTCTAATGCCTAATATGCTCCACTTTAACCTTAACAATGTTTAGGGTGATTCCCACAAAAATTAAACTCTAATTCAATTAATAATTATACAATAAGCCATTTTGAAAAAACTTGAATCAGCAGATGCTTTCACTATGTATGGTTCAGTTCTTTAAAGCTTTGTTAAATTGTAATAATGATCTTCTTATTTGAATTCGCAACCAAGAATTGTTGTAAGTTATAACACTAATATTAAAGAAATCATAAAAATTAATAAAAAAATTATTATTAAAAGAGATTAAATAATAATTGTGATTTACTATATTGTTAAAAAGTAGTTAAATAATAAACTTATTTATTCTTAACTCTTTCATTTAGCATATTTAATTTAGGATTAAGGTTAGTTATTAATATTTAATCTTATAAAGGTATTTCTTAACATAATTGTTTAAACAGAGAAAATTATTAATTTTTTTTTGGATGTAGAAATATAAATTTGTTAAGAATATTATAACTTCTTAATTAGCTATAATTATAAAAATAAGAATATAAATAAAGAACTTTTAACATTAGCAAATTCTTTAAAATAGAATAAATAAAACTAAAGTGTTTATTTTCTTAAATATTTATAATAAATATACAAACTTCTTTTTGTTTAAGAATATAAATTTCATTTTGTTTTCAAAATCAATAAGATTGATAAGTTTAAGATTAATCTATTTTCAAAATGAATTAAACTTTTATTTCAATAGTTTTTAAAATAAAAATCACATTATTTCAAAATTTTTAGCTTCATAATTATTAATTAATCAATAAGAACAGTATCAATTTTTAGGTAAGTTAATATAAAAATTATATCAGATTTCTTAATTACAAAATCTGTCGTATAATGATTAATTACACTATCTGATAGGGTTTTAAACAAATTAGATTTATTTAAAGTGAAATCAATAGATAATTTAAATTTAATTTACAATTTATATATATAACTCGAGTAAATATCATATAGAAAATGTTCATCATCATATTGAACTATCAGATTTAACCGACTTTTTGTATGATAATCTAAAGAATTTAATAAGAATTATACGATCGATTATTTGTTTTATCACTAATTTTTCTTGAATACTTTCTACTACCTTCTGATAATTATGACTAAAACATAGTTGATTATTATTATTATTATTATTATTAAACGAATTATGTAGATTATTATAGTAAGATTTAAGATTTCTTGGCAGAAGGTCTAAGACTCTCTTTAAAATAGTTATGTTATAAACACTCTTTTGCACTTATTCTTTTGTTCTTATCATAAAATAACATGCTAGATAATAAATCAAAGCATGATTCAGGTATATTATATTCAATGAAATGCTCCATTGATAGTATATTTTCTTAATAGCAGTATTACAAATTATCTAATTATGATTACTAGAATAAATCTTGTGATGTAATTCTAATATGATTATGAATGTAATTTACAGTTTATAGAATACAACTCCAAGACTGAATATATCACTTTTGGTGTTGTATTAAGATTTTTTAGAATTAATAATTTCAGGTGCAATGTATCCAGGAGTTCCACATTTTTAAATGCATAACGGACTACCTTGTTTTGTCGCCAAGCCAAAATCAATTATCTTAATATTCAAGTTTTTATCTATCATTATATTATCTGGTTTAATGTCTCTATGTAATAAACCTTATTCATGGATATAAACAATTGCTAACAAAATTTCCTAAAAAGAAATCTAATATTATTTTTACTCTCATAATTGATTAAATTTCAGTTTAATGTAATTAGGTTCCATGTTCATTTATGAATCTTTCTAAAGTTTAACCATCTACATATTCATGTATGATGACTATTTAATTAGATTTATCATATATTTCTTTAATTTTGACAATATTTGGGTGATTTAATCGATACAATATTTAGATTTCATTAATTATATCCTATAATTCAAATAATGATCTAATATTACATTCATTCTCTCTGTATTTGATTTTCCTTCTCTAATCTTGTTTAGAAATTTTGCAGCCACTAACTACTTTGTGTACAAATTTTAAACCATTTGTACCTAATTATCATTATATAATTATACTTATGAAAAAGCACCAACTCCTAAGACCTATTGAGGAAGATAAAACTAATTCATATCAAGATAAACTATCTTCGCATCGATTAATTTCTTAAATTCTTGAATTTTATTAGCATTGGCTCTAAAGAGTTTTTATTGCCCTTAGTATGGGATCGAAAAACCATAAAAATCATCATCAATATGAAAGGTTATTGTAGATCTAAGGGATACTTCTAGTTGGTATTTAGGTTTTGCTTTAGTCTGGTGATATAGTTTTAATACATACTTCCCCAATAAAAATACTCGAACCATCATAGGTTAATAAGTATTATTTATCAAATATTAGATGTTTTCTAATACACTAGAACTGAAAGATCATTCCTTTTCAAATAAAAGTGCAATATAATCTTTCTATTATTATTAATAATTATCACTAACTAGCGTTTTTTCATCTGCAATTTTAAAATCTGTTGGGATTTATAAAGTATTTTTTTTTTACTTGTTGTGTCGTTTGTATTTGTTAAGTTGTTGAATTAAATTTGATTTATAAATATGTATTTATCAATTATTTTCATATTATCTTAAATTTTCAATTATTTATTAAACTTAATAAAAAGGATAAACAAAAAAAGAAATATATTGCCAATCTATGTTAAAAAATAATCAATTAATTTAAATATTTAATGTAAATAAACTCAGAATTGTTAACAGAGAGACCTTTAATTCCTTAAATTAAGAAATCTGATTCCCTTAGAAGCCAAAGTTAATTTAAGTCTTGTCCAGCATATTTTAAAACATTATAACTTCAAAAAATATAAAACATTAAGTAAAATTAAGGAATAGAACAATCATCTAAGGTAAATCCATTAAATGTATTTGTAAAAATCATCAGATTCATTACAATTATTACTTAATCAATATTTCCATAGGATTTTAAATATCTAGATGCTAATATGTTTCGTATTATTAATGACAAGGCTTCAGATTTTAAGTTTTATGTAAAGAATGATTACTTTAAATATATAGTAATACTTATTTAATCTTAGAAAGCAGCCCCAGATTCAAGGTTATAAAATTGGATATAAAAAACACTATTCTAGCAATATAGTTTATAAAACTTAATCGATTATTTGTCTAATAGTAGATTTTTATTCAAACCAGAATAAAAGTTAATTTTAATCTGGAATATATATTTACTTTTTATGACAAATTTCAATTTTTTATATTGTACAATAAAATTTGCATTTGATTTTGAAAATTATAGACCTGATAATTATAAGGAAGGAGAAGTTTTCTTTTTGATTATTCCTTTTTTTAGTTATTTGATAGATATATTAGTTAAATTAAATATTTGTTATTATGAAGCTGGATATTTAGTTACTGATAGGAATAAAATTATAAAACATTTTTATCTTTCTAAAGATACCTTTATAGATATATTCTTAATAATAATATCTTTAGCATATTTCTTTGATAAGAATAGCAATAATATTTTATAATTATTTATGGTAATCAAAATATTTGATGTTCCAAAGAGAGTTGGATTAATATTGGATAAATTGGAATTAACAACAAATCATTGGGCAATTTATGATTTAATTAGATTATTGTACTTAATTGTGTTAGAAGCACATATCTTTTGTTGTTTTTTATATTTTATTGGGAAATAAAATAAAACTATTTCATGGATAATTTAAGAGAATCTTGAAAATGCTGATCTTATTACTAGTTATGTATATATATATTACAATTATTATAAGATTACATCATTTTACTGGAGTGTTATTACTATGACAACCATAGGCTATGGAGATTTTGCTCCATCAAATTTGAATGAAAGAGTCTTAGTAATCTTTGTAGCAATTACATCATGTTGTACATTTGGATATTTTGTATCATCTGTTGGATAAATCATAAATTCTATATAGAAAAAGGAATAGAAGATAAGATTAGATTTGAATGATTTAAAAAAATATTTAAGAATTAGAGGATTTAATTAATAATTATAGATTAAAGTAAGAAGATATTTTGAATATTTATGGAATGATTGCATGCGTTAAGATTAAATTGATATGATGAAATTACAATAATAATTACCAAGTAATTTATTTAATGTAAATATAATTAATAATTTATTAGGAGATGATTTTAGATTTAAATATGAAAAGTATATCAAAGATTCCATTCTTTAATGAAAATTTTAGTTCAGATTTTCTTTAATCATTGGCTGGTGATTTTGAGGAGGAACGTTTAACTCCTTGGTAAAGTATATTTACTAAAGGTGAGTAAAGTCGATATTTATATATTTTATGTGAAGGAGAAGTTGAATATTATGTTTAATTACCTGAAGGATCATAAAATTCAATTTCTATATAGAAAATTGATGGTTAAGATGAAATATTTGGATAATAAGATTTCTTACTTGATTAACATCATTCAATTAATTGTCGTACAACTAAGTTAACTAGAATATTAAAGATTAGTAGAGAAAATTTCTAATAAATTGCCAAAAAATATGGATATGTAATTATATTGTATATGTTAGGAAAAATATTGTTAATTGAAAGATTTGGTAAAATTTTCTGGAAGATTTGATGAATTTCATATCTAATGCATTGGATGCAGCAAATCAACACATTTATTATATAATTGTCCTATGTTAAGTGGTTTTCCAAGTAAGACAAAAACATTAATAAAGTATAAAAAAAGATTTTGTTAAGAAAGAAGATTTATATAAAGAAATAATAATTATAAACGTATATCAACATTAAGTTTTGAAAATAAAATTGCTGATAGTGTATTATACTATCTATTAAGAGATCCTAAAATGTATGAACAATTAAGTAATTAAATTAATCGAACAACTCCAATAAATTAAAATGGAATTAGATAAAAATCTAAAAAAAAATTATCAATTCAACCCAAAAGAGGAGTACCTGCATTTTTAAGTTAAGAATTTTCTAGATCACTTGAGGCTAATTACGAAAAAAGCTTAGGTACATAATTTAGTAAAGAATAATAAAATATATTAAAAAAAATAACTTAACATGATTAAGAATTATCAAAAGATGATAGTTTCAAAATATCTAAAGGATTAAATAAATAATTTATAACTAAAAGTACTTAAAGTTTGACTATGTTGAAAAGTTAAGATGCAATAGAAGAGAATGAATAAGAATCAGAAACTCTTGAAATTAATCCTATTTGGATTGAACAATAAAGTAAATTAATGTTTAATATTAAAAGATCAAAATGAAAATATGGGAAGATACAAGGACATTTTTGAATGTTTTGATTAATAAAGAGATTATGATTAATACATGCCTCACATGAATTTTAGAGAAATACAAAATCATCTTTAAAGAAATAATGATTAAGATAGTTTTCATGATTTCATAGATGCCAATATTGTAAGGAGAAAATGGAAAAAATCAAAAATTGTTATAGTCTTAGAAGCTTGAAATTATATTTATATATTTATAAATATCGTATTAATAGAAAGGATTTAATTCAATAAGATTATCCAAAATAAATTAACATATATTTTAAAAGCTGGAATAAATTAAAAGATAATCATGTTATTAAATGATTTAGAATTCTTATACAAAATGTAAGATCTTAGAATGTGAAAATGAAAAAAATAAGGATTAATTAGTAATAATAATAATAATAATAATAATAATAATAATATTTATAGTGATCAATTAGATATACATATATAATATGATTAACTTATTAATTGTAATCCTAGCGATACAATATGCAATCATTAGAATATGATTCCATTTTATAGTGCTATCGAATAAGATTTTCTAAATTTGTTTACTTATGAATTGATTAATTAACTTTTAATTTATATATAAAATGGGTAATGGTGCATGTCACTAATAAGTTCCTTCTATAGATGAAGTAAATTTAGTAGCTAGAAACTTTAAATAAAAATTTGAGCCTTGCAATAGTTAATGTATATTACCACTCTTGAATTCATAATCTTAAAGTCCATCTAAACCTAGTATTGAATCAAAGAATCCAACCATTGCTAGATTAGATGAAGAAGAATTTGAAATATTGATGACTAATGAAGACAAATACGATCAAGATTTATCGCCTGTCAGATAAAGTAAATTGTCTAGAGCTTAGTCTCCCACTAAACCTATCAAATCTAAACATCATTATAAGTAAGAAGAGATTTTCTTTTTGGAATTACTTAAACAAGATAAAACTAACATCACTAGAAGAAAATCAGCAGATAGATAACTAAGTCCTGTAAAGGTCATACATTCAAATCATTAGAAGAAACATAACACAGCATTATTAATTCATAGTCCTGATTAGAGATCAAATAAACTTATCAAAATTAATAGATTATCTTGCTAACTTGATGAAGCTGTCATTTTATCTCTAGAACCTAAATCAATTTTGAAATCTATTGGATCAGAAAAATCCTTATCAAATTCACAAAAGAGTAAAACCAATAGTCAAAAGAAAGTAAGATTTGGAATGGTGTATCGATAGTATAAATGAACATCATAAAAAAAAAACTAAAAACTACTATTATTTTGAAATCTAATATTCATTATATAATTAATTTATTTAATACTATTTACATCAATTTTTATCAAGATACTTTCAAATCATTTATTCAAAATATAGAATATAAATTTATTTAATTTCTTAAAATTTTAAATAACATTACAATAAACAATATTGTTTAATTTCCAAAATATTAAGAAAACATAGGTACTGTTACATATTTTCATTAATGAATTTTTTATATATAGTATAATTATTTAGTAATATTAGTTTATTAATCATAAGATTATAATACTAATTTTGATATATTTAGTAATAAAAATTGAAGAAATTATTTATTTAATAAGATGAAATAAATAAATAAATTATAGATTGAAAATATTTATTAATAATCGTTATATTTTTAAATATGAATCAATTCTAGGATGTATTCAATGAGTTCTCATAATTACACAATCAGAAATACAATTTAGGAGAAATATTATCATTTTTGGATTCCAAATGTGCAAATGGTTATTTTGATAGAGATGTATATTAATAATTGATTGATTAAATCCCATAAGCATAATCACAATAATAATGCACTATTAATCAGTTAATTAATGTATTTAAAAAGGCATAGGATGTATTAAATGATAAAATTAGCAAATGTTAATAAATTATAGATTAGAAAAATATGTAATTACATATTTGAATTATTATTAGTGAAATTAGAGCCTATAGTGATAAAATTAAGTAATAGTAAACAAATAGTGTCAATTCATCAAGTAAATTGAATGTGGAAATTCTTGAAGCTGAAATTTTATATTAAAGCAATGGATAATTATAAATCAGTTTAGAATGTATGTCATCTGTTGTTTATACATGTAAATTAATAATTGAAATTTTTAGAATTGGCCAAAAGACTAAATCCAGTTTGGAATGAAACCTTCGATTTGTATTTACTTAACTTTATGATTTAGTAATGTCAATGAGTAAGCAGTAATGAAATTTATATTATTGGATACAGAATTATAATAAAAAAGGGGGATTGGTGGAGTTGCTTATATTGATATTAATACTTTTGGAGATTAAATGCTTCATGACTTTACAGTGAATTTGACTGATGAAAGTAATTCTATTGTTAGAGCTAAATTACATCTTAAAATATAGTGGATTTATTCAAAAGTAATTATTATATTAATTATAGAATAAATATTTATAAGATTTAGTTAATGAAAATATGATATAGATTAATTAATTGGAATAAGAAATCAATGATCACATTGTTGATTTGGATATTATAAATTCTCCATTTAAATAAGGAATTAAATTTTAAAATAATCTAACTATATCTACATATTAAACACAACAAAACTAATAATAATAATAATAAGGGAATATATTATTGATTAGTGAAAGTTAAATAGATAGATTAGTTTAAATATCATTATTATTAATTATTCTTTATTTAGTGTTTGGATTATTAAATAGTATGTATCGAACATTAAACTTTGATGTAAAATAGTGTAATCTATATTAGTTTTTAGTTATATTCTATTGCTTTTTGTTTTATCAGAAAAATTATAAACTTCAATCTTTGCTTCACATTAAAATCATTATGGTTATGTTAGGTGTTGCTTTATTGATGGATATAATTTGGCTTGCAATTTATAGTACTGTAAATATTACATTAAATAAATAGCCATATTTGGGAGAGTTTAATGCATCTTATGATCATTTAGAATATGGATTATAGAAATATCAAATAATATTAAGTTGGTTATTATTATTTGTGAAAGTAAATATAATTTCAAAATAGATCGTTGTTTTAATGTTCTATGTTCACATTTATGCCACTTACCCTGATAAATCTACATAAGTTTATGATTAATAATGGAATGCTATTTTTGGATGGAAAGATATTAAGTAAATCAATATCTACAGAAATTATAATTGATTATTATAATAATTTTCTATTTTATTTTATCACTTAACATATATTTCTAAAAATTATGATAAATATCTTAAACAACTAATTATATATATAATATAGTAATTAAATAACAAGATTTTAAAATAAATTAAATTAACTGCATTTAAATTTTAATTAAATTTTATTTCCTATTCAATGAATACTACCACATATTCTAATGATCCTAAATATCATTACTAATAATCTATATTGAATCCTTACATTAACTAATCAATTAATAAGTAAGGGATAGCTAACTCTCAAATACTATAAGGAAGCCCTGGTAAAATTAAAAATTATTTATTTATTTTAGTTCGCTTACCTAATTACTCTACATAAGGTAGAAATCATTCTAATTCAATATTTTCAACACCTTCCGCTCCAAAAGTTCAATTACCATTTATTCAATAATCTATTCCTTAATCAATAATAAAACCAATAGTTGGTTCCCCTTCTCCTTTAAATTAACAAAAATTTCATTAGACATAACCAATATAAACTAGAAATATATAATATTACGAATCTCCTTAAGTTCAAAAAGCACCTTAAGTTAAAATTGGTATATTTGTATAACAAAACTTTTAGTTCATGAAATAGAGTAAGTACCTATAATACATGAATTACATCATGTAAATAGACCCATAAATGTAATTTCTATGGATGAAATTGAAGTGCCTTGGAGAAGTAAACAGATCCTTTTGGAGAAACAATTAATTGAATTATAGTTGATGTTAAAACGTAATCCTTAAGAAAGGACTGAAAGAAAGTAAATAATGGTGGAAGATGAAGCTAGAATTAGAGAGCTTGAATAAGAAATAGCAAAATTGAGACTCATTGTAATAGAGAATGAATAGAACATTTAAAATTATTATGGTTAGGTCGAATAAGCAGAATAAAATATAGAGAATGCTGAAGAATAAGCAAGTGAATAAATAGAAGAATAAAATAGAGAATTAGCTAAATGGAAGAAAAAATTCCAAGACCTTAACAAAAAGTATCATGATTTAGAAGAAGAAATAACAATGACAGAAGCTCAGATAGAAAGTATTTAGAAAAGAAAAATGACTACATAAAAAATTACATCTAATAAAATAACATCTAATTCAAGAGTAAGAGATAGTGGATTAATAGGTAGTAGTGTTAAAAAGAATTATTGATTGATCATTATTTTATATTAATTTTGAATTATGTAAATAACAATTACTTTATATAAATTACTTAAATCTAAATGTTACACATAATTGTGTTGTTTAATATCCTATCATTTTTGGATGCACAAACATGCTCCACAACATAGATTACATGTGAATCTATTACAGATAACACTTTATGTTATGAAACAAAAGATTCCAATTTTAATCAAATTTGTGAATGGAATACAAATAAATGTGAAAAAGCAATACTTGATAATCTACCATGTTCAAAATATACAAATGAATTTACTTGTTTTTACAGATCATATGGTTGTAGATGGGATGGAACTAATTCAACTGGTTATGATGCTGAAGCTATGAAAAACAACGTAAATGGAAAATGTGTAGATTAAAAGTATTTAGAATTATACATATATAATTTAGATGCCAAGATTTCACATCTGAACATGATTGTTCATCCTTTGGTCAAATATCATGTGATTGGTAGGATGATAGTTGTGTTTAAGTTACCAAATGTTAAGATTTCTAAACTGTAAAAGGTTGTAGAAATACCAAATTTAAGGAAAAGTTATTTAATTATATTATGATTAGATGTGTACCTATTGTAAATGGAGAAGTATTATCACTTGGATAAAAATCAACAACAATATTTGATTCTTTTGAATGTGTAGTTTAATAATGTAAACATAAATCAAATGAATATGAATGTACATTTGTTAATGGAGTATAATGTATTTGGGGAACTACGTATTAAATTCATTTAATTTAAGAGGATGTGCTGTTTGTGCTTCATTTAATACATATGAAACATGTGTATAAAATAAAGGATTATGTTTATGGAATTAAAATCAATGTTAAAATATTGAGTAATTCAAATCTTTATTTATATTAGATGTTAACAATACAAAAGTCCTAATTTATGTAAATTAAAAACAGAATAATGTGAATGGAATAGATTAAAAATGAGATGCCAACTTAATTCTACCTAAGCAAATCAACATTGCTATTCAGAATACTTAGATTAATAAAACTAAGGATTGGTAATCTAAATAATTTTAATTATTTCCTTTATTTTTATTGGATGATTTTTAACATTATATTATTTTATTTCATTATTAATATTTATATATTAAATTAATAATCATAAATTAAATTTATATATTAATCAATTCAGTGGCTGTTCATAGTTTTATCAAGGAATTTTTTTTCACCATTTATTTATTGGTGTATCTATAATTATTTATGCTTATTTATTATTTTTTAAACTGTTTTAGACTTATTATTCAATTCTTATCAGATTTATATTTAAAAAATTACTGAAATTTTTTAGGATATCCTTTTACTTTACAAAAGGATTGTTAAATTAGATGGTTTTGAGGTATTAATATATAAATATATAATTGGTTTAAATTAAAATATTATAATTCATTTAATCTCAAAATTCGAATAAAGTAACATTTCTTAAGCGGCCTGCTTAACTTTTTCTATATTAGAATAAGACCAAGGTAATCTTTTAACATCGAATTCAAACTATAAATTATATATACAATAAAAGTTACCCTTTTATCATCTTAAATATGATTCATAATTTTATTGCAAAGAGATGCTATTTTTTTTTTTGAATCCTTTTGTATTTCTTATTCTAAACAGCCTAAAATAAATAGAAATTATACTTAAGAATTCTTTATAGTAAGTAACAAAAGTTTTTGAGGAGAAAATTTATTTTAAAAAATCAGAATTCATTGTTTTGTTTTTGCTATTCTTTCTAAATGGAAGCATAATAGTGGTTTAGGTTTCTTTTTCTGCCATTGATATGAATATTTTCTATGCTGATTTCAAATTAGTCTCTAATTATATGATCATATAAATACTTGTTTTATCATATTTCTCTTAAATCCTTTGGAATATAAATTTCAATGCTTTTCTTAAGCAAAACTTAACAAGTTCTTCTCTACTTTTCTATTAGCATTTTTATTTCTAGGCTAACATTTCTAACAATTTAACTAAAGCAATCTAATTGCTATTTTTTAGCTATGTTAGTATATTCTTGAAAGTTTCGTCTTCATTTACAATCATCATAATATATCGTTCGAGAGTTTAATTTGTGACTTATGGTATCACATCTTAATATTCTACAATCGATCTTCTTGTGCCTTAAGTAGAAATTGGGTCTTCATAGTAATGTACTAAATATAATTTAGAGGAGAGTATTACCTTATTCAAAATTTTATTGAAGTTTCTATGGATATTATGGGAATGGTTAAGAGTAAGCCATCTATTAGTAAGCATATAAATTATTGTAATAGGAGTTTTGTAGATTCTAATATGCATTCCAGTAATTGATTGAGGAATAAGAATCAAAGATGAGTTAGTTGGGTAAAAATTAGTGCATGGTTTGCAAATAATTACAAATTTTATAATTAGAGATCAAAAAAGATTTGCAATTTTAAAGTCATTTATATGTATTAATATGTATAATTAAATTTATCCAAGTTTAATTGGCTTCTTTGAATTCAATTACACGGCAGGGATGTATAAAATGGTGACCATTTTAAAGAAACTTGCTGAAATCCAATAAAATTACAGAATATTCTTAAATATATTTGATTAAAATTACTGATTTTTTAAGAGTTCATTTGAACTTTATTAATTATAATTTCATAAAATATATAGTTTTTAAGAGTAGGGAATCAATAAGTGTTCTTCCTAAAAATTACTCATTTTCAATTGATTAACAATCATATATCCTATATACACATATTTTAATATTGTCAAAGAAAAATAGAAAATTCGATTTTATATTGTTTAAGTGTTTTTGTTTGATTTATAATGGATATTCCAAATTTCAATAGATTTATAAAAAGTATACCTATGAATATAAAGAATTGGATTTCTAATTAATCAAATTTTTTTGATACCTCTTTGTTTTTGATTAACTACCTGATTATCGATAATATGAAAAGTTTCAGTTCTCTTTCGTTTGACTAGATAAAATGAAAGATTACCTTCTCCTCATCATTCCTTCTCTATATAATCAACTATCAATATACATCTATTTACTATTTTAAGGTAAAATTGATTTTTTATTATGATAGTTGTAATAATGTCTATACTAAATGGTATTTAAGGAAAACAAGACAAAGATAAGAATTTTAATTGATATAATTCAATTATGTAATTGAAAAACATGAATGTTATATAAAAATGAAAATGGTTGTGAAATTATATGATTTTCATTTTGATAACAGAATTGTAGCACCTTTTGCTTTTATTGAATTTATCATTTCAATTCTTTCAAATTAATACACATTATTATTGTGACCTAATCCTAAATTTCCATGTTCATTCCATCCACTAACAAATATTTCTTATTTTTCTTAATTTAATAAAATTGTTGATTCTGATCCGCATTTAACTTTTGTCACCTTTAAATCAATCAATTAATAATTATAATTATGTTATTTTTTATTATCTCCTTATTATCCTAAATCTCCTCTTCCACAAATATAAACTTATCCATTTTTTGTCAGAATAACATGGTGACTCCAACCACAATCAAAATCTAAAATATCTTTCATTAATTCCTTTTACTCTAATATTTAAAATTGAGATTCTTATGATAATTATCCAAAACTATTACTTCCCCATCCATATAGGGAATTATCATCTTAATATGAATCAATATTCTACTTAATAATGCCAATGTAAATTTTTATCCACATTTTATATTCCTTATACTCCCTTGAATATTGATCTTTGTAAATTACTCAACAATTTTTATATTCAAAATATTTAACTCATTCTACTTATTTTATCCTACTCCATATATTAATTCATCTTGAATTATAAAACTTTATCTAAAACCACATGTTATGTTGTTAATTTTAGTATGATCAAATGCTATCTATTAGGGTTCTTCATATATTTATTTTAACTCTAGTCCCAACTCATTAAATTTATTTGATCCAATACCAAAAAGTCCTTTGTCAGTAAGGATCAAACAATGTTACCAACCACAAGAAAATTTAGAAACACTCTATATTTAGTTAATCTCTTTTGGTATTGTATATAATGATATCCATTATCCATATATGAATATTTTATCATTTTCTTTAATTAATCCTATCAATCCACTAAATTTGATTTTTAGATCATTCTAATTCTTATTGATTAATTATTAACATTTTTTAGGTATATTTAAATCTTCAAGAGTTTCTTAAAGTAATAATCCACAGCCTCCTGATCCACAAGAGTAATATTATATTTATTATTACATAAAAATAATTAGAATAATCAATTCATCACTTCCAATAGTATAATAATTATAATTTGTATTAAAAACAAGATGTTGCCTATTTATTTGAATTTTCTTTCCTCTATATCTCCTTGATACACTTGTTTCCTTTTATTCTCAGGAGTGTAATATATCTCTTTCTCTTGATATATAGCCTTTTTTGGAGTATAAAATAGAACTTACTAAGTTTCCTTTTCATATTCCTCTTGTTACTTATAAGGTATTATTTCCTTTTAAGTTTACCTATAGTCTGTTTCTGGCGAAGAAAATTATGAATTGAGCTTTTAATCTTGAGTATCCTACCTTTTGAGCAAATAGTGATTTTCTGAAATTTGCATTTGTCTTTAAAATTAAATAATCAAGCGGCAATGCTCTAATTATTTGCTTAAATAATAATTATTCTATATTAAAATATAATTTATTATAATTTTTAAATATTTTATATTTAATGTTTCATTTCCCAATCCCTTTTATTTTATCAACAATTATATTAGATGTCGTTTTTATACTCTAAATTAAATACTTATTTTTATCATCATTCAGAATACTATTTACATAGATATTAATCATCAATCAAATGTTTCAAGTATATTGAATAGAGTATTTAGAATAAAACATAAAATTCTTTATTTGATTTAAATTAAAAATAATAAATATTTTTTTTAAAGAAATGCAAAGTAGAATGGCCAAGAGACTACAAAAGGATTTAGAGTAGATGCAAAAGTCTTATACTGATCAATTTAATGTGAGAATGCCAAATAATGATATTAAACATTGGATTGTAGCATTTGAAGGTGCAAAAGGAACATTATATTAAGGAGAGAAATTCGAGTAATATATTTAAATAAATTAGATTGCAATTCAAGTTTTCAAATGAATATGTAGATATACTTATACTTAATTAGCTCTTTTTCTTTGAAATTAGCCAATCGAATCTCCTGAAGTAATATTATTCTTATTATTTAGGTAATCTTTATTGGCAAACCACCTGAGCATGAACATATATATTCCAATGGATTTATTTGCTTATCAATATTATTTGATGGTAATTCTTATAAATAATAATTTTTAGAATGGTCAGCAGCACTTACTGTGAGTTCTATTTGTTTGTCTATACAATCTATGTTATCTAGTGCTACAAAGAAGGTCTCTTATTATATAATTTCTAAGATGAAACCCCCCAATGATGCAGAATTTGTTAAAAGAGCAGCTGGAAGAGGTCCTAAAAGCTTTCTATGGAGTTATCATGATGAAAAATGTTGAAGGCTCTTTAAAAAATATATAAATTAAATATAGCATCATTTAAACATATAACAATCATTCATTTTATGATCTCATTAATTTTAAATTTTTAATTATTTTAGTAATCTAATTAGAATACATAAATATATATATTTATATAATTTATAATAATTTTGTTTATAATATTGCTAACTTTAATTTTTCTATTTACACCTTATTTACTTAACAAATGTATAATAAGAAATAATCCAGACTCATATAATTCTTAACCTAAAGATATGAAAAGTTAGAATTCTTAATATTTGATTTATACTAAAACAATCTAATGATTCTTTATTAATTATATTTTTTTGATTAAGTCCAACTAAAAATTTAATTAATTTATGAAGTAAAATCAATAATTAGATGCTTAAGAATCAATGACTTTATTGATTAATTTTAGATATTAACTACATTTGATTGTATATTTTGTATTTAATTTTGTTTATTCTGCTTAATTATAATTTTTAATAAAATATCAAATTTAATATATTAAATAATGAGCATAATTTGTAAATTTTTACTTGATATTTTTATATCCATAATCCAGTACACCTCAATTAGAGTTTATGTCAACTTTCAAGAGAATGAATATATTATTTTGATATTCTATATAATATAATTTATTATGTTCAATCTATTAATTCATGTATAATTGTATATGTAATTGTAAAAAGGAAGGATATAAAAATGATAGCCAAACTAATTTCATACATTCTTTCTTCTAAAGGTATGGGGACAATTTTATTATCTTTTAAATTTTATATTATTTTTTTTTTTGTTTTCTCTAGTTCTATTATATTTCTCAATTACTATCTTGTTTTGTTAATTTAATATTATGATTGTTAGGTTTACTCAGTTAAGTTTCTGATTTTCATCTTTTAGATTGCCTGTGTTATATTTCTATTTTAGTTTACTAATTTATCACTAGTAGGAGATGAGCATAAGGAATTCTATTTTTTCAAGAATTAGTTGAATTAAAAAATATCTATAGAATTTAATTGACTGACTCTCTTTTTACTTGAATAGTTTCTGATTTTAACAAAATGAATCTTGATTACTTATTTTTTTAAGATATATTCAAGTTTTGAAATAAGCATAAATGAATTTCTAAATGATTTATCTTGATTCTCACAAAATTCCATTAATATAATTTTTATATGTAGAAGATACTATATATATAAATTGTATATATTTAATTATAATAAATTATTGATTTTTTAATTAATATTAATTTATACACTTTACAATTATTAATATTGAATAGAGATTATGTTGGTAAAGAGATTTCGAGTTCAACTCAACCATGTGATATAAAATGATAAAGTACACTATTAAATCACAGTTATAAATTTAAATAATGAAAAAGAAATAAAAACTACTACTAATCGATATTCGTAATTAAAAGATTTTCATGATCAATTGCATAAAAATATTACTCTCTTAAAACTATAATTATAATTACCATAATTTCCAGGAAGATCTCTTTTTAACAAAACTAATAAGAATGAAGAAAGAATTAAGCAAAGACAATTTGAATTAGAATCTTATTTTAATGAACTTTTTAGCATAGATAAAATACTTAGTTTAACACCAGTTCAATAATATTTACCTATAGAGAATGATCCAAAATAATAGTAAAATATATATAATATTATTAGAATGAATATTAGTATTAAGATTGAAAACTATGTAATTTATGATGACGTAGTTGTATATTCTCTACGTTTCAAGAATAATTTAACAAATGAAGAATGGTTATATAAATAAAGGTATTCTGAAATTAAAAATATTCATGATGCACTTATTGATCAAGGATTTAAAAACAAGTTGCCATCATTTCCAACACGGAAATTATTTGGATAAACTAATGAAAATCCAGGTAAAATTTTATATAATTATAATAAGAAACTATTGAAAAAAGAAGAGAAGACTTAGAAACATATTTGAATGCTTTGTTCTCTATTCAAGAAATACAAGAAAGTTAAATAATTCAATTTTTTATATCAGATTCCAAAAAATATCACGAAAAGAATTTAAAACTTGAGGAATTAAAAAAATCATCTACACTTAAAACTAAAGGTGACCTAAACCAAAGAGTCAAAGAGATTTCAAAGAAATCTAACCTTTAAATCTACTAAAATAAATGATTATTAACTTATTATAAATATTCTCTAACAAAATATATATCTCTATTGTAAATTAATATAAATTTAATTCGATCCATTTCCACACAAAACATTAATAAAAATAAAATTTACTTTTTTTTATATCATGAAAAGGAGATCTGTTGGATTTATTAACGTTGATGATTCTAAAAACCTTGAGGCTTTTTAAAGTCATACTTAAGAAAACATTAAAGATAAAAAGAAAATGAAACGATTATTGACTGATGATTTCTCTCATTTTGAAAAAAGGAACTTCAAAATTTAAAAAGAACTAAATTTAAATGAATTTAGACCTATAACATTAAATGAAATGGCCAAATAAACAAAACTTTAATTTATTGAACCTACTTCGAATTCATTAATTAGAAGATAAGATTAATAAGTAATTATTAATGTAAATCATTTTAGACTGTACCTCTTTATAAAAAGCAAAGAGATGATCAAATAACATAACAATAATAATTTAAATCACAAGTTAAAGAATAGATATATAAAGAAGATGATGTTAATTAAAATGTTTGCATCATCTTAATAGAAGCCTTCATAGTTATATTTATAATCCTTTTTGTTACTCACCTATTTTTACAAAAGTATTTATAATGATAACATATAACATATTTTAATATTATAATCTAGCATCACTGCACAATAATTTCTAATTACTTCTATTAATCGATTGCTTGAAATCCATAATTTTAAAACAAACTTATATTCTAAAAAAATTATTTTGAAAAATAAGTATTTATTTAGAATATTTAAATAACAATTTTTTATAATTGCATTTTAACATAGAAGTAACTAATTTTTTATATTCTTTAATTTTTATTATAATTAGATTGTAAGACGTGAATATGAGTAATCAAAAAAATACTAGAATATGAGTTAATAATTATAAAGTGTATAAGCATGCTATATAAATAAATATTGAAGGATATATAATCTTATTAAGATATTTCCAAATATAGATTTTAAAAGAATGAAAACAAAATCAAAAATTTTATAATTTGATTCAATTGGCTATGTAATATTTATTTCTAATTTTATTGATATACAATATATTTATTTGTTAAAAAAACTTATCTGCTTCCATACAATTATAACTTACTATTTATTAATAAATAAATTAATGAAAGCTGATAGTTTTCACTCATTGTTTTCAGATAAGTCTGCTAAATACAATTAATTCATAAGTTCTTAGCTATTTGTTGGGTATAAAGTTCGAGGCAAAGACTAATAAAAAAAACAATACATAATCTCAAGTCCATCAGATGATTAAAAAATGTCTAATAACTTTACAGCTTCTTAAAGTTATGTGAATGCAATGAAAGCCTTGTAAGATAAGATCAAATAACTTGAATTGGAGAATTAAAGTTTATAGAATTTAGTAGTATCAATTACATTATTAATTAGTCATCTAATGATAGCAAGAGTAACCTTAAATCTAATGAGAGAAAACTAAAGGAATCTAGTGTGCATATGAAATCTAGTGAAAACTTATAAATTAAAGAACTTGAGTAAAAATTTATGCAACAGGAATTTATATCTAAAATGAGAATAGAGGATTATGAATGCAAAATTACACAATTATAATAGAATCTTTTGAGTATTACATAATAAGCTGATCAAAAATATAGAGAATATATGGAAGAAATCTAAAATTTGTAATTTTATTTCTATATTAAAAAAGAACTTAGTAGTTGAGAATTTAAGAGGAAAATAACAATAATTATCGTAACAAGGTTAACTCATAAAACCAAATTATATAATAAGAAAAATAAGTAAATATGGTAAAACATTATAGAATTATTCAAACATCTAATTCCTATTGGAATAAGAGTAAAATGAGAAAAGATTTTTATATTAAAATAATGAAAAATTATAATATGAATTGTCTAATATGAAAGAGAAATTATTTGAAGCTGATACTTACATAGAATAGTATATAAATTGTTATAATGATAGTAAATTTAGAAGTAATTTATTATATTATTTTAGAGTTGGAAGAAGATAATAATTAATTAAAATTATAATTAGATCATTTGACAACAGAAAATTAATAACTTAATGAATCAATTTAAAATCTAAAATCTAATTTAAATTTAAAAACAAAAGAACTTGAAGAATCGGAATTTAGAAGAGTTAAAAAATCTTCAGAATCAAATATTAGAATAGAGTAATTAAGATAATAATTAATTACTCTATCTACAAAATCTAATCTAACTACAATAAGTCCAAGAGTTACAAAAAAAAAGAATATTAAATAAGTATCATCTAAAGAAATGTCAGTAAAACCATCAAAAATTAGAGATTTACGTTAAATTAAAAGCAAGAGTCTAAATAAATTAATGGACCCTTAATTTTTAACTCAATCATAATCAATGCAAAAAAATAATTTTATGCATTAAAAATAATAAGGATATGATTCATAAAGTAGTGGTGTTAGCAGATTAATTGTTAAAACATTAGAAGAAAATTATCCATCATCCTAAAAGAATGAAATATGTAATAATGCAGTTATCATTGGTGATGAAATCACTTATACTGATCAATAATCTGGTAGAAAGAATTAGAAATATATTGAAGCTGTCTAAAGAATTAGATTTTTAGATGAACTATTGACAGCCCTTAATTTATAATATTAAGATATAGAAGAATAAATTTAATAATAAACAGATATGACTATTAAAAAAGAAAAAAGATAGAAGTTATTAGAGATAATAGATTCAATATCAGATGTTAATAAAGAATTAAATGATCTTGTAACTATAAGGAAACTTGCTTCACAATAATGATTCTTTGAATTTTATTTTTGTCTTTTAAACAAAATATTAATTATAAGCTTTAATTCAATGATTTTTAAAATTAAGATTTGAATTACTATTAATTATTAGATTATTATTTTTGTAATACAATTTTATTTAATTCTTCTTCATAAAATAATATTTAAATTAAAGATTTTTTATATTTAAATTCAATTATAAAATTATAGATTTGTTGTATTTTTTAATTCAACTTGTTTTAGATTTGTGGATTATTATATTATAATATTATTGTATTTAGGTGAAATATTTTAGTCTATAAAATTAATTTATCAAACATTTAATTAAAAATTTATATTTCATATATTTTTATAAGTATTTCTTTATTAAATTAAATATGAAATTCACTGAAATTTTGCCAGTTATCCATATAATTGGTGTTTTATATTCATCAAATTTATTTTTAGTTTTTTTTTGTCTATTACTAATTATAAAAATTAAATCTGAATACCTTCTTTTGTATTCATTATTTCAGAATTAATAATAGATTATTTATTACTTCACTTATTTGTTTAAAGATTCCGCTTTAATGTATTCTTATCATTAATTAAATTTTCTAAGATAAAGAAAATGATCTAAATAAAAGTTATTTCATTATTTTAATCTATTCTCTTTTATTATTGACATTCTAATTTAAATTAAATGATAGGAAGTTAACGTTTAATTATAATAAATTAACATAAAGTTAAACGACTTTTTAATTAAATTTAGATATCGTGAATTTAATGTCCTTCTAATTTGTATGATTATTCATTTAATTAACAGAAACAGTCAATTACATTTAAATAATAGGCATAAGATTTAGGATATAAATTAAAGATTTTTAGGAATATAATAAGTATCAAGAGTATTAATAATCAAAGCCATTAATAATAATGTTATGATAAAGTTGAAGAAATTAATTGATCTAGATTTTTAAGAAATAATTATTTTCAGAATTGAAAATTAATATAATTTATTTTTACTTATATAATCTAAAGAAATTTAGAAATATTTGATGTCTAAATAGCCGACATATGATATTATGTGCAAGTTTCTAATTCTTGGATCTTCTTAAGTCGGGAAGACCAATCTTTTAACACGATTTACTGATGATAATTATAGTGAAAGTCATGTTACAACAATAGGTGTAGATTTTAAATTCAAAGAAGTGAAAACAAATGGTAAAATAATGAAAATGCAAATTTGGGATACTGCAGGATAAGAGAAGTTTAGAACTTTAACATAAAATTATTATAAATTTGCTCATGGAGTATTGCTTGTTTATTCCATAGATGATTTAAAATCATTTTAAGAAATCACATTTTGGATGAATTCTTTAAAGTAACATGGTAAAAATGATATTGCAATAATTTTGATTGCTAATAAGAAAGACATAGGTGATTAAAGAGTTATATCATAATAATAAGGAGAAGAATTAGCAAATTAATTAGGTGTAGATTATATTGAAACATCAGCTAAATTGGGTCTAAATGTACATGAAGCATTTCAAAGATTAGCTGATATTGCAATTTAATAATGTAATGGTAAGATTTCATTGCCAAATCTTACAGAAGACAATAATTATAAAATTAACTTAACAAAAAATACAAAAAAAGCAGAAAAAAAGAAAGAATGTTGTTGATAAAAATTATTTTATTTAACTATTAAATTACAGTTTCAAAGTTATAAATGATAATGAGGAATATGGGTTAATTATCAAATATCATTTATATGAATAATTATTTTATGTTATTTATTATTTCTATTTTTCTCATAACTTTTGGAAAATAATCTCCTGATCCTAATGATGCATTTCTTAATTAATCAATAGCAGTAATGTTAGGAGGTTAATAAAAACACTACTATGATAACAATGTTGTTGTTCATTCTTCAACTACAAATCAAAAAAATCATTATTCTTCAATTTCACCTGATTACTTTGATGATGATGAAACTACAGATTTTGTAGAATAACTATAATCTTATGATTATAATTAAGATATTAACTTAAATGATTTAAGAGTATCTAGAATACACTCAGATATAAATAAAATTGAAATAATGCCCTTAATAATTCCTGAAGGAAATATGAGTAATTATGCAGTGAAAAAATACTTAGGAGAAGGTACATTTGCATTTGTGTAAAGTGGTATAAGATTATCAGATGGTTTGTTGGTTGTTTTGAAATAAATAAAATCTAAGTACCTTTGGTGGGCTAGAATGGAAGCACATATTATAGATATTTTAAATGAAGAAAAGAAGGCATCAATTGTTAAATTAATTGATATGTATATGAATAATACAAGTCCTGTTTTAGTTTTTGAGGAATTATAAAACAGTAAAACACTTGATTATAGAATATATTCATTTTATCATGATTTAATTTTAGAAGAGATAAAACGGTTTTATTTATAGTTATTTTATGGTCTTAGTATTACTCATTCAAAAGGAATAATGCATTTAGATATAAAACCTTAAAATATTATTGTTTCAAATGATGATATATAAATAATTGATTGGGGAGTAAGTGATTTTTATTATCCATTGAAAGAATACAGAACAAGAGTAGGTACTCGTCATTATAGAGCTCCAGAATAATTGCTACATTATAAGCATTATGATTATGCAGTTGATGTATGGGCATTAGGATCAATCTTAGCATCTACAATATTTAAAAAGTATCCTTTCTTTAAAGGAAGAAACAATGATGATTAATTATTATAGGTAGTTAAAGTGTTAGGTTCATAAGATTTATTTTAGTTTTGTGAGAAATACGACATTAAATTAAATGAAAAATTGAAAAAAACATTGTAGGGATATGAAAGATAAGCTTTGGAGAATTATATTGATGAAAATAATAGAGAACTTGTAAGTCCAGCAGTAATAGATTTATTGAATAAGATATTTGTTTATGATCACAGAATTAGAATATCAGCTGAGGAAGTATTGTAACATGAATTTTTTAGAGAATGAAGATTAAAGTGTAATAGTGTTTTTGTTTATTGTGATTATTAAAATAATAGTTCAAATTTAATATAAGAAAATGAATGTTTTCTAGTCTAATCAATTATCACCTTTTATGAATTAAAAGGTAGTTAAAAAGCCTACAGTTCTTATGTAGCCAAATCAATTGAAGAAAAGTCATGTAGATGCAAAACCAATTAGATTCTTATAATGGGACGATAATGCAAAGTAAATTAAGTTATGTTTGGACCTTAAGAAATATGTATTTTATACTAATTTTAAATTAGAATTCGCTATTTAGAACTGGACCTGCTTCTTTCATTGTTTATATAGCTGCACGATCTGAAATAAATCAACTGTCTAAATTGAATTTAGATAAAAGTTTACCTCTTATAGATACTACATTGTAAAAAGGTATTTACATTTGGAATCATGTTATATATAATGAACATAAGAATATATAATTATATTAGCTTTTATGCATTTTAGGTGAACAGTTTAAAGAAAAATAGTTGAGAAGATAAAGTTTAAATTTGGTTGAAAATAGTAGTATATTTATTCATGCAGATACAATATTAATGACAATTGCATCTATTTTGGCAAGTGAAATAGTATTTCTAATAAATAATAATGATGATGAGATTTTAGAAAATTTTCATTAAATAACAAAACATGATTCAAATCCTAATTATAAATTACAAGTTATCAATTTAGTTGATGGTTTAGCATAGAGTATAGATCAATATAAATGGTATCAAATCTATGATAATATTAAAATTACAATTATGGAAGAAATACATTATCTGAATGCTTCAAGTTCATCCTTTATTGATAATCCAGCTGATACTTTAAATAATTGGGCTTTGGAACTTGAAATGTCATTATAGAAAAAGATTTATAGAAGTTATGAAATTGATTTTTTAACTTTTTTTTCAATTGCTGAAATTATTACTAAAAGTTCTATGTCAGAATTAGAAAAAGATAATGTAATAGAAAATATGTATTAAATTTTTTATTCTTTGGTAGTTTTTTTAAAGCCATTCAAAAATAAATTAAATATGAAAAAGATTATATAGAAAGCATATATTAAAAAGAAATTAGAGAATTTTGTTCTATCTCAGAAGAAGTTACAGTTGATTCTTTGACTTATAAATTAAATTAAATGAGAGATCAAGCCATGTCATTATATTATATTTAATTGGGTTAATTCTATGATAATCCTGAGTATGAAAAGTGTTTACAAATTATTTAATAGAAAATTGATTAATTTGAAATAGAGTGTATTAGGTATAATTTTGAATTGATGGATATGTATTTTTATTTAAATTATTTAGATTACTTTAGTGAATTAAACTAATAATTTGATAAAATTGAAAAAAAATTAAAAGATGGCTTTCCTGATTCTTATACATAATTTCTGACTGACATACTTAAATTTAGAGAATTTAGAGGATTAAAATATAAAAATATCAAATAACATTTATAAAGTAGTTACAAATCTAAATTATATTCTTATATTACAGAATATGATAAATAATCAAAAATACTTTATGAATAACGTATGCAAACTTAAAATGAAAAACAATATTAATTTCTAAAGAAAAGAGATAAAGAAGTCATGAGAGGACTTGAAATCCTTTAAAATTATACAGATTTAATGAGGGATGAAATTGGAACCCTCAAAAATCTTATTGATGTATCAAATAATTTCTATGAATAAATTAGTTCAATAATCAAATAAATATTGTTGTAAAATATAAATAAGAAATCAGAAAATTGGATGATGAAATACAATAATTATAATTATAAGCGAATAAAATTTAGATTAAAAAAAGTAATCGTGAATTTTGATTCTCTATATTTTTAAATATAATAAATTATTTGTTAAAATATTATTATTTAAATAAAATCATTTCTTGACATGAAATTTTAATATTAGTATTAAAAATCATTCATTTTTATTTTAACAACATTCACTTGGTTGTGGATAAAATATATCTGGATTTATCGAAATATTCAATTTAAAAAATAATTGTATAATTTTATTTTAATTATTAAGAAATAAATTATTATTAAAATATAAATTTTTTTTGAATTTTTAAGTTTAATTAAATATTATAATTAGTTTATTTTATATTCTGATTCTGAAAGGATTTAAGTATAGGTAAGCTGTTATATCAACTACTTAATTAAATAAATCAATTATTCTATTAAAAGAACAAGTAATGAATAATTAATCTGAACATAATATTAAATTAATAATATGAAATAAAATTTTAAATAAAGCAATCTATCCATAATTCATGATTTATTAAGGTTCAATTATATATTGAGGCATAAATATGAATATTAAATCAAAAATGACTATTTTCAAATAACAAATAAAATTACATAATATATTAGTATTATTTCAACAAAATGAAAAAAATGCTAATGAATCACAAAATCATCATTTAGTGTTATATATTTTCAAAAAGAAATATACTTTTGGTTCCTTTAATATGATAACATTAAAATTTAAATTCTCACTATGGACTATAAATGCTTCATAGCGAATTCAAATAAGCAATAATTTGATAGTTAATTTAAAAAAAAATTGTAAATTCTGAAGAAATTGTATTATCGATGAATATATTATTCCCAATAAAAGTAAACCTATAAAATGAATATAAGTTCTGGCAATTCTTCAGACCTAATGTTTCAATAAGAGATAAAAATTATGTTTTTAATTATAAAAAGCATAATAACTTGATATTGAATCGATTTAAATTTATTTATTTCTAATATTAAGATAATAATATATATTTTTTTGTTTTTAATTCTGGCTACTTTTGCAAAACAATTTTGAATTCAGAATTTTGTCATTCCTAATAATTTTCGGACACAATTTTTTATTCTTAGAAAAATCTAAAATCATTTTCTTTTAATATTAAATTAAATTACATGAATTCAAAGAATTATCCAAAAGCCAATAGGAGAATATCACTTAAAGAATAAGCTCATAGTCCAAGACAACCTAAACTAAATAAAAATAAAGAAATTGAATCATAAAAAGAAATAAGCAGTGAATTTTTGATAAGATAAAAATTATATGAGGATCTAAATAAATTCCCTAATTATGAGAGTGAAAACTTACTAAAAATATCAGAAAGAAAAGAATCTCACTATAATAAATTTAGAACCATCATAGAAGATGCTAAATAAAGATTTATTAATTCCGATTCACAGCAAAGCAAAAACTATCTCGAAAAATAACAAAGCTCTATGAAATTAATAGTTGAGTAATTAAGAAATTAAAAGAGACTTCAAAACTAAGTTCATTTAAACTAAACTTAAAATATTGAATCAATTAATTTAAATTTAGTTTTGTCCTTAGCAATCCCAATACTATGTTTAATTGTAGTCTTTTTAGAGTTATTAAAGCAAGAATTGATAATCATATGATAATATATATATGTATTATTAATCTTTTATGTGTAAATTATATAAATTAAAATATTTATCTTGTGTTAATTAATTTTATAAACATATGTAATTATTTATATAAAATTTCTTATCACTGTGAAAACAAATTTCATCTGACATTATAAAATTTGATTAATATTGAAGCATAACTAGAGTTTAATATTATTTTATGCTAATGTAATTTAATAAATAATAAAAATCTTTAATTATTTATCTAAGAACTAAGCTGATATTTTAAAACATTCTTAATTAATGATAAATAAATATAAAAATGAATGTTATAATAAAAACAAATTTTTTTGTACTTGACTAAAATTTATTTGGTATTATAATAATCATTCATTATTTGAAGAGATTATATAAATCATAAAATCTTTCTAAAGTATCATTATTTTTAATATATTGTTTAAAATATGGTTCCAAACATTAGTCAGATACGATTACAATATAATCGAACAACATCAGCAGTTTTAAACAAGGAGCTTAAGTGTATTTCAAAAGAAAAATAAAAAAATTTTAAAGAAATCACAAGAGATCTTTTAGATAGATAAAATGAGTACGATAAGCTTAATAAGGTCTATTCATCAGGGAATTTGAATCATAATGGTAACTTTTAAAAAAAATAATCGAAATTTTATATATTTAAGAGAGCTGCAAGAGAAGCAAAATTGAAATTTTTTTAAAAATCCAGTTGTAATGGAAATAATTAAAAAAATCACAATTTACATTCTCTTTAATAAAAACATTCAATTGAAATAATTGCATAAATTTTTAGAAATTAAAGATCGATTTCAAGCTTTAGATCTCCTCATAAAAAATAAATAAAAAATAATTGGAACTTATAATTAATATTAATAATAACAATACCTATTATTTGTCTATTAGTAATTATTTAAGAATTAATTGGTTTAAAAGAATGAATCGATTGCCAATGATTTTATTATATTAATTATATTCCCATTTTCATTTAATAGTTATCATTGTAAAATTAAAAAGTTTTATTTTTTAGAAATTGAAAATAATCTAATCTTAAATTATCTGTAAAGTTTAATTAGAGGAAATAAGATTTTTTATAAGATTAATATATTCTTCAACTTAAATTGTAAAAGAATTCAATTAATTCAAATTTTATAATTATAAAAATACATAAAAATTAATATTATATGATTGCATTATTAAATATAGACTGTAATCATTGATTTCTTGAATATATTTTATTATAAATTGTTATAAATATTTTTTTAGGAAAACTTCAATTTAATCTTAGTTTATGAATACTGAATAATTGTTGTTATTTCTAAATCTTATAAAATGATGAGAGATATTCACAAGAAATTATTAATACTATAGGTGATTTAATATTAATATTTAATTTTTTAGCTATTATAAGTATTAATCTTATTTATTTAAATCTTTTTAAGATATGATCTTTCTCTATATTTTTGGTTAAATTAAGTATTTATGTATTGATTAAAAAATAAATTTGTTATCTTATCTTAAATATATGAGATTTACTCTATTAGATTGGTTTATAGATTATTATTTAATTATTATGATAAATGAAGAGTGATATTTTAATTATATATTTAATATTAAATGCAATAACGACCAATTATTAATAAAGACTTACAAGAAAAAAGAGATGTAAATTGATATCTTATAATTAGAATGCAGCAAGGTCTTTACACAATTATAAAAAGAGTGTGGAACTCAATTATTAAGAGTATGTTTCATAAACATCTGAATAATAAATAAATGATTTTGAAAGTCTTTCTAGACCTTCAGTAAAGAGTATGCCTGTCAAGACTAGAGATTTGTTGAATAAATACAAAGCTTAACTTGAAATATAACCAAAATTTTAAATAGTGCCAAAACCAAGTTAATAATTAGAAATAAAGAAAAATGTAGAACTTGAAGAACATTAATAAAGTGTTTCATCTCCACGTTCAGAACCTCCAAAGAATCCTTTTGAAGATAGTCGTAAAACTAAACAAGATGAATAGAATATCTCTTTTAGTAGATAGCAAGAAGTTAAAATACCTGAGAGTCAAATTTAAGAAGAACTTGTTTAAACTGATTAAGAGGGTCAGAAGAATCCTTTTGAAAATTCAAGTGTAATGTAATATACTTAAACATAAATGCTTGATCCTTATGCAAAGACTGTTTCTGATAGAAATTAAATAAGTCATTACACTAGTTAAGAAAGTAGTAACATATAGAATTTAAGTTAAACATAAGAGAAATCAATAGATTCTGAATAATTCTATGATACTATAGAAGAGTAAGGACAATTCTAATAATCAGGTAAAGTTAGTATGGGTACTCAATGTTAGAAATTTGATCATAATTATTAACAATCATCTAGAACTTATAATAGTATTAAGGAAGAAATTCAAGATGAATAAAGTAGTATTACTCATTCATCTCATTAAGAAGAGAAAGGTCATTAGTAATCAAATTAAAGTCCAATTTATGAAAGTATTGATTAGGAATCGTAATTAGTAGAAACAACATAAAGATGGAGTTAATATTAAACAATTCCATAAAATACAGCATAATTCAATCCTAATGTCTAACCAACCATAATGGAAGTAAAATAAGAATATAACAATTCATTATAAACAAAATAGGATTCATCTAATAATGATATTAGTTATGGTCATTCATTTGATTAGGCATAATAATCTAATTAGTTCAATAATAATAATTAAGGTAATTCTAAATTTACGGATAAGGATACATCAAAAGATGGAATAACAGTTAATAATCATATAATAACAAAGAAATTATCATAGGAATTAGTAATTGACATGGAAAAGTTTGAGAAAAATAGTCATTTATTGAATAGTATCAATAAAACATAATTATTATTTATTACAGAGAGATATATAGATTATATGATTGGATAATTAAATAAAGATTTATTGAAAGAGTTTAGAATATTAAAGAAATTATAATAATATATATATAAGAAAGATATGATTGTAATAAAAAGATGTATGAAACAATTTAAGATTTATAAGGATAAATAATTAGAGAAATATGAGAAGGATAGGATTTCAAGATAGTTTCGATTTTAGAAATAGTAAAAATAAAAAGAGAATGTATTTTCAATATTAAAATAAAATAAAACAGCATAATAATAGTTTGTTAAGAATTTGATTTAATTAATGAATAATCATAAATAGAAAGTATTTCTAAATAGATGGAAGAATTAAGTATATAAATAAAAAATGAAAAAGTAAATGGATCTATAATATAAACAATTTTTATTTAATGGTTGGTTAAATGTAGTTAAAAGGGAAAAGAAATAAAAAGATATTAAGTCTTTAACTAAATATTATTTTTCAACAATTAAAAAATATTATTCAACTTGGAAATATTTTACTTATGAATAATAAAAACTCAAATGTAAATTTTTGAATGCTTATGCAAATGTGAATTTAATGAAAAAGAAATTTATAATGTTATAATGGATAAAGTTTGTTTAGGATGTGAAAAGAGAAAAAGAATTTGAAGCTTATGCAAAATAGGCCAATGAATACATTCCTGTTAAGGTAAGTCTAAAACCTTAAAATATAAAAATCTATAATATCAAATGAATTAATATTATTTATCACTAAATTAATATCATATAAGTAACACTTATATAAATTTGGCTTTTTAATTAATATAATATGCTATATAATTTTGATTTTCCATAACAACAAAGTCCTGTATAATAAATTAATTAATCACAGTAAAATAATAGAACTTAGAAGAATGTTTCAACATAAAAATCTCTGAGTTAAATTTTGAATTTTGAGCTTCATCAAACTAATGATATGAAAAATAAATTATTACCTCTTTTGAATAATAAATTAAAATAGAGAAATTCAACTAAAATTTCTATATAAAGTCCAAGACTATTATAATTGTAAAGTGACAACTCTTGTGATGAATAAAATAAAAGAATTATTCGTAGATAATTACCTTCAATATATTTGAAACAAAATAATATTATGAAATCTAATTGTTCATAAGACAAATTAAGTTTAAGTCCATAAAAATAAGAAATAAATCAATTAAGCAAACGAATTTTTACTGATGAAACAGATATCTATGATTCTAATAAATTAAGCTTAAAAAAATTAAATGAATTATTAAATAGTCATTATGTTAAAATCCCTTAACCTACTGCTATATAACGTTTTCCTGAAGTTTAGGAACTTTAAGATTTACCTAAATAAATGGAATTTATTTTCAAAAAAAATAATATCAATCCAATAAAAATGAAAGCAAATGTTAAATTTTATAGTCCTAGAGAGAAGAAGAACACAATTTAATCAATTGATTCTTTAATAAAATTATTAAAAAAATGATTAACTTATATATTATTTTCTCAATTCTATTAGTATATACAATAATTTAATTATATGAATTTATCTAAAACTAATGAATAGAATGAGAACGACATGATGGAATCTCTCCCATTTGAAATTATTTAAGTTAAATTCTAAATCAATATTAGTTAAGCAGAAGAAGAAATAGAGTCTAATTTGGACAAAATTCTAATAGATAAAGCTAATCTAGAATATTTAAAAGGTCTATTAGTGAAAGTAAAGAAGATGTAAAAGTAAATAGTAACCTTAGATATAAAACATGAATTTTCAAGATCAAAAATAATTAAAATCTAAAGATGATTAACCAATAACAGAAAAGGAACAATTTGAATACAAATTGATATAAGTAGAAATATCTGACTTTGTTATTATTGAGCCATGTAAGAATGGAAAAGAGTATCAACTATTAAAACAAGAAGATTGGAAAAAAATTATCTCCTAAAAATCCTTAAATGGTTACAATTTATTAGATATACATGTATCATTATTGGCATAAAGACTAAACTTTTTTGAAAGAAGAGATTTATGGTAATTCTTCTGTTAAGTGGAATTAATAAAGTATTAGATTTAATAAACTACAAATTCATTTTTTAAATATTCTATCTAGGAGAACAATTATAGATCTTAAATAGATAAAGACATACCTAGAACTTTAATGGGATGCGAATTTCTAAAAAACGTAAATTATCTAATTATTATAGCCAGATAATATTTAAAGTTTAAAAAAAATATTAATTGCTTATGCTAATTATGATCCTGAATTAGGATATACATAAGGTATGAATATTATTGCAGCAAATTTATTAATTTGTTATGATCTTTAATATAATGATCATTAATTTTTAGAAAGTAATTTTTCTTATTCATTTTTAGATGTTGAAATATTTGATCCAACTAGAGATGAAATTGTGTTTTACATTTTTATATATGTTATGATAGAATTAAAATGGAGATAGGTATTTATGCCAGGATTTCCTGGACTTATTAGATTAATGAAAACTTTAAATTTAAAATTTATGTCTGAATTACCTTAACTCTATAAACATTTTTAAGAAGTAGGTGTAGATTTTAACATATGTTTTTAATATTAATATTTTACTTTACTTATGTATGGTAATTCTTGGAAAATAAGTAGAATGATATTTGATGTTTTCCTTTTTGAAGGTGAAGAAATCATACATACATTTATTATTGGAATGTTAAAATGTTGTGAGGATTCTTTATTGAAACTCTATACTTTTGAAGAAATTCTCAAATTTTGTAAAAATGATATGATATAATAATTTTATGGAATCTTTTCTGTTCATTTAGATGGTAAGAAGGATCTAACTAATACATTATTTAATTTAGGATTTATCAAATTATAAGGGAAAATTAAAGAATCTGATCCCAAAAATACAGAATAAGCAAAAATACTATAAAAAAATTAGAATCAATTTGGATAAATTAAATAATTAGGAGGATACTTAAGAAAATTTTTTAGAAAAACTTGATGAAGTTTTATTTTATTCAATTTTTTTATTTTAATTATTTTACTAAATTACATATTAATTAATCTTTTTATAGTTTGACAACTATTTTTTCAAATATTTTCATTTTTCACTACGACTTAATAACATATTATAACCAGTATATTTAAAACAATTAATTTTTATCTAGCTTATTTTCATTCTTTTTCATATACTATATAATAAGTAATGATGTAATTCTGATTAAGCTAATTTTACTAATATCTAGTTTAACAATGCAGTTTCATTGTGTATCGTATAAAAAATATTATTTAAAGCCCATATTACTTAAAATAGCAATCGTTTATAATCAAACATCATTTAATATTATGAAATATCTATCAAATTTAATGAAAAAGCACTAATAAATCCATTATTACATGAAATATTACCTGATTATTTTATTTAAATTAATACCAATAAATGCAAGTATTTTATATAAATTTTAGTAAGATAATACTTAATTATAAGATTGTTATACTAATCCATTAATTAGCAAATTATTGTAAAAGTGTTGAATAATTCTTAAGTTGAATTCTTTAATAAACTCAATTTAATTAAAATACTTAAGTATTCATTATGCAAGGAATGCTGAATAATCATTCTCAACTATAATTTAAGGAGGGTTTCAATTAATTAAACCAATCTGACTTCTTATTCTTAATTAAAGTAATTAAACTCATTGAGTTTTTTAAAGGTAATTTTCGATATACTTTTTTTATACATTTTAATTTAACCATTTAAAGAGATATAGTGTTTTATCTACTTCAATTTCATAATTATTTTACAATAACATTATATCCTATTATTTGATAAATAGAATCTATCTATCAATGGGTTTAATATTCATAACAAAGTCATCTCTCTTTTTTAAAAACTCAAAGTTATGTTATTATTTAACATTAATTATTTAATGATAGAATATTTATTTAATTTAAAATTATAAATGATATAATTTATATAATTCATTTGCTCTAAAAATATCGTTAACTTATTTGATTAAATTCTTATAACCATTTAGTTTTGAATTTATCACCATAATCAAAGTATAATTCTTATCCTACTTCAATTTCTTTAGTTGCAAGCCTATAATAGAATAATTGTATTACATTCCAATCCTCCATCTTCCTTCAGAGAATAATATAATAGCTTAACAATTTGCTGTTTCTGATTAATTTGTTGCGTGATTAATGAATCTAAGATAATTGCTATAATAAGTTCCATCTATTTGCCATTTATCATCAACTTCAAATAAATAATGTTTTCCTGTAAGCATATTACATTCTAAATAAAAGATATAATTAAATTTTACATTCTATAATAAAGCTTTCTTCATCCAACAACAAATAATTACCTCTATATTCACCTATAAAATCATATTATTTAAAATGTTATGCAGCAAATAAGCCTAAACCGTTACATATAAGAGATTTTCCTAAGATTAATTATTTAGATATTCCCATCAATAAATTAACGTTATTGCAATTTGTACATTTGCATATAGTTGGATCACATTCAAATCCTGAATTGAAACAAGGACATTAAAATTTATGTTTCTTTTCATCATATCCACAGAATTTGCAATCGCATCTCTTAATTTTCTTTTCACATTTACCTTTACAGCAACAATACTTTGGACACATAACACAACTACAATCTGCATCTTTACAACTACCTTCATGAAAACATGGTGTATATTATTATTAGTAATTACTAATTTTTTGTAATTTTTAAGAATATGAATCAAATCCATCAGAAATTTCTGGAGACATAATATTCTATTATGATTTATTAGTATGATTTAATTATTTATTAGAATAATTCTTAATTATAGAATTAATTTAATCACAATAAATCTTATAGATAGGATGCTATAATATTTAATTGATAAAACAACAATTCATAAACCCAAATTCAAGTAGTTATTGAATAGATTTTATTTAAAATTTCTTTAATCTTTTTTTGTTATTACAATTATATCTACCACATCTTTCAACTTTAGTACATCTTATATCTATTTCTTATTTATTCTTCATATGATATCTCCATATACTTTCTTTCAAATTCATTTAATTAGGCTTGAAGTCTGTTTCATAAAAATTATCAATTGATTGGATATTCATTATTATCTCTTCATTTGGCTCACTCTCAATAAACACTCTTTGATTCTTTGAACTATATAGAACTCAAACTTAACCTATAATGCCAACTACACATATACAAATTACAAATGGGACAAAAATACCTGTTGAATCTTACTAATTGATATTTCACAACAGACTTCATACAGTATTAACCTTATATTTTAGATAAAAAATGTAATTAAATTTATTCTACTGACACATTAAAAGCTTGTCCAATTTCATTAAATTTAAATACATCTTTAATAGATCTAAATAAATCTTTATTTTTTTCAAAAAAATAATCTAAGAATATTTTTAATTCATTTCTTAATAGTTATTTACTTTTATCTATACTTTCCTATTAAGCTTATTCAATTATTCTAAATAATTCTTCAGTTTCTTCACATTATGATAACTCAACTGACATAGGTGCTAAGTAATTAATATATATACTTAATCTCTCAAGCAAGACTGGAATTGGATTTTATAATCTGATGTTTTATGGTATGCTTTTATAGTGATTAGTTATCAAAGGAAGATTGTCTCTATTTTTATTAACTTTAATGTCAATTTAATAGTATCTATTTCTATTTACCTTAACATTTATGGATTTTTTTTGATAAGATTCCTCTTAAAGTAATTTCAATTGTAAGTGTTACACATATCGTTTAAAAAGTTTGTATTCTAGAATGATGTCTTTTTTTTTCATGGTTAAAATTGTATTTAATTATAAATCTAATTTCATTAAAAAAATGCTTTAAAGTTAAAACTATTCAATTTCTGAGAAACTACATAAGATATTAATAATTTACAGAATAAAAAGAAACTCTTTTCAAAATTATAAGAAAAACATTAGAACATATATTCATAGATTTAATTCGATTTTTCATATCAATAATTAAATTTTATTTTTTTACTTTTTGTAAACATAATACAATATATCTAATTTATAATATTTAATAGAATAAAGATGAAAAATAATGATTTAGTTAATGATAGTTAATAATTTTTGGAATAATAAATGTATTGATAATAAAAGTTGAAATTTGAATTGAGAGTATTACGATTAATTTTAATAATGTTTGGTCGGTAACAATTGAGATCGTATATATATTTCTTCTATTGAGATATCCAACTGAGTCATCAGAGTTCTTAGAGTATAAAACGAATAACCGAATGTATGCATAGGTGTTAGCTACAACAAGAGAGTCAAAAGAATCAGCATTATTATCAAAATTAGTCACATTGAGAGAATAGTATATGAAAAATATCAATGAATAGAATTTCAACAATAGGTAGTCCTCGTAGTACAGTAAAGACATCAAGAGGAATGTCTGAACATGTAGGTGTAATATCTCCACGTTCTTTTGGGAGAAGATTAGATGAGAAATTACCTATGAAGGAATTAGGAGAGATTGCAAATTACTTTAATACATTAAGAGGTGAATAAGCAAAAACATTATCAAAAAATTATGTTAATGAAATGATGCGTTTGTAGTAATGTATTGAGAAGAAGTTGAAAAGATGATATTGTTTATAAATTAAATTACCAATGAATTAAAAGCCACTGAAGAGTATTCATTATCGAGTTGAGACGCATATCGATTTATCTTCCAAGGGCAAGATATCATCTGTTGAGAGTAATTCTTAACGTTATGGTTCACCTAACAAATTGCCTTCTCTTCAAAATATTTGCAGAACTATTTAAGGTGAGGATGGAACGGTAATGAATGAAGATGAGGAGATCATAGGTCTTTGCCATGAGATCCTTAATGAGTAGGGCCAATAATGTGAGTAGCAATCGGACTACTAGAACAAAGTGGGTACTTGAATTAAATGAACGCAAAGATCTTAAACAATTAGAACAATGGACAGATGTATATAACTTTTATTTTGTAGCTCATGGTTCAATAATTATAATTATAATAATACAGCAACATTAGAGATTTCTATGAAAAAATGGAGTTGGTCTACACTGGTTCCATTACTTAGTTAGGTTAGTAATTGGCTGTTAAGTGCATTGATTATTAGACTATATTAAATAAAATATGGTCATCATTTACTCATGCAGTAAAGGAGATTATTGAAAAGTAATCTGAAACAAATAGAAAATTAGAGAAAGATTGTCTATCAGAAACTGTGAAATTGCATCAAATGTACTAAAAAACATTGAATGATAAAGGTAGTAAATTATAAGAGGCTGAAAGATATTTGAAATAGAATTCTGATTAAAATGATAAAATGATTAAAGAAGGTAGATATTTGAGAAAGAAATGTTAAAAATTAGAATAAGAACTACTAAACTTAAGAAGAGAATGTGATTTTTTTAAATTATAGAATTCTGATCTAATAAGAGAGATTGATGCAATGAAAGTCTTTATTAATCATCAAGTTGATCCTTCTATCTATATTCATTAAAATCTTGTTAATGCTTAATAAATTGAAGAAAAATTTGCAGATGAATTGTAACATGCTAAAAAGGAAATGTTTGAAGATTTTAAACATCAATTTGAATAAAGAACTATGATATATGAAGATATGTATTAAAAAAAATTAGATGATTTAGAAAGGAGAGAAATATTAAATTAAAATTAGGAAGATGAATAAATACTTTAAGATTATTAATAAACTATATTTAAAGATGAATGTGTTGGTAATTCAGTCACTTATAAAACATAAGAAACTGACACTTATGATTTAATTGAATTATTAGATGCATCTGTCTAAACAATATAATTTAAAAAAAAATTATATGATTGGAGTACTCAAACACCTCCTATTGTTACATTCAATTAATCTGTTGAAGCCAACTTTTCTATGATAAAAAGGGAATGTATTCCCAGAAATAAAGAAGAATAAACTTATTTAGAAATGTCCAGATATCCTATTTAAGTATTTATTGATGATTATCATGAAATAAAAATTGCTTATAATAAATATACATTTAACTAAGATTTAGAGGATTTGATAGATCAATTGGCTTAAAGATCTAGATAATTGTTTAATATTTTAACAATGAAGGAAGAATTTCATTTAGATGATTTTTAATGTGTGAGCTAATATGTCATAAATAGTTATAATGTGTTTATTAAGCTTATTCGAAGTTTGGAAACTTTAATAATTGAAAGCAAATCTACTTTAGTAGAGAATAAGATTAGTCTATATGAATCATAGATTGATTCTAAATAATCATGTCGAAAATAGATTCATGCTGAAAAAAAATTGGATCTGTTGATTGTTAAACATTAATTAACATTAAAATAGGTATCATTCCTGTAAAAATAAATTATCAGAGTTCACAAATATTTACCACATTTTCAAATTGAAACTATAAAAAGATAAGCAATAAAAAAGAAAATATTCTTAGAATTTCCAAAAGTTCAATCACCTGGACCAAATTTATTACCTCCTGAAAAATCAAATACAATCTTCTTTTCTTCTTAACCTTAATTATTAATACCTCCATAAATCAATCAATCTACTAGTTCATAGATATAAAAGTCTGCTTTAGATATAGCATAAAGTGAATCAACAGAACCACAATAATTGAGAAGAGATTAATCAGTTGATTTATCTAGAGAACCAAGAGAAACTCCACCAATCAGTCCAACTAAAAAGCATCATCCAGTTTAAATATGTAAATTGAATGTTATTTTAATTATTTAGTTTTCTAAGATTCATTAGCTCCACCAGATGATTCCTCTTCAGATGATGATTAAGAAGTAGATATTGAGGCTTAATTGTCTCCAATAAAAAATTTATTATCAATAGAGAAGAAACTATTTGTGAGTAAATGTCCATCCAAAAATACATAAACAGCTACTCAACTTTTATTATAAGAGATATAATAATTTAGAAGAGATAGAATAGATAATATTGTTACAAGATAAACTTTATAAAAATATTTGTCTAGTTTTGTTTGTTGGTGTGTGAAATATGGAAAGTACAATTATCCCCTACATATATAATTATATGAATTTTATTAAATAGAGAATTTCTAATAGCCTCCTTAAGTTTGGTTATAAAAATACTAAAGAATAATTAAGAGTATTATCTATTATAAGAAAAAGACAACATATGCTAAATTATTCCATTAAATGTTAATAGGAGATTAGAGTTTTAATATTTATTTGAGTACTTTGAATGGTATTCAAAATAAAGAATTCACAGAAAATGGAATTTTTGTCCAATAATCATAACTTTCTGAAGCTATCGGACAATATGTAAGAAATACTATTCCAAAATATGTTCAACTTGTTGATTATGATCAAGAGATATAACCATATATGTAAGGTATGTTGGAATTCAAAACAAAAGAGATTACTTAAAAATATTAGTTAATTTTAACATTGTTCAATTAAGATCGATTTACATAACTTTAATTTAGACTTTTGCTTATGGAATTGGATTAATAGAAAACTGAATAATAGATAATTAATTTATTTATTAGTGAATGTGATTTAGAATAGAATAATATTTAATATATGTCACATAAAAGATTTTCATAGATTTGTGAAGAACATAATTTATTAGTAAATTTGAATGAATATTTGCAAAAGAATAATGCTTAATATTTTAATGATATGAAATTATGGAAAATAAGAGAGATTGAATTAAAATTGATGTTAATAAGATCATAGTAATATGATTCTACTGAGAGAGAAGTATTTTATAGAATGAATGAATTAAATTCAAATGAGTAGAGGATATTATTGGGGAGATTCTTAGAGAGAAGAGCCAAAGAACTATTATTAGAGTAATATGCATTTGAATGTTTACCCTAATATATGTAGATCATACTAAATTCTTAATGATATATTTAAACCTTTATATATATTTATTTGATTATTTCTAATATTGATTCAAAAATTAATATGGCTTCTAAATTAAATACAATTGAGGCAACTAATCTTGATCACCAAATCTAACATTTGTATTAATGTAAACCACTTCCAGAATAAGATGTTAAATTAATATGTGAAAAAGTATTAAAGAATAACATTTATATTTCATTAGGCAAAAGAAATATTAATTGAAGAATCTAATGTTTAACCAGTACGTGCACCAGTAATAATTTGTGGTGATATTCATGGTCAATTTCATGATTTGATGGAATTGTTCAAAATAGGTGGCAAAGCACCAGTAATGAAGTGATTTTAATTTGAGGATACTAATTATCTATTCATGGGAGATTATGTAGATCGAGGACATCATTCTGTTGAGTGTGTAACTCTTCTTGTATTGTTGAAAGTATATAATCTATTAATGAATATTAGATTCGTCATAGAGACAGAATAACCATCTTAAGAGGTAACCATGAATCAAGATAAATCACATAAGTTTATGGTTTCTATGATGAATGTTCACGTAAATATGGTAATAGTAATGTTTGGAAATGTTTCACTGAATTATTTGATTACTTACCATTAACAGCAGTTGTAGAATCATAAGTAAACTCAACTAATCTATAAAGTTCTTCTGTCTTCATGGAGGTATTTCACCTTCCATTGATACATTGGATCATATTCGTCAATTAGATAGAGTTTAAGAAGTACCTCATGAAGGTCCTATGTGTGATTTACTTTGGAGTGATCCAGATGATAGATCTGGTTGGGGTATTTCTCCAAGAGGTGCAGGATATACATTTGGATAGGATATTTCAGAATAATTCAATCATAATAATAAATTAAAGATGATTGCAAGAGCACATCAATTGGTGATGGATGTACATTATTTAAATTAATTAAAAAGGGATATTCTTTAGCCCATGAGAGAAATGTAGTAACTATTTTCTCTGCACCAAATTATTGTTATAGATGTGGTAATCAAGCTGGTATAATGGAAGTAGATGAGAATCTACGTTAAACTTTGTAAAATCAATTTATTTAATATATCTATATAGTATACAATTTGATCCAGCTCCAAGATCTGAAAATGAATCTGTTCCAAAAAGAGTACCAGATTATTTCTTATGATTCATATCAATATAAACAGAAACAATAAGTCATCATTTTTGTTTTATTCTATCTATTTTTTTGTTCTCTCTTATTAGTCAACTACTACTCTATTCTCTCCATCTTCACTCTATTTAAGTATTCTTTCATTTTAACAAAATAAAAATTAATTTTAATATCAAATTCTTAGATAATGAACCTTGATGACATTTACAATTGGTATAAACTATACATCAAACATTAGGATTCTTACACATCCATAAAACTATCCAGGAAAACAATAAGAATCATAACCAAGAACTGTGTAGTCTTATAAACCACTTGAACCAAAAGCTTAATTTCACATCATAATCAAAGCAACAGCTGAATACATCAAAGAGAAGATGCTAAATGGAAATGTAATATCCAATAATACCTTAAGGGAGTCAATATGAAAGAGTTAGGAGCATTCACCATGGAAGTCATTTCTGATTATGTGAAACCTCTCTAACATTCAGGTTTCAATATGACTCAAGACTTAGCCATTCAGAGAGCAGATAGAAAACATATTCATTAAATCAGGTAATTCATTTTACAATATAAATTATAGACCATGTTTTGTTCCTGACAATGCATTCAAATATTTATTGGCTCGTTACCCAGGCAAAGAAGAAATTACTAAGCCTTTGAGTTAACATTCTATATATCAGAAAGGATTTGGAATGAACTTTTGTAATGCTGGTCCAATTGCAGCCTCAAGGTTAGTATTTATTAATAATGATTAAGTTATCTAGGCAAAGATGTTGTATAATCAGTACATACTTCATTGATCAAAGCTATACATGATTTAACAAGACTTGGACATGATCTACATATAGATTTTGGATTTATTAAAATATCTGTATAAAATAGAGACTTAAAATATAAATATGATCAATCATTTATTCATAGACTCAACTAAACAGATTATGAATTAAAAGTAAATTTATATTATTATTCTAGATGCGTAAATCTGATTTAGGAACATCATAACATTGGACAACTACTTATTAAGAAAAGTGGTCAAAGAGCACGTAATTAAATATATATTATTAAATAGTTTAAATAATTTATTGACGAGACCAAATCCAAATTAAGTTTAAGAAAATTATGAGAAATCAATGGCTTTAAAGATAATGTCATTGGATTTGAATACAGCAGAACAAACTAATTACAGCAAAAAGCAAAAAGTTTAATTACCAACACTTAATAAATGAAATATCTTTATTATTATATACCCAAATTGATTATTTATATATAATACCCAAGTTATATAATAGATATTAATTATTGTTAGATTTCTTTAATTTGCTTAGAATCTTCATAAGTAATATTTTAATCTATTTATCTATAAAATTCTGATCCCCATTTATATCAATTACATCTAGCAACCCTAAATTTATCAAATACCTTTGTATTTTTGGATAAAATAGTTCTACATTTATTTCTAATTGAGTTTTAACAATCTTTTATATTTCCTTGTAAGTAGAGCCAAATTAATACCTTAGATCTTATTGATTTTATGATTTTCACTTTTTCTTGAGTCTCATTAGTTTCATTCTATTGTATTTGTTATTTTATAAATAGGAATTTGCAAAAAGAATTATGTGTTAAATAGCTTTTTATAAAATTTCACTTATTCTCCATATTTTAAATCAACCTTGCAATCTAACTCAATTTCTCTATGTCTATTGGTGTTTTCTCTTACTCCTTCTGTTCAATCTTAACATAGGATTATTCTTATGGATTTCCACTTATAAATATTCTCAAATCATACCCATATGAACTTAAACGAGCAGCACTAATAGATGTGAAATTCTTCTCAACCAAATTTTTCAAATGATCAGCTACTCTACTTTTTAATTCTTTAATCCATTTCTTATATGGAGGAAAGATATTCAATAACTCACACAATTTATCACATTCTTTAATCAATTCAGAATGTTTCTCTTCATAAACTAATTTCAGAAATTTGGTGATCTCCTTTCCAATAATTTCTGATTCCAAAAGTACCATATATTTATAATAGAAAAATCTAGCATTCACAATATCCCATGTTAGAATATATGAAAAATATTATAAACAAGCCATTTGACTATCAAAATTCTATAAATATACTCTCATTTTACCTCAGAAGCGATTTCAATATTTTCTAACTTCTCAACCATATCTTTAGGATCAGAAGCAAAGAAGGCTGTCTAAGCTGAATTTTCAATGTCCATATTAATCATTATAATATTAATTTTTATGAATATAAATGCATAATCATTATTTTATTTTAAATGTTTAAGAATTCATCTACATCAATATATAGACAAATTTATTTTATATATGACATCAAATAGATAAAATAAATTAGCTTTTCAAACTAATTAAACTAATATTTGTAATGATTAAAATTATCTTAATTATTAACAAAATATAATATTGGATAGTTTTAATAAAGAGAATAATTTATTATTAAAATCAAATAATGTATTACATACATTCTTTTAATCATTATTTTATTCATTTACTACAATATAATTTTATCAATCTTAAAATATATCAGTAATTGCATTACTTTATGAATTAAGAATAGATAATACTATCTAATTAACTCTTTTTAAGAAGATCTAAATAATTTTAATATTATAAAATTTTCTTTAATTATTGTTTATGCTATTAAGTTAACTCTTTAAAATAATCAAATAATGATACTTATTTTATTAGTTAAGATAGATGCTTCAGCCAAAATAAATATATATATTATTTGTAATTATATTTTAATATCAATTTATTTAATTTAACTCAATATTAGAATAATTGAAATCCATGATCTTCTTATTACTATTACTATATCGTTTAATTAATATTATATAATAATCATATGAATGATTATTGTATCAATAATAAAAGAAAGGAAAACTAATTTACTTTAGATTTAATCTATTTATTTTATATTTTAAGCAAGAGAATAAATGAGAATCTTGGAAGTGATATACAATTATAAGATATGTGGAATAATTAGTTATGAAAATAATAATAATATTGTTTATTAGATTTATTATGGTGTAGATCAATGCCATTTATTGATAAACACATCTCTTCTTGGTGCTCTTAATTCTTCTGGATATTAGGTGCCAGCTGGATCTGACAAGTCTTTCTTATTTAATCTAAGATCTATTATATGTATTATTACCTATTTGCATGCACTTACCATAATTATTCAATATGATCATGATAATGAATAAATGTATACTCGTTTGCAATTGCGAAGGGAAGCACAAGAGTATAGAGATATTATCTAAATAATCTATGAGTCTTTAAAACTGATCCATATTCTCTTAAAATACTCAAGACTTATCCTCTTTTAGCATATTAATAAAGGAAAGTCCATGATGCACCAGTCACAATTGCTGCAAGTTCTAAAATAATATTTAATTCGATATTACAAATATTTGAAGTCCAATCTTCACATAATTCTTCGTTTGTTTCTTTGACTATCTTTTAATATGGATAGAATTTGTAAAGTGAGTTCAACTTTCCATACTATGAAAATCTATTAAGGGCATAAGAAGCAAATAATCCTTTTACAGCTCGATATTGAACACCATCATAGAATTGTCTGCTGATATCTCCAGAAGGAAGTGTATTGAAATACTCTTCTGCAAGTCTAAGGTTGATAGGAGTGTAAGTTGGATGCACTGTGTAGAGACTGTGATTCATTTAATTAAATAATGATCAAATCCAAATTATCATTAAAGCAAATGATAAAATTAAATCAGCTGTTAACCATCATATCTTTATCTACTTTTTATCTTCAAATTCTTCAATTTTATGCTTAATATTCTCTTCAATAATCTTTAAAATCTATAAAACAATAAAACTATAACTAAGAATCAATTTAATTTAATAGTTATTTTTGAAATTTATTCTGTTGTTTTTTATTTGAAACTTAATTAATCAATCATACACATATTATAATTATAATAGATTAGGTTGAATGTTTAATGCATAAAAAGTAACTGTAAATATTTAAAATTCATAAATATTACAAAAAATAGATTATAATAAGATAAGCCTATTATTTTATTATGTATATTTAAATATTATAGGATCAATGATTATTAATAAAACCATTATACTTTGATTGTGTTATAATCTCATACTCTTTTCTTTCTAATAGTTATTAGAAATTTTGGACTTATATTTACATTATTTTTTGTTTCACACATGAGGTAAATGTTGGATTTAAATTTGATGATTAGATTATTAATTTTAATCTTAATCTTAACAATCTTATTCTTCATCTTTCTTGTTATCATTCTTATTTAAAATTCTCATTGATTTAGTTTCAAATTCATCATTAAAAAGCTAAAACAATAATTAAGATAATACCTTATGAAAAAACAATTAATATAAAATCTTGATTATAGAATTTTAATTTGATTGTTAATTAAAATAAATAAATTATTATTCTTAAGTAATTATTAAATTAATTAGTGAATCATATAAATTATAAATTCTAATTTTTAAAGGGTTTTTCTAATATTGACATTTATTATAAATAATTGACATAAAATAAATATATATTTGTTATTTAAGGATATTTTATTGATCAAGAATTACATATTTATATATTTTACACATAGTTATGTATGATATTTAATAAAAGTAATTCCTATAAATTTATAAAAAAATAAATAATTTCATATGCAATAATTGTAAATCTAATGAATATATTTAGTGTTGAAATGAAGGCTGTTACATGGTAAAAGGATTCCCATGGACTTTTTGATTATGAAACTCAACTTCTTACAATTGAAAAACATGTCATATTATAAGAGCGGAAGGTTTATCGATTAGGTATATTATTCATATTTATTATATTATTAAATAGGTTAAGAAGTTAGTATTCATTCTCCTGAAACTGAATAAGATGAGTCCCAATAATATTTAACAGCAGTTCAAGAATAAAACTATAAGTTTTACATCAACCCTGATGGATGTGTAGAAAATGAAAACTTTTTAATAGTTAGAAGTTTAAAAAATAGTTAAGGAGGATAAAAAGTATTATTTAGTTTTAATGATGAAAAAAGGGATATAAGATGGAGCCAGGAGACATAATAAAATTAGGAAGAATGGAATATTTGATAATAGAAACAAAGAATAAGGATAATTTAGTAAATTAAGCATCAAGTGAAATGCTAAAAGTATATCTTGAATAAAATTCAGGATTGGTTTGAAATAACTGCTTCGTATGTTACCAATAATTAAGCAATTTGTCGATTTTGTCTAATGGACACTCAAACAAGAGAGGATCCTTTTATTTCTCCATGTAATTGTAAAGGAAGCTGCTAATTTGTTCATTTTAGTTGCATGAGATAATGGATTGAGAGTAGATGCCAAATAAAACAATTAAATAGTGCATAATCATATAGATGGAAATAGTATTTAACATATATATTTGAGATAACAATGTGAATTATGTGAATCCTTGTTACCTTTGAAAATAAAGATGGATGATATAGAACTTTCGTTGGATGTAATATAGCGTCCTTCGACACCATATTTGATAATGTAATCAAGACACAAAAAGGAAAAGAAGTCAGGAAAAAATGTGTATGTAATGTAATTTTAAAATGGTGAACCAATCAAAATAGTAAATATAATATATATAAAATAGGGAAGAGGTCATCAATGTGATATATAAATATCAGATATTTCAGTATCTAGATTACATGCTTATATAAAATATGAAGATGGTAATTTCATTATTCTTGACAACAACAGTAAGTTTGGAACACTCGTAAAATTATTCCAACCTTATAAAATTGATTAAGAGAAAGTGGCAATATAAGTAATTTAATTATTTATATTAAGGTTGGACGCACAGTCTTGACTTTTGTACTAAAATAGTAGTGTATTAGTGAGAACCATTGAATAATCTTATTATTTTTAATTGATATTAATAAATTTATATATTTAAGAGAGAAATAATTATTTTATAAGATTCCAAATATTTTAGAGTGTGGAATATATAAATATTATGAGGTGTATAGATGAAGAGATAATGAATTAATTAAATATATAAAAAAATTTAAATCTTTTTTTAATATTATGGCTCACAGAATTCAAGAAAACGCAGGAATGATCAATGATGAGAAATAAGTTGTTGATATTTATGTACCAAGAAAATGCCAATATACAAATATGATCCTTAATAGCAGTGATTACTCCAGTGTATAAATCAATGTTGGATAAGTATTGATTCAATTTCTAATACAAGGTTGATGAGAATGGAGTTTATAACAAAAAGAATAGCACTGTCATCTTAGCAGGATATTTAAGATAAAAGGGATAAAGTGCTGCAGCTTTGGAGGCTATTCTTAGACAAAGAGGTGTTTTGCCATTTGCATAATGAGACATATTTAATATATACATATTAGTACATTAATAGATAAAATCATAAATTGCAAATGCTACTTCTATAATACTAACAAATCTATTCAGCAATATGAATTAAATTGGCACCCAATTTCTCTTCTTGCATAACTTATTTAATTAATTATACAAACAAATTAAAACTTTATTCTCCTATTTTTAATGGATAATGAATAACCCTTAAATCATTTGCTTTGTAAATTGATGAATTCCTAAAAATAAATCCAACAATCTTTTTCACATGAGATTTTAGTTAATATTCAGCATTTCTAAAATGATCACTATAAATTTCATTGTCCTGTAGATTTATTTATACTTTGTATTATACTTGATCCAATCCTTAAGGTCCAACTATACTTTCTATACTACGTTGATTCATAACAATAAATCTTAATTAAAACCACAAATCAGCATAATCCTACAATATAAGTCTATCTAAATTATAGTTTTTAATTAATTAAAAAAAATTATCTCTGAAACCATCTAACCATTCACTTTAAATGACACAACATTTATGAAGTGTTCTTAGATCTGTATTAGTTAAAAGTGGTTAATGTTGATGAGTAATAAACTTTAATAGAAAATGAGCATGTCTTAAAAGAGTGGGTATATTTGGAAAACTTCGAAATCTAGGATCTCTTTATAATAACACTTCATATTTCTTTACTTAAACCTTAAATAGAGTTGGAGATTAGAAATAAAAATCTAATAAGCAATCTTAATTCACTATACAACTTCTATAACCATCCATTCTTTTAGTTATCAATTCTATTTAACTCTCCTTTAATCCAAGTTCTTTCATAGCCTCAACTAAATGTTATTTGAATAAAGTAAAATGAACATTTGTCAGATTCATTCTTTAATGGGATTTTCTTAAATAATTCAAGACTTAATCAACACCACAATTCCAACCCATCATTTAATGTAATATACTTCCTAATTTCTTAGCTTATTCATCCATTTAAATTCCTACAAAATATTCACAAAGAGTTTAATCTTCTAATATTTTTTAATAGGTAAGATCTGCTAAATGGACAATACTTTAAGGTGTCTCATCTTTATTATTTTCAGTTCTTTGATTATAAATTTAAGCAAAGGTTTATTCTGAAGTTATAATACAGTATTTATATTATTCAATGAGTGCACTGAATTCAAATATTAATTCAGGGGGACCTTTATTACTTTGAATAAAACTACTCTTTCTTATTATAAATGATTATTTACAATTAAGTAACTCTTAAATTGATTGTATAATGCATGATCTATTTTTAAGGGGATATGTTTTTATTTTAGAGCTTCAATATTAAAAAATACAGGTTTTCCCATGATATACTCAAGAAATGTTCCAAATTTGGATTCATACATTGCAGGATCATCAATTTCTCATATATATACAAATTGATTACTCTATATTATGGGATGAATTTGAGAATGTTTATGAAATAATCTAGCTATTTCCTGAATCACCTCTTCACCACCTATTTTAGTAAGAAATATTCCATCATCTTCTTCGAAATTAGATTTAATGCAAAATGAACTTTTTGGGGTAATTGGAGATAATTTTACTTACTTTTATGGTGGTAAAGATCTTCGAGTAATCGATACAGGAATTCCTAATCTAGATCTTGGAGTATTTGGATGGGAATGTTATATATAGCTTTATGAATGTTATGAAGTAGTAGTGCTTTTATTAAGGCTTAAAACGAAATGTGATTTCATTGTCTAGAGATCTGGGATGATAACTTCAATCTTAGGAAGTATTGGACATCTTTATATTGTTTCAGTGTTATGACGTTGATTCTTTTTTTATCTTCCATCTTTCAAGGCATTGACATAATCAGCAAAAGAAGAAGATTGTTAAATTAGCTTAACTTTCCCTTTATCCAATGTATTATCAGACTTTGTTAAGAAATCATACTATCCAACATATTGTTATCTAAAAGGACAGTTCTGCTAGAATTGCCGATTCATTATAATTATTATTAACTTAATAAATAATCATTGATTTAACTAATACTTAAAAGTAAATAAGATGAATCCTTGTTAATCTATGTAGTATTTGAATAATTATCATACTTATTGATACTTATTAAAATCTGTACACATTCTATTTCAATATCTTTATTTAAGACGGTTTCAGTATAAAAATATCCATCAAATAATTTATGAAATTCTTCTATTTCAATAGATCTAACATTCTAAAACTAAGGACATGTTTAAAGCTGATGATAGATTAATTTAAATCTAATTATCCACTTTAGTTAATATATATAGTTTAATAAAATGTATGATATAATTTATTTCATCTTGCGGCATTCTATTTTAAACTTCGATTATTCTAGTTTGTATCTATATCTAACTATATTAATATTTAATAAATTTCTTTAAGTTTAGCTCTGAAGAAATTTCATTTTCTGGAATGAAAGTAGCTTAATACAATAAAATTAGCTTTTTTTATTTCCTATCCAATATATTTCTCTTATTGAATTATTATCCAATTTCATATTATTATTAAGATTACTATCAACTCCTTTGTTTGTAATCATTACTTAAGTTTTAACCTTTAGATTAAAATTATTTATACTCTTTTAACTCTATTAATGTGAATATTCTTCAGAGAATCATATTGTTATAATCCTGGAAATTGGGTCTATTTCCTCATCATAATAATCGCCTAAATGTTAAATATTTATATATAATTCATTTTATATTAAATTTAAACAATCAATATTTTCTATAATACTAAAATATAAATCCTCAAAAATCTTGAGTAATGCATTATTTCATAGATAAGTAAATACTAAAAAATAAGATTAAATTTTGCTAATTAGTTGGATTTTTAATTTAGATATTAAACTAAACTTATTTAATTAGTCTACAATAATGATTTAAAAAATTGATTATAATTTTGTTTTCATCTCTTTTTTTCTATTTTTTAATTATATCAATATATTCAAAAATGTTATCAAATTTTTATTTATTTTTATATTTCTTTTTTGATTTATTATTTATTAATAAGATTTTTGTTTAATAATGATATTTGTATGTCTTCCACATTTCTAAAAATAATACCCATAATATTCAGAGAACTTAATATCTCGTATAAAACTATTTCTAGGATATTAATCTATATTTTTCCTAAATATATATATATTTATTTAAAAATTGGAAACCCTATTTTTATTTATTATCTATTTCCAGATTTATCATTATTTAAAATTGAACAAAAGATTATTTAATTAATTAATCTTTTGTTCAATTTTTAATCATATATTTATATAATATTATCTGTAAATATAATTATTTATATGTTAATCTAAATAAAAGAATAAACTTATAAGATTTAAATTCTATTAATTATCTTCTTTTTATCCATAAATAAGACTTAAACAATACTAAATTAAAATATAATTATTATATATACGAATAATTAATTTAAGGAATATTTATTTAACAATCTTAAGTTAAAATATATTAGATATATTCATTTTCTCCTTTGTGATCTTATAACTGAATAGAATTTAAGTAGAACTTGATTATCCCAATTTAAGAGAAGTAAAATAATTGTTATAAATCTTTTAACTTATTATTAATATTATTAAGAATGTAGAAGTCTCGAATATTGGAAGTTTAAATTTATTTTCAATACAAAATTTTAGTGTATAAATTTAATTATTTTATTTCAAACTTTAAAATAATAGCTAAATATAATAAATGCTATGAAACCATTTTAATTTAAATAATTTCTGATTAAATAAGAAAGAGTAGATAAAGAATAATTATGAAAGAAGAATATACTCATTGATATAATCAATTAACAATAATTTTAGAGTATTTAATAAGAACAATTAGATTTTTAAACATTAAAAGAAATTATGAAAAATGTACATTTATATTGTGTTGTATTAAAAGAATAAGTCGTTTTTATATAAACTATAATAATGTATATAATTCTAATCTATTTTGTTGAATATAACGAATAAATTATAATGTATTATAAATATTGGTTTGTATATTAAGAATGATTGAAACAACTGATCTTTATAATAATACATTATAAAGTTACATTAAACTAAAAATCGAGTTTTCGATTATGTGCAGTAGAATTTAGAATACAGATAAAGAGGATTGATGCGTAATTTCTCTTCAATTTTATAAAACTATTAGTAGTCGAAACTTGATTATAAAATTTGAACGACATAAAGCATACATCCTATACTATTTGAAGATGATGTTTTTATTGCTCTATCTTGGCTTATCGTTTTTATACAACTCCTTAGTTTGGATCTTTATTTATCATTCATTAAAACAATTAAAAGAGTATTTTTTCAAAAAAGTAAATATTATCTTCATGTTTAATTATTCTGGGATGTTGCCAAAAAGTTAAAGTTTATATTTTCATCCACCACTGCAAGTACTCAGTACTAGAAATGTCTAAACAGAACCTGAAATCTCAAAATAATAACATAGTACTTATTATTTTTAGCTTTAGAACCTCATAAGAAATACAGTGTTATTACTGATGACAAGAGGAATCTCTTAATCAAACAGGTTTTAGAAGAAGGGGTTTCAGTCAAATTAGCTGCTTAAGCTAGTGAAATTAAGTTATCGACAGCCAAAGCAATTTTGAAGACTTACAAAACATAAGGGAGAATTGGCAAAAAGAAAGAACGCTAAAAACGACCAAAGTTGAATAGAAAAACTGTTGAAAAACAATTAGATTAAGCAACATTAATTAAGAAGCAATTGCCCAAACTTGGTCAAAAGTAATAATATAAAACTAAATTAGTTTCATTTACTTACCCTATAGCTATTAACCTCCCCCTCTTATTTATAAAATTGAGTATTCTAATGATGTTAAATCAGAAATTTGATGTATAATTATACTTTAAATATATTGCTTTTATTCTTTATATATTAGAATTTTTTCTTATTCAAATTCCAAGTGTCACCAGTCTACTATTCTAGTTCATAAATGAGTTCAGTCTTATTTTTTTGGTAAGACTGTGAGACCATTTTGGTTTTAAAGTCAAATGATTAATTAATCTTCAGAAAATTTCTATTTATTGTCTGATAATGATACTTTTTTATTACACTAATTTATTCACTTTCAATATCCTTACTCTAAACTAAGAACAAGAGCTATAATCCTTAAAAAGTATATGATCTTCAACTCTCTAAATGGTGTTGTTAAAAATAATAGAGCAGAACAAAAATCTAAAGATCAGCTTGAGAATTCAATTAAAAAAACATGAGGAAACTAGGAACAAGACTTAAATATCCTCTTTATTCTACATCTCAGGAGCAGATCAATAGTAGTCAATATTTTTTAAGAACTTTCTTATTCTTTATTTCTTAACACACAATCTTATAGCTAGAAAATATCAACTTTCTAAATATATTCAATCTTATTTAAGATAGATCAACAATAACGTAGATTGTTTTTGAAGTAAATAAACAAAAATAAGTAAGTAAGAGGGTTTTAAAAAAAAAGAAAATTTTCATTTATCTACTAATGTAATAATCATGTAAACCTAATTGTTTAAGAAAAGAACAAGACTTGATTGGAGAAGTGTATTAATTTATTTATTCACCAAAAAATGAGTAAATTTTGGGTTTTTAAATATAATATCAGTAGTTATTAAGAAAATAGAGTTCTAAATTATTTCTATATTTATATAATTGTATAATATTTATATTAATTGAAATATACATAAATATAAATAATTCATGTTAAGAATTGTTCATAAGTTGAGATGTGGGTTTGCTAAAATGACCGTCAGAGAAGCCATTAACAGTGCAATGGCTTAAGAAATTGAAAGAGATTAAAATGTTTTTTTGATTGGTATTTTATATGCAATTACAATCTTTTAGGAGAGGAAGTGGGTTAATATCAAGGTGCTTATAAAGTATCTAAAGGTCTCTATGATCGTTTTGGAAAGAGTAGAATCTGGGATACTCCAATTACAGAGGCTGGATTTACAGGTTTGAGTGTTGGAGCTGCAATGTAATATTTACCTCATCTTTTTATAGGTATGGACTTAAACCCATAGTTGAATTTATGACATTCAATTTTGCAATGTAAGCCATTGATCATGTAATCAATTCAGCAGCCAAATTACATTACATGAGTGCAGGTGGTTTGAAAACATCTATAGTATTTAGAGGAATTAATGGGTATGATTGTGAATTAATTTATTTTTTAGTGCAGCAGCAGCAGTGGCTGCTTAACATTCACAATGTTTTGCTGCTTGGTATAGTTAAGTGCCAGGCTTAATTGTATTATCTCCCTATGATTGTGATGATGCTAGAGGTCTTTTGAAAGCAGCTGTCAGAAATCCAAATCCAGTTGTTTTTCTTGAAAATGAAATTATGTATAATGAGGCATTTGAAGTCCCTGACAATGTTATGGATAAGGATTACTTGATACCAATTGGAAAAGCAAAAATCATGAGGGAAGGAAAAGATGTGACAATTGTAACATTTTCTAAGATGGTCAAGTATGAGAATGAATTAACTTGAGATTTTCAATGTTAGCTGCTGCAGAACTAGAAAGAGAAGGAATTTCATGTGAAGTTATCAATCTAAGAACCTTGAAACCTTTAGATAGAAACACAGTAATAGAAAGTATCAAGAAGACACACAGAGTGGTAACTGTTGAGGAAGGATGGGGATAATGTGGAATTGGAGCAGAAATATGTAGTATCATAAATGAAAGTATATAAAATGTAATATTTTCTAGCTAATGCATTCTTCCATTTGGATGCTCCTGTTGTTAGAGTTACAGGTGCTGATATCCCAACACCATATGCATTTAATTTAGAAGAGCTTAGTTTCCCTAAAACACACAATATTGTAGAGGCAGTCAAATTGGTATTAAAGTGATAAAGTCATGCATTTATATATCATAAAAGATAGCCTCCATCAAATTTTTATTCTTTTCTTCCAATTTCTTCAAAAAAAAGATTAATAAATGGTTAGCTTGAATAAAATAAATAAATGTTTTAATCCATACATCATCAATAATAATTATTTTGATTATCTTATCTATTTTTTGAAAATATTTAATAAAGTAAAATATGAGTTGAATATTATTATTAATATATTTTATCCTAGAGTTAATGAAATTTATTATTGCTCACAGATATATAATTATTCAAATATAAGAGTTTTTGAAAAGTACATTTTTTAAGAGATTGTAATTTTTTAGAATTTGGATAAGCATTGAATAATTTAATAAAAATTATATTAATTTCAGAAAAATTATACTTTGATATTAATTATACATTGGAGTCATTTCAAAAATCATTATTAACAAAATTAAATGAATTCAAAATCAATAATAAATTTTTAAATAATATTTTGAAGCATCAATATTATTTTATCCTCTTTTTTCGTTTAAATCAATTTTATTTGACTAGTTTTATGATGAAGTTGATTTATAAAAAAATTAGAATATTCTTTTAACAATTTGTAATTATTTAAAAGATGAAGAAAAGTTGTTTTAAAAAGAATGAAAATAACAGAGATAAATTCTTTAATAATTAAAGAAATTTTTGTAAATAATTTTAGATCTTCAAAGTAAAGCTATTTTATTATTTAAAAATATTGTAAAACACAGAAAAGTTAAGAGTATGTTAAAATAAATATTTGTCTCCAAAAAGGAAAGACAGAGTCCTTGTTTCTAATATAATATAAGAACATAATAAATTTAAATTATATTTGATTTTGGATGAGCTTTATTCCATCTTCTTAATTTCTACTTGGACAATTATCAAATCATTAATTGTATTAAAAGTAAGTAGAGGATATGAAAAAGAAGAATTTAGCAGGATCACTGTGGGAAATTGTGAAAAAAATGTCAAGAAAAAAAGAAAAAAAAGATAAATCGAATGAAAATTATTTTAGTGAGTTTTCATAAAATATCAATCGTGGAGCATTATAATGTTTTTCTGAACTTTGTACTGAATTAGCTTGCAATAATAAAATTACGTAAGTTAAATTTATTAAGAATAGTGAAGTTAATTTATCTAGATGTAATATTAATATCTATCAATCTATGGAGTTGGCTAATCTTGTTTAGAAAAATACAAATATCTAAGTATTATAATTAGCAGGATGCAATTTGAATTCTTTTTCTCTAAGTTGTATATTCAAATCAGTAATATATTCAACATTTTTATAAAGATGATAGATCACACAGGTTTGACTCATTTAAATCTCTCTAATAATAAAGGATTCACTAAGACATCTATAGAAGATTTTTGTAAATATGTTTTAAAGGGTAAAAATCCATTATTTGAAATCAATTTAAGTTTTTGTAACCTTGATAATTCATCACTTACACTAATTTTACCAAATCTAAAACATTTAAGATCACTAAAGTATATTTCTATTTTATTTTTAAGACGATTTATCATCTCATTAGTAAATTTAAAATCTTCTGAAAGTATTCTAGCTTTGAGTAGTGCAATAATTAATTATACAGGTAATAAATTCTTAGATTATTTGGATGTTTCATGGAATTGGATAACAAATCAAGGACTAGAACTTTTAAATGTAGCTTTATTTATGTCAGTAAGACATATAAACATTAGATCATTGAATTTAGAATATAATTAATTGACATAGGATTGTATAGTATCTTTAGAAACTATTTTATTAAAATTGAATATTGAAGAAATCAATTTATCAAAAAATAAATTATCAGAGTTCTAGAATCCATAAGTATTAAATAAAAAAATGTCTAAAGTTGATTTATCATATAATAGATTTGAAGAAATTCCATAAAATTTCTTTTTAAATGTTCTATCTCTCAATTTATCTAATAATTCTATTAAAACTCAAGGAGCTTACTAAATTTCTTAGGTTGTGAGTTCAAAAAGAGTTATGTGGATGGAATTAAATCTGAATAATAATGAAATTTGTACTTAAGGTTTTATTTCTTTGATATATGCCTTAAGAGAAAATTAAAGAATAATAAGTTTATCTGTGGCTAATAATAATATTAAAGGTGAAGGTATATTAGTTTATATCTTCAATCATGAATAATTGAATTTGTAATATTTAGATATATCTTATAATTATTTGAGATATGACTTAGTTTATGCATTAATTTCTATGATGAAAGAATGCTAATTAAAAAAATTAGTTTTATCAAAATTAAGATAAGATGAGAATGATATATGTAGTGGAAGAGAAGAATTGATTGAAATTAAATGCAATAATTTAAGATAATTAGATTTCTCTTAAAATAGTTGTATGATTTCATCAATACTAAATTCTTTATCAAAATAATTCAATAAAATAGAATACTTAAATCTTAATAGTTGTGAAATTAATTAAACAAATTTGATTGACTCACTATCTTCTTTTCTATCCAATACTTAAACTTTATAAACACTATTATTGGCTAGAAATAATTTAGGAAAGATGGATGAAAAGAATTTTAAAACATTGAATGATGGATTCTTTAGAAATAAATCTATAATGTATTTGGATTTATCTTCAAACAAATTAAAAATTAAAATATTATCTTTAATACCTGGATTGTCAAATTGTCGATATTTAAGATATTTGAACATTAGTAATAATTTAATTTATGAAACCAAAAACCTTATAAAGGATTTTGCAAAATTGCTTGATAAAATTAATTTATAATATTTAGATATATCGTAAAATCAAATTGGTGGATAAACTTTATTATATGCAAGAAAAAAATTATAAAAATCCTGTCGTTAATTTCCTCAGATTAAGATGCAAAATTAGAAATTAACAGCAGATGATTTATAAATAATAACTTAGATAATTTCTGAATCATATTCAATAAAAAGATTAGAGTTGTAAGATAATGATTCTTTAGACTATATGAATAATATAATGTTGATAGGAAATAATGTCAAGGTAGATTCACTTTCAATAAATAAAATTTTATTTCGTTATGATAGTTTTAGAAATTTAATAAGAATTATATAAGAAAATTTTAGAAATATTAGATTTTTAGAAATATCAAATACATTATTATTTTAAGAATAATTAATAGAGTTATTTACAACAATTAAATTGATAAGGAATCTAATTGTTTTTATTTTAGACTATTAATCATTTTAATAAAAAGATGATAAGATTATTGATGCATTATATAGTTGTTAAAATTGTTTTCTAAACCTAGAGCATTTTAGTGTAAGAAAATCTATTCTTAGATTTTCATTTTATGTTTTTGTATCTGAATTACTTAGAAAATCTCAAAAATTAATATAGTTAGATTTAAGTGGGAATATTATAAATAAAGATGATTTTAAGATATTATGCAATGGATTATTTACAAATTCAAGTGTTTAAGGTAGTTATTTTTATAATTCTTGTAGCTCTCAATTTAAAAAATTGTAGATTGACTGATGAATCATTATTATAACTTATCCCTTGTTTACACGATCATTCTTCAATTAAACATATTGATATTTCTTAGAATGAAGTTTCTTTAAGGTTTTTACTTTAAATTAATGAAATAATAGGAAATCATAAAACTTCAATTAAAAATTTAAAATTATAGAATATACAGATATTTTGGGATGTTGAATCAATTTAAAATGAACTAAATGTCATTAATATTTTAAGCAATTTAAATCATATTGATTTATCAACTAATTATAAATAGAATGAAAGTATAATTAAATTATTAGATTATTTTATAAAAATTAAAACACTTGATAACATATAAATCTTAACACTCAATAATTGTGGTATCATGGATGATTAATGTTAAACCTTAGCCAATTTTATTGAAGATAATAAAATAATAAAAGAGGCATCATTTATTTAAAATAACATTACAAGTAAAGGTTTCAAACATATTTTTGATCTTATACTCACTAACAAAAGTTCTTTAATTACTTTAAATATATAAAAGTAATGTATTTATTAATATTAATATAGAAATTATATTGATGAGCAATATTTTTAAGATTTGACAGCTGCAGATATAATTCCATTAACATATTTTCAGTTATTAATAATAGATGGAAATAAATTTAAAGGACATGCTCAAGGAATTTCATTAATATTACATAGAAATCCTAGATTATACATATTTAATAACTGGATTAATGTGACAGAAATGTTCGCTTAATAAATCATTAATTAATATGTTTTATTTACAAGTTAACTTAATTTAAATAAAGAAGTGCCACATTATCTAAAATAATTAATAATTAGAAATACAAATCTAAGTGATTAATTTTTTATATGGTTTGGATCATAATACTTTAAATTTCCATACTTAGAAATAATTGATTTTAGAGGTAGTACAAAACATATGACAAGTATGAGTAAAATGCATATGTACATAGATATTATAAATGAATATTTAGTAAATTACAATATTTAAGAAGTATGTTTTGATCAGAATTAAGCTTATTAGTAAATATTATATGTAAATTTAGGCTTAATTAATTTGATGATGGATTATTCAAATATTGGTTGCTTAATTTAAAAGTCTTTTTATAAAATAAGAATCAAATTTCATTATCAAAATTGGAATATTATGGAAATTAGATAGAAAAAGTAAAATGGGGTAAAATTGGAAAATGGTTAGTACATTTAATAAATAAATCATTAAATATAATTTAAAGTTTAAATTATGATTTCAGATTTAGCAGCTCATTACACAGTTTTACAAGATAATCATTAACTAAAATAAGAATATATTTGATTATTGTTTCAATAATAGAAATAATCAAAATATTTATAGGTGTAAGATAACTGTAAATGAGAATTAATTTCAAAGATAAATTAATTAAATGCTAAACTACACATAATTAATGCTTTTAAAATGATCTTCATTGGGGTTTTATTGGAGAAATATCTATTTATGTTGTAATCATTCTAGCACAAACTATTGCAACCCTATTCATAGCTATTAAATTTCGATTAATAGCAACTCCAGACTATTGCATTTAAACTACAGAAATGATAAGATTTTAACGATTCAAATTTCCTCATAAGAAAGAGTTGTGGCTATGTATTTTGTAACTTATAATTTGGTTTACATACCTACTTGAATGCAGAATTATTGGATCAAATATGGAAATTCTAGCTTTTATTAAAGATAGTTAGATGGATAACATAATAGATCTCAAAAATATGATCACAATGGTTATTAGTTTTATGACATCATTTTTGTTGTTGAAGGCAATTTTTTAAATTTATATCACTTTCAAATCTCTCTTATTATTTATTTCAACAGCAAGAACTGATTCTGCAAATATCCTTTAATCATTAATGCTGAAAGTGCAAGCAGATCATATGTTAAATATTGAATATGTCATCAGTAATTTCTGTCCTTAGTCAGGTATTTATATTAAAGGAAGATTATGGAATTATAAATAGATCTTTTAATCTATTCATGGATTTATTGAGTTTGCTATATTAATTAATTTAATCATACTTTCAAAATATAGAAGAGATCTTTTAAATGAACATAGGGTATCTAATATGTTTACTTCAACTGATATTATTACTATTATTTCATATGTATTTTCAAGTATTAAGATTGTTATGCATCTTTATTTTGCATTTCTCTCAAGACCACCATAACTAAAAGTATCTGATCTTAATGAAGCACTATTATTAAGAAGATATTAAAAATTAGGTAATTAATTATAAATTATAAAATAAAAACCAAATAAAGAATTTTATTAATCATCATTAAAATCTATTAGTAAAAATAGTGGTTAAGATTTTAAATTTGGGTCTATTCTAAATACTAAAAGTGATAGAAGTATAGTTTTATAAAAAAATACTATAATTTCTGTTGATAAAGATATAGATTATATTGAAGAGTTTATATAACTTCCTATGGATCCAATAAAATGTAAATCTATGAAGAGCATTAGATTAAACTCTTGATTTACATTTATTTTGATGATGAATTTTTTATAAATTAATCAAATATATTAAATATATTTTTTATTTTATTTCTTTAAATTTTTATTTTAATAATTATTACAGTTTTCTTGTTTTCAACTAAATTTAATAACAAAACAGTTATAATGTCTATCAAAATAACTTGTATTAAAAATTGAAAGTTTAATAAGAATGAATAATAAGAATGATTATTATGATCTATATGTTTTTATATTTTTGTCAAATTACAAACTTCTTGTAGTTCTCTGCATTTCTTAATAAAATGTTTTCAATAGGACCTAAAAGTCTTACGAATGCTTGATAATCTAAATATACAACAACACAATCAGTCTAATTATTATATAATTTAAGATTACTTCAGCTTAAATGGTTGCCTGTCTTGGTACTTTATTAATGAGAGCTAATTCACCAAAATAGTCACCACTTTGATATTTTAGAACTTCTTCATTTTATTTAAGAGCAACTAAAGTTCCTTTCACTACTATATAGAACTTATGTCCCTCTTCTCCTTCTTTAATAATATACTCTTAAGGTTTAAAATGCTATTCTTTTAAGCCATCACATATTTAAGTCTTTTCATATGAGTCAATAGATTTGAGTATTTCAACTTTGGATAAAACATCTTCATAATGTTCTCTTCTTTTAACAGTAGCTTCTTTAACAATAGCATTGAATGTAGATCTATCAAGTGCAAAGAGTACTGATTCTGTATTGGATTAGATGGAGGCTGCTCTTGGTGCATTGTATAGAAGAGCCAACTCACCAAACATGTCTCCACTTTAATATTATTTAATTAATTTTGGTTCTTGATCTTTAGAGAATCTTCTGTAACAGTCTAGTTGACCTTATGACACAACATATAATTCATTGCCATCATCACCTTGATTAATGATCCAATCTCCAGGATTGTAATGTTTTTCTTCCATGGCATCAATAATAATATTTCTTTCATTTTAATCAAGTGCTTGAAACATGAATACTCCACTTAACTTATTTTCTATTCTTTCCTTTTGATCTTATGATTTTGGAATTACTCTAGGTTTAAAGTCTTCTTTTTTATTGTATAGTCCATAAACTTCAGCACTTACAGAAGTACGAAATTGTTGATCTTTTTTTACTGCTTTTTCTAACTCATCTACATCTTCTGCATTCTCTTCTTCAGAAGAAATGTGATACTCAATCTATAGACTTTATGTTGTTCTGACATTATGCTTAGCTCTTCTCACTTCCAAATATTCAATCATCCAATCAATCTAACTTAAATATTTAAGTTACATAATTTTCTGGTTGTTTTTTGAATAATTCATATACCATATTTTAAATAACATCATTAACTTTGGCTTTATATTTGGCAATTTTATCTTTGCTATTCATTTATTAAGATCAAACAAATAAATAAAATTAATTTCTATAAATTAATTAAGATAACAAATAAATAAGTATGTATGGAATCTAAAATATTATCAAATTTATTTTAATTATATTTAATCATAATATTTCAACTTATGAGTCATCTTTAGGTTGAATTTATTATGACTCATCTTTAAGAATACTCTCTTCTATTTAAAGACTATTATTATTATCTTATTATATTAAATGATCTTCATTTGTTTATTCACTCTTTTTAAAATCATGTTAAGACTATTATTTAGGTTTAGATCTGATTTTCATAACTTATATAGGACGTTTGAATAATGATCTCACATTTCCAGTCTTCTAATTTGTATTAGTTTTTGCAGTTAATCTTTCAGAAGTGGGATCTAAAATTGATGATACATTATCACTCATCATATTTGATTATTGTGGTTTAATAGATACTTCAGATAAATTCCTTTAAACACTTTTCTTTGTTTTTGTTGATTCCAATAATTCTTAAAATAATGATTCTAATCTTAATTTAGAATCCATTAATGATTGATTTTCAAAATCTAATTTCTTAATTCTCCCTTTAAAATAAGATACTGATTCAAATGTTGATTTAAGTGAAGTTTAAGCAACCTTATGTGATTCTTTAAGCATTCCAAGTTCAGTTTATAATTCAATTATTTACTTTCTTAAACTTTCAATTTCAGTCTATTTACCTTTTCGATTTGTTTAGGCAACCAAAAAGTCCAATTTTTCTTTAATTTCTGTCTTCTCTCTCTATAACAATCGATTCTATTCTTTGATTTTACTCAACTCACTTTCTAAATAGATGATTTGTTCTCTGCTCACTGAATTTTACTTTATCAAGGCTTTTAACTATAGTAGAGAGTAGCACTCTATACCTCTTGATCTAATTTTTTCATTCTTTCTAATGCATCAATTAATTTTTTATCTTTTTCTATTTATTTATTATTTGCTTCTTTACATAAGGTTTCTAATTACTTGATTTACATTAATAATTCCTTATTCTAATCATTTGTTTATTATAATTAATTTTAAATAATAGATTTTTCCCTATATATATATAATATATTTACTTTTCAAATTAGACTATTTTAATTTCATAATTATTCTTAATTTCTAATAGTTGATTATCTTTATCGTTTAAAGATTTCTCAAATTAAATAGTTTATTCTTTTAATTTCTATTCTAATTTAATGAAATTTTATTATTGTTAAACTATTTAATTATGTTCATTATTCACTTTATTTTTTAATTCTTAAATTAATTTATCTTTATCTATAATCTATTGATTTTATGATTTGATTTATTAATTTAAAATATTTATCTCTTGCATTTCTTTTTCATTTAATTTCTTAAGATTATCATTTTCTAATAAGAGTTCATCTCTTTATTTGTTTATTGAATTCAAATCTACATCTTTTTTATTAACCTTATCTTCTAATTATGATTACAATTTTTAAAGTATGTTCATTTATTATTCATATTGAGTATCTTTATGTTAAAGATCATACTACAATTATTTGATGAGATCTCTTTATTATTCTAACTCAAGATTATGTTTGTTATTTAAATCTTAAATTTGAAGTTACAATTATTTTTTCTAATCTTCTGAATTAATAAGTTCTCTTTTTAATGATTCATTCTAATTAGTCAATTAATTAGCATTCTAAAGTAATTTATCATTAATAGATCTTAAATCATTGTGATCTTGTTGTAGATCACGAATAGTTTATTGTAATCCTGCTACTTTGCTTTCTTCATTTTAAGGTTAAGTAGCCTTTAATTAATCATTAGCATCATCCAATTAAGACTTTATAATAGATAACTCCTCTTACATTTATTTTAGTTATTGCTAATAAAAAAAGTAGTAAATGACAATTTTACCTTAAATTCAAGTTCTCTTGTCTTCCACTCAACTACATCACTCTGATTTTTCTCTATCAATTTCACATTTTAAGTTTCAAGCATCTTGATCTTCTCTTATAATTCAACAATCTACATTAATGAACAAAATTACATCTGCATTCTGATCAATTCTTTATTGTAAATTAGCAATTTTATCCTATAAGGTAAGGATTTGTTATTGTCTATTTTCTAATTCAGACTAAAGTGATTTAATTTTAATGTCTTTGTCAGTCATTAAATTTATAAATTAATGGGATATATGTAGTATTTATTTAAGGATGAATCTGAAGAACTTAATGCTATTTACATACAATTGAATAAATAAATTATATATAATAATTAATAATGGATAACAATAATGAGAATGATGAAAATCAAGAGCTTCTTAACGAAGAAGAAGATGATGACTTTCCTGAATATGCCAATGAAGCAAATAAGGAACTTAATGAAAAGGTATTTATATAGGTATTTTCAATTTTAGATCAAATTAAAAAGAACCATCATTCGAGATATCAACTCTAAGATTGAAGAAAAGAGTGATAAATTGAAAGTGCTATCAGAACACTTAAAGAACATCTAATAAGAATTACTTCATACATAAGCTTTGGTATCTATTCAATAATACTTTAGATCGACACAAAAAACAAAGAAATTGAAACTGAAGACCATTTAAAATAAATAACAGAAAGATAAATTGGTCGTCTTTAAAATGAAATGACTAAATAATAAAAGATGTATAGTATTCATACCTTATTTTAGAATGATCGAGTAATAAGAAAGATTGAATGATGTCTAAAATTCAATCTATAGAGGAAATGAGAGATTGGATAAATATAAGATTGAAATGAATTGGAATTAAGAAGAATTAGAATAATGGGTTTTAGCTGCAAGATAAAAGGAAGAAGACTCTTTAACAATGGAAAAATATAAAAGAGGAGATGAAGCCAAAATTAAAGAACTTAATCTACAAATTGAAAAATTGACAGTTGAGGTTAGTAAGAGATAAAATGAATTGGATAAAGAAATTACAGAAACTTAAACTGCTTAAATTGAATTAGATAAAACAGCTGAAGAATTTAGAAGATAACATGATGAACGTCATAAATTATTTTAACAATGGTAAGAAGTGACAGATAATATTGCAAGAAGAGATTAAGCTATTAGAGATGAATCAGAGAGATATGCTGATATTAAAGCTTAAATTAAAGCAAATTAATAAGATTTAGAAAATAGAAAATCTTAATTAATGAATGAAAAATAAGAAAATAAATCAGTTGAAGTTCAAAATTAATAATTAGAGAGAACCATAATTTAATAAAGATAATCAAATAAAGATATTGAATTAGCTATAGATAATCTTAAGGCAGATGTAGAAATATAAAAGAATTAATTATCTGCATTTGCAACTGATTTATCAAATAAAAGAAATAGATTAGCATAAATGTCATAAGAACTTTTGATTAAAAAATAAAGATTGAATAATGCTTAAAAGAAATATGCTAGTGAAAAGTAGAAATTGAAATTGGAAGATATTTAACATTAAGAATTTGAAAAATAAAGGAGTCTAGCATCAGATAGATATAAAACCTTAGAAAAACAAAGAATTGATTTGGATAAGGAAATTAAATTATAAAAAGAAGTTTTATTCAAAGCTACTTAAGATTTATTTAAATTAAGAGAAAATGAAGCTAATTTATATGGAGAAATATAAGCAAATGTGAGTGCTTGTCGTAATTATTAAGCTCATATCAATAAATTGATTTAAGAATTTTAAAGATAATAAGAATTATTATATAATGCAGAATATTAAATATAATTGATGGAAAGAAGAGTTGCAAGAGCCAAAGGAGAACGTACTTTGGAAGAGAAAAAGGATTTAGAAAATGAGATTAAAGAAATTGAAGAGAAAGTCAATTTATAAAAAAAGGAATTCAAAACTTTATTGTTGAGTTTAAAAAGACTTGATGATGATCTAAGAGGAACAGATAGACAATTAACAGGTACTAAAGCATCATAAACTAAATTGAAATAAGCTATAGATGAGTTAACATTAGAGAATGATATGACTTATTAGGATTTAAGTAAAATTGTAAAATCAAAAGAAGAAGTGTTGGTTTAACATGATTTTATGAAATTAGAAATATAAAAGATTTAAAAAGTAGTAACTACTGCTGTTGATAAAGTATTTAATTTAGAAAATCGTAAATATCAATTAGAAATGGCTATGTAAGAAAGAGAATAAGAAATTTAAGTGCATAAAGATGTATTAGTGGCTGAACATAAAGCAGCTGAAGAGGAAAGACATAAAATTGCTGTTGAATTGGCTGAGAGGTAAAATAGAGTAAAGAATCTCAGAATCAAATATGAATCCTTAGTTTAAAAGAATAAGTCTTCAAATGGTGAGTAAGACACTTAAAATATTGAGGAACATTCATAAGCATATTATATAATTAAGGCTTCTTAAGAAAGAGAAGAATTGTAGAGGAAAGGAGATGAATTGAATGCTGAAATTATTAAGAGAGATTAAGAATTAAAGGCTTTAGATAATACATTATCTCATCTTAAGAATAGAAACAGTAAGTATAGAGATAGTTTCTTAAATAAGGGTATTTCTTAGAAAGAAGTATCTCATAGAGATGGATTGGAAGAGTAATGTAGAGCAGCATCTGAGAATCTATTTAAAAAGAAGAAAGAATTATAACGATTATAATAAGAAATAGATGAAGATATGAGAAGATTGACAGAAATTTAAAATAGAGTATTGATAATTTTTAATATTTATTTTAGATTGAGATTTTGGATAATTAAGAGAGGGAAGTTGAAATGTAATTCTAAAAGTTGGAGAGGGAATTATAAGATTAGTAAGAAAAGATTAATAGAGCTGAGAATATAATGAATTCTAAATTGGCAAAAGTATAATAAAAGAGAATTGTACTTGATGAATCAAATGCACATATATCTGCTTTAGAATTAGATATTCAGAATAATTTAAATAAGACATTAAAGACATGCATTTTGTAATATTTGATATTCTATTAATCTTTTTTAGTAATTTAGTCTAAGAATTCCCTGAAATGCAAGCTATAATAGATGCAGTCTTTTAAGAGAAAAATGTAACTGTTCCTAGTAAATAACCATCTTCTGTAGGAGTACCTTCTGTTAGATCATCTGTGCGTTCAGCTTCTTCTCAGGGCAGAAGATGATTATGATGATATTAATAAGTAATTAAACAAAAAATGTACCTCAAAAGTATAACTCGTTAAGAAATGCTATCTAAAATTGACTCTCTCAAATACCAACTTGAATATGAGAGGTAGAATCATGAGAAGGAATTAAAGTAAATTAAATTGGATGACTAAAAAGAAGTAAAAATGTTCACATTCTATAGATTGCAGTAATGTAGGATGAACTCAAAAGATTATAAGAAATGGTTGCAAATGTTTAATTCTAAGAGTATTTTAAAATGAAGAGAGATAATAAGATATTAAATCAGGAAAATACTATTTTGCGTGATATGTTGAGAGCTAGTTAAATTACAGGTTCAACAAAAGAAATGGAACTTGAAAGATTAAAATAGAAATTATATAGATATGATAGTCATTCATTATAAATCAAAAAGGAGAGTCATGTAGAATAGACTTAATAATATATAGTTTAAAACTAGAGATGTTAGAAATTTATCACATCATAGAAATCAAACCTAACCTTCATTAATGGATTCAACAGCAGAAACTTCATCCAAGATGTTACCAATCAAATTTAAGATTAATTAATGATATAACTTAATATTCATCTCTAAGAATGTATTCTTACTTTCTATATTCTTTGAATTTCTTTTAATCTCAATTATTTGAATATCTAAAATTAATCTAATTCAATTACATCCTATTTTTATTTTAAATTAGTACAATCTATTTCTGGAGATAATGACTTTGAATTTTAAATAATAAGCTTTTATTTAATAAAGTTTTCTACTTTCTATTCTAAACAACCTTAAGAATTTTCTAATTATGAAGTACGTTGAGTTAAAGGTTTCTTATAATTTGAATCAAAATTTTATTGTGAATTACTATTACTAGTATTCAATTGAATTGTTTATTTATTAGTAAGATTGAAAAAAAAAGACTATTGTGAATTTCTTCTAGAAGTATTTGGATGATTAATTTATAGTCTATAATGATGTATAGATTCCTCTTTAGGTTTCTTAGAAGATATTATAAATTGATCATCTGATCTTAATTGTTTTAATAATTTTTTGTAAATCTTCTAAGAGTCTTCTTCTGTTTATGCTGACAATCTCTTTTTTTATAGTAAAATCTATTTTTAATCATTTAAATTAGTCATAGCTCTTTATCTCAATCTTGAGATACTCGATTCTTGAAGATTACTAGTTGATTCAATCTTATCAAGTGATTTAACTTCATGGAGTCTCACTATATCTTCAATAGTTGAGAAAGCTTTAAATTCTTATAGTAGAGAAGGTTTATGATTGTCTTAATTGAGAAGATGAAATATCTTTTATCCAGCTACTTCAACATATAATTTTGGCTAATTGTTTTATTATTAAGTCTCCTCTTTTAATTTACATAATTCTTACGTCAATCTCTATGTATTAAACTTTGAGAATTCAAACCTTTACATAATAATCTTATCTCTTTCTGAAGTTTATACTCTTAAATCAATAGGATTATTATTTTTCAATTGAAAACTATAGTCTTGTTTATTGCCAACATCAATAGTAAAACCAGAACCTAAATCAAACTTAGCCTCAGCAGCTCCGTTATACCAACCATTTATTGCTCCAGAGAGTAATTTATTTGTCTTCATGATTCTGTAATCAGAAGGACCATCAAATTATCTAGTACTATCAATTTTACATAGTCTTCGCATTCCAAATTGTAAAGCTGTCTTTCTATCTACATTCTAAGTTGTGGAAGAATGAAGTAAATTACATTCTCCTTCAAAAAGAGGAAATGTATTGCTCTATCAACTGGAGCTGGATCAGATGGTCTATCTTTGAACTTAGAACATTATCCAAAAAAAGCCACCTTTTCTTATATAAAATGATAATTACTTCTTCTTTTGCTGCAATTTTCAATGCATCTTCATAATTCATTCTTTTTCTAGTAAGAGTTTTTTTCTTCATTAAAAATAAAATGAGTTCAGACACTGAATCTCCAATATTCAAAAGAAGAGAATCTAGAAGAGATTCTACTCTTTCTTAAATAACTGGAGCAAGTGGGGCTAACCACAATCTATAGGTTCTAAATGATCGTAAAGTCCTCTTACTCTATGCTTCAGGAGCAGCTGCAGCAGAAGGAGAACTTAATGAATCTCATATGACTGTTGTTAAAGGAAGATTAGAATAAAGAATGAAACATATATCCTTTCTTTGTGATCTTGAATACACATAAGTACTTGTTTAAAACATAAAATAGTATCATAATCAAGATGGTTGTCTAACGACACCCGTTTCTGAATATGGCAGAAGAACAGTTTATAAAGTGATGGAGCTTGATTAAATTAACAACTCAAGATAAACTGTAAGTTTATGTTATCTATCTTTAGTCTTATGCAGATATTAGACATATTGCTGAAATAATAAAGGAAAATTATGACAAATATGGTGCATTTGTAATTCTTAGTGGAATTGCAACAATAACTTATCTTGGTACCAATTTGTCTTTTATGCTTGAAAATCTATAAAAAACAGTAGTAATCACAGGTTCTTTGATTCCTTTGTCCTTTATGCGTAATGATGCTTTTCAAAATATTCTTGATTCATTGATCTTAGCTGGACACTTTCTGATCCCAGAAGTGCTTATAGTTATGGATCATAAAGCTTATAGAGCCAATAGATGTAGATAATTGAAATGTGATTCACTTGATTGTGTAGAAAGTCCAAATTTTCCTAATCTAGTTGAATTTGGTATCAATATTGACATCAAATGGCATCTTGTCTTACGTAGAGGAGAATAAATGTTTAGTAATGATGATAACACTCTTGAGTTATCACCTCAATTTATAACTGATGTTATTATAGTAAAGATAACTCCATTTACTAGTGTTGAACATATCAAACATATATTCAGTACACCAAATTTAAGATGTTGCATTTTAGAATGCTATCATTTTGGTGAAATGCCTCATAGTTAAGAATTCTACAATGCCTTATTGCATGCTCAATCTTAAAAGGGAATAATCTTAATTTAAATATCTTAATGTATCAAAGGATAGCCAATCAAGAATTTTAAAAAGATTATGAATGGTATCATAGTTTAATATGATATCACTCCTGAGAGTGCCTTAGCAAAGATTGGATATCTTCTTGGAAAAGGATATACAAATTAAGAAATCATTGAGAAATTTCCTTAAAATTTATAGGGTGAAACTGAATCAGTGAGACAATTTGAGAAGTTTGAAGGTTAAAAATAACATTTCATTTAAACCATACTAGAAACTCTATAAAAGACTTCAGGAGATGAATAGATTAGTCAAAATATGGATATTATGAATAAATATATAATACCAAATTTAGGTTGTTTTTTAGCTACAACTGGATAATTAGATTTAATTAAAGATCTAAGAAAAAATGAAGGAAATCTTAACATTCCAGATTTTGATGGTAGAACTATTTTACATTTAGCTGCTGCTTCAAAATAAATAGAAATCATTAAATACTTAATTGAGGAAGTTCATGTTAATATCAATCCTATAGATTACCTAGGGTATTCCCCTATGTATGATATCCTAATATCAAGGGATAAAGAATTGATTCTCTTCTTTTAACAAAATGGAGGAGTCATTGAAGCACCTCATCAGGTAATGGTTGATCTTATACTTACTGCTGGACTAAAAGGAGATTTAGAAATGTTAGAACTTATATTTCATGGAGGAATTAAGAATCTTAATGACTTTGTGAATGTTGATAACAGAAATATAGGCCATATGGCTGTTATGGTAATGAATTCAAAAATTATCCGATTTTTGAGATTTACTGCCAAATTTAATTTTAGTGAAAGAGATCGATGGGGTAACACACCCTACGAAAACGCAATTGAAATTAAAAGTAAAAAAATAAAAGTTCAAAAACTCAATGATGTAGCAATTGAAGAAATCATCGAAATGTTACAATCTATTGGGAATGATTGAATGAATGAAAATTACATATTTTTAAACAATATTCAAGTCCATTAATATTTTTATAATATATATATAAATATAAAAAATTTTAAGAAAATTCTTATTCCTTCTAATTTTTAGTAATCAAATATTAATCATTTTATTATCCTTCTTTTGAACTTTCTCAATGAAATATTTCTTTTTAATTTTAGTTCACATCTCTACATTCATTAAAGAAGACTAAAAATAAGTTTCTTAATCAGATATTTCAAGTAGAATCGTAAGTTTTTATTCTTAATAATTAATAAAAATACATCTCTTAATATGAGAACTCTATAAATATGCAATCCAAATACATCAATACGAAATCTTGATAGCTTAAAATAAAGTAAAACTTTTACAAATTACACTACAAATTCTGAAACTATAGAAGAATTTTAAAACAGGCAAAGAGATTATGATAAATTATAGAAATATCCCTATCATACTAAATAAACCCCTAAAACTCTTAAGAAATACCAATTTTCTAGTGCTGTTAATGAAATTAAAGAGCAGTTTTTTCAAACAAGGGCAGATTAAAAATATGATTTCCTTTTCAAAGATCATAGAGTAGAACAATAAAAAAGATCAATTCAAACAATAGCTGATATTTTTAGGAAGTAGAAAAAGGTTGTATAGGATAAAAAAGTTACATCAGAACAAAAAAAGACTTAATTCAACCTTTTATTAATCTTAATGATAATTCTTCCAATTTTATGTATATTAACTGTTTTGGTTGAATTAGAATGAATTATGCATATAAATTGTATTATATCTATAATTATTATTTTTGATAAATTTTAATAATATATGAATATATATATATTTAAATCAAAATTAGTAATAGGAATTAGAAGTATCTAATATATAATATATAAACTTAATACAATTCCAGTTATCTTTACAAATATGAATGCTTCATTAACTCGCCAATTTAATTTTGGACTATGTTTATATTGATATAAAATTTAAATATTATAATAATTTACACCTAAAATTTAGTAAATAATTATTTTTTTCTCCTAGTCTAAAATAAATCAATAAATTTAATTGAACTATTTTGTTATTAAATTTAAAAAATAATAATAATCATATTTGAGCTTATTCTAATAAAAAGCTTAAGTTTTAATTAAAATTAGAATATTAATTAATTATTAATTCTCAAATTTCAATTAAAAAATATCATCCCGAAGACTTGAACTCGGATCTTTACCTTATGGGAGTAATGCTCTACCGCTAAGCTAGATGATATTTCTATTGAGGCCCGTAATTTACAAATATAAATTTAGTATTTTTTTTTAATTTTTATTAAATAAATATACACAAATCATTTCCTATTTTATAGAGACATGCCTTTATTCTTTTTAATTTTCATTTCAGATTAAAAGGTGGCGATGTATCTATTGTAAGTGACTTCATCTATGATAACATCATACTCTATTATTGTAGGATCTCCTTTCTTTATAGGAGGTATTTACATTTCATTCTTAACTCCTGAAATATTACCATTATCATATAACCACCTAAGTCTTTCGAAATGTTAATCTATATTATATCTTAATCTGTATAATTTCTTATTCATAATTTGATTAGATTTTTCCTCTATTACTTAAAGCAACTTTTTTATATTAATATTCATTAATGCACTTATAGGTACTATGGGATAATCCTAAGATTCAATGAAATCATAATCTATAGAGTATTTCAACATATCAATTTTATTCCACACTTCAACCTATATTAATATTTAGTATTACCATTTTTTTATTGAAGAAATCTTAATTATATCCTAATTCTTTAAGGACATTTAGGACAACCTATTTTTATTACTCAGTATATGGATGTGAGATATCTCTAATATGTAACACTATATCAGCATTCTCTATTCCTTCTAGAGTAGACTTAAATGATTCTACTAAATCATTTGGTAGATCTGTAATGAATCCAATAGTATCTAGTATTATTGCTTTCTATCCTGAGGCTAATCTTACAGATTTTGAATTAGTATCAAATATATAAGAAACTTAATCTCTACTCTAAGGTACATCTTTATGTAATATACAGTTTAATAACTATGATTTACCAGCATTGATAAATCCAATTAATGCAATTGTGGGTACAGTATGATTTGACTTTCTACGTTTAATTGTTACTCTTTCTTCTTCAATACATTATTTGACTTTTGCAATTTTATCATCAATGAGTCTGCTTGAAAATTAAATTTCGTTTTCTATTGATCCTTTCACTTTATCTTCATCACTTTTTAGCTAATGAGACATAATTTCAACATAAATTTCATTAGCTGTTATTAGATTTTCTTTAAAGATTGAAGAAAGCGATAAAAGGATATTACTACTTGGTTCTAATTTTGTTTTTGCAAATTTGAGAAATGATAGTTCAATTTACAATCTAGAATAACTTTATGTACATCTTTTAGCTAATATTTATAAAATCATAGTAAATCGATCATATACCTTAACAGGAAGAGTTTCAGAATTATATTTCTAATTATAATTATTTTCATCAAAATTATTGATTTCTTCATTAATAGTAGATGTTATTTAACCTTTTGAATATTAAGTCCATAATTTTTCTAAATTTCTAGTCTATAATTGTGTTAATTCATGATTTATGAACACAGCATTAATCTGTTTTTATTGGATATGTTATCCTAACATTGTAATTTTACTTTTGCTGAAGAATGTAGTAGAATGAATACTAGGTAGTTTGACAAGGGATGATTTAGCAATTGAGTTTCTAATAATTAAATCTTTCCATTCATGACTTAGATCATTTTCATTTTATTGGAAATCTTATAGTTTACTTTACTATTGTGATTGATTATCTTCATTCTCATTAATTTTTTCTTGACTATTTTTTATATCTTTAGTGTAATCATTTTACCAAAATGGTGCTTATTAAAGAGTCCAATTCAATTATTTTGATAAACCTATAGCTTCTTCAGCCATATACAATTCTAATTCAGGACCTTTGTTTTATTAACCAATTGGATGTAAGACCATACAATTAACAGTATATTAAGTAAGTTGTTATTTGGTGGAGATTGGTTTGGCAAAATCAAGAATTTCTTTGGAGTATCTATACTTGACGATAGCGTTACTTAATCTCTTGATTAGCATATATAAATTAATGAACAAATTAGCATTTCCCACTGATAATGAGAATAATGAGTTTTTTGATGAAGATGCCATTTCAAAATCTACAATTTAGGCTGTCAATAATTCATTTGATAAAGAACAATTAGATGAATAAATTGAAAGACCATTTACACCTGTAGATACTTAGATAGAAATGATTCCTAAAGAACAATGTCCTCATTGTAAAAGATAATTCTTTCAGGGTCGTCTGACATTACATTTACGTAGTTGTACAACTGAACATCCATTTGTTAAGAAATCCAAAAATTAAAAAACTTAAACTTTGTAAATAAAACCAGCCTTATTACCATGTCCACATTGTCATAAGAAATATAGAAATCTAAAGACACATACATGTTAAACTAGAACAAAAGCACTAGATAAATATAAAGTAGTAGCATAGATAAATGAAGAAGAAGAAGCAGATGAAACTTTAATTTAAGAACTATCTTCAAGTCAACCATCATTTCTACCAAAAATAAAACAAAGAGTTGAAAACATATTATCACGTTCAGTACCTATAGTTAAGTGTCCATCATGTTAGAAGACATTTGAACAAAAAGCATATGAAAAGCATATTAATCTTTGTATACGTATGAATAGTGGAAATAAATTTCAACGTAGTATCTTTTGCACAAATTGTGGAAATAAATTTGCCAACAATCATAAATATTGTGGTTCATGTGGTAAAAAAAGACTATGATAATTATATAATGACAATTTGTTTTTATTCTCACAACTTAGCCTTCTATTTTAATCTTTTATCAACAAAATCAGGAAATATAGGTCTAACATAAACACTTAAATAAGCTTTAAATGGAAAGAATATCTAATATTAATTTTTATATACTTTACGTGCCCTTCTATCTGCTGCATCTAAAATCATTGAAACACATTCTTAAATAGTAATTCTATCTTCACTTTCATCTTTAGGAGAATGTTTCTTTAATAAATCATGATCTCTCATTGGAGTTCGTACACTAGGAGGACATACTATAGTTATGGCAACATTAAAATCTTCCAATTCTGTTCTAAGTGCTTCAAAAAAGCCTGTTACAGCAAATTTAGAACTACAATAAGGTACTCTATAAGGTAATCCAATCTCTCCTGAAATTGAAGACATTACAACAAATTATCCTGAACTCTTTCTTATATATGGTAATGCATATCTAATTTAATTTCAATTATACTTACTTAGTACAATATACATATCCATAAAAATTGACATCCATTATTTTTTTGAATACAGTTAAATCTTTGAATTCTTCAAAAAAGGAATGTGCATTCACTCCTGCATTCAATACTAAAATATCAATTCTATTGAATATTCTCACTGTCTCTTCTATCAACTATCTCTCATTCTTTAATTATTCAATACTTGCAATCTTCTTCTTTAGATACATCTGTTATCTTATAATGAGCTTTTGATCCCAGTTATTCACATAATGTACAAACTTCTTTTAATTCTTCTTCAGATCTTGCACCCAACATCATTCTAAATTAATTTACTATTTTTTATACTTGACTCCTCTAGTTGCATATTGTAATGCTAATTCACGTCCTATTCCACTTGAAGCTCCTGTGATTACAATTACAGAGTTTGCTATTTAATTAATAAATCATTTACGTTTAAACTATTTAGTCTTAGCCAATTTCAATATTTGTTATTGATTGCCCATTTAATTTATAATTTATATATAACTTTTTTTAACACTCTATAAATATAATTAATTATTTTATTGATTATATTTTATTAAATAATTTAATGGTGATAATGATTATCATTTTATATGAATAATTAAATATTTAATTGTTAAATAAAAAGATTAATAAACCATATAATACAATTTTATATTCTATGGTTTATTAATCTTACCTATTAATTTTAGATAAATAGTTTATTTATTAATAATTAAATATATAAATACTCTCCATTCATTTAAAATTTCTTTTTTAATTGATGATAAAGTTATTTATATTTAATAATATCAAATAATTCCCCCCATATAAAAATTGAAATTAAATCAATATAATTAAAAAGAATTTGGAATTAGGTATTTTTTTGTTTTGAATATAAATTTATTTATTCAATAAAATGTTTTTAGGTACTGCTACAAAATCAAAAAATTATGACATAATAATTACTTAAATAATCTTCTATTATTATAATAAATAAAGGTTGAAGAAATTTGATATTATTAACTGATTATTTATATCTTATGTTCAATTTAATTATTATGATGAGGTATGAGTAATTGATTATTAATAATAATAATCTCAGTGAAATGAAACAGAAAATGATTCTGAATCTTGTGATTGTTATACAAATGGCTGAGAATACTTTGTTCATAATTGACTGTATTTACTCGATAATTTATTAACATTACGAAGTAGTTCAATTATAATATGAAAGTATGTTGCCATGGGAACCTTATGTGTATTAATGATCATATTTTTGCTTTTCTTATTAGGAAATACTAAAAGTAATATTTGTGATTGTTAAATGTAGTGACTATATTTAACAATGAGAATCTAATTGTTTAAAATACATGTATAAATTGTGAAAGTGTAGTCAATGATTTCAAATGCAAAAATTGTAAAATTTGTATGAATTGCATTGGTAAATTTCACTCAAATTACTTGAATAAATGTTTAGATAAAAATTAGTTATAGTATTGAATACTAAATAATAAAAAGATATATTTTCAAGAACATATCGTTACTGATACTTAAATGTTTATTGTGTATGTTTGTAAGAACATTTGCCATAATTTCATATTTGAGAGATGACACAAATCTATTTATTGTAATGAATTTTCAATATAAGGTGTTCTATATAAGTTTATCTGGTGGTGTATTATTAGATTTAACTGTTTCTATATTTCTAATAGTAATTCACCTATAATTATCAAAAGAATAATAGAAAATTTCAAATTTCGATAAAAAAAGTGAGGATGCTACTGATATTAAAGTTCAATCAATAATATTGAGTAATGGTAGTCCTAAATTGAATAAGTAAATGAAAATATTGGAATTCTTGGAAAAGAAATTAAGTCATAGAAATAATTTTGTTAATGGAAGAAAAATATATGAAACTGAACCTATGCCTATAATGTTTGAAGAAAATGAAGAAAACTTAGTTCAATCTTAAATGTAATAGCTAAATAGATTTGTACCATAGACATTGAGTAATATAATTAAATAATAATGAGTTCATATCGTAAAAATTGCTCTAAATCAGAAATCTCTGTTAATGACACTTCCAACAATAATATTGTTCCAGTATTACAATAAATCAATTCCCTAAATTCTTAACCTATCATGTAAGTTCGAAGACCTAGTGATATCAATAGTTCTCTTACTCCTTTCGACTCTCCATATAGTATTAGAACTTCCATTAAATTAGAATAGGCACTCATAATATGTAGAAATCACCACTTTGTACATCAGTAGCATTAGATGGTAGAGCAACACCATTAAATCTTATTAATGAAGAATCAAGTGTGAATGAATAATCAGATAATAAAGTGTTTGAGAGTCTAATAAAATAGAAACCACCTCCAAATATTCTTATCAGAGAACCAGTTCATTGGAGTTAGATATTTACACATCCAGGTACATTAAAAGAAGATGATTTATTTAATAAGTTTGGATTATATTTGGGAGATAATACTCATAAACAAGAAAACATTATATAAGATATCTAAGTAAATGTTAAACCAATTATAATTATTATTCAAGTAGTCTTATACTTCTATTATTTATATTCATTTCCACTTCTTTTATATGGGATAGCTTATTCTGATTATGAATTAACATATCAGTTACATACATAACTTCCATTATTATTTTTAAACTTCATATTATTTAGTTTAAACACTTAAAAAACTGCTTAGTTTATTGATTACCTACCATTGACTACTATTATTCCCTTTATTTGCGCTTTAATCGATATAAAGTATTCTTATCTATCATCTTAGTCAACAAATTATTTTCATGCAAATCTTACACATTGTTACATTCATTAAGTTCTATTAAATATTCAAACAATTACTAAAAATATCTATATGTTTAAGAATTTACTCAATATATTTCTTTACTATAAGATTATCATAAATTCACTTTTTTTAAATAATATGTGGATTTCTTATTGTAATTACTCAAATCAATTTATAATAATTGAAATTAGATGAATTTTATTAAAATTAGTGTAGTTTGATCAATATTCTACTTATAACAAATAATCAATCTTTTCTTATATATCCAATCAAAATTATGGTCATCATTTTCATTATCTATTAATTCACTATTATTAGTGATTACATTAACTATTTATATAGAAATTAAACTACTTTGATTTAAGGATTAATAGAACTATCTAAAATTATCCATTAATTACCATTTGATCTTAAATATGAATGTTTATCAATATCTAATAAATAAATTTTATCAAGATTGGAAACAAGAAATCTTATAGATTATGATAAACTTCCAAATCAATTATCAAATAAATTATTGAATGCATAATATTCTAATCTATTAAATAATATACCATTATTAGAATAGTGTCTAAGTTAATCATCAATCTCAAATATTTTAATGAATGCTACAAAAGAAAGAATATTAGAACCTAATGAAATTCTTATTGAAGCAAAACAACAAAATAAATGTTTATATTTTATTTTATCTGGAAAAGTTAAATGTTATTAACAAAGAGAAAACACATAATTCTCAATATCTATTAATGAAAATGGAATATATAATTAATAAGATTTCTTTCTAGGATAATAATCTGAATTTGGTGTTTAATGTATAACTTGTTGTAAGATATTGGAAATCAATTCAGAATAATTTTGGAAAGAGGTCAAAAAAAGTATCACTGAACTTGAAAAAATTAAGATGTGTTTAGATAGAGTTTAATTCAATTAGGAATTTTAATTAATTGCTCTTTCTTGTTAAATTTGCAAAGGAAATCATCTAATTAACAATTGCAAGAAAGTTCATTATGTCCCTTCTAGATAAATATTAATGGACTTTATTTATTTTGATGAGATTAACAAAAGATTAAAGTTTTAAAGAGTAAATCATTTTATTTAATATAGAATAATCATACAAGAAAGTTTAGATGTATGAAAAATACCAACATGATAGAATAAATTGTCTGTAATGTTAGACATCTCATGTTAATTTCTTCTGAGACTTTCAAACCCCCAAAGACTATAACTAGTTTAGGAATGTAATCTGAATAATAACATACTGAACATTCTGATGAAGATGAACACAATAAAATGTCTTAATATGTACAAAATTTGAGTCCTGTTTAATATGTACCTTAAGTGGGCAGTAGTGCTAGTTCTTATGTCTTAAAAGAAGTAAAATAAGCATAACAATTAAAATCACCTAAAGATAGTGTTATGGTGCATTAAAAAAGATATCAAGAAAAGAGATAATCTCATGTTACCAAAATAGAAAAAGGTATATAATTTTATTATGTTAGATTTAAGTCCATCAATAATAAAATATGCTACAATTTAAGATAAAAAGAGTTAAAAATCAAGATCAATAATAAGTGAAGATCATGGTAATGGGATATTGCCAGGATCAGATCATAGATAATTTTCTAAATATGGCATATAATCATCTAAATTTACCAATGAAACAGCAAAACAGTTTTTGAGTAACCCATTTGATATGCCATTATATGATCTAAATTAATCAATAGATAAAAATCATAGCTATAGTGAGTATTATCCTAGAAATAATATAGACTTGGTATTTGCTTATACTATTATAAGGCTATTCTCTCTTATAAATAATATCAAGACAGTATAATATCAAATAAGAGTAACTAAAAAACTTGATAGTAAATTATTATTTTCATCATTTCTTATTAAAAGAATATACATTTGAATTATTATCATTTAAATTAACCTTCAAAAAGTATGTTAATAAGAATTTGAAGTAAAATTCTAAATATTTATTTATTCATGTGTTTATGTATTTTTATTTATAATTAATTGAATTTTCTAATATCTCAATTTTTTAAATATTTATCAATTGAAAGGCTTATTTGAATAAATAGTGGAACAAAAAGAATATTTTTATCTCTATTTTATGATATTATTGGGGGAAAAATTTAATCAAATTTTAAATTTAATTTAGATTATTATCAATTATATCTGATATAATTTTGTTTAATCATAGATTAACATTTTATTAATTTATGATTAAACAAAAGTTTTTATATGTATAATTTATTAGTTTGCTCAAATCTTAAAATATAAAAAATAACTTATTACTATAATTATTCTAATGAAATAAGTACTGAAGATATTAATGATATAGTAAGAATCTGACCAAACTTTAATTTAAATGTTTAAGAATTAGTTATTAATTAATATCTTATAGTTGATTATGGGTAAGTATGTGAAAAGATACTTTACAATTTTATTAATTAAAATTAAATTGAGTATCCTAAATTTAATAATTAATTGTTATGGAGATCTCTATCCAATCTAATACAATTTGCTGATCTTATCGAACTATTAATTTGAGAGATTATATTTAATACTCTATTTCTTTGTATGAGACATTCTTTCCTTTAATAAATAATTAGTATCTATAATATTTATTGATATCATAAATGATTGTATAATTGAATCAGCATTTGTATTTGAATAATTGAATTTCTTAAGATTTCAAATTGTTTTTCAAAGAAATTAAATGTTTATGTTTATGATGATTAAATCAATTGAGATTTCAGAATTTATTTAAAAAATTGTAGTAAATAATATTGTATATTTTATATTAAATATCATATATAATCATTAGAATATGAAATTATGTTTGAATTTAAATTGAATTTAATTACTTCAAAGTAATTCAGATTGTTTACAAAATTTATATATATATTTATATAAATAGAACATTCTAAGTTACAAAAATGAACCTTAAGAATTAGAATTAATTGGATTTTTAAAGGTATGGGAATAATTACTTTTTCTTTTGTTGTATATTAAATATTGAAAACTTTTTAAATAAAACATATCTATTTATAATATGTTCGCATTTTATTCAGATTTAATTGATAAAAGTTATTGTCCATTTCCTAAACTTAACCCATAGTAAAGCTATCTAAATGATGTATATATGAATAAAGAAAACATAAAGCAATACAAAAGTATAAATGATTAATTGATAAATAGTTCCATCTAAGAAATACAATGTCATAACAGATGAATAAAGAAACTCATTAATCAAGATGATAACTGAGGATGGAATATCTATCAAAAATGCTTCTGAAAAGTGTTCTATAAAACTGTCAACGGCCAAAGCAATACTGAAAGTATATAAAACTTAAGGAAGAGTAGGAAAAAAGTAATGTAGATAAAGGAAAGCAAGAACAAAAAGTAAAATAGAGAATGGAAGAATTGATTTAATGATGGAAATAAGAAAGAAGTTGCCTAAGATTGGATTTAAGTATATATTGATAAATATATATATATTAGTTAATACTTGTGTTTTGCTACTTAATAATAGTTTAGTAAGCCTGTTAAAGAAGAATAATAGTGATTATATGTATTCAGTTTTATAATGAGTATGTTGGTTTTTTTCGCCAATAATTCCCTCTCCAATTTATTATAATCTTATTTAATGAGTAATATATAGATTGAAAATATTGAATATCCTGAAGATGATGAGTCATTTGTTGAGTCAGATGATTCTGAATTGAACCCATTTTAGTTTGAGTTAGATTAATAGAAATCAAAGGATGAGAGAGTAGAGATAATGTATCGGGCTTTGTTAAAGAATAGAGATAATATTCTTGAAGTGATTTCAGATGCAAATCATAACTTAAAAAAGTTAAGGAAATATGCATCTGTATTATAGAAGGAACATTAGATCTTTAATATATTAAAAAAAGCATATGAAGATTTAAAGCATAAAACAATCAATCATGACTAACTTTTGATTAGTTTAGAGAAAGGTTATGAAAAATAAATTTAAGAAGTATATTAAAGATTCTATTCAATTAGCTGTCAAATGAATTACAATAATTAAATCAATAAATGATTCAATAAGCTCAAGAATTTGAAAAGTAGGCTTGTTTGTATAAATAACAATTAACATAAAAATAAGAGTAGTTAACACTAAAAGAATAAGAGATAATATTTATAAAAAATAATGAACTTCAATTATCTGATAAATTAAAGAATTCTTAAGCAGAATTGGTTAAATTATAAAAAGAGTCCAATGCCATTAAAAAAATAAAAACATCTAATTTCTTGAATTTGAATGAAAAATCTGATTTCCCCTTTTCTACATTTGAATTAGTCATAGCAACTAAAATTAAAACATAATTAGTATCATTTTTAAGTTCAAAAGACATTGTAAATTTGTGTTTAACAAAAAAATCAATATATTTTGCTTTATGTTAATTTAAAGTAGTAATACCATAAATTATCAGATGTTCAACTATTTAATATTAATCATAAATGAAGTTGTTAACCAAACAAGTTGATTTATTCAAAAGATTATCAAATGATTGTCCAGAATAAATAGTTAAGACTTAAATAATAAAATATTTTGATGCTAATTTGAATCCAAATGAATGGCTTGATCCAATTATAATAGAAGCTAATAATTTTGTAAAAGGTTCATAATTCTTGGGTAGACTAGAACATATTGAAAATGCAGATTCTACAGATGGTTTAAAAACATTTGTATAATCAATGGCTACTCGTTCTTAATAAACTTCTAATCTATTAAAATCAGATCCATTTAATTTAAGTTAATTTACAGCTAATTTAATTATTAATTCAAATGATAGAGAAGCATTTTAAAAAGAAAGATAAAATCAATTAAAAAAATTAAAAGCAAGTTAATCTGATGTTTAAGAGAAAATATTTAATTTAGGAACTGCTGTTGCTGCAGATGTAGGTCTATTTGGATTATATTTGGCAACAATGTAAAGAATTTTTGCATCACTTTATGTATTTGGAAGTTATATTAATATTGAATGTAGATCACAATCTTCTTTAATTTATTATTTAGCTGAATAACATTGGTAATTAATTTAGAAATAAACTATATTGGAATCTATGATATAAGATAGATAATAGAGAATTTAAAATAATAATAATGAGATTAAAGCTTTAAAGTATAATCATAACTATATTTTAGTGAATAAACTAAAGGCTTGTAAGATTTGATTAAAACATTATAAGCAAGTATTAAAGCTCATAAAATTGAGACTTTAAATGAATAAACTGAAAAAGCTAAGATAAAATAAGAGTTATAAGAAACAAAGTAATTGTTGTTCAGTTATGGAAAAAACATTAAATTACTAGCACTTGAAATAAGAGAACTAAGAAAGGTAAATAAAGAAATTGTGATGTAAAATAACAAAGCTGCTTCCCAAATTTCAGATCTGAAATCTCAAGTAGCATAAATTTAAGTTTGAAATACGAAATACATATTGAATTATTAAGTATAATAATCATCATATTTTTCATTCTATTAATATTCCAATTTGTTTCTACTAATAGAATTCATTGAAATGATTATTAATTTAATCAACTCAATATTTAAGTTTTTATAAATTATCTTCTAATAATTTAGAATGATATTTATCTCTTGAACCATCTAAATTTACTATTCCTCTCCAAATAAATTTACATTCCTTAAAAATAACCATATTGTCTGGCCAAATTCCAAATGTTTCATCAAATAAATTTTATGGGAATATATCTAAATAAATCTCGAAATCATCAGGAATCTCATACTACTCTTTTAATTTCTTAGCCATCTTGTATCTATCTTCCTAACTTTTGTGTTATGGATATTCATATTCATAAAATCCAATAGGCCATCCATCTACAAACTTTCCTTCCTAATCTCTTTCAACAAAATGGGCTTCCTTTATATAGATAATAATGCATTTGCAAATCTCCTTATACTTCTATGCAAATGCAATATAATCAGCCATAGCCTCACGATAAGGAGGTCATGTAATACTGCCAGCAAAAACAACAAGAAGTCTATTTTCTTTATGACAATTTAGCATTAAATCTTATAAACAAACTTTCTATTATTCTAAATTCAATAATTGAATTTCAGGTGGTTATTCATTTAAACCAATTCTACATCCATGCATTACATTATTTCTCCAAAAGAATACTTATTTCTTCAATTCTGGATCATTGATGTATTTTCTAGTCAAAGCATAATATAATTTATTATTTAAAGGACAATCATCATATCCAAAATGTTTAAATATTTCTGCATGAATTAATTCTTCAACTACTCCTGAATAATTAAGTTATCCATACAAATCTTGAACATTCTTATCCAATCTTACTTACTAATTATATTAAATTTATTTATTACTTGTTCTTTAAGTATGAGTTCAAAGAATTTTTCTTTATCATTTGGTATCAATTTAATATTTTTTAACTTGCTTTCTTATTCGATTTCTTCATAGGTGGGTGGTTTATAACATGATCCATAGTTTCTTGTTTGCCCATCACCATAAATGTTAGCATCAAACAGTTCCAAACAATCCTAAATTATTTAAATCTAAATACTTCTCCTATTGATTAAGATTGCATCTAATTTAATATTATTTCTATTATGATAAAATAACTTACTATAAGTATAAAAATATTAACTATATTTAAACAGAAACTAAAAATCATCATCAATTCTACTTATGATTATTAGATCTAAATCAAGTATATGATATATTAAGTTTTAAAATATTATAAGTAAAATGATATATAAACATTTTAATTAAATAAAAACTTTAAGAGAATGAGTGAAATCGATAATGAACTAATCTTTGATATCTATATATAATATCTGTTAGTAATAATAAATTATACAAGATGAAAGTTTTACATGGTTTATGATCAGATTTAAATAGAATGTATTGAATTGATATATTATATATTATAATTTAATCAATTTATCATTTGGGTTATAAGTATTTTTCAACTTCTTTTCTGTCTTTCAGAATCTGTTATTCAGTTTGATTTACAATTTCTATTGCATTTTATATTTATTTTCTTTGTTAAATCCTAATTTGAAATTGATTAAATACTATTCTTCATATTATTATCCTAATTGTAATACTTTATCTAGAGAATCTTGATTATTCATTGATTTATGTGATAATTTTAATATTAATAATATCGTAAAAATAATGATTAATTGGGCAGCAAATGATATGTGTCAAAATAATCATTAATTACAATGGGTGAAGAAGCATATCTAGAAATGTGCTCAATGTGGTCCAGTTGACACAATGAGTAGATATGGATGTGTCTAATGCAATATATATTATTGTGTAAAATGCAGATAGCCTCCTGTAATGGGAGATTTTTGTGGAGGAGGACATGAGTATATTTTATCAATAATAGATTGAAATATGTTCCTAATTTGAAATATCATTCTTGCGATGTTTGTAGAGGTTCAATTTCTGGAGGTGCATATAGATGTTAAGAATGTGATTATGATGTATGTGAAAAATGTTGGATAGTAAAAGAAGATTGATTAGTATATATATATAATTTATTCACTTAACCCCAAACTTGAGAAATGATTTAAACTTATAAGTTTTCATTCGAGTTATTCTAGTATTTTCTAATTTGTATTTATTCCCTTTTAAACAGTTAAGGATGTTACTCAAATTCTCTTTCTTTCTATAACATATCAACTCTTCATTTTTATCAATCCCTTCAATTTCCTCCTTTTTAAATGTTAAAAATTCTTTATGAATCTATTCCAATTATTTCTCATCTTCATTTTAAGCATATTCTGATTAATTATATTCACTTGACAAAAATATCTTCTTATAAACTTTTGGAGGTTTCAATAAATCCATTTATTATTTTCCACTCTCAATCTAAGAACTATGACTAGGATTTACTTATCCCTATTTCTTATCTTTATAACCACATCTAGTTAAGAAATCTTCATTCACTTCTTCTTGAATAATTCCATAATCAAATGCTGCCTCTAAAGCATACTCTATAGTCTCTTAAATTCTTGTAATAGCCTTAGATTTTAATTATTTTTTTCTTGAATGTGGAAATCTATCAAGAATTACATTTGAACTCTTATCCTATGCTATTTTTGATTATGGAGGTTTATAAAATACAATAGGACAATTCATCAATTGATGAGTACGTCTACATATTAAACATTAAATTGGTATTAGATTAAATATTATTTCATCTCTTAAACAGCAATATTATTCATAACTGCTTTGATCAGATTTTAAGACATCAAAAAATTCTTACTAACTTATATATGCTACCTCTGTAAATTAAGTTGCTTTAGCATTATAGTGAGCTTATTCAGATGCAATAAATTCTTTTGATCCTAATGATCCTTTGTATTAGGTTGCAATTGATACTTTGTTGATATTNGTGCTCAATGTGGTCCAGTTGACACAATGAGTAGATATGGATGTGTCTAATGCAATATATATTATTGTGTAAAATGCAGATAGCCTCCTGTAATGGGAGATTTTTGTGGAGGAGGACATGAGTATATTTTATCAATAATAGATTGAAATATGTTCCTAATTTGAAATATCATTCTTGCGATGTTTGTAGAGGTTCAATTTCTGGAGGTGCATATAGATGTTAAGAATGTGATTATGATGTATGTGAAAAATGTTGGATAGTAAAAGAAGATTGATTAGTATATATATATAATTTATTCACTTAACCCCAAACTTGAGAAATGATTTAAACTTATAAGTTTTCATTCGAGTTATTCTAGTATTTTCTAATTTGTATTTATTCCCTTTTAAACAGTTAAGGATGTTACTCAAATTCTCTTTCTTTCTATAACATATCAACTCTTCATTTTTATCAATCCCTTCAATTTCCTCCTTTTTAAATGTTAAAAATTCTTTATGAATCTATTCCAATTATTTCTCATCTTCATTTTAAGCATATTCTGATTAATTATATTCACTTGACAAAAATATCTTCTTATAAACTTTTGGAGGTTTCAATAAATCCATTTATTATTTTCCACTCTCAATCTAAGAACTATGACTAGGATTTACTTATCCCTATTTCTTATCTTTATAACCACATCTAGTTAAGAAATCTTCATTCACTTCTTCTTGAATAATTCCATAATCAAATGCTGCCTCTAAAGCATACTCTATAGTCTCTTAAATTCTTGTAATAGCCTTAGATTTTAATTATTTTTTTCTTGAATGTGGAAATCTATCAAGAATTACATTTGAACTCTTATCCTATGCTATTTTTGATTATGGAGGTTTATAAAATACAATAGGACAATTCATCAATTGATGAGTACGTCTACATATTAAACATTAAATTGGTATTAGATTAAATATTATTTCATCTCTTAAACAGCAATATTATTCATAACTGCTTTGATCAGATTTTAAGACATCAAAAAATTCTTACTAACTTATATATGCTACCTCTGTAAATTAAGTTGCTTTAGCATTATAGTGAGCTTATTCAGATGCAATAAATTCTTTTGATCCTAATGATCCTTTGTATTAGGTTGCAATTGATACTTTGTTGATATTGAATTCAACAACACCTTTTACAATGAAACATGCATTATTGATTAACTCTCCCTATGAGATTATCATTGAACCTGGTATAAAAGTTTGAGATTTCACTACTTTGCTTAATTATTTTAATGTTTAATCAGAAAACCTGGAAAAAATTGAACATGTTTTCATCACCTAAACATAAATATTTGATTTCAATTCTATCTTTAAATCATCATTCAATTTATCTAGTAGTTGTTCTGGACTATCATCCACATCAATAAAATAGTCTAAATATTTTCTTACTTTCATTTAAAGTAAAGGATTCAATTTATGCTTTTTCATATATGAATTTACTTTTGCCATATTATTTCTATGCAAATCTGTTTTCTCTCTTAATTATCCAAATATTGTTTAGATTGATGAAATCGTGTATCCAAAAATCAAAGATGTAACAAGTACCATAAATATCATAAATGCTTACTCGTATGTTGTCTATGGTACTATATCCCCATAGCCTACAGTAAAGGCTGTAACAGTAGCAAGATATAGAGAAGCCACATACCTAGTTGCCCAATCAGAATTATCTAAGTTATACTTAATTAACCAACAATTATTTATATCTTATGTAATTTCATACTAACCTATATAATGCCAAGCACAACCAAAAATATGGGATACAAAAATCATAAAAAACATAAGTTTTATTATATCTAAAGGAGCAGCAAATTTCTCTCTAATTAAGGTGATTTCTTCAATTTATTCAACCATTTTTGTCACTCTTGTAACTCTTAATAAGAGGACAAAATTTATGTATGGGATATTATATTATGATATTAGAAAGGGTATGACTACTATTATATCTTTGATGAAATCTCCCTTAATATAATGCTTAAATATCATTTTTCTACTTTCATGTATCATCCCTTCGGAATAGTAAGCTGTATTAAAATTTAGTAAAATTTCCAATAAAAATATGTAACTAGGTAAAGTACTGAAAAAAAAATCTACTTCTTTGTTATAATCAATTTTGAATGATAATTCCATAGGAATATAAAATATGTTGATAATTACAAAAACTAAAATGCAGCAATCTAATAGTAACTTAACTTTACTGTCTGGTTAAATAACTCCAATTTAAATTTGTGGCATGATAGAATTGAAGTATTTAATTAATGATTGAGATAATGAAATTTTTGAAAAGACTAAGTTTTTATCTGAATAATAATCATAATTAGAGGATTAGTCTCCAATAATTTCATGTATTCGATATGTAACAGTTTTAAATCGATAGCGTTCAGCAGCTGTTTTTAGTTTCAAAATAAATTTAGTGATGGCACAAAATATTTTTAAAGAATGTTATCTCCAGAGTTAATCAAACCCCATATTGATTGAGACATCAGGTGTTGGTTCTGAAATATAAGGATGTTTATATGGTGAATTCATTACAAATCTTTTAGTTGAGGAGGACCTATTTGTATTCATAATTAATTAAGAAATAGTTATCTCTTTTAATAAGATAAATTTTGGTTTTATAATTATATTGAAATAAAGACATCATCATTATTTAATTTTTGGTAATTGAGTTTAACTTTGACTTAATGTCATGCTTTATTATTATTAACTGGATTCTTTTTCATTTTAACTTCTATCTTTATCTAATTTTTCTCTATTAGATCTTAATTTTTCTTGCATATTCTTATAACCAATTCCAAACTAATATTTAATATTTATACTATACTTTGCCCATTCTTTCAGGTGATGTTTCTTTTGGAGGGAATACAGCCCAATTTTTGAAATCTCCTAATTATCCTTTATATTTGTCTAAATCTTTGTCACATGATGCACAACTCCAAGATAGAGGTTTTTTAACAAATAATGAATCTTAATCTTTTGATCCATCACCTTCAAGTATCATAAATATTTAATTAATCTATATAATAATAATAAAATACTTTTTATTCTAGATATATCAATGCCTTTTTGGTTTCTTATTTATTAGCTAATGTTTTAATTAATTCAGTAACAACCTTTTATAATTAATCCAAAAATGCTTAATTCAAATCTTTAACTTCTTAAGCATCAGCTTTTCTATCTATACTTAATTTAGTTTCATCTCCAATTCTTTAAATTTCATCTCTTACTTATTTAATTTTAGGATCAAAAGTTTAAAATAATTCATCTTTAGTTACAATTGATTCAATTTTCTTTGCAAAATTATTTATCTTAATTTTATTTTAATCTTAATCCCGTTTAATTAAATCCATCTATTCTCTTTAATTTTATAATTCAATATAAATTTTATCAGTTTATATTCCTTAAATCTTTTTCTCTAATTCAGTCAATTTAACATGAGTTACTTGATTATTTTAATTCATTTATGTTTTATGTATTAATAAATCACTAATATATTATATATTATTTACCTTTCTATTTCTTTTAATTATTATTATAATTCTTTAATTTAATTATGTAACTCTTTATCTGCATTTGATTGTTTTAATGGTGTTTCAATATTAGGTTAAGATTTTCTCTATTATGATTTTCCTATTTGTTCTCTCAATTACATTATTTCTTTCTCTAATTTTGCAATATCTGCTTATTCAGCCTTTTTATCTATTTTACTTTTGAATTCCCTTCTTGCTTTTTCTAATTCTTCATCAGCACGATCTTAAACAACTTTAATTTTCATTTCCTTTTTAGTATTCTCATTTTAAAAGTCTGTTATTGTACAATAATTTTATAATTAATCTCTTAATTTATTAATTTCTCCTAATATTAAAGCAACTTAATTCTCTTACATATTTTCACCTTAACCAAAAGAAGCTAAATTTAATTATGTTTATAAAGCCTCAATTTATGATTGTAATTTCTTTATATCATTTTTAATTTAATTTATTTCCTCATTTGAAACATCAGATTATTAATTATTATTTTAATCTTTTAATTTTTATCTTACACTATCAACAATTTCAAATAAAGATTAGATCTCATCTTCATGACCATCTAATTTTTTATTAATATCTGATAAATCTACTGGTTGATTTTCTTCAGGAACTTTAACATTATTTAATCCTTACTTTAAATTAGCTAATTCTTATGACAATTATTCTTGTTATTATTCTAATTTTAATGTAAATATTTACTTAATTCAAGAGTTATTTAATTTAATTTTTTTATTTCATCATCATTACCTGCATATTAAATAGGAAGAGCAATTGGTTGAATAGGAGCAGCTTCTTTGATTATTTCTTTTTCTATTATAATTTATTCTGGTTTTCTTTCTTCTACTTCATGTAATTCATTTTAAAAACCATTCATCTATTTTTTTATATTATCAATTTCTTGATTTAGTTAGTTTAACAATTCAGATTATTATGTTTGATTATTATTTAAGTCTTCTATTTTCTTAGTTTAAGATGTTTATTCTCCTTCTAAATCTTATAATGCTTGTTCTTACTATTTTACAATTCTATCTAAATGGAATTTATATATTATATTTACTAAATTTCTAATTTGTTTAATCCAATTCTTCCTTTGTTACATAATCCTTTTAAGACACTTCTTATATTTCCTATAATTTTTAAGTAATTTAATCAATTGTGTCTTTATTTTACTATTTAGTTTCTGGTGTTTCACTAACTTCTTTTAATTTCTTATTATAAATTCATTTTATACTTAGACCCAATCAGAATTATCTTACACTTTAGAATTTAACAATACCATTCCCTTATGTAATTGTTTTAATATAGATATTAAAACTGCAAAATTCTTTTGTAATAATTCTTCTGAGAATTAAATACTCATCATTTTATCCATACTTAAATTAGCTAATTCTTAATCAAAAGATTAGAAATTGGGATCGAATATTACATTTATGAGTTATTCTTCCATTTTAAGATATTAAATTAATAAAATATATATATTAACAACATTGATTTTATTATTTTTAAAATACTATATTAACCATATTAAAATAATAGTGTTCAAGAAATTCTTATAAATCTATACTAATTTATTATCTCTTAATTAATGATTGAGAACATCATTAAATCAATAATATGGATAAATCAAATTTCCAAAAAATCTGATAGTGATAATTAAATATTACTAATTATATGAGAGAGAATTTTAAAACAGAAATTAGTGAAACCTTTACTAAAAGATAAGAGACTTACTCTTTATAATAATTAGGTCAATCTAGCATCTTTCTTGAGGATCAAAAAATGTCTTTTAAACAATCTCTATTCCTTAGAAATAGTTATAATCAGGTCAGAATACCCTATTCATAAACTCTAATCTTACCAAAACCTGATTATTACATTTAAAAAGAAGAGAATAATTTGATTATTTCTGGAAAAACCTATTTAACAAAAGCCATGGAACATAGATATTTGAAAATATCCTGTCTAAATGTTGTTGGTCCATTAAGATGTTTCATATAATGTACAAGTGAATTTTAAGTATTAATCTCTTAAGTTCACCCTTTCCCAACTAATCATAATTGTGAATAAGTCATTAATAATAGAGGATTTCAAATGTCAGTAACAACAGGTGAATTTATTTATATTTCTTTTATCTCCAGAAAAGACTCTGAAGTCACATTCAATATTCAATCTAAAATATAGATCGAAGAAAATTATAGAATCAAAACATTATAAGATAATCCAACTAATGATAATATACACTCTACTAATTCTAGATCCTTTTAATATATTATAAATTCTAATAAAGAATAAGCAAGAATTAAAAAAAATAAATATTATGATGAAATTTCAAGATCTGAAAGATTTCTTAAAGTATTATCAACAAGAAATTTTTAAAAGTAATCATAAAATTAAGCAATTGTATAAAAAAAGTTTGATATTAAAGCAAAATAATTAGCTAATCAAGAAAAAATGCTATAAAGAAAACTTAATCTTGTTTTGAAATAAAAATTCTTTTTTGAACATTAATGGGCTATACTTTTATAAATAATTAAAATGGGTTAGAAGATTGCAAATATTTATTATCATAAAAAAAGAGTCATTAAAAAATATCGATTGGCTGCTTTTAAAATTAAGTTTATATTAATAGTCTTAAGAAAATAATTAGCAGAAACTAAAGGATTGACTTTAAACACAAGAATTACAGTAGATGCTATTATTGCTATGAGAATGAGAGCCAAAATAATAAGTGAAGTAGTAAGAATAAAATAAGGTGAATTCTTATTACCTTATTTTAGATAAAGAGCAATATTATATGATATTAAAGTTAGAATGCTTGAAAAAGCTAATAAGATTTTGATTATTAAAAAATATGTCTTAATATTTGAAGCCAATTATATGTAATATAAAAAGGAAATGATAGCAAAATGGGATAAAATGAATGAAAAAGTTAGGGAATAAGAAATTAAAGAAAAGTAACCTGCATAAAGAAATAAAGCTATTGTAACTTGGTTTCAAGTCATTAAAGATAAAGATTTTGCTTAATAAATGAGAAATTGTTTTATTTTTGAATTAATGAGAGATAGAATTAAAATTCATTTAAAGGATTAATAAATAATAAAGAAATTCAAATTTGATCTAAAATACTATAAATAAAAATTAAGAGTATGTAGAGATCCTTCAGAAGCAATTTCTTATAGATAAGAGATACATCATATAACAAATGAAATTTATGCAATGCATATGAAAAATTAGTTGTTTATGCATGTTGATGTTGATAAATATTTTCAAGGATTGATAAGCAAGTATATAGTATTGGTTGAGGAGACTGAGAATTTACCAGAGGAAATCTAAATATCATAAAGATAAAAGTAAAGATAATCTAGAATTTCAATAAGAAAAGGGATGAGAAAATCAAAAATATGAGTATTTTGGATTGATTTTGTAAATTTTTATAAAAAATCTTAAAGTGAAAATAATTAATAAGCTCTATTTTATTTATTTGAGTCAAATTAATGGTGGAAGTATGGAACGACAAGTTGGACAGTTTAATTTGACATTCATCCATTTAGTTAAACAAATGGAATGAAAATGATGACCCTAAAATAATAAATAATATATACACAAGGTGTCTCCATTAATTTATTCTAATTCTAACTAATTATTTTGGCAATAAACTTATTTTCTAATTAAGATTCAGTTGGCATATCAGTTAATTAAGTAATGCATATTGCACATTCTCCATCTATAGGTTATTCTACAAAATATTCATGAGATTTAGGTCTTAGCCATTTAGGTATAAAAAATCTTGGTCCAATTTTACATTAATAATAATATAAGACTACTTGAGCAGCAAATAAAAGTATTATCATTGTTACTGTTAAATAAGATACTTAAGCATGTAGAATATTATAAGGACATCCTCTATAATAAATCTAAAATTTAGAATATATATATTACAGGTATGAATAATCTAGTTGACAATAAACCAAAAACAAATATTTTATCAAATTCTACATATTATCCTTTATATGCTACATGTATAATTTAAGGTAATAAATATAGATTCATAGCAACCAAGAAAATATTATAGTAAATAAGATAATAAAGTAAAAGTACTACAATAATAGCTAATAAGTAAAATTTTAGATGAAATCTATAAAGTTCTCTTCTTAAATTTTAATTATCTTGTAGATTAATGAACCTTTCTTACCAAATGTGTTTAGCTAATTTTAATTCTAAGAAGAAAAACAAAACTAATTCAAGGAAGGCAGGTGTTAAGAAATACTAATTAAAAAATAATATATTTACTTCACTTTATATTGCAAGGAAGAAATGTACTATTCCTAAATAGCCATCAAAGATCATAAGGAAAACAAATATAAAGAGACTGAATTATGAAGCCATTCTATTTTCATTAATAAAGTCTTTCATCAATTTAAGACAACTAATAAATTAAATAACACTTAGAACAGAAACTATTGTAGAATAGATAATGGCTTTGTTATCTATCTTAATTTATGAATATATTTTACATTTATCATATTAAGATTAGAATTGAAAGAGAATGTTTCTGAAAATAATGTATAATGAACATTCAATTCTAAATTAAAAACAGATTCTGATTCATTCTCCACATTATTTTTTTTTAATATCATAGTTAAATTAGCATAAATATCAGTACTCTATTCATCATTTTCAAAAACACTAGATCTTCTATAAAATCCTCTAACATTTTCAAACACAAAAATATTGTCTTCAAGTGGTAAAACTAATTATGATGAATTCAAATAAAATGAAAATTGATTATAATAATCTTCTAAGAATTATCCTTCTATGAGTTTCAATTATAATTGTATTTGAAATCGATTTTGATATGAAGTTTTATAGAAATTAGCTTCTGCTAAATTATTTTCTGATTATTATGAATCAGTCCATTTTCCTTGAAATTAGTTAATAAGTATCTTTTCTAAAATTTCAAAATGTTTTTAAATTTCAAGTAAAGTTGAATTAGTCTCTGTAATATTGATGGCATCATTAGTACTATTATTTTAAGAATATGGAATTTGATTTTATTTATTGGCATATTGATTTGGTTGAATGAATACATAGAAGATAGACATAATAGCAAATACAATTAGGATGACATTTCTTCTTCTCTATCGTTATCTTGCTCTTGCATATTGTAGTTCTAATTAGAAGTTTAAATGATGATTATCTAAGTCAATTTATTGCATATTAAAATATATTTAATATAAATATTCACAAAGATGGCATATTTCCTTCCATTATTAATTTCCTAGCCTAATCGAAAACTTTCTCTGGATCAATATTGATCTTTGCTACACCAGTCTACATTGCAGCAATTGCAACTGCTTTGGCAACATTAGCTGGAATATCTGCTGTCAATGCACTTGGTAATATCCTTGTAGAACAAAGATCAGAATCTTTTATACTATTAGCAATAGCATAAGCAGCAGCAATCTAATTATTATAATTAATTTAATTACTTTCATTTCTAAATTAATTTCTCTTGCTCTAGTATCAATAGCTCCTCTAAAAATACCAGGAAAAGCAAGTGAATTATTTACTTAATTATTGAAATCAGATCTTCCAGTTGCAATAATAAAGGCTCCAGCTTCAATAGCTTCATCAGGCATTATTTCAGGTACAGGATTAGCCAAAGCAAGAATAAATGGATTCTTATTCATACTCTTAATCATTTCTTTAGTCAAAGCTCCCTATTAAAATCAGATATTATATTACAGCAGTTGATACACCTACAAATAAGTCTCTTCCTTTAACTGCATCTGTCAAAATTCCTTTAATTTTATTCTTATTTGTAAATGATGCTAGTTCATTTTTAAATTCATTCATATTTGATGGTCTTCCTTCATAAATGATACCAGTAGTATCACAAATAATAATGTCTTAAATGCCATGTCCATGTAGTAATTTGCAAATAGCTACTCCAGCTGCTCTAATTAGTAAATTGGTAATATTTGATACCCTGCACCATTAATTACCAATTTAAGATCTTTGATATTCTTTTTTGTCAATTTTATATAATTAATAACAGCAGCTAAACTGACAACAGCAGTACCATGTTAATCATCATGCATTAATGGTATATGAAGATTATGTACAGCTTCTTCTTCAATAGGAAAACAATCAGGTGCTCTCAAATCTTCTAAATTAATAGCTGAAAAAATTGGAGCAATGCTAAAATTAATATCAATTTATTATTATTACAATCTTATAATCTTAACTAATTTTTAAGGATCTTTTTCCTTTAAACATATTGGCATTAAATCAATACCTCCTAAAGCACTAAATAAAACAGATTTTCCTTCCATTACTGGTGATCCTGCAGCTGGACCTATATTTCCTAATCCTAAAATAGCTGTTCCATTTGTTATAATTGCTGCATAATTTTTTTAAAATGTTATCTCTCTTAATTTATTTGAATCATCAATAAGCATTTATCGCAATTATCCTAGTTCATCTCTTCTATAAGATGACTCATAAATCTTAAATAAATCTTCTAATGATCTAGGATTAAACTTTAACTCTATTGTAATCATTCCATTATATCTTTTATGTAATTCCAAAGCATTTTAATAAAAATCATTTTTTTAAAGTAAATGTCCATCTGACCATTTATTATATTATGCTATATCTCCATAAATATAGAGATCATTAAGTTGTTTTATAAATTAGTCAGGTTCAATATTTCTTATTGTGTGATGATACCATTTATTTTTATAAATTTCTAATATACCTTCAGCATAAGCAGAATTTAAAGTATCAGTTAAATTATTTGGTAATCTTTTAAATTCTATTTAAATTATTGCTTTCCTTACTATTTCCAATTAAGAAGGTTTTAAAATAGATCTACAATCTAATGTAGCCTTAATCAATGCAGCATCATACAATTATTCTCTAAGATCATCTGAATTAGAGATTATAACACTACAATCCATCTTTGTTCTCTCTACTGCTGATATAATTTAATTTGCCAAACTTTTCTCAATATCTATTAATACAATAGTCTAATTTCATATATATAAATTCTATACTTTATATGTTGGAGACAAATTATCAATTACTAACATATAATCAGAAATATCTGGCATTATATTTCTATTTAATACTATTGGGTAAGCATTAATATCATAAAAGGCTTTGTAGAGTGCACTGATGGCTTCTAAATTTGGAATAATTTTTTATGGTTTTGCAAGGTTAAATTCTAGATAATTTACAAATATACTTGATCCATCTGATAATAAGGCAATAGAATTGTTGGTGATTGTCAATTCATATAATTGATCTGGATCACTTTCAATTACTTTGCAAATATGACCAACTCCAGGTGTATATACAAGTGATAATGTGTAATTATCTGTTACTCTTACTTTTGGTCTAATTCTTATTAATCCATTTGTTCGAAGAAATAAATTTCTTAGGCTCTATTGTTTATACATAATAATATTAAAAATTGAAATTGTATTCCACCAAATTTTTATAAACTTTTAAATTATGGTTATTTTTTATTTCAAATAAAATGATAAAATATATTTATAGATTAAGTTTCGTACTAATACCAATACTAATTTTGATATCATATTTTCATCGAATTTTAATGAAATGATTTTTACAATCTATAATAAGAATAAATTGTGTTTTAAACTCAAATTACAGGCTCTAAAGGTATAAATATGAAAAGCAAAAAGTCATCTCCCCATTTTAACTCTTTTTTTTATTTAGATGATCCTCTAAAATATTATTTGATATTTATAGAAATATTCCAGTATTATACTTGATAAAATATATATATTCATTTCGAATTAGGTGTGTCTGGCCTAATCATTTCAAATAGTACAACCAAATAACATAATACGGATAGAGCTATAATCAAAAAATAGTTTAAGTTTAATTAGTTTATTTTTTTGAGGTTCTTATCACTATTTTTAAGTTATGCAAGATTAGCACTCCTTTCTTTTCTCAATTATTAAGCTATTTCTGAAATTGAGCTTTATTATTTGTGTATAATATTATTTTTAAGATAATTTGGAGAAGAAGCAAATTTTTATTTTGCAGATTCTATAACTTCCTTAAATCTACTTCTTTTGATTTCTATTTAAGTAATATCTGATTTCAGATGACCTCTTCTGCAATGATTAGATTTATATAATTCATCATACAATTATTGTCGATGAAAAAATTCACTCTGGCTGAAAGACAAAAAAATTGATTCATGCTCAAAATACTAGGTTTGTAACTTTCGATTCTTAATTTAGTCCGAGGATAAAGAGTTTTTCAAAATAGTCCTTTGATTCATATTTTATTTATTGATCTTGAAAACTATTTTGAAATCCATTTGTACTAAGGTATATGAAATATCTTAAATTATTTTACAACTTAGATCTCATATAGAACTTCTTCAAGAGAAATATAATGGAATGATTAAACACGTTTAATTATAACCAAAACCATTTCATTTTCATTTATTATCTTCAACTGCAGTAGAAAAATGATGGATTGAAAATTAAATTATTGCTTGCAAAAAAATAAGTATTTATGAATAGTAAGTGATATATAAAATTGAATTTCCATCCTACACAACTGAAACCATCTTCAAATGACTTTCAAAATAAAGATATTGGTTCATAAATTACTTAAATCCTATAAGAATAATTATTGATTAATTTTTAATTCTTTATTATTTAAGAAAAGAATTTATTAGTAAAAAAAAATAGAGCAATCCTTATTTAAATAAAAATTTTAAATTATTTTTTTAATAATTCATTTTATAATAATATTTAAGAATTCTATGAATTTCAAACATAATTTCTTAAAATATTAAGTTTTAATTAATTATAATCATACCTATACCTTTGTGAATTAAGGATTGAAAATATTACTCTAACAATTTCTATTACTAAAGGAGAAATTAAATTTTTTTAAAGTATTATAATAGAGATTAAATTTAAAATTCATATCTGAATCAGATTGAAAGCTTGATAGTATTATTCCATATTTAAAGTAATTAATTATTATCTACAATAATAATTATGTGCCCTTTTATATAAATTAAGCATTTATGACAATAATTCATATTTTCAACCAACTATTAATTACAAATTCAAAAAGAAAAGAATAAAGATGTAAACCAAATATATTTTAAAATAGAACATAAAATATTTACAATTAACAAGTAATCATTTATTTCGATGAAAACTAACTATACCTAAGGTTAATATTTTTCTTTGTACTTTTATTAAAATGATTAGAACAATATGGACATAATTAGTTCGATAATTAATTTAAAAATTTGTTACTCTATACTAAAAATTTTAGTGATTATAAAATTAGTAATAACTTATAATAATTAATAATGCATATTTAAGTTTAAAATAAAAAATAGAAACATATTGTTTAATTATTATCGTTTTAAATAATATTTTTATTTAATGTCTAAAAATTTAATAATTCTTCTTTTGATTACAATTTGTATTTCATATGAAGTGCCAAATATGTTCTATACCTTTTAGGTAAACTAAAATATATATTAGTATAGCAATCATGGCCTGGAAGCATTTGTTTAACAAAATAATGCTATAAAGAAAATGTTGGAAATTATAAGGGATAATCATGGGCCATCCATGGATTATGGCCAGGAGCTACAAATGATAGTGGGGATTGTGAAGAACTCGAAGCCTGTACCAATAATAAATTCAAAGAATCTAATCTTTCAAAGACAACAATGACTAATTTGGATTAAGCATGGGTCGGTTTTTTTAATCCATCAGGATCATTTAGAGCGTAATTAATTTGATTTAATTGTAGACATGAATGGAATAAACATGGTACTTGTTGGGATGAAAAGGATGATTTAGTACCTTAAGTTCCTGGAATGAATATATAAGAAGAGTATTTTTAGACAACACTTTAATTATGGAAATCTTACAATATCTATGATATTTTATCTGCTGCTGGCATTAAACCAGATGACCATAAATTCTATGATACAGACAGCATATTAGATGCAATTGAAAATGAAATTGGATCATCAGCTTAGTTATTATGCACTAAAGATTCAAATAATAAATTATTATTAGTGAGTGTCTCATTTTGTGTTGATGAAAAATACGAACCATAAAGATGTCCTTGTGATGTTTATGGTGGAATCCCTTGTGGATCTAGGAAAAACGATAAGGTTCGTTATCCAGTATTTAGATTGTGATCATTAAATATTAATAAATTATTTAAAACACATAAATTATTTTTCTATGAATAAATATTATCACTATTATTTTTTTTAGGAATTGAATTCTTTATTATTTAATTATCTGTATTTAAATGTAACTTGGTAAATTAATTAATAACTTTTCATCATTTATGCGTACTTACGTTTATTTGATATATTTCTTAAAAGACTCAAATTATCAAGATGATTAAAAAAATGTGATTTCTTAATAAGATAGAAATAATCAAATTTTATTTAATAAGGAAAAAATTAATACAATCATCTTAAATATCAGGTAAATGTGAGATTATTTAAATATTTATACGGTAATCATTTTTAATCCCCTTAAAAGTTCATAATCATTTTTATGTTTGATTTGATTACATAGTTTCTTCCAATATCTTGAGTTCCTGTTTAGCCATATTTATCACATATTAAAGTTTGGATGCATACTAAACTAAATCAACAAATTCTTTCTAATTTCTACGTGTTTACAATTTTCTACTGTAATTGTCTTCTACTTCCCAACCATCACATTCATTTGAAGATTCATAAGGTGATTCTATTTTATATTTTTTTTTCTATCTAAAATTCTAACAATAACATCCTTTTCCCTTCTTTGTAATTTTTTTTATTATTCGGAATTAATCAGTTCTTCTCTCAGTTGATTTTTATTCATTATTGCAAATGCTATTATTGAAATCTAAGTCAGTCATATTATTTTGTTTATTTTCTAATTAATAATATTTATGTCAAAACGATAATTGGATTTTATTTCTATACTCTTTTTACTATCCGTTTTCTAAGTTCATTCCCTTCAAATAATATTTATGTAAAAAAAAAATTAAAATAATACTCTCTTTCTAAAGTTTTAAAACTTTAAATTATACTAACTTTAATAATTCCACAATAATATATTATTAAAGATTTCTATTTTAATAAACAACCAATTATAGTTTCTAATATTGAATGCTTAAAAATAATATAAAAAAGTTCTTTATTAACAACCAGTAAGCATTATATTATATAATTTCAATTTTGTTAATATGACTCATTTTTAAAACATGAAATTCATTATTATTGTTTTTTATTTATTTAATTGCTGACTCATAAAATATAGACTTAGATAATCTAAAAAATTAGAATCACAAACATTCAAAACCACATGATTTTCTTCCATAATATCTTCTTATTTGAGGATTTTTATTAAACTTCAATAAATCATATAATCCAAATAATGAATTAATTAGATATCTCCAAATTTATTTAACTATTTATTTTCTTAAGAAAATCTTTTAACTTCATATTTTTTAATATTTTCTACAATTTCTTATTTTGATCATTTAATACAATGAATTAATAATCTATCATTATGATTGTAGTCACAAATGAGAACCAATCAGTTGATTAATGTGAAATTTGATTCAATTTTTTATAAATAGAGAATCATCAATACTAATTTATTCTAAGTAAATTATTATAATTGAGCTATGTTATTACTAGACTTAATTAAAGAATTAATATAATTAAGCTATAGATGGATGGAAATAGATTGTTTAACTAAATATTTTATAATAACAAATAATATGTTAATAATTGCTTTATTTGGAATTGCATTATCTCAAAATATTACCTGGTCAAATTATTCTTTCTCAACTCCATAATTCATTAATTTAATAGCCTAATAAACAAATTTTGCTAGAAGCTTTGAGGAGTTTGGACAAATCTTGTATTAAATCATTAAGCATTAGTAGGAATTTTTCAATTCAATATGATTCTTTGTAAGTTGAGGACCTTTGCAGTTTTTAATATCAATAATTAATATTTAATAGAATCGAAAACTCATTTAACACTTTTGTTAATCAATTACAATTAATTGATATCGATGAATTAGACACTAGTGATATAGAAGAGGGATTTTAAGATTAATTAGTTTCATATACTAGAAGTGATTTAAATCTTTTGTTATTAGAAAGGAATTAAGTTATTCATTATTTAAGTTATGATTAGAATTCTAAACTATTTAATTATTCAAAATTTAATTTATCAATTTATAGTAATACTAAATAGCATTAACAATTATTAAATGATAGAGATGCCTATTTTTATGTCAATAACGAATAATTTAGTAAGTTCATTATTTAAAATGACTCATTATATTAATTTGAAATTTTAAATTGGACCTAATAAACTGATTAATTTAAAGTTTTAGTACAAAATAATTATGTATATCTTATTAATGGATAATAATTCTTAACAATATATCAAATAGTTGAACACACTTTAGTATTAATTAAGAAATTAAAAGCAGAAGTATGATTTTTATTAATAAAAAAGGATATTTATTAAGTATAAAAGAAGATGAATTTAGTTGATATTAATATCTAAGAAGACTATCTATATATTCTTGATCATGAAAATGGAGTAAAGAGAATCCATTTAAATGAATTAGAAATAGATAATGATTTCTTTATTAATTAACCTGATTGTTCAATAATTTCTATCGAAAAAGAGTCAATTATTTTAATATAGCACAACTAATAAAGATCTATAATATTTGAAGGAATAATCAATGATAAAGGTTGGATTCTATTATAAAGTAAATAAACATTCAAGAAATTAATAAAAAGTGTTAAATAATTAAAAGATTATGCAATATTATTGAGTAATCCAATCAATAATATTCATCGAAAATACATGATAGACTCTTATGCAGATAAGACAATGTTAGAAGGGTATTAATTATTATAATAAATAAGCAATGATTTTTATTAAATGGATTTTCTAGGAATAGAAAGCATAGATACTAATTATTTAATTGGAATCTTTAAGTATGGAGTGGCTTTATATTATTAAATGGAATTTCCGAGCTCAATTGTCTGCTATGCCCAAACTCCTTAGATAAGCAGAGTGTAGGTATAATTTTATTTTAATAATAAGATATCAATAATTAGCACTCAATGTCCAAATAAGAATGAATCAAATTTATTAAATTATTGTTCATCAAATCTTGAATATATATTTGATATTCGTGGAGCTTTAATGAATGAATTCTAAGAAAGAATATTTATTTATTTATGTATAGGAGCTAGTATTATTGTTACACTTTTGGTGGTTTCAATTATTTATATAATAAGAAGATATCAATTAAAAAAAGAAAAAATAAACTAAATAAAAAGAAAAGGAAGAAGGTCTAAATGATATTATTAATTATATAAAGAAAACTGACTCATTTCTATTTCTAAAATTAAATTTCACTAATTAGAATAAATCTAGCTAATTTCTGAAATTTTATGTCTGTTTCATCTATAAATGTATATTTCAAATTGAATTAATATGATTAAATACTCCTTGGATATTCAAAAAGAACTAATAGATAGTTTTTAAATTTTTTTAAATGAATTTTAATAATCCAAAAGATGCTCCTTATTTTTCCAGCCCTTTTTTCTTAATCTGCAAATCTCTATAAAAACATCTTATAAAATAGTGAGCTCTATATTTAATTGATTATATATCAACAAACTCAAAACCTATCTAATTTAATAATGATGTCTATAATTTGTAAAAATTCTTTATTTCCAGCTTTAGATTCCTAAACATTGAGCCAGGTTAAATATTTTTAAAGAAAATTTAATAATTTGCTCTTCCTACAACTTTTATGCTAGAATATTAATGGCCTAACATTACTTTCCATTTGATCCCAATATTAAATTTAACCAAACATAATCAACAAAAGACTATTCTATGTTAATTTAAAATAGGTATTTTGATACACTCATTTTATCATTTTAAATATATAAACTTCTTTTATTATTAATCGACTTAACAAATTATTAAGAATAGTTTGATTTAATTAGATCATATACTGTAGTTGTTTCTTTATAAATCAAAGAATAATATAGTTCATAAATCCAATAATAAAACAAATATAAACATTGTTTAAATAATAGGTATATTATCTAAAGAGTTATGTAAAAAAATAATTCAAAATTTGAATAGTTGAATAATAAGTCGAAATATNCAAATAAGAATGAATCAAATTTATTAAATTATTGTTCATCAAATCTTGAATATATATTTGATATTCGTGGAGCTTTAATGAATGAATTCTAAGAAAGAATATTTATTTATTTATGTATAGGAGCTAGTATTATTGTTACACTTTTGGTGGTTTCAATTATTTATATAATAAGAAGATATCAATTAAAAAAAGAAAAAATAAACTAAATAAAAAGAAAAGGAAGAAGGTCTAAATGATATTATTAATTATATAAAGAAAACTGACTCATTTCTATTTCTAAAATTAAATTTCACTAATTAGAATAAATCTAGCTAATTTCTGAAATTTTATGTCTGTTTCATCTATAAATGTATATTTCAAATTGAATTAATATGATTAAATACTCCTTGGATATTCAAAAAGAACTAATAGATAGTTTTTAAATTTTTTTAAATGAATTTTAATAATCCAAAAGATGCTCCTTATTTTTCCAGCCCTTTTTTCTTAATCTGCAAATCTCTATAAAAACATCTTATAAAATAGTGAGCTCTATATTTAATTGATTATATATCAACAAACTCAAAACCTATCTAATTTAATAATGATGTCTATAATTTGTAAAAATTCTTTATTTCCAGCTTTAGATTCCTAAACATTGAGCCAGGTTAAATATTTTTAAAGAAAATTTAATAATTTGCTCTTCCTACAACTTTTATGCTAGAATATTAATGGCCTAACATTACTTTCCATTTGATCCCAATATTAAATTTAACCAAACATAATCAACAAAAGACTATTCTATGTTAATTTAAAATAGGTATTTTGATACACTCATTTTATCATTTTAAATATATAAACTTCTTTTATTATTAATCGACTTAACAAATTATTAAGAATAGTTTGATTTAATTAGATCATATACTGTAGTTGTTTCTTTATAAATCAAAGAATAATATAGTTCATAAATCCAATAATAAAACAAATATAAACATTGTTTAAATAATAGGTATATTATCTAAAGAGTTATGTAAAAAAATAATTCAAAATTTGAATAGTTGAATAATAAGTCGAAATATACTAAAAAATTGATAAAAAAAATTTGTATTATATATTTTTTTATTCAACAATAAAAATTTCTTAAATTAAAAAAATATCATTTCATTATTGAAATATATATAATAATATTTTTTAATATTTGAATATAAATTTAAAAAATTCAGATGATTATTATTTTTAGATTCATAAAATTATTAATAATTTACCATAAATATATACAATATAATAGAATTTGCTCCTTCAGTTAAATTTGTTTTATCTGTAGTTAGGAAACTATAGCATGATAAATGGTCTGATATTATTAGATTTCATAGGCTGTTCCATAATGGAATCATTAAAAGTAGTTGTTTCTTTTGGTCTTTTCATATCAGCCATAGATTCAATTTTAATAATAAATATGTATTATATTACTTATAATTGAAATTAAATTAAATAATATATATATATATTAAGTATTAAATTATTATATTGATACAAAAAGAATGGATATAACCTAATTTAATATACAAGATAAACTAGATCCCTAGGCCATATATATTATACATTTTTTTATTTGTAATCTCACTAGATTCTTCAGTAAATAAATTTTCTTTTTAAAACCCTATAATAAAAAAGAATTAAACTAGGAATTATAATGTTGTCTACCATTATTATTTTTAGTGGAAATTAATTATTATTTAGGTAATTTAGAACAATCATAAACATATTATGACCTATTCAAAATAAATAATCTCAACAATTTCAGACCTTCTATCTCTAATTTTTAAAGTTATTTATATCTATTTTATCTTTAGAAAAATGCTCCCTATAATGATCTTAACAAAAATTAAGGACTAAACTTAATGCCAAAGATTTGATAATATTTCCAAAAAAGCAATTACGAATTAACAAAAAAAATAATTTTACGTTATTTTAAAATAAATTTAAAAATAGAGTTGATATTTTTTTGTAATTGTTTTAAAGTTATATTCATGAATTTGAGAAAACTTATTCTTTATGTCGCATTCTTGACCATTCTTGAAAAATATAGCCTAGGTGATTGTTGAAACAATAGCAAAGCTCCGCTGATATTGAATTAAAAAAACTGATTTACATAAATTTAATAATTATGTATTAGCTTTTTCTTATAGGTATACTTCTGATAAAAGAAATACAGTCAGAGACTATTGTGAAATGTTATTATGAATATGATGATTCTACTTTGGAAATTGATGAAACTAGACCTTAAAAATATACTTTATCGTTACAAACTAATTCTCCAGATCTGAATTCTAAAGGTTTTGGATTTTGGTCAAAATATATTCATAATAAAGGATTCACCCCTTAGTACTAAGGACCAATGCCATTTATTGATCCAAATTGTTATAGCTCAAAGTGCAAATTCTATGGGATTTTATTGATGAAAATATTGGATTCATATTCAAATTTATTTGGTGCACTTATCCTTAATATGATGGATAATCCTATAAGTTTGACACATGATTTCTATTTATATCCAATAAGTCCGAATTAATAATATTTTGCTTAAATTTATTTTGATGCTAGCTAATATGAAAATATTTGGATTTATACATCTTTTGTGTATTCAATGAATGATTAAAAAATAAGATTATTCACAAATATTGGATCTTAACTAAAAACATTCACTTATTCAATTTTTTCAGATAAGATAAACATTTAACTTGGAGGATCTTTGAATTTGAATTAAAACAGTTTTTATGGAAAGAAACCATATGATTTCAAAGGATATATATCACCCATCTAAGAATATGAAGCATTTTAATTTATGGATGATTTTTTTGCCAATTTATTTTCAAAATGTTTTTTTTAGGAATAGCAAACTAAAGCTGAAATTTATGAATTAAAATATTTTGAGCCTTAAATATTTTTAGGTTTGACTATTTATTTTAATTATCATGAAACGATTATAAATAATCGTTACGTATTAAAATGTTGGATTAAATAAGATTACTTAGAAGTATTTATTAAATCTAGTTTAGGCTTATAATTTTTATAAAACTGAATATGGAGAAGACCATATGCAACTTATGCAAGCAATATTTCGTATTGACTCTCCATTTAATATAACTAAGAACTTTGTAGGTGATGTTGTTGCAAGATTTTTTTATACAGTACTTTAATTTAAACTATGAATAGGTTGACTTTTAGAATAATGATTAGACCAATATTAATTTTTAAACAGAATTTTATAAAATACCAATTTTAACACCAAAATATCAAGATTAAAGTTTGAGAGAATTTGATAGTTTATCAATTAATGGATAAAATCTATATGATTTAACTTAAAAATGGCATTATTTCATTTTAGAATATGGTAGAACACCATCAGAGAATGGTGGTAAACTTTAATTAAGATTTTATTTTGAAGATTAGGAACCTTAAATTTACAATTTAGGAACTTAGAACTATAATTCTTAATTTACAGGTTATATCATAACATTAACCCTTTAATTGTATGAAGAAACCTTTAGAACAAGTAGGACAAAATTAGAAAAGATTACATTTATAACTGGTTTTTAAGGAGATAATGAAGACAAACAAGGTAAATTTAATAGTAATTTTAGATTGTTATAAAAGTTGTAAATATTGTAATGGTCCTATGAATTATCAATGTACATCCTGTTATGAAGAATATAATTAATTTTTAACTTAATTTAATCAATGTGAATGCAAATATCTTTATACATATAATGAGAATACAAATAAATGTGATAAAATTGAAGATTAACATGGTTTAACATTTTATTAAGAATCAGTTTCTTAGTTTTGTTAATATGGATATTTCTAAGTATTTTATGAAAACCAATATTATTGTATTAAATGGTATGGAAAATATTTTTATTATTAGCCCTTAATATCATATAGTAAATTTATTTTGTGGAGATTGCTATTTTCAATTTTAAACTTGGTATCTTAAACCAGTTTGCACATTTGATTTAATTTAAGAAAAGAATTCATATGCATATATGAAGCATATTAGATTAAATAGTCAAAAAGATGTTTATTATTTAAATTCTGAATTAGAATTATAAATACTTGAAGGAGCATCAGAATTTTGTGAAGATACATTACATGGATGTTAGATTAGTAATAAATATCATTTAAATTAATAAATAAAAATTAG